GAAAAAACATCATCTAATTCTTTTCGGAATGAAATCATTTTTTCAATTTATTTTTGAAAATGAAGTTCAGTATGAGAATTGATGGTAAATGTGATATTGAACTCATTGGTAATTTAAGAGCATTTTGAAATTGCAACCTTTATGGACCAAAGCAAAAAAAATGTTGCATGCCACCATTCCATTCTCTCCTAATGCGCCATCGTATGATATTTATTCCTATTGCAAAAAAGGAGATTTACAAAAAGTGAAATCGTTATTGAATTTATCAGAATTGGAGACTCCAGATTCGTTCGGAAATACTCTATTATACTATGCATGCTTGTGTGGCCATTTACAACTAGTTCATTTCTTATCAGAACTCGGAGCTCGTGATGACAAGTACAAACGATGTTACATTAACGCATTATCATTAAATGTTAGAAGTTTGTTAAAGGTTTATAACAAGTATTCGAATGAAGAAACCCATAAAGAAGATGTGGAAGATGAAGAATCTTCATCTCTACAATCATTCATGTTGAAAAAAGTGAAAAGAATTCTCTTTGAAAATGAACGAAATTTGGAGAGTGATGTTGTGTTGAAAATTCGATTTTCCGGTCAACACAATGAATCTCGATATTATTGTCATTGGTGGATTCTCTTAGCTCGATGGCCATTTCTATTGTACTGGGCACTTGTTCAAAAGAATAGACCTATTCCCCATGTACATGTGTTCTTAACCTCTCACGAACAGAAATTGCTCACATTGAAAACAAATAAGGAAATTGAAAAGTTTTGTTTTTCTCAGTCTGGAACGGTGCTATTTGTTCATGAAATTAGAAATGCCATCAAGAAAATTAGAAAAGAAATTGAGGACATTCAACAAGGTCTTTCATACAAGAGAGCATACGAAGAGCAAATGCAAGAATTATTGGATGCATTACCAGAATCTGAATTGGATCTCAAAGAATTGATGAGTTCACAACATGTTTCATGTATAGATTTGGGAAGTGTCGAATTTCCAAAACAATATTTTGATTTGTTACTCGTTTGGATGTATACAGGAAAATTTACAGATCCAAACTCCTCAAAGATGGAATATCCTACAGCTCAATTAGCAACCATGAAAGATTTCTTGAATATGGCAGAATCATTGAAAATCTATGAAGTTGTAGATATTTTAACAAGTCATCGTACCAAAGGTGAAATAGACATGAATCATTCCTATTGCACAGCCATGACATCATGCTATTTTATGGAATCATACCAACCTAAAACCAAATTAGAACTTTTGAGAAAACTTTGCTGTGATTTCAAATTGAAGATTGAAAACTATTTGGAGGAAACTTATTTCGTACCGACTGAAGAATCCATTCTTTGTCACAAGAATTTCTTAATGGAACGAAGTCCATTCTTTCAAGTCATGATTCAAAGTAATTTCGATGAAGGTGAAAAAATTCGACAATTACAAGCATGTCATGAATTGCCAATTTTACATTTACAATGTTGTACCTTGTCCGTATTGGAAGAATTGTGTCGATGTTTGTATTCAGGCAAGTTACAACTTCAAGAACACAATGCCATTGAACTGTTTTCGTATGCTCATCGATTGGGTATGAGTTCAGAAGTTCTTCTCCAATGTGAAAGTTATATCAAAGAGATGCAAATCGATGAGAGTGAACTTTATGCATTCTGCAAGGTGTGTTTTCCACTCTTTACGAAAAAAACGAGAGAATTCTTTGAGGTACCACTGATCAAGTATTTACAACAGCAACAAGAGATCAATGTGTATGAAGCTTTAGAAGAATTGGATTATGATACAAATACTATTGAGATTATCATGTTACGATACAATATGCACCGAACAAGAAACAGTGAAGAATGATTCGAATATGCAATCATTTACAGTCCAATAGAGTTTTTTTCTTCAAAATTTATTTGTTGTTAGAAAATTTGTTTACAAATCTTCCACTACGGAATGAGTGAAAGAAATGATGTTAGTCTTTTGTTGAAGTTATTTAAATACGCAAAATGTTACATTCTGTGGATTGAGAATGTTCAAAATTGAATACTCTCCAAAATTGGTGATAGAAAGTGATTAGCCTGGCTCATCTGTGATCTTGTTCAAATCATGTTGGTAATAGGAATCACTCCTTCCTTATATACAAGACAGATCCTACTACTAATATGACCGACTCTCACATATGAGTGTACATGTCATTCACACATTCTGATCCTACGGTTGATCTTCTCCATTCCTCACCAAAATCATCATTCGTTTGACCTGAATTAATCACCGTTGGTAGTCCAATATAAAAATTCAAATCTTCGACCCAGATTCTGAGTTTGGTTTTCAACGCTTGAACCCATGGCAACTCCTTCCAACCGAATTTTGTTTTGACAATTTCAATCTTTTTGATGCGATGTTTCTTGTGTTTTGTTGTGATCTTGTGTGTTGTTGAAGTGTGGTTAGGATTCGTTTCATGGTCGTTGACAATGGTTGCATGCTCTGGCGTGTGTTTTACCGATGATGCACTGGTGTTGTGGCTCGCATCATGATCTTCCTCTTGTTGAATATTGAAGGTCACTACTTTCGTTTTGTTCACCATTTCGTGGTTGATGTGGTTGTTGTTTGTATGAAAACTATCGTGATAACGTGTTGAGTGTTTTTCTATTTGTTAATTTTGGCATACTGTACCATGGTGTGAGACAAGCACATGCCAACAATGACGGCCTGTTGTCATTTTTAGAGAGCGGCTGTTGAAATTTCGTGAGAGGAATTTTGGCAAGACACCTGCTTATGTGTAGAGGTTTGCGTTTTAAGGGAGTTGAATTGAACATGAAGAAAAAAAGAATCTGCATTTGTTGATGTTCACGTGTGCACGTTGTTTCGTGTGTAAGAATTACCATGTGTAAGAAGAGAAAAGCATGAGCGTGAGACGGTACCAATCAACAAGGTAATATTATCGATCAGATAATTTGGAATTCGTTCTTCTCACGCACTTTCAAGGTCTATATTAAGGGTGGTGCCAACATACGTGTGGGAGCATATTCTTCCCAAGTTTACAATTATTTTTTTTGCCCACACCAAACATGCTGATTGGTCCCCGAACTATTGGAGTAGTACTAGACGCGTTCTGAAACCCAAAATTCGCCCTCGTTCCACATTTTGAAAACAAAAACGACAAAAAAATCTCAACACTACATTCCGAGCTCATAAATCACACAATGAAAGTCTCACCCTACCTATTCTTTGATGGCAAGTGCGAGCAAGTACTCAAATTCTATCAATCCGTTCTTGGAGGAGAGCTCCACATGCAACGTTATTCCGATGTACCCCAATGCGAGAACAGCACCACTTTGCCACAGCAGGACTGGAACGACAAGATTCTTCATGGATCCTTGTGTTCATCCAATTCTTCCAAAGAAATGATCATGATGGCCTGTGATGCCAAGGAAATGGGTAAACTCCATGGAGGATATTCTCTTTCGGTGGATGTTGATGATCCAGAACAAGGACTCAAAATCTTTCAAGCTCTCTCTGAAGGTGGAAAGGTGTTGATGAATTATGGAAAGACTTTTTGGGCAAGAGGTTATGGAATGTTGGAAGATCAATTTGGAGTAGTTTGGCATGTGAATTGTCATTGAGCTTGGGAATATCGATGAGATTTTATTGTTATTGCTGCAATAAATTGGTGTGAATTTTTATTGAGAGACGATCAACTTGAGAGTTTTTGAAAATTGGAGGAACAGAAGACAAGAGTTTATTTTTTAGTGCCTGTTAATGCTTCCCTTAATCTGTGTGTGTGTGAGGCCTTCTTGTGCTTTACAACTCGTAACAAATATTGTTGGTAGACAAAAATCATCAAGAAAACAATCCAGAGTTAAAATACTTTTGGTTTTTTTCTCCAGCATCGTCATGACAGAAGACATCTCTCAAATTTGGTGTTGGCACGATCTTGTTACTGTCATTGCACAACGCATACACGACAAGTTTCCAAATTGGTTGTTTCAATAGTCATGGCAAAAGTCCTTTGGTGTTGTCTTTCACACTTGAACTAGCAAGTCTTGATAAAGGCTTTGCGATGTTGTTGCCACGAACTGGTTGGTGTTGTTTGTGGAAGAGCCATACGAATGGAGGCGAGCGTTTTCTTGCTTGCGTGGAAGGAATGCAAACAAGCTGATCATCACTCCAATACCTTCCTTACATTGTTTCAACTTTAATTTTGCTTGCTTGAAGAGAGATCGTTTGGGAGAACGATCTGCATGTGTACTTGTAAGAGTATTGCTCGATGAAGTAGTAGAGGATAGTATGGATTGGTAATTTACTGGAGCATCAGGAGAAGGACATAAGGAGCAGTGTTGTTGTTCTTCTTCTATGGTCTTCATGTTTGGATTTGGAGATGGGTGGTTGAGATGGAGTGGATGCATTTTATTCGGAGGTGAGGTGTAAAAAAGAACAAGTCAGAAATGAATCAGTTTTCATGAATGTGGCCACGACAAGATAGTAGGGACTCTTGGAAACATGTGGGGACCAAATACCCTTTATGGTGGGCACTCGAGAGAATTTTGGTGCGAGATTTTGTAATGTGAACGCGTGGAGTGATCAACAACCCCCACCTTGAAACGGAGGCTCTATACAACCAAGAAGGTGTCATAATAAATTGGTGGTTGTATTAATCTTGAAGTACAGTTTCCAGCTTGATGTAAGAGACCTTAATTTTAAAATGAGTATTTTAATGTCTTTTCTTATCGTGACAAGGTGTGAAATGTCATTGCTGACTTACAAGTCATGAGAAGTAGTGCTCAATTGTTCATTAATCTTCAAGTTTTGTTGCAAGAGGTTCGACAAATAAATAATCATGAGTAAGTCCTTGTTGTGTTGATTGAGAGTCTTATCAAAATCATCTACTGGTTTCAATTCTTGGAATGCAGACAACAAGTGATGATAAACTTCAAAGCTCTTCTTGTTAGAAGTCAAGTATTTGTTGATTTCTTCCAAATCTTTCTTCAATTGTTGGATAGTTTGTTGAAGGACGATATTGCTCTGCAAGTACTTGTTGGTTTGAAGATAGTTCATTGACAACTTTTCATTATCCGACATGAGATATTCAACTCTAACTTGTTCAAATAAAGTACCAACAACCTTATTCTTAAATGTCAATTCTCTATTCATGTATCCTTTGAAATCTATCAATCTTGTTGTGAGTGGCTCATTTCCTGAAGGGATATTGATGGTACAATCGAGCACAAGTGGGTTCTTCATAATGTTATCATTGAAGGATTGATAAATTTGTTTATCAACTGTAGCTTTCGATGTTGAAATACTATAGTAACCAATCAATGTATCGTTGGAATAAACTCGATGATGAAGACTCTCCATCTTCTTATAATAAGCAACATCAATATCGGTGGTGTTATCGTTGAATTTCAATGGGATGGTATTCTTAATTTCAAAGTATCCTCCTTCTCTAAACTCTCCGTATAAACATCCGATAATTTCGGTCTTTGAGTTGAAAGCAACTCTTTGATAATGATCCAAAATATTCATCATCACCAAAGGATGGAGTTTATAAATATAAGTATTTGTGCTGGTACTATTGTTTTTAGTGTGAGTCTGTTGTTCGAGCTCATTGATGAGAAGACAACTTAAGCTGCTTGATGGCATGATGAAGAGAAATGATGAAGGAGGAAAGTGTGATGTTGTTGCCTTCAATAATATTTTTTCAACAATTTTGAAAAACAAAAGGCTCTCATCCTTTCTTCTGCAACTCGTGCATGTCGATATTGAAATTATTCGGCCCAATGGAACAGTTTGGGCGAGAGCCTCAATGACGTAATGAGAATAAAGTTTCAAACTCATAATTGTAACTTTTTTCAACTGAATGACCCAACAGGCTCGTCTCTTTTCAGAACGAAATGCCTTCTCCAAAAAAATGATTTTTTCGTCGTCGTCTCCACACGCCTTGTCGGCCCAGAAAGACTCATCCTCTGCTTCTTCATCATCACTACTCGCAAAATCCATTCAAGAAACAGCATTTAATGAATTACATCATCAAAATTTACCCGATAATGCTAGTGAGACTCTACCATACGCTGATGAAGATATCAACAGCTTGACTTCAACAACAGAAAATAATAATATCAGCAATTCTAATCAATCTAGTAATGGTGGTAATAGCCTTTTAAAAGCAGATTGTAACAATAATGACCATTCTTCATCGGAATCGCATTCTGGAGAGAATAATCAACAACTTCGTAGCTATGTTTCCACTCCGGTAGATGTTGATGAAACATCCGAAAACTTTCGGCGGTGCAATTCTCTTATCTATCAATTGTTGTACAGAATTCAGCCATCCATAGAGTCCGAAAACCATAGAAAGGAAGTTTTTGATATAATATCAGCAGTTCTTGATTTGGCAAATTTAAAAGTAAATATCAATAACGATTTATTATTAGTATTAACCAGAACGTTAACGATTCATTCATGAATATGAAATAATATAATTATGAATAGACATATTTATATGGGTCTGTTGCATTTAAAACATACTTGCCTGATGGTGACATTGATTTGAGCGTATTTGCAAATAACGAAACAGAAAATGGTGAACTTTTAAACACAATCATTTCTCCTCTTATATCTGTTGCTTCAAACGAAATACCTAATCATGCAACCTCGTATATACATGATATTTTACTGAAACACATGCACATTGGGTTGAAACAACAATTAGCAGATGCTTCGGTACCATGGTACAATAAGGTTAGAAGCTTATTTCAAGAAATCCAAAGAAATAGTTTAGCGGTCGTAGAAGACTTGACTTTTATTAATGCTGAGGTTAAATTAATCAAATGTACTGTGAATAATATACCAATAGACATGTCTTCGGGACAAGTTGGAGGTTTATCCACATTGTGCTTTTTGCATGAAGTTGATGACAAAATTGGAGATAATCATTTATTCAAGAGAAGCATAATTTTGATGAAATCATGGTCTTATTATGAAAGTAGGATTCTGGGGTCTCACCATGGATTAGTTTCTACGTACGGTCTAACTGTGTTGTTAATGTATATGTTTCGGTTGTACAAAATTGAGACACCATTGCAGGTACGTTGATTCATTGAGTGCAATCATCAATCTTCAATTCCGCGCAACTATTAATCTTCAATTCCGCATAAACTTGGGTTGAATGAACAGGCTCTCTATAGGTTTTTAAATTATTACAGCACACTTGACTGGACGAATTTTGGAATAAGTGTCTATGGTCCTATTCCTCTATCTATAATACAGAGTTGTAAGAATCAAGAAGGTAAGTTGTGTAACATGAATAGTGCTGTAATGATACATGATTCATTGGATCGTATTATTATTGTACCATGAATTTGTAGATTTCCAACACGAGCATTTATCTACTGATCGACATGATGTACTTACGAGCGAATTTTTGAAAAAATGTAAAAAGAGCTATGGTGATCCAGACACATCCAAAATATTAACAGTTAAAAATTTAAATATTGTTGACCCATTGAGGGATTTCAATAATTTGGGTAGAAGTGTCAACTACAACAACTTTTTACGAATTCGAAGAGCATTCAAGAAAGGAGCTAAAATGCTGACCGATATTTTGAACTCGACTGATATTAAGGACTCTGAAAAAATTCTGAACTTGTTCTTTAAAAACGTCACGGTTAAATATGTCGGGGATGGCAATATTTTAATTGATCATGTCATGAACGAGGAGAGATATCAAGTTGGAACCAACAAACAAACAAGTGCCTCAGGGAGTGTGTTCGATTCAAAATTAGAGGACTGTGTGACTTGCCTAGAGACGGCACACAGTCTCTTGGGAACAAGCTCACCTTCAGTCTCTTTATATTCACAAGACGCTTCAACCAACACCTCATCTCCCTTTCCTGTTCCCAAAACTCCTCCAAGAAGAAGTAGCTCTGTGAGCAACTTTATAGCATCTCCTCTTTCTCCTTTAAATAGCTATGCCGTTTATACCAGAAATTTAACTCTCATGAATGCAGGGAATAATATGAATGGTGCTACAGTAACACGCAAAATGGTACGTTGGGAATGGCTCATTCGATTCCAATCGTATCTTCAGAAAATTCCATACCCTCCAACCCTACTACGCCAACAAAACAAACTAAACACCAAAGTCGAAAAACCCCAAAGAAAAGCCCTGTTTCCCTGCAAGCAAGTTCTGAGCCTACAGAAAAGAAAACAACTCCAAAACGTCGCCACAAGTTCAAAACTGCATACTCACCAAATGTATCAGAAATTGGCGTGCATAAATGAAACAAGCCTTAATCGTACCTGACATTAAATCAATTCGCAAAATCCCTCAACCAAGCTTGAATTCAAAAAAAAACAAAATTTTATGGTTACATGTATGCTACAAAAAGAAGTATTAGTCAAAAAGGCCCACTTGGTCTTCACCAAATAATTCGGCAAGTGTACCAATATCCATTTCAAATGAGGGTCTGCCATTGAAGGTTTGATTAGATGATGGCATATCTGAATTATACCAGTCAATAATATGTGATGGGATAGGTACTGCATCAACAGTCGATGTTCTTGGTTGTGAGGCAACAGAAGTGACACGGCTTGGTGTAGCTGGCTGCTCTAATGTCAATAAAATTTGGTTCAAGGTGTCAGCGTCGTTAGCTTTAAAGCTGCTCGAAGCACGTCGAATATTGGCTTGATTTGCTTCTTGACCACAATTAACAATAGAATATGAGGAGGAGTGTTGAATGATTGGGCTTCCAAATCCAAGATATGAATCTCCATTGTTACCACTGAGTTTGTTTTTCTTTGTGGACTCGAGAATGGCATCCAAGTCTTCGTTGTCAATTGTCAATGCGGCAGCTTTGTGAATTTCAGCAATGTTGCTTGACGAAATAGGTCTCGAAAGTGCGGGACGAGAAGACATAGTCTCTTTGAGTGAGGGGGTGAAGGAAGTGTTTGTAAGGGTTGTGCTTGAAGAATATGAGGACATCACAGAGTTCAAGGCGTTCGTTTGCTTCTTTTTCTTCTTCTTGGATTCAACAGGGACTACTGAGGATTCATAGGAGGATGGAGAAGATGATTCTAAAAACTCATCCTGAGTTCTCTTCTTTGTCTGTTGTGATACAACTTTCTTCTTTTTTGGAGAATTTAACAATGGTGAAGCAACAAGAGAAGGCGATTCTGAACCACTTCCATTCACCATTGGACCATCCAAGTCGAGTGGTCTTTGTTTCTTATTTCTCTTATAGAAGAGACCACATTTGTTACACAAGTAAGTGGTCAAAATGGAAGAGCCAAGAGCTGGAGTACAGTCTGGTTCTGTGGGGTTAAACTTTCTCCACAGAGGAGATTGTGTCGTTTTGCAATTCCAGCAAATTTTGTCTCCTTGAAGGAGTGGTGAGGAAGTAACTGAGGATGGTGAGTGAGTCATTTCGTTTGTTTATAATGGTGTTGTTGTTGATGTGCTTGAAACAATGGTAGTGTTACAAAAGTGGTGGAGTATTGGTTTTGCTAAATTGGGGAGAGAAGAGAGGTGGTAGAAATGTTGTCGTGTTGTTGTTGTTATTGTTGGTATTACAAAACGGTGGAGTTGGACACAGAGTGTTTGTGCAATATAAATTGCGTGCGGTATTAAAACTGTGTGAATAGTAGAGTGAAGTCAACTCAGACCGAGGAAGGAGTAGTAAAGAATGCACGTCAATGACTATGAGAGGGTGTGTGTCTTGAATTGTTTCTTTTAGTCAAACGACACAAGGAACAGTTCTTGCTGTTGGAAGAGTGCAGAAAGAATGTGGAATACGACGGCTACACAGCGCTAGTGTGTGTAAATTATGCCTGATTCTAAATAAGGGCAATAGCAAGATGTGTATTGTTACAAATTTGTACAATTTGCAAGTTGTGGCAAAGGGATGGTGGATATTCGTTGGTGCGTGTGCGTTGGGTTGTTTGCGTTGATGATGAAACAAGCAACGTACAAGTAGGGATGTGTATTATTAAGTCGAGAGACCAGAATGAAACAGTAGAAGTACAGAGAAGGAGTGTGTAAGTGCTAGTACAGGTTATAATTATCAACTTGCAGAGTCTGTTGTTGTACAAAAATGTAAGAGTAAGCTGCAAGGATTAATATATACAAAGCGGTGTGAGCTGATTATGATGATGAAGATATCAATAGTAGTGTAATATTGATTTCTGAAAGGCATAGAGGGTAATGATAGAGAGAGGCAGGTAGAGAGTGATGATGAGAGTGAGGCTTGTGCTTCGGTTGAAAGCGAGCAATGAAAAAATACAGAGTCAAAACTCGATGAAAAGGATTGAAATAGGGACCTACAACAACTGTGATTTAGTATGGAAAATAACAGTCGAAAGGAGTGAAAGTTGGCAAGAGTCGGGGTGGTGGTTATTGCTGGGATATTCTTCTTCTTCGAATCAGAAGCAGCAGTGAGAGAGATAACCACACAACGTTGCGTGATGATGAGATTTGGTTTTTTTTTGGAATTTTTGGCAAGCCTTGATGGTTCATGGTGTGTACTCACATCGTTGTGAAGCCATCACACGTATGCAGCAGAGGAGTTCGAGTGGATGGGCAACTCCATGCAACGTCGAACCAATTCTAGATGTGTTTGTTGGATTCGGTTTTCTTGCTTCTCGAAATTTGGAAGATTGGACCCATCAACCATTGTAACATGAAGATTGTGAGAGAATGATGTTGGTTAGTGGTTGAGATGTTTCAAAACGGCTAAAACTGAGTGCAATTGTAAATGTGTACCATGGTCACTCATCTGAAATGACGAGACAACACACAAGGAGAAAAGGTGGTTCCGTAACTGTAAACGAACAGTAATGATTGTGTCTAGATTTGGTTTCCACCACAAGAACCACAAAAAGAATACAACTTTCTTCTTTGCTTTTGCTCTCTCTTGTGAGCCATTACAATATTCTCAACACACGTTGCCATGGCAATGCCTCTGAGAGTTTGTTGCTGTTTGTCCACTGGATTCCACGTTTTGTAAAACATTACAACGTGAAGATAAAAAGACCATAAAAGGAATGAAAAATAGATTTGGGATTTACTGCTTTGAAAGGACCAATTAGGAAAACTGACAAAGTCTCGTTATGTCATCCAATTCCCCAAGTCACACATTTACGATTACAGGATTGTTTCACAAGGTTGTGAAAAGTCTCATGTGTGAAACAGTACCCATTAATGTCCACTACAGATTTAAAGTCATGCCTCAAATCCAAAAATCAATTTTGAAATTGTAAAGTCGAGACCACCTTCAACTTCAGAATCGACATCATCTTGAATTTGCAATTCATCAAAAAAATATTTGGACTGACACCAATGCCCAGAGCATCCCGAAAGAAGACTTTGCAACACGAGCAAGACCAAGAGAAAGAACCTGTTGATTCTTCTTCACAGGTAATTGATGAGCCCGAACAACAGATTTTGAAAAAACAACTTTCTAAAAAAGAAAAACAAGCCTTACGAAGAGAAAAACGTAAAAACAAACAATCAAAAAAGGCTACATCATCAACCACTCCTCATGAAAATTCTTCAAGTGATTCAGAAGGAAGCAATAGCGATGATAGCAGTGAAGATGTTGAATCACAACAACACATTGCATCCAAAAAGAAGCCTTCCAATGTCTCTCTTGTACCATTTGAAAATCGATCGGAAAAACAAAAAGCTCAATTGACGCTACAAAAGAAAGTAGTTTCCGAACACAAGAATATCAAAGTAGATCCAAACGAGAGAGATATATCATCTTCATTGGCTACAGTTCGGTTTTTAAGAAATAATGAAAAGGGACTTGAAAAACTTGTTTCTAATTATCATCTCAAAGTGAAAAAACATTCACATTTCTCAAATTTAATTTCACTTAAATATGACATGTTGAAGAGTCCATTTTCCACTGAAATTGTTCAAGAATGTAGAGGACTAGTTTTGGATCGAGATCGAAATTATAAGGTTGTGTGTTATCCTTTCAAAAAGTTTTTCAATTATGGAGAAAAATATAATGCATCAAAGGATATTAATTGGAAAGAAGCAAAAGTGTATGAAAAAGTAGATGGATCTCTATGTACTTTATATTACTATGGGTATGTGTGAGTGATTTTTTTCCAATACTATTTAATTGTTTGGAAAAATTGTAGTGACATGTGGTGGATCTCAACAACTGGAACTGCTAGTGGTAATGGATATCTTCACAAAAAGAACAAGACATTTGATAAAGTGTTTTGGGAAATTTGGTATCAATTGCAATACAAGTTTCCAGATCCATCCCTCAACAAAATATACATGTTTGAATTATTCACAAAGGAACATGAAATTATTGTTAAACCCGATAGAGATCGAATTATTTTGTTAGGAGTTAGAGATATGAATACACTAAAGGAGGAAGATCCTCAACCTCATGCTGAGAAAATGGGTTGGGAATGTGTTGCAATGTATCCATTGCTTTCATCAATAGGCAAAGTTTTTGATGCTGCTAAAAATTTGGATCCTTCACAACACGAAGGATTTGTGATTTGTGATAATAATTTCAATAGAATCAAAATCAAGAGTCCACGATATGTTGCATTGTCACACTTGCTTTCAATGGATGGAGAAGGAGATGGAGGAGAAGCTGATTCAAAATCAGAAGCAATTTTGGAAGATAATCAAGAAAATTCACCTACTCGAAAGAGAAAAATGTTGCAAATTGTGAGAAATAATGAGTCCTCTGAGTTTTTGGCTTATTACCCAAATTTAGAAGAAATTCATAACATTGTTCGCGGTGAATACAATCAGCTGTTGAAATTGACAAAACACATTGCTACTGACATCAAAACCAAGTATTACAGCAATAATGAAGAGGAAAAATCAAACAAGGATGCCATTTTGAATTTCATACAAAGAAAATGTCAAACTGACTATTGCTCTGAATTTATTTCCATTCTGGCTGTGAATGTTCCAGCAGATAAATCTGAAGAATTGGAGAAGGAAATGAAATCGAGTAAGAAATTTGCAAAAATTATCAAACACACTTTACTCATTGCAGTGTATCAAGAGCTGTTTGGACAAAAATCGTGTGAACAAATTTACAAGGACGTAGAACTGGGCACTTTGTTCGAGTTGATGAATTTTGCAAGTTCTATTTAATCAAATTGAATTGTTGATGCATTAAATCAAAAATTATAAATTATATGAAAACTCAAATCTCGGCATCACCAGTGTTATCAGTTGTTGATGATAGCGGCTGTACTAAATGCTGCTCTCTTAGAAAAGAAAGCATAGAATAGGTTGATATGCATACATTTTCATCTTTTCGCTTCTTCCAAGGTTTGTACAATTTTAATTCGTCTCTAATGCTTTTCCTGGAGTGTGACATTGGTTCAGGATAGCTCATACTTTGGTACATGTCTGATTCTGTCTGATCAAAAATTTCAAACAATAAATCAATAAAGAATGGATTATAAAGACCACAGCTGTTTTTTCTATGTGTCTTGAATAGTATCAAAGCATCCTCCACTGTGTTTACAATTTTCTTTTTCAATAAGTAATAGCAAATGACAAACCCTATTGTTTCAATAGCCATTAGAACACAAATTGCGGCTGTTCATCTCTAATTCAATGATTTTCAAACATACCTGTCCTATTTAGTCCGTGTGTGCAATGAATTAAAATATATTGCTGAGGATTCTCTTCGATAAACTTGTCAATACATTGTACAATATTGTCCATCTCACTAATCATGGACGAGTTATTACCTTCATTTTTGGAATTCTCGGACGAATGAGATGACTTGTTAAAATGATGAATGTTCATATAAAACGATTGATATTTCATCTCCAATGGAACATCATTCCTTCGGTAGTAATCCACACAGCATAAATCAATGACCATTCCAATACATTGCCCATACGTTGTCACAAAATATTCTTCTAATAATTTCAAGCTGACATTGTTAGGGGCTGGATAAATTTGAGGGCTCAATGGACATTTCAAAGGAATTAACATTGTATTTGGAATTGACTCTCCAACAAGTGGTTCAGTTTGAACCCATCCTTTTGGAATTTTAGGTTTCTTCTTAGTCATGTAATTGATCAGTACATTGGAAGAGGTATGATTCTTACTACTTGAATTTTCATTTTCTTCTTGCATTATATTTTCATTTTCCTCGCTACTTCTTAATTCCATCATGTATAACTTCCTATTACTGATGGCAAATGGATTACTTGAGTTGTTTCTAGCATTATTTTCGGGTTCAAAATCCGATGAAGAAGTAATAGAGTTTGCCTTTTTTCTCTTCTTTGTATTATTTTGCCTTGAGGCTTGTTGTTGTTGAGGATGATAAAATCTACATGAAGAACCAAATCTACAGTCTCCGTTCAGAAAGTTTCTACAAGTGTTGCTTTTCTTTTTTTTCGGAGTTTTCCATGTGGTGGTTGATGTACGTGGTGGGGAGGTCGGCTCAACGGATTCCTTGTCTTGACATTGCTCCTCTATGGTTTTCAAAGCTATATCTTCCTCCGAGTCGATAACACTTTCTGAACTATTATCCAAAACATGGAACGAATTTATCATGATGATTTCGAAAATGTGGTTGAAATATTTTTTTGAAAGACTCAAAGCCTGTTGTCTTTCCATCATGGAAAAGTAGCCAGATAACAATCACAACACCAAACTAAAAATTGTTTTTCATATTTATGTTAATAAGCTTGAAAGTGAGAATTGAACGCAATTTCAGAAAGGTTCATTTGAAAGGGTCCGACCTTATTTCATTTCTCCTTATTGGTAGTTAGTTTCGCAATTGAACGGTAGCATTTTGCGAGCTCAGCTTCTAACGCGAGTGCCTTACTTCCCTTCTAATTATTCCTTAAATGTACTTTGTCATCTCGCTTACTTTACAATTCCTTCTCGCCAAAACCTTAAATACTACACACATTCTTCCCTTATTGGAGGTTGAAACCACAAAAAAACAACAACAACAATGACAAAATCTTTATTCGTGTTGGCATTGATGTGCTCATTGGCAACATGTATCCTTGTCGGTACATCCACCCATGCTGCATATACTTTCAATTCAGTTCTTGATCACTTTTCATCCTCCTACTTGGAATCCTATCTCAAATTTAAACAAGTGTGTCAAGCAGCATCTGGCTATGCTTATAGTGAATATCAACTTCCATATTTGAAGGGCGTGAGTGGTGAAGATTTGTTCATGTCGGTCTGTTTCCAACAAGATAAGGCTACTCAACTCAAGAATGCTGCCGAGTCAAATGTGTTCATTACCTATTCAGGTACCCATGGTGTGGAAGGTAAGCGTTGTTCATAGTAGTAGTAGTAATAGTAGTTTGAATTTGAAACAATTCTTACATATATATTCACCAATATTCACAATGACTAATTATTACCATTGAATCTTGATATACACACCAATTTCATTTTCAATATATATATGAAAAGGTTTCATGGGTAGTGCTGTTCAAATCTCTCTCATTCGTAATGAAACTTCTCGTGGTTACATTCTCCCAACCAACACCTATGCTTTGCATATTCACATGTTGAATCCATACGGAGCAAGTTACTTTTATAAGGAAAATGAAAACAATGTGGACTTGTTGAAGAATATCAATACTCACTATAAGGATTTCTCGAGCTGGAATGTGAGTGGAAATGTCATTTTGGAACAATTCATTGATTCTCTCAATATTCCACAAATTCATTTGCCTCAAGTGGCAGCACAAGCTCAAAACGCATTCATGACCATGATTCAACGTTATGGTATGAATGGATTTACCTATGCTTCAGGTAAGTATTATTCATCCTTTCATGACTCTATGAACACCCTTCAAATGTTCAATTTCGTATGATGATTATATGTATACAATTGATGACCATACAACACACACAACACACACCACACACACACCACACACACAGTGGTTGGACAAAAGACACGACCAGAAGGTATTAGTTATACTGGTGCCAGAGATGAATGGACCACTACCACTGTTCAATCTATTTTGAGTACCTATGTCAAATCCTTCTCCTCTCCAAATTTGAAGAGAAGAAGAATTGTCTTGGTCGATATTCATACTGCAGTCGGTGCTTTTGGTGGAATTTATGCCATGTATGAGAGTAATGAATTGGAGTTTGCTAAAATGTTCTTACATCCAGATTCCATTCATTTGAATTTGTTCCCAAATCCACCTGGACATAATCCTGGATATTACTTGAAGGAGTATTCACATCTCTCAGAAGCTACCAGTGCCAATGTTTCCATCTTGTCCAGTGCTTGGGAAGTTGGAACCTATCCACAAGATCAATTCCAAAATTATTTAATTTCTCAATTGAATTGCAGATTTTATCCAAACGTTCCAACGAGTGAGAGACCTGCTCAAGTGTGTCCATACATTTATCAACAAGTTCGTGAATATTTCTATCCTCAAAGTGATGATTGGAAGCATTGGGGTTTTGGAAATATTACTGAGGGAATGAGAACCACTTTGAAAGGAATGGAAACTTGGAGAAAGACAGACGGAACTAATATTGTCAATGCTTCCTCTTCAATGCTATTGATTTCATTCCAAAACATGATGGCCATGTTTGTATTGGTTGTTTTGACCTTTGTCATGACTCTCTAAATTTCAAGTAAAGATCAATGACAAGAATTGTCGTGTTGTTTGTATGGATCACCATTAGACCCTGGTCACTAGTGGTAATTGTTATTTGGTCTAGAGTCTCTAGACACATGGAGTGTAAGGTGTTTGATGAGCAAAAAATGTCTCAACTCCACAACACTACTTCTCACCTCAACGTCGAGCCTTCGTCCTCCAATCATAAGGGCGTTGTATTTTCAGCCTCACAACTAGAATTGCTTGAGAAATTTGTAAATGTAGGTACGACTGTTTGTTGAATATACAATTTCTATAATGACCCATGAATTCCGATAATAAGTATGTCAAATCAAACCCTCAAATCATTCGGGAACGTGAAGAATTCAAATTCTTTAGAGATTTTCTGATTCATGATTGTGGAGCAACCAAGTTGATTACGGATCAACATCATCACAAAGAAGATCCTAATGATAGGGTTCAGGAGGAGAGTCCAATGGCCATCACTCCCAAACATTCAAAACCCTTGATTCTAGAAGTGGACCATCATTCATCTCAAGCAGAAAATTCGTCATACAATCCTCAGCATCAGAACAACGACGTGGGTTTGAGTAATGAACCATTGTTGACACCCTCTCAAACAAAACGGTTGACAAACCCACCACAAGTGAACTCCTCCTCAAATCTTTCAACAACGACCACTTCTCAACCAACCATCCTTCCTCCTTCCAATGTAAATACCAAGCAAGAAATGGACGCTACCATTTCATCACCAACTTTGTCACTTTCTGACTCTAAATATTTAAACAATATGAATGCTTCTCCATACGTCGAGTTTGGAAATTCAAGCATTACAAAGAATGTAAAACTGGCCAATGAATATACAAGCAAAGGAAATCAACTTTTCAAAGAGAAGCAATATGAGCTAGCAGCCATTCACTATGGAAAGTCAATCGAGCTACAAAATGGAGAATCTGCAATATTATTTATCAAGAGAGCAGAATGTATGGCCATGTTAAATAAGCCTTTGAGCGTGAGAAGAGATTGCGATGCAGCCATATCATTGAATCCAGATGCAGGTAAAGCCTATCGATTAAGAGCTAAGGCTTATATAGTGTTGAGAAAGTATGAGCAAGCAAGGAATGATTTGGAAATGAGTCGAAAGTTAGAAGATGATACCAGTGAAGCAACCAAGTTGTTGAAAGAACTTGAAAAAGTATTACCTCATGGTGTAATGACGAGTAGCACTTCATCTAAACCTCCCACTCCGGAGAAGAAAATATCCAATACTTCCAAGTCTTCGACATGTCAAACTTCAGTACCATCCTCCTCCTCCTCCTCAACATTGTCAAATGCATCCAATATATCATCAAGCAATTCAAAACCAACCCCAACAGAAACAACAAGTCAAAAACCAACCATTCACACCAAGCCACAACCAGAGCCAGAACCATCTAACAACAATAATGTTCCAAGTAAGTACTTGTTATGAGTGATTGAAGAGTATCATTAATTATCATTAGATTTTGTAAATCCTCAAGTCATGAAATTAGTGGCTCAAGATGAAACACTCATGAGAGGTTTCCAAAATCCAAGAATTGTCAATGCTATTAATGAAATTGCTGTCAATCCAAATGCATTCATGAAATATAATAATGATCCAGAAGTTGTCACCATGTTCAAGAAATTTACACAAATTATTGCAAATTCAAAATAAATTTAATTGGTGAAAATTATCAGCTCACCTCTCAACTCTACAATAGAGTATAAAGTGGACTTTTTGGTTCAAAATTATCGGAAGTTGAACTCTCTTTTACACTTTCATCGACATATTCCATTAATAAAATCGTTCGATCCGATTCGGTTTGAACTAGAAATGGCAAATTTGAAGAATTGTTGTTACTACTTGTTGATATCTCCACAATTCTTGCTTTACACATGGTATTTGTTTGTAAATTCTTATAAATACTTGATAAAAACACTCCGACCCGATCGCTTTGCGTTTGAGGATTAAATACTTTATATTCAAAGAGAGGTTGATTGAGAGAGATGGTTTCATTATTGGATACAAATATTTGAAGAATTGTACAACCAATTGGAACTTGAATTTTCTTGATCCAGGTGCGATAAGTTTGAGTGGGTGAAGATGATGATGATTCTGATGAAGAGTTGGATGACAACATTTTTTTTATGTGCACCACTCGAACGATAGACACAGGAAATACTACTCCCGAGACCTGGTCCCGAGATGAGTCATGTATAACACACTCTCCTCTGACCTAGATCCAACACTGGTTCTCTGTGGTGTAATATTATTATTATTTGAGCTTGATTCAATACACTGTATCAGAATGTTGAATCTTGGAATGACGAACTTTGTAGTGACACTGCAAAAGTAAATTGTCCTTTTTTTCTAATCCAATAATCAATGGAATTCACTCGAAAACTGGAAAACCGTTAAAGATTTAAAAAGTTCATTGTTAGGTGCAGAGCAAAAAATCATCAAAAAAAATTTAAAATCGATTTGAGAAATTGTTGTTCGCATTTTGATTTCTTCGATTTAAATTTGTATTTCATCACCCAATTATCTCTCTCTTTACACAACAATTATCATCCATTTGTTTGTTGTAAAAGAACTCTAGAGTTTTCATTGAACTGATCGAATTCATCATTTTTCAAATTTGATCAATACCACTCACTCCTGATTTCACACGCCTTCCTATCCCAACACACACATACACTCATTTCAAAACTAGTTTGAAATTGATTCATCAACAACAACAACAACATGCCAAGAAAGTCCAAGAAGTCATTGGCAATCGAAGAAGAGGAAGCGACTACCTCTGCTGCTAGTTCCACTGTTGCTGCTTCTGCTTCTCATAGCTCATCATCATCCAATGAAATGGATACTTCCATGAATGAATCAGATTTGGTCGTCCCTGCCGATGATGAGAATGATGATTCCAGTAGACCTTCTAGAAAATCAAAAGAAACAGCAAAACGTGTCATTCATAATGCCATTCAAAGTAAATTAGAGAAGGAATCAGGTGCTGACACGATGATGGCTCAGGATGATGATGATGCTGAAGCCCCAACATCTGAAAACAAGGAGGAAGAAGAATTATCTCATGCTCCTCGTATCAGTATTGCTGCCATGAAGAGAAAACAAAAAGCTGAAAAATTGGCCAAGAAGAGACAACAATTGAAGAAGAAGAAGAAGAGCAAGAAGGATCATGAATCTTCGGATGAGGAAGATGCAAGCGATCATCATGATGATGATGAGGAAGAGCACGATGAGGAAGAAGCCGACGACTCGGATGCCAAGCCTAAAAAAAAGTCTTCTTCCAAGAAGAGAGAAAAGAAAAAGACAGCGTCCAAGAAAAAGGAAAAGAAAAAGTCTTCTTCAAAAAAGAGAAAGAAGAAGGATGAAGACGACGAATCGGACGATCATGATCACTCTGATTCTAAAAAGAAGAAGAAGAAGAAGAAGACTACTAAAAAGTCCACCACTAAAAAGAAAAAGATCAAGCCTGGCATGCGTGAAATTCCCGATGAAGAAGTACTCGATCGAATTTCCCAAATGAAAGATGAAGCCTTCACTGAAATGAGTGATGATTTGCACACAGAAGTCTCTCCTGTGAGAACCAGTAAGGAAATTTTCCGTGCCATTCTCACTAAAAATTATGTACTTCTTAAAAAGATCTTGGAAGATGAAAAGAATGTCAATAATATTTGGATTTCGAGATCGGTTGATTGTGATTGGACTGTATGGGATTATGCCATTCGTTCCAATGATCAAAAAGCTCTTGATATGCTCTTTGAAGAAGCAACGAAATATAGAAGTAGAGTTTCACAATCTCACTCGATTGAAACCATGAGTACTGGACATGTTGGAAAAAGAACTTTTGGACGTGCTATTCGTAGTGTCAATGTCTCAAGAGGAGGTCGTGAAGGTATTGATGTTGCATTTGCTAAAGATTCTGAACATTATAATTTCTCAAGATGGAATGATGGATTTTCTGAAGCATTGGAAAGAAGTCTTTCATGTCCTGATATCACTACAGATACTATTGATTATCTCATTGTTAAGAAAGGATTGGGTATTTTTGGTGAAGATGGTATCTACAATGCGGTTCAATCTGGTAATTTGAAAATTGCAATTCATTTAGCTAAAAAGTTACAAGCACAAGATGGATTTGGATTGAATCTTCTCCACGTAGAATCATTGGAATTGGATGGTACTACCAATTTCTCTGAATACAAATCTGTGAGTGTCGTGAAGAAGGCTCTCGCCAAAGATGCTACACCAGTTCACTTTGCTGCTATTAATCCAAACACAAAATATCTCAAAGAATTGGTTGAGAATAATAGTGATGGAGTTGCTGTTCAAGATGCTTTTCAAAAGAGACCACTTCACTTTGCTGCATGTTCCTCTACTCCTGATAATATCAAATATTTATTAGAAAAGGGTGCTAATATTATTGAAAAGGATTCTCAAAAGAGAACTGCTCTTCATTATGCTGCTAAATATGGACATGCTCATAATGTGGAAGTCTTGTGTCCAAAAGATCAAAAGTATGGAGCTATTAAGGATAAATTTGGATATACTCCATTGCATTTGGCTTCTTGGTATGGACATGCAGATGTATGTGAGAAATTAGTGGAGTGTGGTGTTTCAGTGGATGTTGCTGCTAAATTGAAAGAAACTCCATTGATGAGTGCTTGTAAGAGAGGACATTTACATGTCATGAAGAAATTGATTGAAAAAGGTAAGTGATGATGAATTTCAGTTTCTTCACTTGAGAGAATATATTTGTTATATTTAACTATTATTTTGATTCGGTGTGTGTTTTTGCGTTGTCATATTGCTCCAACACAAATATCATGATCAAATTGTACATACAAACACCACTGCAACTATACTGCGGACGGACATCATGAATTCGAATCCGAATATTCACATTTTTTACAACTCGAACCAATTCAAGGCGCCAAAATTGAAAAATTATGTTCTCGAAAGAAATCTCTTCTCATGTACGCTGCCATGAATGGTCATTTTGAAATTTGTCGATATTTATTGAAACAAGGTGCTGATCCCAATCACAAAGATTCAGCAGGTAACAGTGTCATGCATTATGCTGTTGCTTATGGTTGGTTTGATATTGTCAAATTATTACTCGTTGCTGGTGGTGATTTACATGCACTCAATTCATGGAAATATTCTCCATTGAACATTTCCATGTTGAAATCTCATTATGGTATTACTGAATTTATTCTCAACGATGCAGGTGTAGATTTGAATTTGAAAGATTCAGAAGGATGTACTCTCATTCACAAATTAATGAGTCGTTTGAATGATCAAAATGTGAATCAAATCAAATATTTGATTGAAACGAAAAAGGATCGAATTGATTTGACCATTACAGATGCCAAGAAGCAATCACTCTTCCATTACATTACTGGATCTAGAACCAAATATGATATTGAATTAGCTAAATTATTTATCAAACATGGTCTTCATTATGATTCGATTGATGCCAGTGGAGTAACTCCTCTCATGAAAGCTTTTAATCATTCCAATATTAACATGATTAAATTCTTATTGGAACAAGGATCACGAGTGAGATGTAAGAAACATGAAGAGAATATTCTTCATTTGGTATTGAAACAAGTGAATCATAGAGATTTGAACAAACTCTTTGGAATTATTTATGAAAATATGGTCACTCATAAGAGAGTGTATCAGGAAAATGCCTTGTCCATGATGAATGATGAAGTGGATCAACAACACAATGATGATATTGTAACTACCATCAATCATAATAATGAATCCTTCCATTCAACAACAAGTGAAACGGATATCAAAGATTCTGAACAACTCTTTTACAAGATGGCTCAAACTATTGATGCGACTGGTAAGACTCCACTCATGGCCATGATTGAACAATTTTCGAAATCTTCAAACATGTATGAATTGGCTGAAGATAGTGATGGTGAAGCAACTCCTTATCCAACACCTTCTGCTGCTAATAGTGAAGCCAATAATCCATTCAATGTTCTCTTTGGTCAACATGATGATGAGAACCATGGTAAGGAAACAAAGAAGAAACTTTCCAAAAAGAAATCCAAGAAGATGAATGATGATTCTGATGATGAAGAAATGGAAGATTCTGAAGATGACATGATGGAAGATGAAGAGATTGTACCCAAGAAGAAGAAGACATCTAAAAAGAAGAAGAAACCATCTCGACGAGATGAAAATTCTGATGAAGAAATGGAAGATGAATCTTCCAATCCGAGTGACCTTTCTTCAGAAGAAGAGGAAGAAGGAGCAGCAACAGATGCTTCATTCCTTTCCAATACTAGTGGTAGTGGTGGTTTCACTTTTGGTTCATCCTCAACTGCTGCTGCTATTTCTTCAACAAGTGGTAGTTTCATGTTTGGTTCATCCTCGACTGCTGTTGTTGGTGGTTCATCCTCTCTATTTGGAACAAGTGCTAGCACCCCCTTTGCAAGTACTACTACTACTACAACTACCTTTGCAAGTACCACCACCACCACCACAACAACAACAACAACACAAGAAGTTGAATTAGACAGTGATGGAGAACCCTATGACTATACCTATGGTTATGCACGAAAGAAACCAAAAACACCTACAGGTTCCAATACGAGTCTATTTTTACAATTCTTGGACAAGTATCTCACTCTCACTAAAACTTCATTGAAACATGAAAAGATTGTTCACATTACAGAAGCAAGTAAGATCAAAATTAAGGATCCAAATACAAACAAGATGAGAACCAAATACTATCCACCCAATCAATACATTTCGTATACTCCTTTACATTTTGCAGTCAAGTATCGAAATGCAGAATTGATTAAGGTCTATTTGAGTCACAAGTATCGATTGGATGTGAATGCCAAAGATTTTAAAGGAATTACTCCACTTCATTTGGCAGTACAAGCTGCTAAATCCAGTGATGATGCGATTCATCTTGTGAAATACTTGTTGAAACATGGAGCTGAATTGAATAGTCGTGATTCGTATGGAAGAACACCATTCTTTTATGCTTTTACAGATATTCCATATCAAGGTACCAGTAGTAGTCAAAATTATTATTCTTATGGAAGTTATTCTTCTTCCAATGATCCTATTGAATTAGTTTCAGATATGTGTAACTTTGAAGGATTAGAAATGGATATTGTCGATCATATGAGTCGATCTCCTCTTCACTATGCTGCATTGAGAGGTGCAACCATTAGTAGTATTTTCTTAATTCAAAGAGGTGCTGAATTGAATCGTAAAGATGAAGATGGTAATACAGTGACCAATTTGGCATTATTATCTTCAAAGGTTGATTTTGTAGTGACTTTGATCAATAAGGGAGGAGATGTTCATGCACCCATTTACTCTGGTTCTGTAGATCCATTGACCATTCGTGAACAAAAAAGACGAGCCTTAGTAGAAGAAGGAAAGAAAAAGAAGAAGAGTCATCTTTTGGGTGTGCGGTCTTCCTCTTTGAAACGTTATGATGAAGATGACGAGGATGAAGATGAGGATGAAAGTGAACAAGAAGAAGAAGAAGAAGAAGAACAACCACAATTTGACTCTGATTCATCATTCGAAGAAGAAGAAGATCAAGCTGCTGAAAATAACCTCTCCTATCATGCCATTCATGAAAAAGTAGCAAGTGAAGCATTACCTTCCATGACCATGTTCAAATATGCTCTCTCGAAATCCTTTATGGGACTTGCCTATCTCATCATGCAAGAACCTAACATCAAACCCACTCAAGTCATTAGTGATGCATTGGATACCAAACAATATGGACTTGTACAAAAATTAATTCGAAAGACTCGAAATGATTTACTCATTCATGATCTCAATAGTGATGGACAAAATGTGATGCATCTCGTTGCTCGTCATTGTGGATATCATTCAGAATGGAACATGACATGGAGTGTCACTATTACTAAAATGTTATTGAGAAGACATGTCAATGTGAATTTAGTAGATACCTGTAAAGGAAGAACACCACTCCATTATGCTTGTAAGAATAGAAATGATCAAATTGTATCATTATTATTGAAACATGGTGCACTACCAAATACATTAGATACCAAATATAAGAGAAGTGCATTGATTCATGCTTGTAAGAATTCAAGTGAAACGACCACTTTGGGAGTGATGTATTCTTCTCCTTCTCCAGTGCAAACCATAGTCAAAGATTTATTAGCTCATCATGCCAATCCCAACATTCAAGAGACTAAATATGGAAGAAGTGCATTACACTTTGCAGTATGTCTTCGTGATCGAAGAGTGGTCCAACAATTGTGTCAATCTCAATCCATCAATGTGAATTTACAAGATGTTCCTCTCAAGAGAACACCTCTTCATCATGCCGTACTTCAGACTGATAATGAATGTGTGAATATTTTATTGAATGATGCTCAAAAAGGTATCAATGTCAATTCAAAAGATATGGATGAGAGAACTCCACTCCATTATGCTGTTGGAATTAATTTGTTTGGATATCATCAAAATGTATCATTGGTTGAGTCATTGATGAAGGCTAAAGCAGATATTCATGTTCAAGATAAGGATTCTAAATCACCACTCTATTACTCGTATCGACAAACCAATGGTATTTATACGAAATTATTATTAGGAAAGAGTCATTCTTCCAACACGGAATTGGAACAACAAGCTCAAAATGAAATCAAATCATTGATTGAATACATGTCTACATTCCCAGTACCACATCAAAATGTATCCTTTGAGAGTGATGCAAGTGAAGCATTGAGAATCTTTGAAGAGAATGAAGCAAATCGAGAAGAGACTGAAGAAGAAAAGAAGGAAAGAATTCCAAAAATGGATAAAAATTGTGCCTTGAAGAATTGTCAAGTATTACAAGATGATTCTCTAACGGATGAAGATTCACAAAGCACTGCTGCTACTTTGAATGGAGAGGCTCGATATTTCCATGCTGTATTGAACAAGACCGATGTCAAGTATGGAACCAATGGTTACAATAATTTTTATATTCTTCAAATTGGTCATAACGTTGGTCAAAATTTGTATGTTCTCTTCAATCGATATGGTCGAGTGGGTGAGACTGGTATGTTCCAAACGACTCCATTCCAAGATAAGGATGAAGCAATTGCTGAATTTAAAAAGATTTTCAAATCCAAAACAGGAAATGAATGGGGTAAAGAATTTGAAGAAAAGACTAAAAAGTACAAGATTGTAGATGTTAGTAAGAGAAAGGTTAAAGATCCATTACAACCTATTGATTTATCCAAAGCTGCTTCATCCACTCTTCCTGAACCCATCTATGAATTGATGAAAGTGGTTTGTGATATTACCATTTTAAGAAAAGATTTGACTCGATTAGGTATTAGTGATGAATACTTTTCATTGGGTCAATTATCAAAGGAGAGATTGAAGAAGGGTTATGAAGTATTAACCACAATTTTACAAACCATTAAGGATAGAGATGCTAATCCAACCATGCCTCCTTCTGAATTACTTGTCATTTTAGGAAAGTTAGCAGATTTATCCAATGAATTCTATTCACTCATTCCTCATCATGGATGTGTCAATTGTCCCATTGAATCTCTTGAAAGTGAATCAGATGTTGTTTCTAAAATGAAATCATTGGAAGATTTAATTGAATTGAGAACTGCAGCAAGAATATTATTAGCTTCTCAATTGAATATCAAGACTATGAATCCACTGGATTATACCTATCATGCATTGGGTGCTCAACTTGCACCACTCGCCAAGACGGATGAAGAATTCTCGGTTATTAATAGATATATGGATCAAACTGGAGGATCTTCTGTCAAGATTATGAACATTTTTAGAGTGAATCGACAAGGTGAATCCGATCGATTCGATCAATTCTTATCCAATCAAAAATCAAAAGGAAAGAATATTCATCGCATGTTATTATGGCATGGAAGTCCAGTCACGAACTTTTTATCCATTCTCTCTAAGGGTCTATTAATTGCGCCAAAAGAAGCGCCAGTCTCTGGTTACATGTTTGGTAAAGGAATTTACTGTGCAGACATGTTTGGAAAGAGTTTGGGTTATTGTCGATCAGACGTGAGTGAGGGACAAGCCTTACTCTTATTGTGCGAAGTATTGATTGGAAATCCATATCGTACCTATGAATCTGAATATATGGAAGAAGCAAAGAGTGGTTTCGATTCCACCATGGGTGTTGGTGCGAGAGGACCCAATTCTGAGCAGCCATTTGTTCAGTACGATGGAGTGCACATTCCATTGGGACCTGTTGTGGATACACCAAAACCTGTGGAAAAGACTAATGCTAATCGTTATTGGAACTTCCCACTGCATTACAATGAATATATTGTGTATAATGTGGATCAAGTGAGAATTCGTTATATGGTTCAAGTCAAGACTTTGTAGTGAATGATTATGAATGATTCCAATAAATCAAAATGAGAGTTTGTGAAGAGAGGGTGGTATAATTATCATGCATGGTAGTCGAAGCAGCTTACTGAAAATAATATTTCCTGAATGGTCCCAAAATTTTCGAAGAAATTTTCACCCAAATACATGAATGGTAACTCTCTTTAAATGGTCAAGTTCTTATCACACCACACATCGACTGCATCACAATAAATTGACTCACACAGTTAGAATGCAACAACAACAACAACAAACATTCACAGAACAACATCCCTCGACCACACAACAACAAGAACCACCCAATCCACCTCCCCGTTACATCCATGACTATTCCACAGATTTGAAAGCCATTCAAGAACACGATAAACAGGATCAATTACCCTTTAGCAAAACAGATCCACAAATGTTTCCACACATTCCGTTTGTGAGTTCCTATGATTCAGGATTGGTTCAAAATGTCATGTTCACAGGTGGATGTGGTGATGTAGGAGATGCCATTTCCAAGACACAGCCCGAATACTCGAGTGAGGATTTGAGAACCGTCATTCATGAATTGGATGAAAGGCCAAGATATGGAAAAACACAAGAGGAAGTTAATGAAAGAGATGAGAAAGGAGAAAAGAAGTCAGTCAATCCTTAATTCAAACACATTCCTGCTACTTTGAAAGATTTAATGATGTATGACTGTATGAATAAATTAGACAGCGGAACTTTGCGTTCGTGATATTAAATTCATTTCATCTTTTTTAAGTAATTCCTTTTCGTTTCGATCTTCGTCTTTGATTGTTTCCTGCGGCGAAGGTTGATGATGCATAAACGAAACTGAAGTAAACATTTCGTCACCTGAAATATTAAAGGAGCAGCACATGAGCGCTGCAAGTAAACACATGGCTCTTAAAAACATTTTCATATAAATATTTTAATACTAATTCTCAATAGTGCAACGGAAGGGATGAGAAAGAAACATTTTTTATTCGAGCTTTACTCAAATGATACTTCTTAAAATGTTAATGCAAGCGAATTGTTCTTTCAGGTAATTTTACTTTTTGAATAGTGCACTCGTTCTTATGCCAGCACTTCCATGTGTTGTACAATGAAAGGACCCTTCTAAACTCAAGTACAAGTTTGAAAGGAAATGTCACATAGTTGATGGTTACAGTACGCCCTGTAAATATAATGACAATATTGTTCAATGAGGATCGTCATTGAGTCTTTTCCGCAACTCAACATGACCTTGGTAGTAAAACATGCACCACATTGACAATGAAGGTCGTGTTTGGGTTGAAAAACAAGTTCCCTGTTAAAATCATCCTTCAATTCTTCATAATTTACCTTTCTCTTTTTCAATACAGAATCTCTATATGGTTCTAAATTCATCATTGAATGATCGCTCATTGTCATTCTATTTCCACCTTCATATTTCCATGATTGAATCCATTGACCTTCTTCATTTAATATCTTGACATGTAATTCTTTGTGAACAAGACTCTCTTCAATTCTCTTCAATAATAGGACTGTTCTATGATGTGAAAGTGTTCCTAATCCACATACCACTTGATCATGCAACTTGTAGAGACTTGTTAATGGTACAATGGTCATAAATTTTGAACTTGAATTCTTGGTCATGTACAAGTATGAATGAGAGAGTGCAGCTGTGAAGTCTTCTCCACAACTCACATCCTCAATTTGTGAAAGTACTACTCGAGGTTCTGAAATGACTTGATTTGTTGAAATAGATCTATGTGTACAGGTAGGATGGGAGGATGCCATTGGCGACACAACAACAGAATGCATTCTTCTTTCAACATGATCATTGGAAAGGAAGCATTGACACTTGTCATTCCTTCCAAACATGTACAAGTCACCATTTTGACATAGCACAGCATTGTGAAAATGACCACAATCTATTTTCTTAATTTTTGAGGAGGGAATTGTGTTGTTGGTGTGCATTGTGTGTGAATTCATTGAGGGAAAAGTATCATGAGTGAGTGTCATGATTTCTATTGGTTGGGTAGTACTAGTCAATGTCGAATGAAGGAAACCACCACAACTCTTTTTGGAAAGTTGTGAAAATCGATTCGATCCACATCCATACAAGATACTTTGTGTTGAACTCTCAGCCACCCATAACGAATGTTCTTTTCCTGTCGCAATAAGAGTCACTTGAAAGGTAACACCATTATTAGTGGTATCTCTATGGCCAATAAAAGTAGTAGTAGTATTAGTAGTATATATATTGTTACATCTCTTATCCAACATGATAGGATAAGGAACATGAGAGGACATGAACGTTCCATTACCTAATTGACCATGTTGATTATTACAACCACATGAATACAACTTTCCATCCAAAGTGAGGAATAGAGTATGATCATATTTGGAGGATATCCTTTGAATCAGTGGTTGAGTGGAGTGGTGGTGCTGGTGTTGGTGTTGGTGCTGATTCTGGTGGTTACAACAATTATTTTGTGCATTGGGTCCATGACCTTGATAATAGTTTGGCAATTGAACTCGTCTCAAATGATTGACATTGGATAAAGTGAATGGACGAATACTTAATTGATATTTGGAATTATCACCAATTCCATAGGCTTGACCATTTTCATAGATATAAAACGAATGATATTCTCCATGAGAGATTGCCTTAATTCTTTGAGAGGATTTACAAATTTGAGATTCAATGTTGGATACATGGGAGAGTTGAGTACATGATGATGATGATGGAAATAAATGAATATTAGTTGCTTCTCCCATGTATGGAGGATTGGATCTTCCGAAACATGTTTGATTCCTTATGGAACAATGATCTTTATATTCCAATACTATCGTTGAATAAATTTCAAAATGCGAGGGTTTACTACCACTGCTGCTGGTAACAGATTGAAGCTTGTCATGACGGGATGAGGGTGATAATGAGGGTGATAATGAGGGTGATGATGATGAAACATGATTATTCGCATCAATTTTTTCTTGTTTGAAATTTTGCATGTGCGGTGGAAGAACAAGGGATGATGAAGCCTTTGTACTAACGAGTTTCAAAAAAGGCTGATCGAGATGTGTGGGTTTTTGGCAAATGTCACGAAATCTCGGAGAAGAAAAAACAATGTTGATGGTGCCGAATTCAATTCAGAGGTTTTTCGAAAACACGACACTTTTTTCAGAGCTGAATCAGCTCCTCCTCTCGCGTCTTTCGAGGTTTGCCTCTTACCGGCTAAAGTGGCTGACAGGAAATATTCGGTGTTTTTTGAACAATTTCCCTGAATGTACAATTATGCAATTGTAGTTCCTCTGGCTATGAGGATGGAAATTTCAGAACATTGTTCAATGGTGGATGAATTGGACAAGGAGAGAGGCCGTGCATCATTCAAAACACCACACACTTCATCACAACAAACCTTAAAAAGTAGTCCTGTATTGGTCCATACTGTCAGCCTTATACCCGTCGGGTGAGGACCAGTATCGTTTTTAGTTTTTTCACCATGTGCCATTCGTCCAATAGTCCTTGTGGTTAGCTGCTGTTGATTCCAATACTGTTCGACCACGAAAACGCGAAAAAATGTTGAGTGCCACTCCTTTTGCGTCCCGAGAAAACAGTACCAACAATTTGACACCACCCTCTTCAGTATCCTCTACCTCGGGTCAACAACCTTCTCTTCAGCACCAACAACAACATCAACCACCCTCTCATCATCATCACTCCCAACATGCTGATATCAGACGTGTGCTCAGTCAAGGAAATGTCGACGACGTGATACAAGATGAATTTGCAGCAGATACTCTTGTTGAGTTTGATGAATATCCTTTGAATCATCATCATCGATATCATCATCCACGTCAACCACAGGATCATGATCCATCTCATATCAGGTCTAGACCTAATAACAACAACAATGAACCACTCTCTACCTTACCTTCATCATCCTCTTTCAATTCTTTATCAAGTGCTTTGGATGGTCATCATCAACATGTTCATTACTCTTTGGATGAAAACAATGTGTTGCAAAGTACGAATAGGAATCATCAGCATCATCATTGGAGAGGACAACAACAACATCTCACGAATCGAAAAGCACAACCACCAACTATGACGACAACGACCTTTCCTTCATCATTGAGCTCAATCTCAGATCATAATGCTGCAACAAGAACAACATTGGTAGAATCCAATCCTCATGAAGATCATCATCATTATGAAGACGATCATCATCATCATGACGACACTCACAATATGGTCTTGCTCATTCCCAAAGAATCAACATGTTCCGAACAACAACAACAAGATACATCACCACATGATCATGACATTCATCAACAAGAACACAACCAAGAACACCATTCCAATATTCTCATTGATAAATATCTCAGTTTTGAACAACATTTACTTCGTCGAAGTGATAAAAAAAGAGACAATCAATATCGAACTCAATTAGAATTAATTACTGCCATTGATGAACATTGTGATAGTGTTCTTCATACCTATTCATGGTTTCGATTATTTATATTATCCTTAATGGGTGGAGTCTATGTAGCCATTGGAACACTCACAAGTGGTCTCATTTCAAGTGATCTCTCAAGTAAGGCTTTACAAAAATTATTAATAGGAATAGCCTTTGTTGGTGCATTTACAATGATTATATTCAGTCGTTCCATTCTCTTTACTGAAGTGAATATTTCAGTGAGTGTTCATTTATTTAAAAGTGATCTCATTGGAATTATTCGAAGATCCATTTATTGGTTGTATAAGGCTATCTTTACATGTTGTAAAAATCACATGCATGTCAAAATTAGAAGAATCTCACATAAGAGTATCAAATTAATGACAGTACTCTATTCACTTCGATTATGGGGTATTGCTATTATTGGAAATGTATTAGGAACAGGTAAGTGTATGAGGTTCTATTGTGTTTTTATGAGCAGTAGAATAATATTAATATTTTTGAAATGAATTCAATATATATTGAACCTTGAAATTATTTTTTATTGACCATTTTGGGAATTCCATGTTGTATCGAAATTATTTTTTATTATTTTTTATTGACCATTTTGGGAACTATGATTCCATGTTGTAAAACAAATGATGAAAATTCCAAATGATCATTCCTGCTCTCTCAATACTAGTATTGATGAGTGCCATTTTGAATGGTAGTTTTGTTTGGTATGACAATATTTCCATGATTCAATTTCTTGCAAGTACAACCTATAAGAAAGTTCATACCTTTTCTGTGAGAGGTGTGAATGGATGGTTTTCATGTCTGTTATCTGGAATGATTGCTAATTTCATGATTGGAGTAGCAACTTTATTATGTAGTTCATCAACGTAAGTTGAATCAATATTGTACATTTTTCATTGTATTCATGAATTGGGAATGTTGAATGATTGAATCAAATGTATGAATAACAATAATAATACTCCAAATATTTTCAATATAAATAATAATATTCAACAATAGAACAATTGTGGGCAAGATTATTGCACTTTCATTTCCTATCATTGCATTTGCTGCTTTAGGAGTTCAACATGCACCTGCAAATCTCGGTATGTAGAAGACCATTGTTTAAATGTATATCCTCATATTCAATCATACCATCAACATATGAATTTGAAATACCAAATGATCATTCAAAAAAGGTTATTTTTCACACATTTTCATTTGGAAAGAATTATTTGGTATGGAAACCATTTCCAACATGACCACCATTACACCTGAAATTTATTACATTTCTGAAGAGATTCAATGGTGGGATTCATTGATATGGAATGTCATTCCTGCTGGAATTGGAAATGCTATTGGTGGAGTATTCTTGGCATTTATTTTTGTTTATACTTTTATCAAGTAAATGAGTGAATGTGTGTGTATGTGTGTAGATAGATCATGATCGTGTAAAGTGAGTGTGTATATGTGTATAGATAGATCATGATCGTAACGTGAGAGATCAGTAAGGTGCTACTACTACTTACTGAAACCATCCTTTTATAACGCTTGTGACTCTTTAAAGTCAATACCTGAATCCACTTGAAAATCTCTCCTTTTCAAGGTATTTTGATACAATGGATCCTTTTCAGGAAATTTTTCATTGACACCAATCATTATCAAACAACATACAAAAAAAAATATCAAAAAACTCTCGACGGCATCCTAGCACACCCTATTATTACCACCAATCCATCCAATCCATCCATTTCGATCGATTGATTGCACTATCAACAAGACTCAACATGTCCACTCCCTCTCAATCCGATACCACCTTTCTTTCTGTTCATAATGAAAGTGAAATGAGAAGACCTTCTCAACATTGGCTCTCTCAAACTGTGGATGTTGAATTTCCCGATAAGAGTATTCATGTCTTTCCATGTCCAGTCAAATGTTTTGATATTGCAGTATTATTAAAGAAACATATGCATATCAAAACTGATATTTATGCATTGGAAGTCAATAATTTGATTACTTCATTGAATGAAGTGATTTCTTTTACTCAAGTCAAAGTTAAACCTATTTTGAGAGATAGTGTGGATGGTCATGCCATTTTGAGACGTAGTTTAGTATTTCTTGTTGGATTGGCTACTCATTTGGAATTTCCTGAATTTTCAATGACTGTTGAACATTCTTTGAGAAATGGTTATATGTGGTAAGTAGTACTGGAGTGGTTGTGTGGTGTTAAGTAGATTTCCATCATTGACTTGTTATGATATTCATTTGGGTATGGTACTACTCTACCCATTCATCATTTACATGAAAATTCCTTCATCATTGACTATATCATTCATTATGACTATCCACTCATTAAATCCCCTCATCATTGACTATATCATTCATTAAATCCCATTGACTATATCATTCGTAATGACACCTATCCATTCATCATTCGTAATGACACTTCCCTCACAGCTGTGTGGAAGATACCAATGTCACTACTGAACAATTAGCTAAAATTGAACACAAAATGAAAGATCTTGTGAATCGAGATCTTCCCATTCTCACTCGTTATGTTTCCTATGAAACTGCAATGGAATTCTTTGAAAAGGTTGTAAAAAGACCTTACACGGCATCTCTCATCTCTGCCAACAATGATCCTGCTGTTCCCATTGATTATTGTGATGGTATTGCTGAACAATATTTTGATTTACATCACAGAACATTGGTGGCAAGAACAAGTTTTCTTCATGATTGTTTTACATTGGAGAAATTCAATCATGGATTTAAATTACAATTTCCTGCTGAACCTTATGATTTGGGATTAGAATTTAATGATGAAACATTGGCGAACTTGTATTCAGAATATAATAATTGGGGTAAAATTACCAATACGAGATGTGTGGGTGATTTGAATCAACACGTGAATAATAATACCATTAAATGGTTTATGGCATTGAATCATGCATTGCATGATCAAAAGATTGTCAAGATTGCATTGGATATTTATTCGAGACGTGATAAAGTCAAATTGATTTTGGCGGCAGGACCATCCAGTTCAGGTAAAACTACGGTACGTAGGTGATGATTGGGCGGGAGGTGTTTTTGTTGTAACTTGAATTATAATTTTTTTTGGAATGACCCAAATTGGATCGTCCAATATGAATATAACCCTTGGATGATCCATCTCATACATTGGTGAAATTACCTACTATATATTTTTACATTGGTGAAATTACCTACTATATATGTTTACCATGTACAATGATCATGGATGATTCAACATGTTATTTTGAACAACCAATCATTTTTGAACATGACCTAGTTCGCTAAAAAACTCTCCATTCAATTGGAAATTTTAGGTATCAAACCAGTGACCATTTCTGTGGATGATTATTACAAGCCTAATAAGGAGTGTCCATTGGATGAAAATGGAAATTATGATTTTGAAACCATTGATGCCTTGAGAATTGACTTGTTGAATGAACATTTAGAATCATTGATTAAGGGTGAAGAGGTCATGTCTCCAATCTTTGATTTCAAGAAGGGAGTACCCAAAGACATTGGTCGTAAAATCAAATGTCAACCTGGACAAGTCCTATTAATGGAAGGTATTCATTGTTTGAATGATAAATTAACTCCAAAGATTCCAAATGAAAACAAATTCAAGATATTCCTTGCACCACTCACTCAATTGAATTTGGATGAAGTGAATTTCATTAGTAACAATACGACACGACTATTGAGAAGAATGGTTCGAGATTTTAATTTCAGAGGACATTCAGTCACTTCCACGTTGGACATGTGGCCTGCAGTGCGTAAAGCAGAACATCGAAATGTGTTTCCTTTCATGAAGAATGCAGATGTAGTGTTTAATACTTCTCTCGATTATGAATATTCTGTATTGAAAGTTTATGCTAAACCATTGTTGAGTGCAGTCAGTCCAAAGAGTCCACATTACAACTCGGCACGAGAATTGTTAGCCTTTTTACGTTATTTCCATGCCATTCCAGCTGCTTCCATTCCAAGTGATTCATTGTTGCGTGAATTTATTGGAGATTCATTCTTTGATTATGAGTAGATATTATGGTTCAGTTTGGGTGTTACTTGGTGGTGTTGCTTGGTGGTGTGGTTCATAATGTTATTCGTGCAGTTGTTGCGCATTTGGAATTTATAATAAACTTGCAAAATGCATGTTTCAACTTGTAATCATGAAGGTTGACACTCCATCTCCCAAGAAGCTCAGACAAGAGCCAATTCAAGAAATGATGAAAACGATGACAAAGTCGTCTTTGCATCGAGAGGAGCGTTGAGAGGAAGGATTTTGAACACTCCTCCAGTATAAGCATTCACGAACGTAAGCATTGCTCTCATAATATAATTATTTTACGTTATTCTGTTATTTGAACAACAGAAGTGTTTTGTAACGATTGTATATTACTCTTGAAATATTATCTATTCAATGATTGTTTGAAGTCACATAAAACAGGTATTATCTACCACGAGACTCAAAGCAACATTATATTGTTGTCATGACCGAAAAGATTGTGGATTAAGAATACATACCAAGTATATAATCTGTTAATGGGTATACAGTATTATTCTACATGATCTACGAATAATGATAGCTAACATATTAGGGGCTGATGAATCGGTACATTGTTAATAAATTAGTTGTGTTCAATATAATCACAATGATAAGTATTCATCGTTCAACTAGCATTTCAAATAACATACTCAGTTAACAGTGTAACAGCTAATCTACGATATTTATCGTGGATCTTCTGATCTACATATTAACCAACATTCAACCACATTTGTTTGTCTTGGTAGAAAGGTTGTACTGTAAGTATATCGGATCATTTCGTACCTATACGTTACTACAACCTTCTTCGGAAGTGTTTAGTGAAGATAGTGATATAAAGTTAAGTAAATACTGAATTCTTCCTTGATGAGTGTTTTCAGATTTGTTGACGTTTGTAGACTTAGGCCACCTCTTTTCCAAGAACCTTCTTTCATTTTTCTCTAAAGATTGTTTTGTTGAAGATCATAGTTCTTTCTGCTTTCTCTTTATTATTCTTTTGTCTAGTTGACGTAGGTTTTACAACCAACGATAATTGTTCTTGTTCCAAGGCATCATTTTCAGAACTTTTGCTAAACCACAACTATCTGTTAGGGCTGAAAAGACAGCACCAGCAGCTAAGGAGCTACTTCCTAATAGAAACAATTTGTTCCTACTCAGGGAATACCCTAACAAACCAGAAAGAGTTAGAAAACCCGAGGTAAATCGAGCTTGTCTTTCAAGAGGCCACGATGGATGAGAGTCTCTGTTTTCCAGCACGAATGGAATCAAAGTATCCTGATCCTTCTTCATCGTCATATTCGTATTCGAATCAGAACTTGAAAGTCGTTTGTTAATTTCATTGAAACCTCCTTCAATGCATGTACATTGAAATCCATGTTTTGAGAGAATGGAACATGCATGTGTAGATGCTGAATCCTCACAACCTTGTTGACACACCACATACACTGGTTTATGATGATCTAACAGTCTTAAATTTGTATCCAAAGTGGAATATGGTAAATTAATGCAATGTTTCAACACGATGGGTGCTTGTTCAAAATCGTGTTGAGATCGAACATCAATCACTTGAAGCGAAAACTCGTTCACTCGTTGTTCTTGAATGTAATCCTCAAAGGAAAGATTGTTCTTTGTTTGGTTCTTTGTGGTCATGCAAGTGAGGATACTAGTAATTGGTTTTTTTGATGTTTGTGTGCTTCGAGTCTGTCTGTTTGTCTGAATCATATAACCAACCAACCAACCTACATGGATGACAGTCAAAGAGTAAAACTGATCAGTAACACGAAATCAAATTTGATCAGCGTGTGAGTTAGAGCTGAGCCAGTTCCGACCTAGAATTACCAAAAAATAAGTTGGAATGAAGACATGTAATTTTGATAGATTTGATATTCTTCCAAGGAACGAAGAGCGATTTATGAAATTAAATTGGACATTTATTACATCCAAAATTGCTCTCAACGGTGAAATAAATATTGGAATGCAAGTTCAGACACATGTATTGACGAGTTGTGTATGGTTTGATGACAACTTGGGTGACTTGGAATGACTACCGTCCACCTCGAATCGAGAGAGCATGGAGAATTGTAGAGCGAATTTAAAAAAGCGCCATCAAAAAATGCCAATGTACGATTTTAAGGCTACAACAACAACAACAAGTGGCACAGCAGCGAAGATGAGGCTTTGAGGTTAAAGGCAAACATTCATCATGACGAGTCCGAAGATGAAGAGCCTCTTCCTCCTGAGCCAAGACCAATATCCACGTTAGCAATTTCTAATTTTCAATCGGACGATATTGAATCTCTTCTCAATGAAGATTTACTAAAAGAAATTGAGAAACAATATCTTAAATCGAACAACAAATTAAAGAACAAATCTCCAATTACATCAACCAGGAATTTAAGAATGGATCATACTATTGCAGATTCATCAAACAACGTTAAATCTGGCTCGATCAGAGACACAAGCGAAGCCTTTCATCATTCATCCCTTTCATCTCATCCAATTCAAATGGACATGATTCATATCATTAAGGGAGTTGTGAGTGCAACTGGATCCAATTGTTACAAAATCATCACTGAACAATATATTAAGGATGTGGTGAAAATCACCAAAACAAGTTTAATGTGGATTTCAAACATTTCTAAAACAGACCACTCATCATGCATTTTGGAACTTAAAAGCATTTCCTCATTGAAAAAGAATATATCACCATGCGAAAAAGTGGTTCGAATTTCAGTCTACTCCTCTCAGAAAGGAAGACCAAGAAAGTGTGTTGTTTCCACTTCACATCATCCAAATTTTGGTTTTAAAGTGTTAACTGAAGATTGGATCTTTGATCATCATTTGGAATTATCAAAGAAAGGTGAATCCTCAATGCTCCTACCAGACACCATTTCATTTCCAGAGCATTTAGTGTTGAGATATTTGAGTTTAACTTTTATTGGATCTCAAACATTTTCAAGTACTCACAGAATTAAACATTTATCAGTAACATTGGAAGATAACATTCAAGACGAAGAATACTTGGATTTGGTACGACAAGAATTGGTTCAAGGAGGAGTATCTTCAGAACCAATTCGTCTCGAGAAAGACTCCACTTCTGTTAAAAATGCAAAGAAACAACTCTCCAATCCACAACAAGAATGCTCGCATACAGATCCGACTGAACGCATAACACCACCATCACAGGAAGAAGATGAACCATTGATCGTGAGCAACAAGGATATTGATTTGAACAATAATGAAACTACGACATCCAATGCCATGCTCATGAAAATTCTCAACACTAGCACACAAAGTGATCAATTTACAGATGATTCATTATTAGAAGATTTAGATGATTTGAGAGATGAATTGAAAGGATCTACTCTTAGTATGGATAGCAGTGATGGTGCTAATAACATGATTGAAACATTGAATCATGGTAGCAGTGTATCTTGTCCTATTTTTGATGAATTCGTCAAAGATCAAAGAGTACCACCAATCATCACCATGGATGAAGAATTAATTCAAAAGGAAATTGAAGAAATTGAAGCAAAATTAATTGAAAAGAAACAGAAATTGGATTCTTTGAATAATTCACCAGTTAAAAATTTGATATCCCAAAGGTCTTTGTTGATTCAACCAAAGACGAGTAGTGGTGGTGGTGATGGTATGAATCGTGTAGATGTGAATATCAAGGGTCATAGCAATAGTAGTAGTAGTCGTAACAGTAGTAGTACTATTGGTGGTGATCATGACAGTCATAACCTTTTACTTGCTACCACCCATGACGATGATGAAAGTAAGACTCATCATGAAAGGCATGACATGAATCACCCAACGACCACCATAACACACCAAAAGAGTATTCATAATTCTACAAGTAATATTCACTCGAATGACTCTCGTGTCAATGGTAAGAAGAATAGGACTCGTAGTAATGATGATCACACACTGAGTGAGAATACCATTGCTCATGAAACTTTGAACACCACGTCGACGACATTACAAAACAAGTCAAAGAATATTCACAAATCCAAGGAAAAGACATTATCACTGAACAAGCATGTGGACACCAATCCAATAGTATCGAATAAGGATTCTACTAACTCCACACACCCCATCGTTTTAAATATACTTCCAAAAGATCGAACCATGAATCATACAAGAAATTTCAATTCGAACAACAAGACAAAAACTCATCGAATAATGAATAATGATGATGGTGGTGGTGGTGGTGAACAGAACATGACACCACCACAACAACAAGTACAACATAATCTATCGATTATTCCTAACAATGACGATGGAATGAATCAATCAAATCATTCGAAACCATCTGTGAGTCAAAACAAAACAAGAAATACTCATATGGTTGGATCTACACCAACCACGATTGATATTTCTTGTTCACACAAGATGAACCACATGAATATATCTCAAAACCATCCTCCTGACATGGTTCGAAACACTTCGAATCATCATTTACTAGTCATTGAGTTTTCTCCCAATTCTCAACATGATCTTCAATCATACGATAGATATGGAAGTAAGCTTGAACAACCAACGAGTATGAGAAAACCAAATTCATCTCTTATTCATTTCCTCTATGATATTAAGAAGAAACAACAAGAAAAAAAGAATATTTTTAACACCAACAGTCATGAAACAAGCGTGTTTCACTCGAAAGAACAAGGAAAGAATGAAAAGAATCAAGAAATGAAAGATCATGATAAGAAATTACCAATAGTGAACACAGATCTTCAACAGATTCCATCACTTGAACTGACTGATTTCATGAAACACTGCACACCTTCAAATCAACCTTCTTCCTCACATTTCTCTACATTTGAAGACCATGTCATGCATTCAAAAAGTGAATCTACTCTACTTCATCATAACAGTCATGTTCATGATGAATCGAGTAGTAGTAATAGTAGTAATAGTGAAGAGACTCAAAGTGATGTTTCGAGTGATATTACTCTCACTGTCGTTGCTGAAGATGATGATGATGATACAATGAATGACTTTGGGTCCTCTCACATGACCACCATAATGATGGCGCATGAAAAGAATTATAAGAATATACCCATGTTATTCAATGTACCACCATTTACCATGTCCTATAATACAAGTCCTCGTGTGATCATGAATGAAGAGGATCCTCTTGTAGTGAAACTCTCAGATTCGAGAACGTTCAATGAATATTCCATCATGCATGATCAATGGTGTTACAATCGTGAAGAAGAAGAGCATCACTATCCTCATCATACACTGGAGAATGATGATTTACATGATGATGATGACTTGTTGAATGATGATGAACAAAACCATTCACTTCTTGATGACTTGAAGAATACAAGGATTGGGCACACACCCATCAGAGCTCCACCAAGTCCACCCTTCAGAGTAATTAATGATGATACACCACCACCATCGAATACATTATTACTACCATCGAATACATCCTCACTCATATCCTCTTTGAATTTTGATGATTTAGATTTCAGTTCTATGGAAACCTTAAATGATCATCAGCATGTTGGACTACATACATTGGATGGAGTGAATCAAGATCAAAATGATGACTCTTCTTCTGTGTTTCAAAATGATGAACAAGAAGAAATGAATCCAGTGCATGATGCACTATCATTACTGAATACGATCACTGATCCTACTACTGCTACTAGTACTAGTACTTTGGATATTTTAAAACAATTGGAAGAGGAAATGACAAAATCATTATATCATGATGTTGTTGGTGTTGAACATTCATCAGAGATTGTAAAAGAACCAATACTAGAAGAATATGAAGAAATTCAACACGAATTATCACAACATGAAGAAGAAATTCAACACGAGTTGTCTCATGAAGAAAATCATGATGATATCATGTCTTCCAACAACAACAACAACATGACTACACATAAGGATGATAGAATGAATTCTCCTTTTCATCACTCAACAGAAATTATTGGAGAAACCATACAGTTGGATGATGAAAGGACCAAGAACCATGATACTACTCAATCAAACAATGATCACCAACATTTCAATCAACAGCTAACGTTAATGACTCATTCTGAGAATCCAATGATTGTACATGAGGAAGAACATGATATCATTCAGAGTTTTTTAGATGAAACAAATACTACGAGCTGTACATCCGAAGAATATGACCTCAATGATTCTCCCAACATTACACCAAGAAATACCAAGACGAACAATACCACTCCATACTACTATTTAAGAAATTCTCAATCAAGTCCTGTCTTTCACACTCCTTCCTTGCTGAATGTAACAACAACACCTTCCACCATGACACCTTCTCGTTTATTACTCAAAGGTGAACCAACACGATTATTTTCTTTAAAGAAGGGAATTGAATGTTTTCAACATGTTTATGACATGAAAAAGAAGAATTTTAAAAAATCTAAAAGATTAATCAAATTAGATAGAGATTCAAAGATTTTAACCATTTCTAGAAAGGCTCAATTATTCAAAAAGAGTGTTAAAATTAATATTTACAAGGATTTGAAATGGATTGTATATGGACCCTATTCAAAGACATTTAAAGATGAATTATATCAATACCAACAACAACAACAACAATTACAACAACAATTTACAAAATTCAATCCTCACACAACAACGACTACCAATCATACTTTAAAGAGAAATTCATTACAACAAGACCATAATATTTCACTATTACAATTTGTACCATGGAGATGTTTTTCAATGGTTACCGTTCATGGAGTGTATTGTTTTGAAATATCTAATCATGATAAGGAGTTGGATGATTTCATTTTAGGATTACAATTCTTAACAAAATCCGTGTTAGAACCTCAACGACCCATTTACACGAAACATTCATTAGTAGTGAAGAGATTGTTTTTGAAAAGAGAATATGGAGGTCAAGTCGAGCCGACCTTTCTGAGACTAGCAATCACTACTGAATAGGTCGACAGCAAGAAGTAGAATAAAAGGCTCTGAGAGTACGGCTGATACAGTACATGTAACTAGTGGTATTATGTGACTCACGCCTACGTACATTTCGTGGACTTTATCATGATATGTTCAATATGCTCCACAGAGTACGATGCAGAATTAGGACAAACTCGATTGAAATCTTGAAGAGTGTTGATGCAGATCATTAGAGTCAACAAAATCAAAAGTGATGGTTGTCTAGCTGAACTCAAAGACTGACCATAGATTAGAAATAGCAAAAGGCTAAGAAGCTTGGAACGAACTTCTCAATAGCAACTTCGTTCTGCATACATGAAGTAGTGTATCACAAAATGTGGACATCACCATCCAACCTTGATACAATACCACTGAATAACAAATTTTATCGAGGCACCACATTCAGGCGAATCATTTTAAAAAAATCCAATCGTACCTCTTCTCTCTCACACGCACCAATGGTCAAATTCGCAACTCTCCAAAATCAAACCCGTGATGGTAGACTTGTCATGGTCAATCGAGAAGGTACCCACTTTGAATATGTTCCGCAAGAGATTTGTACCACCTTGCAACAATTAATGGACTCGTGGGATGATTTGTATCCTCGCATTGAAAAATTATATTCTGAATTGGATTTCAAACAACAACATGAAATTACGAGCAAGACTCAATTTATGGCACCTCTTCCTCGTGCCTATGAATGGATTGATGGAAGTGCCTATATCAATCATATTGTATTGGTCCGAAAGGCTCGTAATGCTCCTCTTCCAGAAACTCTCCGCACAGATCCATTAGTCTATCAAGGTGGTAGTGGTACCTTCTTGGGTCCAAACTCTCCCATTGAACACTTTTCCGAAGATTATGGTATTGATTTTGAAGGTGAAGTAGCAGTCATTACTGGTGATGTTCCAATGGGTACTACCAAAGAAGAAGCACACAAATACATCAAATTAGTCATGATTTGTAATGATGTTTCATTGAGAAATCTCATTCCAAAAGAATTGGAGAAACAATTTGGATTTTTTGTGAGTAAGCCTTCCACTTCCTTCTCTCCTTTTGCAGTTACATTGGATGAATTACAACAATCAGATTTATGGAAAGATGGTCGTTGTCATGGTGATTTAATTTCTCATTTGAATGGAAAATTATTTGGAAATCCAAATGCAGGACCAGAAATGTTCTTTTCCTTTTATGATTTAATTCAACATGTGACTCAAACACGTGCTCTTACTGCTGGTACTATTATTGGATCAGGTACAGTGAGTAATGAAGATCAATCTCGTGGATCATCATGTATTGCAGAGAAGAGAATGATTGAAAAAATTGAAACTGGTGAATTTAAAACACCATTCATGAAATTTGGAGATGAAATTGAATTGGAAATGTTTGACAAACAAGGAATCTCTATTTTTGGTAAAATTAAACAACAAGTCGTCAAGAAGAATAAATAGAATGGTGATGTATTTGTGTACACACACACATGGAAGTTCAATCATTGATTCAGGTTGGACAAAACTTACTGAGAGGTGTGTTTAACATATTTTCGAAAGTCTTTGCTGAACCCTTTTGATGTTCAAAACCTTACAAACACTCATCAAACATCATTCTGAAAAGAGTTACTACTATCAAGTAAAAAAAATGATAGCACAACAAGAATGCAATTGTTCCGAAGCTTCTTCTTCTTCTTCTGATACAGGCACACAACCTTCTTCTTCTTCGTTGTCCTTGGGTGATACAAACACTCGAGTGGACATGACCATCATACAAACAAGCGCCACTACCTCCTCTGCCACAACATCACAACTTCCTAGCTCGACCTCTTCCAACAACAACTCCAGCACTCCCACATCTCCTGCCATTTCCATTCCCTCACCCATTCCGAAATTATTTAAAAATTCATCGAATTTAACTCCGAGAAGTGCTGTTCAAGGATTTATTTCAAGTGGATCCACGAATGGAAATAGCCTTTCATATCGACAAAGTATGAATGGTTTAATGAGTGAATTAAATACAACAACAACCGTATTGAATAACAATGACAGTCTTCAGAAAATATTCGATAAATTAACTACAATTGGTTCTACGCATCAAATGATGAAAGAATTATTAGAATCTGAAATTAAGGGAAATCAAAACATTCATGAAGAAATGATGGAAATGAGACATAAATTGGATGAAACGAAACAAGAAATTATCAAAATGGAGACACGATTGACTAAAGAACTAGAAAAGGATAAGAATCAATTAACACATTTAGTATCAAAATTAATGAATGTAAATTTGACTGAAATTCATGGATTGAATGACAATGATATACAGTGTGAAGGAGAACAGCCATTGTTTAGTGAGTCCTCATCCACTATTTCCAAATCATCCTCTGTAACCAATAGAAAATCTCAAAGAATGTTGAATAACTCAGACAATCGATATTTTTCAACTCAATTGATACCAAATAGTGATCACCACTCTCCACCCAACACACCCTCTAGATCTCCATTTTCCTCAACATTGCTAATTTTATTATTTATTTTAATTTCATTGCTTTTAATTTTGATGATATTTGCCTTTACAGATGTTGGAAGAACCATGATTGCTAGGAAACCTACGTTTTAAGGTTGTTGGAATGTTCAACTTTGAAACGAACGACATGTACACCCAAACAAGATTCATTAACAACAACACTCATATTTAACACTGCACTTGCCCTAATAAATACAAGCAATTCTTTTACTTTTTCTTCGATCCTCCAAAAAGAGAAAACTTGGAGGCTGATTTCGATGGACTTGTCATTTTCATGGAACTATGTGGTGATGCTTGTGAGGACACTGAATGATTCTTACCATTCGATGATTGAGGTTGTTGAGGTATGACCGATGTCAAGTAATTGAATACCTTTCTATTTCTAATAAAATTATTCATTTGTGCCATAAACTTGAGTGCTATTTGATGATCCTTTGATGTTGGTTTGATCACAATACTTGCCAAATACAATTTTGGAGTGACCATACACAAATAATAAGTAGTAAATGTTTTTGGATCTGTAAAATAAAACGCTTCTTCAGCCACTTCAAGATCAGATCCATTCTCCATAATGAGTGATAAAAGGTTCGGCCAATACGTGTACATGAGTGTTTGTTTGGTAATTTTTCGTTCTGGAGTGGCAGTGGTTTCCAATGTTGTTGTTGTTGATATTGGTATTGATGTTGTTGTTATGGGAGTGGTAGTACTATTCGTGGTATGACTGTTACTTTGAGAGTGAGTACCATTTCCACTACTACTACTACTCATACCACCCCCAATACCACTGCTAACACTACTACTATTCATACCACCACCAATACCTGTACTACTACTATTCATACCACCCCCAATACCACCACTACTTCCTTCTTGAATAAATGTTGTTGGATAATGAAACACACATGGATATAATTTAATTCCACTCAATGATAAATCTTCAGTATTTTCTTGACTTCGAATTCTCATCACATATCCCTTTTCAGGATCTGTTTCTAAAATTGGTGTTGTATCTAAATGATCATGTGTGGCATTATAAATCAAACACACGGATTCTGGTTTTACAATTTCATTAAATGATTGAATCCATTGAATATAATCCACTGCTAGTGAGGGTGGAATGAGAGGTGAATGATGATCATTCATTGTACCATTGGTATGATGATTCAATAAATTATTAACAATCATACTGGATTGATTGGTAATGATATCATGAAAAATAAATGTAAATTTCGATTGACTAAATCCAAATATCATGGTCATCCATTTGAATAAATTAGTTTTGTTTAAATTATTTGGAGATGAATCATCTACTTGAGATGATTTCATTGTGGTGGTATTGTTGGTGGTATTGGTATTGGTAGTAGTTGGAGTAATAGTATTTGTGTTTATGGTGTTTGAAGTAGTAGTATTCGTATTCATATTCGTGGTAGTATGGAGAGAATTGACTTGTTTCAAACTAGTAGTACTTGAAGTTGCACTTGTTTCTAAAGAAAGGCTTTCATGGCTCGTTGGTAAATGATGATTGGAAATATTTCCCATATGAGGTGGCTGTACCATAATTGAAGGTGTATTCATAGCAGCCACAGAGGACAAGTTAGAGATTGCATCTCCTCGTGATGGTGTTGTTGTTGTCGTTGTCATTATACCAAAATTTTGAGGTTGTGTCCAATAGTGAGATTGTATTTCATTCATTTCTATTTTCCATTTATAAAATAATTCATTCCATTGTTTAAATAAATGTTTCGTCTTCCACATGGTAAATACACTTTCCTTATATTTATAGTTACATATATTATATTCACATTCAAATAATGATATCAGTGTATTCAATTCCATATTAATATTTTGTACAATCCTTTCAAAGAATTGATGACCAATTCTATTAATATATTTAGATTTTAAACTATTAATAATTCTAACATAATTATCATATTTAGGTGGATGTTTGTATCTTGATAATATTCTATAAAAGGCAATAATTTCTAATCGTAGTTGAATGAGCATTCTAAAATCCTTAATAATTTGTTTGCTTAGAATGAATTCCTTATCAATAAGAGTCAATTGATGATAATAATGAGAAGAAGAAGATGTGGTAGGAGAAAGGGATGATCCCATTTTGTAAACAATATAATCTACAACACTACTTGTTGCATTCATTGTATCCATATGACCTGATTGTGTTTGATCCATCATGGACATCATCATTAATAAATGATCATGGGAAGAATGAATTTGATCTATGGATTGTGAATGATGCATGTCCATATAAGGACTATTTGAAGATCCATTGTTATTGGAATTACTCAAATATTCATAAGGAGCATTCATTGCAATTAATGATAAATTACTGCTCAATAATGAATATAATGAATGTAAATCTTGTTTTTCATTGGGTGAATAATTGGCATCGTAATAAAGTGTTTCGCATTGAATAAATCTTTTTAAGGATTGAATCACTTCCTCTTCATTTTGTTTATATTTAGAGAGAGTACTTGATGAATAGGGAGTAGAGGAAGATGAATGAAGAGAGCCTAATTTTTGAGGTTGATTCAATTCTTGATAGTTACGAATGAGAGTATGAGCTTGAATGAAATCAAGATTGGCAATATATTGAAAATATAATGAAATATTACTCGGAGGAGAATATAAAGAGGTATTAGTAGTAGCAGTAGTAGTGGTTGAATTGTTATTTGGAATTTGTAAGGAAGGAGTGCCGGAAGAGGAGGCTTCTACTTGTTGCGTATTCAATAACGGAGTGTTGTGTTGTTTGTCTGATAATGTTGTTGGAGAGGTAGTGTTGTTGTTACCACTGTTCTGATTCGCATCATCCACAACTACTCCTTTCGAAAAGTAATCACTTTGAATAAGACGTTGAATCATTCCCGAACTTCATCAATTATTTTTTCAAACAATTATTGTGATGAGCTCATCATCGTTGAAGGAATCATCATCAGGGTCTAACCACCCTCATCATCACCAAGCAATAATGAACAACACTTCAGAACATTCTTCTTCATCCAATAATACAAGTCTAAACTTTTCATTTGAAACCTTCAAAAATCAATTTAATTTACAGAGTGATGAGCAACAAGCCTATTCATTGTATTTAATTTATTTAGATATTGTTTTTGTCAAGAAGATTCCAAGACAAGAATTTAATCGTGTGCTTTCTATTCATTCCTACTCATTCAATCATCATGCTCCCTCTTCCTCACCGTTCACCATTTACTATCTCTATGCGCTCTTTAATATTCCAAACATGTCCGGTATTAATGATTTGAGTGAGTTGAAATCTCTCAACGATATTCACTGTGAGCCTAAATATTATGTAATTGTACCAATTACCATGTCAGGTCATTCGGGTATGATGAGTATTCGGCATTATCATGAATTGATTGAATCCATCCGAAAAGAACAACAACAATTTGAACCATTGGATGGTATTGTTATGTGTTTCATTGATGGAGATGGTACTTTGTTGTACTATCAAATGGATCAAAGAAGAATAGACTCGGAAGGATACGGCCGAGGCTTTTCATGTTGAGTTTGTGCAGCAAGGCTTTATGAAAGAAAAAATGGAAACATCAACCAACGACAACAATGATGAATATGATGATATTTATATTGTATTTGATATTCCCGATTTCAATCTCATCGAAAATTTACATTTAGAAAATTACTCTGTCATTGGTTTGGAGACGGAAAGACCAATTGTAAAAATTGATAACTTTGTATTTGAAGGAAAGTTTGAAACTCTACTCATGGACACTGCATTGTGTGTCGAACAACAGCAACATTCAACAAATCATCATAACCCCCATGAATCTCCTCCACAAACAATTACATCAAGACAAATTTTGAGATTGAATCGCATTCTGCTTGGTCCTAAAGTCATGACCTCCACAAATAATACATCATCATCATCAACACCATCACCGATGAACAATGTCGTGTAGCTGTGCCTCGTGTAACACAAATTGACCGATATAATAACTAACACGAAAATTTGGATTACTGGGATCGTGCAACATGTTCTTTCAAGAAAGTATACAAGCACAAACAAATACTCCTCACCTTAATGGTTAGAAAACTTCACACTATCTACTATTATTACTCAATTATTGATGGTCTGAAGAATGTTTAAACACCATTTCCATTATTTATTTTCGTATGGTCTTTTTATGAAACTCCAGAAATTCTTTTTTATCCATTGGTTTCAACTCTTGCTCTTCTGGTACAAAATAGATTGAGCTATATTCAACGTTCCCATCAACAATGTTGTTGTTGTCAATAAGTCTATTATAAACCTCTTGCTCATTTCTAAACAGGTACTCTATGATTTTACTTCTACATGGTTTGATTCGATCTTAATCTGAGTTGGAATACTATGTTGGAACAACTCACAAAGCTTTGACCTTGGAACTTCTCCATGTAGTGAAAAAATAGCCATTGGAAGCTCACGTTCATCCTTACTAAACACCACTTGATCACAGGTCAGTTTGACTTCTTCACAATTTTTAGAACGGTATCTTATTCTTCCACATTTGATTTCAATGGACTTGTTGCAAATCTGAGTTAGAAATGACTTGGCAAAGAAAAACAACAACATGTTTTCCGAAGAAATTTGTTGTTCTTTGCATGTAATTGTGAGAAAGGAAATACTTTCATTATGGATGGAAAGTAGTGTAGAGTGTTGGAGGGAAATGGATGTTGGTTTGTCTTCAATTTCAACAACTTTCATCCAAACATTTGCAGTCATATAAGATTGATCCAACGTGTCTTGATAAGTTTCGGTGATGAATTCGGGATCTCCTTCCTGAATGAATTCCTGTTGAAGGTATTTGGTCCAATCTTCACAAGACATGGTAAAGTAATGCTTCACTTTGACCATTGGCTCTTGATGATGACGTTTCTCGGTTTGGGTTAGCAGAGCATACGGGAATTGATGAACTACAACGACTTGCTTCTCAGGAGCGCACTCCTTCAAAACAAGCAACAAATCAAGTCTGACCATTTACAATAAATATTCCTCAACAATGTTATTGAGGCAACTTAAAACCAATTTTTTTACTTGGAACGAAAACTGAAATAATTTATATTTAAATTTAAATGCAGAGTATAAAATATGCATCAATTATCTGTCATTGTAACAACAGAGAAACAACAGATTACTAGTGCTCGCTTAGTCAACCTTATTAGAAGTTCCGCTATTAACAGAATCGGATTGTGGTGATGATTGCTTTAAAAACATATCCCTCGTCAATCGATCTCTCATAATTTCAGCATCTCTTTCAAATTGTTTTCGATCTTTCGCACTTTGAGTAGAAGGTTTTGCTTTTGTGATGGCATCTTGAATTTTCGATAATTCTTCTTCAAGTTCTTTAATTTCTTTTTCTAATTGTTTTTGTTTTTCAGTATTCTGAGAGATGAGACTAGAATTAATGCTATTCATATATTTTTCAAATTCATCTTCTTCTTCTCCTTCATTGGATGTATTGGAATGTTGTTGTTGTTGTTGATCTTGAATCATTTGAATTTCTGTTTCCAATTCTTTTTTCAAATTTGTTAAATGTAATTTCAATTGTTCTTGTTTCTCAACAAGACCTTCCAAAGTGGATGGTTTTTCATATCCATGATGAATGATGAACTTGATGAACTCATCGATTTCTTTTGTTTGTTAAAAGTATCATCATAAAATTCTCTTTCATTAAATTCAAACCATTCACTTGTTAATTGATCTTCAATTCTCAACCTCTTATTTCTATTATCTTCATTTTCATCGTAATCTTCTGGTAATTCATCTTCTGAGATTTCCTCACCTTCACTATCATAATTTTTTCGTTTCTTTTCTGTCGATGCATTCTTTTTTTTCTTTTCACTTTTAATTTCAAACAATGTTTTTCTCTTTCGTAAATCTTCTTCGAGTTTTCGAACAGAATCTTCATAACCTTCCTTAACACTTAATACATAACTTCTAGAACTCATTCCAAGCGTAAATGAATTTCCTAACCATAGAGGAATAAATCGATGAGGCTTACATTGATGTTTTCTATTATTCCAAAACGTTCCATTAGCACTTCCTAGATCATATAAATAAACTCTTCCATTCTTGGCATGTTGTATCAAACAATGTTGTCTTGAAATACTATTATTAGCACATAGAACATGACTCATGTCTTGTTGTCTTCCGAACACATAATACGATTGTTTTGAAATATCAATATTCTCATCTTCAAGTAATTCTCCTTCTTTGATGACTTCAAGATAGTATGGAAATTTGACTTGCGAGTGTTGTGGATGAGTGGTTGGTATTTGTGGTGGTTGATCGGAAGAAGAAGATGATGATCCGATCGTGTTGTTAGTGCTGCTACTGGTTGAGTCCACATCAAGATCTTGCGAAGAGCCTCCAACTCCCCAGTATGGGATTTTATAATTTTGAACCTGAATCAATGGAGTTGAAGATGTGGATTGATTCGATGAAGGAAGCATTTTTTTTGTTTTGTTTGTTTCAAGAGAATAATGACTAGCTTTGCATTGGATTAATACCAAAACAAAAATGTTCATGTTGTTTTAACACCAAATGTGACATCTTGTAAAGAAATGCAACAATTATTAATTTATTGAAAAGAAATCAACCTCACGTGATCAACTACATGGTTCACAAAGTTATTGCAAGTTTCCTGCCACTGCCTTTGCAGTATAAGGTTCATCTAAATATTTCACTTCTTCTGGAGTCAAATCAATATGAATGGCTGCAACATTAAGTTCAATATTCTCAACGGTACTTGAACCAATCACAGGTGAAGAGACAAAATCTTTGTGCAACACCCAAGCCAGAGAGAGTTGTGCTGGAGTGCAATTCTTCTTTTTGGCCAATTCTGAAACTCTTCTCAATATTTCTTTATCGCCTTCAGTTAAATTGTTTTCAAATACCTTTGCAAAGTAATCTGTGTTTGCTCTTTTTGTGGTTCCAGTAATGGAATTGCTCTCAGCAAAGTCGTGAGCTCTTGCTAAAACACCTCTTGCGAGAGGCGACCAGGAGTGACAGTGACACCAAGATCTTTACACAATGGAATCATGTCACGTTCTTCTTCACGATATAATAGATTATAGAGATTTTGCATGGAAATAAATTTGGTCCATCCTCTCTTGTCAGCAATGTGTTGAGCCTTTGCAAATTGCCATGCCCACATGGACGAGGCACCAATGTATCTGACCTTTCCAGCTTTGACAAGATCATGCAATGCCTCCATAGTTTCTTCAATTGGAGTATTGTTATCCCAACGGTGAATAATATACAAATCAATGTCTTGAGAAAGAAGAAAATCAGAAATCAAAATTATTAAATTGGGAATAGTAAGATCATCACTGTTGTGAACAAAAAACTTACAATCAACGCCTAATCTTTGCAAAGAATCCTCAACAGCATGCATAATGTGCTTTCTTGACAATCCAAAAGTATTTGGTACGAGCTGATCTCTTGGAATTTGCAAATTCAACTTTTGTTGACCTGTCTTGTCCACTGGTGCAAACACTTTGGTGGCAATCACCACTTCTTCTCTTGAAATATTATTTAGTTTGAGGAATTTACCCAAAATTCTCTCACTCTCACCATTGCTGTAAGTATTTGCAGTATCAAAAAAGTTAATTCCCAAATCAAAGGCTCTTTTCAAAAGCTTTAGTGATTCCTCTTCCTCAAGAACCCATGGTTGCCATTTGGAAGATCCAAAAGTCATACATCCAAAACACAATGGAGATACTTTCAATCCAGAATTTCCGAAACGAACATATTTACTGAATGGAATTTTGGTAGGAACTGACTCATTGGTGGTTGAATCGGAAGCAGACATTTTTGATTGTGTTCTTTTATAAGCGTTGTGATCGTAATATATTTTCAGTTCAGTTTCAGTCAATACTGATGATCAATATTGTTTTTATGATGAGCAAGATGTCGTTGCAAGTGAGGCTTCTATTCATTCATTTTTTAAAAGCGCACTATGCCCTTAGGACATAAAGGACAATAAAAAAATGATGCGGCAGCAGGTTTTCATTTCCTTAGCCTTCTCACAGGACAATTTTTCATATCGTTATACACGATGGGATATTTGATATTTATTTGACTCTCAATTAAGGAAGTTTATCACATGGGAAGTAAGAGAGGTAGGTTGTAAAATGTCGTAATTTGTTCATCACCCCGGAAGAGATAAATCAGCAGCTATCTTACAGGTTTGATTCCATAAAAAAACTTTCCCATGTTCAAACCTCATTACCAACAACAAGCGATCGTTATCGATTGCGGAAGTGGTATGTGCAAGGCTGGCTTCGCCTCAAATGACATGCCTACAAGTGTGTTCCCGTCCATAGTTGCAAGACGTAAAAGCGGCTCAGGAAATCATGATGTCTTTGTGGGAGATGATGCTATGAAAAGAAAGAAAGACAAGGTTGATCTTGAGATGAAATATCCCATCCAACAAGGACTTGTTATCCATTGGGATGACATGGAAAGGATTTGGCACTACACCTTTGATCAAGCGTTGGGGAGTTCTTCGGAAGAACATCCAGTCGTTCTCACCGAAACTCCGTTGAATCCAAAAGTCAACCGAGAGAAGATGACTCAAATCATGCTTGAAACATTCTCGGTTCCAGCCTTGTACGTAGCTGTTCAAGCAGTCATGTCCTTATTTGCATCTGGAAGTACCACTGGAGTTGTATTGGATTCGGGTGACGGAGTCTCGCATACGGTTCCAATCTTTGAAGGATATGCTATGACTCATGGAATTTCGAAATTGGATGTGGCTGGTAAAGATTTGGATGATTATTTGGAAAAACTACTCATGGAACGTGGTTATTCTTTTCATCATGACAAGGCTGAGAGAGAACATCTTAGAGATATTAAGGAACAATTATGTTATATCGCCTTAGACTTTGAAAATGAAATGAAACAATCTCAGCAGAATCCAACCACCATGGACAAGCACTATGAATTACCTGACGGTAGTTCTGTTATTACTGTTGGCGTTGAAAGATTTCAATGTCCTGAAGTGTTGTTTCATCCAAATTTGATTGGGATCGAGTCCGCTGGTATTCATGAAATGATTTTCAGCTCGATCCAAAATTGTGATTGTCCAATCAGAAAGGAGTTGTATGAGAATGTGCTCCTGTCTGGTGGTTCCACCATGTTTAATGGAATAGCTGACCGAATCACAAAAGAATTAATCCATTTGGTCAATGACTCGACCATGAGAGTTAAGGTTGTGGCTCCTCCCCTTCGAAATTATTCTTCATGGATTGGAGGTTCGATGTTGGGTTCCATGTCTACCTTTCAATCCATGTGGATCTCTAAGGAAGAATATGAAGAGGATGGGTCAAGCATTGTTCATCGAAAGTGTTGTTGATTTATGATGACACAAGTTTGAACGTGCTTGCGAATCATAGATGTTAAGTTCTGCTTAACATTCAACTCGTGTACTGAATCAGTTTTGTCGTTAAATAACTGGCGAAGACTTGATGTTTTCATTAAAAAAATTACCGCAACATGTCGTCTTTTCATTTTATTGTTCGAGAGGCGCAACATGTCTCGTCTCACAAAGGTAAGCAATTTTGAAAGGCAATTTGTTGTTGATGCATCCTTGTCGTTATTGAATATGCATGCTACATGTACAACCGAACATGATGATCATTGTTGTGCATCATTAATGTTGATGTTGTGGTTACCCTCATGAACATAGTTTCTTTGTGGACATTCTCAGTGTTAATCATGATCCTTGTGGTTGGAATCTATGCCACTCCATGTCATGCTACCATGTGGAATATGCAAAATACGTTTGACACCTTCTCAGAGTATGACTTTTCAAACACTGTGAACATTTCAGATGTTTCACAAAATGGACTCTCAAATTATCCTCTTCAAATTGGTAGACCATTCTTGAAGGGAGAAATTCCACCTGGTTACGTTCCTGGCCTTAAATTGAATGGAGTACAGATTGATTCACAAGCAGATATTACCACTCGCTATGAAGACGGATCTGTTCGTTTTGCAGTCCTCTCTGCAGTTTTACCAAAAGTAGAAAAAGGAGGAAATGCAACCTTGTCGTTTGTTCCAGTTGTGAAAAGTGCATCATCAACTCCATGTACCATCTCTGAAATATTGACTGCATTACCAGATGCTGATGTGTCCATTAGTTTGAGTGGAAATGGAACTGCAACCTCCACAGTCAGTGCAAGAACTTTAATTTCACAAAATTTGTATTATTGGAACATCAATCAGGGTTCCATTCGATGTGAACTCGTTGTTGTGGATCATATCACCAGAAAGGCAGATTTTGGTTTGAATGGTGGTCCTAAATCTTTTCGACCAATTTTTTATTATGAATTTTGGAGAACCATTCAACGTTTGAGAGTTAGATCACTGTTTTGGAAAATTCCAATTTAGACACCTTACAAGATGTATTGTACAATGTGACCATTTCGAAAGGTTATGCAACATCTTCTACTGTAGTTTATTCTCAAAATGATGTTCAACATTTGTTTGGAGGAAGATGGACGAAAATATTTTGGTTTGGAGGAGAACCTGAATCTCGAGTGAATTTCAATTACAATCTCGATTACTTGAGTGCCACTTATTTCATTCCAAACTATCCTAAAAACAATACCCAAACAGAGAGCCAAATTGCAAACTATTACTCGTATTGGTTAAAAAAACCAAAAGGAGTGATGGAAGCAGGTATTTGGACACCTTACATGCCTCAAACAGGTATGAGAGATGACATTGGAATCATGCCAGAGTTCGTTCATGCATGGTTGACATTGGGAGATTGGCGTTATCGTGAAATTTCTCTTGTCAGTGCTGATTTAGCAGGAGGTTGGAAGAGTCATTTTCGTGAAGTTGATGCTCAACTCAAATTTGATCGAAATCAAACAGTATCAGCTATTGGTAAACCCATTTCTTTGAATGCACATCCTGGTTTATGGTTCCCTGATAATGCAGGAAAATATATGGGTGCCCTTAATGTTCCTCAATTACCAAATACAAAGAATTGGGTATTCGATGGTGCTCATCAACCTGATGCATTCTCCATTCCTTATATTTTAACAGGTGACTCGTATTACTTGGAATCTTTACAATTATGGGCTGCCAGTGGAGTCATGAGAATTAATAATGGTCAATACGGAAGAGGTATGACAGGATACGGAGGTATCAACGAACAAGTCGAGGACAAGCCTGGACATTCCGTACTCGTTGTTATGCAGCACTTTTATCTCCCGATGGTTCTCATGAAAAAGTCTATTTCACACAAATGGTTGAAGATGCCATTGCGTATTGGGAAGGTCAACGAGGAGTGAATAACACCATGTTTTTAAATCATCCAAATAGACAATGGGCAGTTAAAAACACTGCTTTTGTATGGTCTCCATTAAGATTTTGGACTCGTGATACAAACTCGAAACAAGCATCGTTATGGCAAGAATTTTTCATGATTACTATTTTAGGCATGATGAGAGATTTAGGATTTCCAACTCATGAAATTTTGAAGGAGTATCACAAAGTGGTTACCACTCATGTTGGAGCTCCAAACTATGATCCTCGTTATATGGGTTATTACTGGGCCTATGTCATGGACTCGAATCTCACTTGGTATACCTCATGGGCTGAATTTAAAACCCAAAATGATCTTCTTCAAAACGATAGGTCCTTATCAGCAGTGGATCAATTTAATATTGGAGGATTTTATGCCATTGCAGCAACCTGTGCTAGTTCATTTACCACCATGTATCCGAACGGTCCAGAAACTTGGGAATTCACACGCTCCTCAATTTATGACAAATTTGATTTGAGAGTCAATTATCGTTCTTTCAAGGTATATCCAAGAACGTTTGCGCCTCCACAACCACCTCAACCTCCTCAGCCACCACAACCTTCCTCACTGCCTAAACCATCCTCCAATCCAAAATCAAGTAACGGAACTGCAAGAACTTCCGATGCTCGTGCAATTACTAAACCGTGGAAGAGTGTTGTTATTGGAATCATTTCGATCATGACATTTCTTGTAGGATACTGGGTGTAATGATATAAAGCATGTTGTATCATTGATCATTTGACCTTTCTCTTTTGCCCTATTAGCGGGAATGGACAAGACATACAGCGAGGACCAAAATTCAAGTTGCCAGCCACTCTTTACAATCTTGAAGTTGAACCATTCTTGAAAGTAAGGGTGAACAAAAAATTCACAAATCTTCCATGTTGGTTATCCATACGTCACAAGGGAAGTGAACAAAATAAGTGGCTAGTTGGAGACACGAATCCTTGAGGATGATGACGAGCATACACCAAACATGCGAATAACGCCTCGTTTTCCCTCACCAATCAACACCATGGTGTCCAAACACGATGAAAAGAGATCTCTTGCCTCAACTTTAAGATCTTGCCAAATAGTTCAAGTTGAAACCAACAGACCACAACACTACTCCATCCTCATCCAAAAAAAACTACACAAGCATCGATGGTCCGATCTCGAGCCTTCCACATGTATCAGCGCATGACATGGCTTGTGGCGTGCATACTCATGCTGTTGCTGTCATGGGTATTCACGACTCAGACAGTGGTGTATGGACAAACTTCTTGTCCACATACACAAAGTGGTTTAATCTTGTTATCTTCACTTCCACAGTGGAATGTCGCCAACGCAGATCTGAAAATCACTCAACCTGTCAAGGTCGATCAATCACCTGGTGTCTTGCTTCGTTCCATCACTGTAGAACGTGGAGGTGAATTGATCTTTGACAATGTCAATTTGAAACTCAATGTGGAATACATTCTTGTGAAAAGTGGTGCCAAATTCATTGCTGGTTCTGCTACATGTCCAATCACCAGTAAAATTGTCATTACTTTCTATGGTAACCGAACCACAGAAAATGTCATTGGTTCTGATCCTTATGATAACACAGCGAGTGGTTCAAAGGGATTTGTTGCATGGAGTGGATCGTATTTACAATTGTATGGAGATGTGAATCGACCTACTTGGACCAATCTTGCTGAGATTGCTTGGAAAGGAAATAGTACCATTCAAGTCATGGAGAGTACTCAATGGAAAGTTGGAGACAAGTTGTTAATTACAAGTACAGGTAAGTAGTAGAGGTGTTTAAAATGACATCGTCGTTGGAATAGAATTTCACATCTATTTTGGTGAATAATGATGATTGGATTCCATGATACTTGTTTCCATTAGATTATGGTGAATTGATCGATAACTCGAAAGGATCTGGTCCATCTTGGATGTATGTCTACAAGACAAACGCATTTCCAGATCAGGTATGTTCATTGTTTCTAATACTCTCATGAATCATAACCATTTGAATGATTATCTAATTACAAATAACATTTTCCCATTGAACCTATCTTGAATGTTGTTCTCTCTTTCATGTAACAAAGAATGAAGAAAGAACCATTGTGCAAGTGATCAACTCTAAAACCTTTGTCTTGGATCGACCTCTCAATTTCACTCATTGGGGTAAAGACTATGCTCGTGCTGAAGTTGCAGTGTTAAATAGAAACATTGTCTTCCAGGGAGATGACTCTTCATTGAACACTCAATTTGGTGGTCATTTCATGATTCGAGTGTTGGAACAAGTTGAAATTTCAGGAATTGAAGTCACACGAATGGGTCAAAAAGGTGTTCTTGGAAGATATAGTGTTCACTTCCATGTGTTGGCAGATCAATCCTTTAACAAGGAACAACCATTCTTTATTAAGGATTCTTCCATTCATCATTCCTTCCAGAGATGTGTCGTGGTTCATGATAGTAATGGTCTCTTGATTCAAGACAATGTTTGTTTTGATAGTTTTGGACATCAATACTTTTTAGAAGATGGTGGTGAAATGGGAAATCAATTTATTCATGTAAGTATGAGATGATATTAATGATCGAACATTGTTAATGGACTATTCGTGTAACTAACGAATATTTGTTTGTATCTAACAATGACTGGTGGTTGATTGAAACAACAGAATTTGGGAGTTCGACCAAAACCTGTCGCGAATGGAGATCCTCTTCAAATCATTCCATCCGATCATGATGTTGCGGTCTTTTGGATTACCAATCCTAATAATACTTGGGTGAAGAATGCAGCAGTGGGAGGAAGATTTCCATTTTGGTTTACCATGCCATTGAATGTTGGAGGTATTTCAAGTGCCAAATATGGAATAAGTAATTATTATATTCGACCAAGAAGTCAACCATTGGGTGAATTCAAATACAATGTAGCACACTCTTCGAATGGAAATGGTTTTCAAGTGGATGACATGTTAAAGCCAGATGGTACCACAGAATTATCAGGTTATTCACCAAGAATGGGACCTTATGGTTATAATGTAAATCCATCGGGAAGTTCAGTGGATGCATTGTTTGACAGTTTAATTGCTTACAAGAATAGAGGTTACGGAGGTAAGTAGAATTCAATTTTTTTCAAGAAACATGTGAATAATTATTGATAACAACTATGGTTTTTTGATTTTTGAATGCACTTGTGTTGAATGATATGAATATTTCAATAGTTTGGGCAAGAGGTGGTCCAATGGTATTCAAGAATATTTCATCCTTCGACAATAGAATTGCCATGAATTCTCCACCTGGACCAAGTATTATTATGGATTCTGTATTTACTGCTGAAACAGATAATGCAGGAGAACCTTGGAGAGCGACTGATCAAGGAGGAAGATCAAGACCAGACTTTTCTGGAACCACTACTTTAACTACCTTAAAAGGATATGAAACGTACGTTGTTGTGAAACATTCATTGGTGTGACAAAATTGACTTACATGATGATTGTGTTCTAAAGATATGACAATGGTGGTCCACAGATTCTTGTCAATGTGACCTTTAGAAATTATGTTCCTAACAAGTGGAGACAAGCTGGTGCTTTGGGTCAATTGACAGATGGTCCATTCAAACATCAAAGTAAGTCTTATTCAAGTTGAAATATTTGTATGATTAATTCTTTATACTTACTGAATATCTTTAATTCCCAAAATAGCTTTAAATAGATACAGTAACTTGAAATTTGAAAATTCCAATCGTGTTTTCATCCATACCGGTTACTATGACAACAATAAGGGTACTACCTTATTAGATTTAGATGGTTCTACGACAGGACTCAAACCAGGAGGATGGATCGTTTCCAATGATTCCATTCTCACTCATGCTGCATGTTCCGTTCAACCCGATTGGAGAGGTTATTCATGTCCAGTCTCTTTGGAAGGTTATGCTCAACTCTCGATTACTAATATTGGAGGAGAATTTATTACAACGACTCCTTTTGGTTCTGATCCAAGATTGGCAAATCTAGGTGTAAGAATTCCAAGAATGATTGTTCATGACTTGACCAGAAATGTCTCAAGTGCAGTGTTGGGAGCAAGAGCCTCACAAACCACAGACCATATCATGCACAGTAATGTCATTTTGAGAAACTTTTATGCTATTCGATGGGTCATTAACATGCCAACTCCTCCTGTCCTTCGAATTGGAATTCCAAGTTCCATGAACAATGATTGGATTGTAGTGACTTTACAATATCCAAGAACAGCCTCACTGTACATTTACACCACTGCAAATAATGTTGAAAAACCATTGAGACCAGTGAACTCATTGGAAGAATTAGTTCAAGATCCAACCACTTATTATTATGATGAGAAGGGTGAACATCTCTACTTGTATTTGAGAAATCGAATTGGAAGAGGATGGAGTGAACGATGGGGATTCCCATTCTATTCCTATGATGGAAACTATGTCTATGTCAATACAACATGTCCTAATCGAGTGTGTAGTGTGGATCGTTATGATTTACCAACCAATGCACAATACTTTACCAAAATGTATCATCGTGAGGATCGTTTTGCAGGTGTTTTGAAACCTGTCGTGAATGGTGCTCGTGGAAATGGAGTGATTTTAGCTGCTTTATTACCTAATAAGAAGACATTGGATGTTGTCGTGCATCATGATTTGACTTTGGTTGCAAAAGAATTGAAATTTGGTTTGGGTGATCCTAAAACAGGTGTTGAGGAACGATATTTGGGTCAACCTGGAGTGAAATATTCACCTTATTCCATTTCAAGATTCTCCTTAGATTTGTCCGTGGATGATCTTATAGCAGTATTGAAAGGTCGTTTCTTTGTCAAACTCTCAACCTCAGAATATCCAGATGGTCATTTGAAAGGACATTTGTATTGTAATCAAGAAACCAATGCCAAGGGAGAATACATGTGTTCATTACCTCCACCAGTCGCTGCAGCTCAACCTTGTGATCCAGCACCACCTGATGCGTATCATATTTACAATGAAGCCAATGATCCTTCTCAAAAAACAGGATGGTATTTCAGTTATTATAACCATAGTGCTGATGTGGCTATGGGAGTCTATAGTATTGGAAGTAGAAATTATACGACAGCACCCATTTGTGGAGAGTCTTCTCTGTTCTTTGGTCTTCAACGAGGAGGTGCCGTGTTTGGAAAGGTCTTTTCTCCCACAGATCCACGTTATCCTGCCAATATCATTAATTTGAGTGTTTACAAATATTATGAATTTTTTGTAAAGGCTTTAACTCCAGGAGAATTGAGATTGAATGTCTACTTTACCGAAGTGAGAGACAATACTCAGAGAGACACGACGAGCCTTCCCGTGGATCCCAAATACGTTCAACATTTCAAGATGGATCATACGAGAGTGACTCGGGTTCGAATCCCAGTGACCGATTTACCTTTCACCAATCGAACCTCACTCAACGCTATTCAACGAGTAGGATTCTTAGTGAGTGGAGGAGTCTATCGAGAATTCTTAATTGATAACATTCGATTTGTGAAGGAAGATGTGGATACCTTTGTTGCACCAGGTGATATTCAACAATCTCAAGTGGTCGGATTGCAAGTGGAAGGTGTCAACCCAGATCCAGATCCATTGAGAATGAGACAACACTTGGAAAGTATTCCAGTCATTCCAGTCGAATCGAGCGCTCCAGTCCAACCAAAGACATCCAATTCAAAGAGAGCAACACCATCGACAAGTAATGCCAATTCGAAGATGCTTGGTTACATGCTAACTTTAAAGAATCAAATCTTGCTTTGTGTTTTCATGGGCATTTTGGCTATCATGATGTGATCATGGATGTAACTCAATAATTGGCTTGGAATGAATAAATCCAGAAACAGTTGGTTACAAAGAAGACAAGATGTTGTGTGCACGTCATTTTCAAAATACACCTTCAATACTTTTCTTTACTCGTTCAACTGGATGTATGGAATGCAAATTTCCATGTTGATTTTTTTAAAGATACTCATATGATGTCCAATGATGGATTTTCAGTGCTTTTTGACACTTGTGGCGCTACTCTTTGAATTCAAACCCTCTTTCATACATTTATCTTGAGCAAAATCATCTTCGTTAAGGTGCCTTGATTATTCATGTCGACAATTGCAAAGGCATTTACTTCACGCGATTAAGCCCCAGTCCTATTTTTAAAACAAAATTCAAAAAAAATCCAAAAATCACAAAAGTGCTGCCAAGGCGCACACAGATTCCGAACAGAGGTACACTCCCATTCATCATCATTGGAACAACAAGAACGTACGATACGGAACGATCATAATCTAAAGAACCTATTAAATTGGTAGTAATTTTTTCTCAATAGGCAAGTCCGCACAAGTCTCCTCAAAAAAGACCATCTATTCATTGTGTGCGTTTGGCAAACTCATTACTGTCTTGAGACTCTGCTCCAACCATTGTAGTTATTTTCTATAATTTTCCATCCAACTAGTTTCCGAGGCATATTTTGCCAAACAGTAATATCATCTCTCTCTCGATATTTTCTCTCTTCTTATTGGCTCTCTCTCCCTCTTCTGATCTAAGTTACTTGTTTCCCTAATTTGTATTTATTCATATTTGACAATTTACTTGCTCTCTAACTTTTTCAAATTTCTTATGGTTAAATATTCTTGTCCAATTTATCATCATCATCGTCGTATCACCACTATCACTACCACACCCGCTTTTAATTACCCCATCTCCTCCTTCATCGTCAGCAACAACACCATGGCTACTACAAGCGCCGATAACAATGCAAACTCTGTGAGTATTCAACACCACCCCCAAAGTACTTCCTCCACTTCATCGCAACTGAATCATCAAAAATCTCAAGTCACACCTACCGATAAACAATTCAACGTCACCAATACTGCTATTGCTACAAGTAATGCAATTCAAGATGAAAATTCTCATCATAACTTTGATTGGGATGCACAAACTGAGGAATGGAATATTAATCAATATGGATCAAACTTGGATGAACGTTCCTCACCGGATCGACCTGCTGAAAGACCTACTCGATTCTCTTCATCGCCTTACTCATCTGGTTTAGAATCGCCGTCTTCTCCAATGGAAAATACCAGAAGGCGTACAATTGAAAAACAAAACAAGATGAAATCATCGAGAAAGCATGAAAAAACGAAAATTATTAACAAAATTAAATCATTTTATGAAATAGGAGAATGGGACGAGGAGGATCAAGACTATGATGATTTTTCAGAAGAGGAACAACCATCAAACAATATCCAAGATCGATCTCGAATGATGATTAATGAAGTTGATGAACTAATTGAACGACTGCTGGAAATTAAAAGGAATTTGGAGAAAAATTGTAAATAATAAATAATTCATTGACCTAACAGAAGAATAACGTGCAGTAAGAGTATTTGATGTATTTGAAAAGGATTTTTGTGGCTCTGAGAATAGGCAGACAATTACAGCTTTCGTTTCTTGGATTTGAGCTGGTTGGCATAAAATGATTCCTCCTTTTCTTGTCTTTTTAAACTTTCTTCCCTTCTTTTTTCCATGATCTTTGCTGTAATCTCTGTTTTCTTATATTTAGGGTGAGTTTGGTCAAGATGGAAGTCAGGATCAAGTAAAACATCACCAAATCTTTCATCTCCAATGATTAAGGGAGCTTCTTCAGCTTTGGTACCCTTCTTTGAAGAAGTTGGATTTTTGTTTCTTCGTCTTGATCGTTCCTTATCTGTGTCACGCTTAATATCGAATCCTTTTTCTGCATTGTAATCAGCCATGATAATTTCCAAAGTTTGTTTTCTCTTTTCTTCCTCTTCTTCCTTTTTCTTTTGTCGTTCCTTTTCTCTCTCCTTCAACTTTTGTTCAGCCAACAAGTCATCCTCATCGATAGACTCCCCATCTTCATCTTCTCCAGGAGTGGTACCATCAGAATTCAAGATTTTCTTCAAACGCTCTTTTCTTTGTTGTTTTTTCTTTTCCTTTCTTCTTCTTTCTGCGGTTTCCCACCATGTCTCATTTTCAACTTTCTCTTTTTCTTTCTGTTTGTTGACCACTTCCTTTTGAATAGTATCTTTCAAGCCCTCGTGCAAAACGAATTCCATATTTTGAGAAGCGTCACCATTTAATAGTTGCTCCTTTTCTTTTTCTTTCTTCATGGCATATTTTAATAAATCTTTGTATTTCTTCTTTTGTTCTTTTTTCTTTTCCCTCTTTTCCTGTTTTCTTCTACGCTTGTCTTCTTCATCTTCTTTAATATCTTTTGGAGTTTCTTCATCATTTTCTTCTTCAGAGGAAGAAGAGCTCGACTCGTCATCTGAGTTGGCAATAAATTTCATAAGGGCCTCCTCATTAATATCTTTAAAGTCTTTCTTAAGAATTTCTCTTTCTGGATCGTCAGCATCCCATGTTAAATCAATTGAAGAAGATTTCAATGCTTTAGAATATATATTTTGCTTTGGTGTATAATCTGCTGGCATGGATGTGCATTGATTTCTGTGAAGTTCAACGAAAATTTTCAGAAGAACAGTTAAATTACACTCTAAATCAACACTTACTTGACTTGTCTTTTTTCAAACGAAATATCATCAGGAATAAATCTTAAATCCAAAACGACAGAGGTGGATTCAAATTCAAAGCCATCACATTCGTTGTATAAATATACAGCTGTTTGAACGCTGTCACATTCAACCACTGCAAAATAGTATTTCATCTTTCTCAATTCATATTCTCTAACCTTCACTGGATCTAACATGGATGTATCTCCCTCAGCTTCTTCTACAGTTTGAGTTAGTTTGACATCTTCACTATTCTTTTTGCCTCTTCTTTTCACGAGACGATTTTTTCTATTGTCTTCCTTTGCTTCTTTAATTTTTTTCTTGAGCTCTTCTTCCTTTTCTGTTTTGTGATCAAAGGAGAGACGAAATTAAATACAATTTAAATACAATTTAAAATACGTACGTTTTTCTTCTTCTGTGTAGTGCAAGCTTCCAGGTCCATGAATAGCCTCATATTCGAGTTGTTGTTTACCAAAGTCTGATAAATAAACTGTTACTGAGATTACTCTTCCAGAGCTTGGTGCCATTGAAGAAAATAAAACATAGAGATCTGAACTGTCTACAAGATTCCAATCGCAATTCATCACTGCAAATCTCTTTGTTTCATTGCCATCTTCAATCATTTTAATATCCTTTTGGTCTTCGACATATTTCTATTCATAAATGTTAATAATTAATCCACATTGAGCAACAAAATCAATGTCATTAAAAAACAATGAATTATTATCAAACATATAAAATTACATACATCCCACAAGTCTTGTTGCTCTTGCAAAATTTCAGGTTCTGCTTCATCTACACTCGTTCCCACTGCTCTCAAAATGGTAGCATCTTCATCATCAAAATCATAGGGATCATCCCATTCTTCATTCCATTCAACATTTTCTAATTCTGGTCTTCCTTCTAGAGATTCCAAAAATTTATCAAAACTGATTTCTTCATCCTCTTCTTTTTCATCCTCATCATCACTAGCCAAGATATCTTCCTTAGTGATCCTGGATGAAGAATTGTTGTCGGAATTGTTCTTTCCGAGCATTTCTTTGGCTCCTTCAATGGAATCATCGCTGTCATAATCGCTGTCATGGTCCTCTTTACCCTCTTCTTCTTCCATTTCCTTTTTAGCTTGCTTCAATTTAGCTACTCTAAGAGCCATCGGATCCTTTTCAAAATTATAAATATCTTTGAGAGTGTTCTTGATAGCTTGCTCTCTAAATCTTCCTGATGCATCTCTAGACTTTTTCAGCATGGTAAAGGATGGATCTAAAATTTCATAGAGACGTGGATCATTAATCACTGTCCTTTTTTCAACGGGTAAGAATTTGGGATCATTATGCATCATGGCAAAACGAGGATCCACATCTCCGAAAGAAGTTTCATTTGTGGTTTCGTTCTTGTTTTTGAAATTCCGAGGTTGATGATCCGAGGATTTCTTCCTCTTAATTTTATCGAGCAATTGCCTTTGTTGAGACATTTTTTTACAGCACCAGAACCTTCAACAAAAATGAAGAATGCATTGAGTGTTGGTGATTGTTGAAATGAATTGAGGATTTGGGGTTTATTATAATGAAACATGTAAAACAAACGTGGTAGCAAAAAGTAGAGGCCACACGAACATTAATGATCTAAGGAAATATTATGGGTGCCTATAATCACATTGCAATCTCGTTAAGACAGGATGCTCTTCTGTTTACAATTTGTTATTAAATAACTTAATTATCCATAAGCTACTCTCGACTTCCATTCTCGCCATGATTATTTTTCATTGGAACAAGGATTAAATCTTCCTTATTCACAATAGGTGGTTTGGAATATAGATTCTTTGAAATCTCGCTGAAAGATGGTAGACGTTTCTTCAAAGGCTGTGCATGGTAGTTCATAAAGTGGGTTGTATGGCTGCCAGATGATGGTGCAGTATTTGTTCTTCCATCACTATTGGCAGCTGTCAAACTTTTTTCTGATGCAAACCGACACAGCATGGAGGCTGCAAGAAAATCATCTTGAAATTGGTCTTGACTTTGGTTAGAAACCTCGTTGAATAGACGGTTGCTTTGACTTGAGGCACTATTTGGCTCGTTGTAGGATTGAGAGAAGGCGTTGTATTTGTTGTAAGTTGAAAAGGCGTCATTGCTGTTTTCGGGATTGCAAATAAGATAGTGATGATTCATGGATGAATGGTGATGATGATACGAGGGCTGTTCGGCTAGAGACAAGTTAGAGCGAGAAGATGAATTATTTGGATGGAAGTATAGTTCGTGAGTTGTAGGTGTGTTTGTTGTTGTAGTCGTGGTGGTTGCATGGATGGTCTTTTTGTTTTTCATTGCTCCTTCTCGATGAGGCTTTCCATCGTTTCGTTCATAGCTGGAACTGTCATCCTCTTCATCGTGAATCACGAGCTGATCCTCTTCTTCTTCCTCTGATGAAATGTATTCCTCTTCCTCTGAATCTGCTGTTGTTGTTGGAGAAATGGTGTTTGATTGAGGATGTTCTTCTTGAACTCTCATCACCCCGCTAGTGGTTGAAAAGCTCAAAACTTTTGGTTGGCCTTTTTCGGAAGAAGAAACCAACTTTCTCTTCTTGGTGCTCACTAATGATGGTGCTTCGTGTTCTTCTTGTGAGTCATAGAATTCCTCTTCACCTGATGAAGAATACTCGGGTTCCTCAGAGGACTCTCCATCTTCATTGGAACGATTTCTCTTGGATGATGAAGGAGAGCCTTTCTTCTTCTTTGGAGTTACGGTTCGAATGTAGGGCCATCGGTTCTCATATCCCAAACTGTAAAACTTTCTCTTGAGAGTAGAGACTGATACTCCGAGCTAGTGTTGGTAGTACAACCATCATCATATTGATTGAAACAAGTTGTCAAATCATGTGTTGAGATCATTAACGGTTTTTGAAACGGTAAAAACAACATACCTTCTTCGCTGCTTGTGTTTGAGTATACACGAAATACTCTCTGATGGTTTCATAGGTGAGAGAATCCAATTTACGATGTCTTCCCTTCTTCTTTGAAGAACTGGTGGAATTGGATGAATGACTGGAGTGTTGTGGGATGAGTGCTGGATCCATATTTATGATCTAATTAAACAAATTGATAATGGCTGGTTGGTTTGCAAACAATAAACGATGACGATGGTCGTATGGCAGCGTGATGATCTCCAATAACAAGGGAGCAGCAAAGGAACTTCCTTGATGAAACGGTGTGCGAGCTAATTCACTCTGTTGCGACAGAGACAAAACAAAAAACAATTACAAGTGTGTTATTAAACAAGTTGGTGCTGTATATTGACAGTGTTTGCAATGTCCTTCTATGAGGGAGATGCACAATTACAAATAGTCGCAGCACACACCAGAGGTGTGAAGAAGTATTAAAATATTTTTTTTGTTTTTTAAAAATCTCGGAATGTGAGGTCAATTCCGTAAAAATACCTCCATTGTCAAGATCAAGCAGGTGATCAATTACTCGCTGATCATCCTATCGTCATGCTTGTTGGCTCCTTGACGTTGTGGTTTCGTTGAAAAATTCTGAATTCATCATGAGAGACGTCGTTCTGGGGAATTTGGTGTCTCTGATGCCAACGAAGACTCTTTCTGTGCGTTTGTGTTCGCGCCAAAATTTTGTACAAACCAAAACAAAAGAAAATGCAACAACATGGTAGGTGGGATCCGATATCGTTTTTCTATTCATGGACACTTGAATAATCATACAAAAACCTTGTTGAAAATTGTCGATATGACAGCATGGCAACAACCATACGTAAATATCGTTAAACTTTGCTCCGAGAAGTCAAAGCAATACTCATCCGAAGGAGGAGTGAGTCAAGAAATGGATCGGGACATTGGAAAAACAGTGTTCCGAATTAAGGGATCAGTTCCTTCCAACAACTACGTTTCATTTCCTTCCAACATTCCCAAAAACAAAGGAGACGTTCTAGGCTTGGTAGGGCAATTTTGCTATGTTCAACTTCGAGCCTCCAAGGAAGTATTTGTGTTCCATATCGATATCATGACTAAGGATGAAATGACGATTCGATTTTCTTTTGGAAATGTGTACAAGCAAGTTAAGGTAAGTGCAATTGTACTCTGTGACCTTTTCTATAGAGTCGTCCTTTCAACAGAAAACTCATAATACTGTGTACATTCCTGTGGATTATCTAAATGACAAATGGACTACAATTGCAATTGATTTTAAAGCACTTGTACAAACTCATCTAGAAAAAGTGTTTAAATGCGTGAGAGGAGCTGTCATTTGCGCAAATCTATCTCTAAAGAATATTTTCACTTCAGACAATTTATATACATCAGAAAACCTTGCCAAAGACTTGTATCTGCCAATTCATAAAGGAATGAATTGGAGTGACGAGTATGATTGGTTTTGGATCCCTGGAGAACCAGCAAATGTGAAATTAGCATGTATTATTGATCCAGACACCCTCAAAAAACCATCAACAAGTTTTAACACAAGTAGAACTTCATCTGTTGGTTCAACTGGTTCCAAACGATCATCAAAAATAGCTGGAGTTCTTTCCAACAAATCAATGCTAACACCAAGTCCAATTATGGAATGCAAAAGATTCATTGGATATAACTCTCATTTCAACTCAAATCTATGTTGGACATTGGATTCTGCATATTGTTTATTTCCATGTGGATCCACTATTATCAAAATGGACGTAAATTCTGGCAAACAAACAGCATTCCAAGGTCACACTCATTTTGTAACTTCTTTGGCGACTGATTTTAAATGCAGTATCATGGCTTCTGTTCAAAACACAATACCGTTAATAAGAATATGGGACGTTGAGACTTGTCGATGTCTTGCTGTATTGAAAGGTCAAGAATCGGAGATAACATGCCTCTGCATCTCTGATAACGGAAATGTGTTAATGACTATTGGAAAAGACAAGTCTTTAAAAACACAATTCATCATTTGGGATATTTCTAATGTGAAAAATTCTGAAGAGATTCCGATCATTTCAAAATATGTTTGTGATTATTCAGTGAAAAAGGTCAGCTTTGCTCCAGGAGAAGACACCAAGTTCGTGACCTGTGGATTTGAAAATATAAGGTTATGGAGATTAAAGGGAGGAATAGTTAGAGGATGCTCGCTCTCGCTTGAAAATTACAGCCTTACAAAACAAAACTTTTTAGATATTGCGTTTGAAAAGACATTTGTCTCGCCTCATGTAAGTGTTCACCACAACAACAGTATTTTTTGGTTGATATTTTTATTGTTGAAACAGCTTGGAGATAAGGATCATCGTTTTTATTTAGGTACTGAATCTGGAGCCATTTATCAAGTTAATTACACAAAGAGGATCGTTGAGTGTGTGTTCCAACTTCACAACAGTGCTATTAATTCTCTGTATATTAACGAGGGAATATGTATCACTGGATCTTCTGACAAGTACGTTCGAGTATGGCCTCTTGATTTTTCAGATTTTTTCATTGAGGCAGAGCTTGAAAATGCCGTGATGAGCGTGGTAACATCAAAAGATGGATTTAAGGCACTCATTGGAGATTCTAATGGCTCCATAGGAATTCTTGAAATTAGTTCACAAAAATATAGATCAGTATTACGTTCTCACACCAAACAAGTGCTTGATGTTGCCTCGGATCCCAACAGAATGGAATTTGCAACCGTTGCATTAGATAGAACCATCAGAATATGGGATTTAACAACTTTAAATCAGAAATATCAGTTTGATGTTGACGGTGAAAATCCCATTTGTGTGGACTATCACAAATTTGACCATATGATGGCATGTGGCTTTGAGAGCGGAATTGTACGAATATTTGAGGTTCCTACCACTCAAGTGTTAGAAGAATACAAAGCTCATTTAACAGATGTTCTGGCTATCGCATATACCCATGATTCACGATGGTTAATTACATCTTCTAAGGAATCGATCTGTGTTTCAGATACTAGGCACATGTATCAACCTGTAAAAGTAATACCCTATGCCTGTGAATGCAAGAATGTGAACCTTTCAATGAGCAGAGATGGAAAATATTTCTCATTCATCTCACCGACCAGAAATCTTATTCATGTGTACGGATGTAACGATTTCGAAGAAGTGTTCCAATTTGAAACTCCAACTGACTTCTTTGAGAGCATTGTTTTCTCCGCAGACTCAAAAGAAATTATTGCATCAACCTCGGACTCCAAGTTAATGTCCATATGCTTGGAAAAGGGAGAAATAATATCTGAAACTGTAGGTAATAGTTGCATGTTCATAACCTGTTAACCCGTTCATGAATTTGCATTTCACTTGATTCGTTTTAACTCTGAATTGTAAAAATGAATTTACAACATTCAGGAATATGCTCCCAAACACAATGCAATAACAATGGATACCAGCCAAAATGGTAAATACTTGGTATGTGGAGGTGAGGAACGATTATTAAGAGTGTGGAATTCAAAAGACCTTGCCAATTTCAGTTGTCAAAAGTTTGTTGGCCACTCGGGAAACATTAAGAAGGTGATATTCACCTCAGATTGTGGACATGTCATTAGCTGTGGTGAAGATGGAATTCTGGTATGGACATTCCTCGGTGATAAATCTAGAGATATCAATTTAATGATTGAGAGTCATTTAGAGCGAAGAATGATGGAAAAAAAGAAAGAGGAAGAGTTTGAGATTGATGAGCTTGCTGCTCAATATCGAGGTGTGTATGAGAAAACGTATGACGATCGAAACAAACGAGCATTGGAAGAGCTAGAAGCAATTGACCCAGCCATTGTTAGAGATGTATCTGCAAATCAGTCTCATGATTACCATGATCATCATCATCTTGTTCATACGGATCGACCTTTTAAGAAATACATGTTCAATAGAAAACCATCCAAACTGATCAACTCGGATCGAAATTTACCACGAGAACCCTCCAAGTTAACACTTGCAAGAGTATGTGGATACAGTAGTCACGCAAGAGAAAATTTGATATGGCTTGAAAAGCAAGGATCTTTAATTTATACATCTGGAAATGTGATAATCATTGAAGATATTGCCACAAGAGCACAACAATATCTAACAGGTCATGAACATGAGATCAATATGATTTGCATTCATCCCAACAACAAGATTTTGGCTTCATGCGGAGGAGCGAAAGGTATTACATTAGATTCACCAATCATTTTCTGGAATTTAGAAACCAAATCTCCAGTCAAGAGATTGGAATACCACAAGTGGGGTGTTCTAGCAATGGATTTCTCACACGACGGCAAATACTTTATCAGTGTCGGCATCAATGAGTACGATGACAAGTGTGTATTAGCCATATGGTCTGTCGAAACAGGCAAATTAATCGCCAATACTTTGGTTGCGGAAGAAATTTATGTAATCAAATGGTTCCCAAGCTCTCCTTCCTTTGAATTTATCACGTGTGGTAAAAATTCCATCACATTTTGGTATCTCAACCCTGAAGGACAACTTCTCATGTCTCCAGCCAAAGTTGATAAGCAACTGTTGGGATCACCTGAAGATCCTATTCATTTTACTTCTATTGGATTTAGTGAAGATTACCGAAGTGCATGGATTGGAGCTTCGTCTGGTTTTATTTTAGCGTTTAACTTGGAGACGAATGAACTCGATCATAAATGGATGGCCGTTCATGATTCCTATGAAATTGATCACATTTGTTGGAGAAAGAATACTATCATTACTTCAGGAACCGATGGATCTGTAAAGAGATGGAAATGCACCAAGAAGGACAAACAATATCATATTGTATTGAGGGAACAGATGGAGTTAGATGGTCCAATAATTGCTTCATGTTTTGATGAAAAAGCTAATCAAGGAGTTGTTGGTACCTGTAAAGGAACCATTTGGTACATTCATTGGGATCAACAGCAATGCATCAGAATGATCACAAGTCATTCACATGTTGTGAGTGGTTTAGCCAAAGTCAATGGCTACGTGACGAGCAGCTCCCATGACGGAACGGTTCGAGTATGGACCAAGTTTATATCGAACAACAATCTTTCTCTCAATCAAGTATTGGAAATGAAACGAGGTGAAGATGTCCATGTGGCAGCACTTTGTATGGACAAGAGCTCAACAAGTAATCTCGTTGTCGTCGGGTATAGTGAAGGAACCATATTTGTGAATTATTTAAATAACTTGGAAAACGTTTTAAAGAATAAGATCAAGCCACATGAGGAAGCTTTGACTTGCATTTTGGTTACTCCATCCAATAGAATCATTACAGGAAGTGCCAATGGTATTCTCACTCTTGTAGACAATTTGGTGAATTTAACATCAGATTCGACTTTGGCACTTCCAACAGAATTTTTAGAGAATCGATTTATTTTCCTTCGAGAATTCCAAGGACTTCGAATTTGTTCACTCGATTACGATCCTAAAACCAAACGATTTGTAAATACTACTTGTACAGGTTTAGTGTCAGTTTGGAATGACACAGATTTAACACAAATTGCAAAATTTGCTCCTCACATTTACACTAGAAAAGTGGCAGAAAAGGAAAAGTATGAAATTGATGTTATTGCCAAATTCTCTCCTTTTGAATCAGAGGTGTTATTAATTACAGCTCCTTCTAAAACTTGTCCCAAGATTGAATTCTACAATTACAAGAGAGAATATTGTTTGAGAGTGGTCGAGATGCATTGCTTTGCAAATTGTTTTGCAATTTCACAAAAACATCGTTGGATTGCATTTGGAACACGCGAACGACTAGTTGTATTAATGAATTATTCTACAGGTGAATTTGAAGAGTATGAAGGACACGGCGATGGTATTCAATCCATTATGTTTGACGATGAATGTGATGAATTGTATTCTGCTGGTTTTTCAGATACCTTTGTTTGGAAATTGTCTCATACTACCAACACCAGCATCATGCAAGTGACTCCAAGCAATAAGTGAATATCATAATGAAATTTAATACTGTCATTGACATAACTGTTAGTGAATATCATAATTAAATTTAATACAGTGTTCTTGTTTTTCAAAAAAAGTGAACAGAAAAGTTCATTTCAAAAAATGTTTCCAAGACGAAATCGATACTCCTCCAATCATGATCCTCCTCGATCTGACAATCTCTTCTCATTGATCACTGAAGGTCCATTCCGACTCTCCATTCATGATAATCCATTGAAAAATGTAAGACATTTAGGTGGAGTCATGAATATTCATTCCGATCGTCCATCAAACCCAACTCAATTCGCTTGTTTACCTTCCGAATTGTTCGGAGTGATTTTAACCTTCAGTGGAATACAATGTCTATCTCTTTTATCCACTCTCAATCGTACCAGTTTTGAAAAATTTGAAAATGAAGATGATTTGGTATACAAAATATTATTACAGACCTTGATGAAAAAGGATGAAGCCCATGTCGAACAAGTACGTGAGAAATTAGGATTCACTTATAAATATAGCTTGAAACAATTAGTAAGAAGATGTAACCGAGCGTTGGGAAATGGAAATTATTTATTTGATACGTTGCACTTGTCCAGTGGAGATGAAGAAGAGGAATATGGTGAAGTAGCAAACACAACAGAATTAGAAACAAAATGTGAACTTTGTCAGGTGAAAATTCCAGAATTTGAAATATTATCTCTAACACAATGTACAGTAGAAATGAATGTCTATATTGGAAAACCTTCCAATGGAACCTTAATCAAGTTAGGAAATGAAAGTTTCACGTTGAGTTTAGAAATGGAAGATTCCATATTGAAGCTAGTAGAGAATTGTTCAACCTTGCTCGCACACCAATACATCTGTTTTAATGAATGGACTCACATTGCAATTATCACAAGTCCTTCTCCTTACTCGTCCAATTACTACTCTCTTAGATTATTGCTAAATGGAATTGAAATGAATGTTTTAGATCGTTGTACAGCACCTTCAGATGTGACTCGAGTGGATTTTTTGACGTGTTGGCAGAATCAAGAATTGAAAAAACCATTGATTGGAAAATTCACAGAAGTACGAGTCTGGAATTGTTCAAAACAAACAAATGATATCACAAAAAACATTCAAGCTCGATTGAATCCATTTGTAAAAAGTGTGAATATGGATCATTTAATGCTTTACTTTTATCCTGACTTGGAAGATGAAGATTGCGAGACTTGTGTGAAAAACAAATCTCCTCTCAAGGACATGAAGAGCTTGGACAATCATTTAATCATTTCTCCAAATGTAAAGATTCGAAAAATTGAAGCTAGACAGCCAGGATTTTTTGACGATCTTTGTAACATTCTCTAATCTCAATGAACCTTAAACACTTTTCCATTTCACACCTTGTGAACCCTTTTTTGAACCTTTACAAGTTCAAATTTAAAAAATTTAAGAAATTTATTCAAGTTCAAATTAAAAAAAATGCAACAACAACCACCGCATCAAGATGATCACGCAGGAAATGATGATGGATCATCCACTTCCATTCAAGAAGGAGATCCAACAGCAACACTATCATCATCTGCTTCGGATCAAACCTCAACATCGGAACTTGCTCTCACTGAGGAAGAAAATCAAATTGTTTATACCACGACAAGCCTTGTGCTGCGAGCCATTGATTTAAAGTACCGTATTTTAAATTTAGCGAATTCACAGATCAGTGATAAGATTATGAATACGATTCAAGATGTTTTGAATGGATATGTTCGTATCGAGTCGTTGACTGCAATTTGGGAATTAAATTTGGCACAAAATTCAATTTCCATATTGCCAACATGTTTAACAATGTTTACAAGAGTAGAACGTGTTTTTTTGAATGAAAATCAATTATCAAGCATTCCAGAAGATGAAATTTTGACAAAATTAGTGAATTGTAAAATAATATCTTTTTCAAACAACTTGTTAACAAACTTTCCCATCAACAATCCTTTTCCAAAATATTCACTTACAAAATTAACTCTTTCCAATAACCAAATACAATTCTTACCTAAATACATTGGAGAGTGTGTAAATCTAGTTGAAATTGATCTATCTCACAACAACTTGAAGACCATTCCAAAAGAAATTGAAAATTGTAAAAAACTCATGCGATTATTCATTGATCATAACCCTCTAATCTGCTTACCGTACGAACTACGGAATCTTTCAAAATTAAGAACCTTTCGTTGTGATTCATTCAACATTGAAGAACGAAAAAGATTTTACCAAAAGATGTGTCTGAAACATGACAGCACCTTGTTAGAATTTGCAAAAAGATTTATTGTAAACTCAGATCATCAATTATGTCATGGAAAATGTTGTCAAGTACAACATGATGAAGAATCATCTCCCATGCGAGACATTCATGACATGGACATGAGCGATGATGATCATGTTGGAGCAATTACTATTGCTTCATCGACGACAAGTGTTTCTTCATCTCGTAACAAGGAAACGTCTTTTGAATGTTCTTCCTCACAACATTTCAAATTGAATTTTGATCTATTGAAAGCTCATTACAAATCTACTGTTCCCAAACATTTGTTGGATGACCTTATTGATCACACACGAATGAATTGTTGTTCTACTTGTAATCAATTCATGTCTCAAAACACAGGTATTAACTTTATTGCATTATCAAAACTTCCAACCAAGAGCAAACATCAACTTGAGCAAATTCCATTGTTTTGTAGAGCTTGTAGCACAGAATGCTTTTCTAACTTTCCAAATAAAATTATTTGAGTCAATACCGTACCACTTGTGTGTTTTGTAAAAAAGTATGTTAATACCACGAGAACGACATGTGTGGAATGATTCAAAGAGAAAAAAAGTTAATGATGTTTGACAACTGACATTCAAAAAAATCAAAACAAAAAAATTGATTCACAATGGTCACCCTCACAGATGAGCAACGAGAACAAATTCAAATTCTCGAATCCTTTCTCGAGCAAGGATTGATGGATCCAGAAGATTTCGGTATGTTATCATTCCAATTTCTACTTTGAGATCCGAAAGGAAGATTTCAAAAATGTTTTCACACACAAACGACAATTTTTCCATGATCCAATCTCCTCCTTTCTCACACTTTTTCTCACACACTCGATCATCATTGTTAAAATTAATTGTTTCAAATCTATTTATCGTCATCATGAAATTCCAATGAAATATATAAAATTTAACCATTAATGTTCCAACACGACCCAACAACACATAGAGGAAGAAAAGAAGAAAATTCTCAGTGGTGGATCCATTGCCGAAGAAGACGAAGATGACAGTCCAATCGTCACATCTTCCAAATTTGGTAATACTCAATCCAAACCATCGACCAGTGTTGCTAATAACAACAACAACAATTCCTCCTCTGCCACCACCACCACCCCAACAACAACGACACAACGTAAACACATTGTCAAAGAAGATTCAAGTTCAGACGATGAACCTGTCATTAAATCATCCTCCAGTCATTCAAGAGGAATTGGTGTGAAATCTTCACCTGTAGTCGTTGTAAAAACTTCAACAAACAACAAACCAACAGTTGTGAAATCTTCCAACAGCAACATCAACACTCCATCAAGAACAGTGAATACTCATTCAAAATTGTCAGATTATGACACTTCAGAGAGTAATGATGATGACAATGAAGCAGTTGCTGTCGTGAGTGGAAATGATGATGATGATACAACTTCTTCCGATCGAGATTTTATGAAAAATATTGGTGGAGGAAGAGTCGTTGCCACGGGTCGAAAAATTTTACAAAATTCCTCAACCGAAGACGAAGAGAGTGGTGACTCACAAGATGAAATTATTTCCAAGATTGGAAGGAATGCAATGGTGACCTCTTCTGTGAAAAAGAATGAAAAGAGTGGATATCAATTGAATTTAACAGCTCAAGAACGACAAGTATTAAGTGCTGAACAAATTCAACAATTGGAAAAGATGGCTCATTTGGTGGATAGTGAAATTTTGTCAGAAGATGAATTGTTGTCAAAAAAGGAAAATTTGGTGAGACAACAATTACGTAAAATTGAAGAAGAAAAGAAGAAGGAAGAAGAAAGAAAAAGACAAGAAAAAGCTACTGTCGTTACGAAATCGATCAACACAGCCAAGACAAGTGTTTCCAATGTTCAAGATCAATTGAAAAAACTTGAAGATTTATTCAATGCTGGAATTTTAACAGAAGAAGAATATCGTGCGAAAAAAAGACAACTTGTACCTGAAGAGAGTTCTGAGGATGAAGACGAGGATGAAGATGAGGATGAAGATGAGGAGAAGGGATTAAAATTGAAATTAACTCCTCTTCAACGTGATCAATTAAGCAAATTAGATTCTTTACTCGAAATGGGTATTTTAGACAATGATGAATACGAAGAAAAGAAGAGACAAGTGATGGGTTTGAAGAATGAAAAGGCACCTTCTAAAATTATTACCAAAAAACAAGAGGCCAATAAGGAATTTGGTGACGTGATGGAAATGGTTGTTTTCATTTCAAATATTAGAGCCAGTCCTGAGAAACCATTCAAATTGATTTATGAAGGAGATCAAGTCATGTATCAACGAGAAGAAGATTCAGCTGCTGGGAAGACCATTATTGTGAGAGGTGAAGTTCCAAAAAAGCCAAAAGAAGATACCATTGTGTCATTGTGTGTCGATATGCCTCAAATCAATATTCACACTCAACAAAATTTCAATCTTTCAGAACATGGTCGATTCATCCAAATTCAAATTACTCAAGAGGGCAATAGAAATAATATTAGAATCAAACAACAACATAATGACTCATTTGATACTGAACAACAATTGGGTGACAAGAATGACGAGATGAGTAGAATTTATGTTCACTATTCTGGAATTCCTGCAAGTGAAGAAAAACCATTCAAGTTATGGATTGGTGACATGCTCGCCCATCAAATTACAGAACCAATGACTAAAAGTCAAAGTGGTGTGCTTAGAGGAGCTATTCCAAAAATTAAGAGATGCAATCCTTCTACGGAGTCTCATCACGATGTGAAACTCAAGATTCACATGCCAATGCTTGATCCTGAAGAAAAGGTTTATATTGTCAACTTGACTGACAATGGTGATCATGTTGGAATTTACTTGGATGGTTCAAAAATTATTGTTAGACAAGAGAAAGACAAGGTTGATTCAGACAGTCCAATCTTGGAACCTGTAAAATCTAAAAAATAATTTAATGTGTTTTTGAAATTATAAACCTTCATGCTTTGCAATTGCTTCTTTGGCTTTGTTTAAATGAGAGAAGGAAGTACGGTCAGGATTTGGAATGTTCTTAAATAATTTAACAACCTTATTGTAGGAAGAAAGGGTATTGTCTCTACAATAAAATTCCATCAGTGAGTTGTAGGCAGATGTGTAAGGATCGGAAAGTTTTGCAAATAATTCCTCAACAAGCTGTACAGAAGGTTTGGTATGGTGACACTTGTAGTAGCATGCCATGATTAGCACAAAAGACACACTATCCACCATTTTCATTTGGTTCATGTAGAAGTTATAGGCCTTGTCATACATTGAAGCTTCCTTATACGCTCGCAACAGACAATTTTCAGAAATAATTGAAACTTCTGGCATTTTAGCAATCATATTTTCAACAGTTTCATAATCTCCAGCAACTGCATATCCTTTAAGGACACAATTCACAGCTGCAAGATAAGTTTTGTCTGGCATTTGCTGATAATAGTGTTCAATGACAGGTAGCATTTCAGCCACATTGTCCTTGCTTAGGTTTTTCGTTAAGGCAGCCAACAGAATGGCATAAGCTTCAGGCTGAGGATTGACGAGCTTCTCAAATATTTGCACAACCATATCAACATCACCAGAATTAGCAAAGTTGCCCATGATTGCTCGAATATGAAGGTCGTTTGGATTTGGTATTTGTTTCAGAAGAGCCATGGCCTCTGTTGGAGGAAGGGCTGAAAGAATTACGGTATAGGTCTGATTATTTGGTTTCGGCATGGAGTGGAAAATCGTTCGTATCTTGTCTGTCATTTTCCGTTTCTTATATTCCTTTAGCATGATGTTGCAAGTACTCGTTGTAGGATTTTTGAGTTCTTTGAAACACATTTCAGCACGTTCGAAATCTTTGCCATTAATAAATGCCTTCAAAAGTGAGTTAATGCTATATTCATCAGGATCTTGAATGGTCTTGAATATTTCTTCTACTTCCTTCATTTTACCTTGGTCTGCCAGTGTATTCATCAAAATATTTTTGTGTACCATGTTGGGATTTTGAATGGACTGATAAACGTTTTGAACTGCTTCAGCATCATGTTCTTCAGCGATAATTTTCATCAAAGTGGCATATGAATATCCGTCTTGGATAGAGGTTGGTATTTGTGTTTGATAAAACTCAAGAGCCTTATCATTTCTGCCTGCCTTATTGTAAGCCATCAACATGATGTTGTACGTGTCAAACGAACGTTCTTTCATCATCTTGAAAATATTTTCCACAGTAGAAATGTCTCCTAGCTTTGCATACTTGGTAAGCAGGGTGTTATAGGTATAGTTATCGGGTGGATGTTGTTGCACATGTCTCGCCAACTTGAGCGTATCCTGTGTTTGTGTATAGGCTTTTAGAATAATATTGTGTGAGTGTGTATCTGGTTCCTTAATACTCCGATAAATCTCTTCAGCCTTTGTATAGCTTCCTTTGTTGACGAAATAATCCATTACAATATTGTAAATCTTGGTATTGGGCTGAGAAAATTTGTTAAATATTTCTTCGACCTTTTCAACACCCACATCATTGTTAATATAGGGCGTAAGCATTAGTTGCAAAATCTGTTCGGAAGGCTTTGTTATCTTGTCAAAAAATACCTCCATAGACTTTAAGTCTGAACGATCCGCAAAGCGCTTTAAAACGGCGTACTGTTGAAAACTATCCATAAATCCACTGTCTGCTAGCTGTTTATATAAAGCGTCAAGTTTTTCAGGTTGATTCGTGACACAATATATTCGCAATAGTTGTGCAAATATTGGGTTGTTTCTCTGTGTATAGAACTTGGAAGCGCCCTTTAGGCATATCATCTCTGCAAGTTTATAATCTTTCAACTCCATCAAAGCATCAACAACCAATTCATAACCTCGTATATTCCGAGAGTCCTCATTAGCCGTTGATGTAAAAATGTCTACCGTTTGTTGATAGTTTTGGTGTCGGAGAGCTTCTTCCATCAGTTCTGCAATTTGATAGCCTTCTAATGGATAGAGTGATGTATTCAAAAGATAGGTTCGTAGAGGCTCAGGCTCTAAATGTTCTGAACGTTTAAATTCTTCTGGAGTTTTAGATTCATACATGCTTCTCAAACAGTTATATTCCGTTTCAGAAAATCCTTCTTCCGAAATTGCTGATGATTTTAAATTTTGAGAAAATAATCGTTGTACTGGTATTTTCATTTGTTGTAAACATGAAGCATAATGCAGAGAAAAATGATGCGTTATTAATCGTAATACTTTCACATTCATAATGATGTCATTCCGATAAGATTTGACTGGTATCAACAGAGCAGTGCCGTAGCGGCTTGATTTTATCATTTTTTTCGACCTCGCCTTTGTAAAGCCCATTCATGGATTCTCTGTACTCACTATGCAGCTGTACTGAGATGAAAATTTGGAACCAACAGTCCCATAGGGTTACAAATACATGCCAATCAAACCGCGTTTGTGGTTGTTCGTCCCTAACGGAAGAAATGGCTTTATTAAGGTTTTCACGTACATTTTCCCTCCAAATCCATCAGCTGAAATGGGTTATCTAATAAGGACTGTAATTGGAAAAAAACATTAGAACTCCTCAAGTTCGTCCCTCACATCCCTCGTTCAAAACGTTGTGTGAGGACCAAGCCTTTTCTCTCCTCAAGTCATCCTCATCATCATCATCATTCAACATAATGACGAAAATACATCCCCAAATCATTTCTCCAAGAGGCTCAGATACAAGCTTCTTTTCTTCCATGTATTCCATCACGCCATTGGATTTGAGGCAACAAAACGTAGTGGAAACAAACCCCAACAACGTGAAGGAAGAATTAGTTCCAACCAAAAAACCAACATCCTCAATCCAATGCCTCTCTATTGTAACGATCATTATTTTGATTTCATGTGCACACGTCTTTTCTTCAACGGTGTGGATTGCTCTCTTCAGCACGAGCATGTCATCTTCCATGGACCGATTCGGAAGCGATTCATTTGAAAAAATAGCCTTCAACATCCACAACATTCTGCGGAGCACATTGATGATTTCGGAGAATGTAAAGGAAAGTGTATCAACGTTTGATGTTCACAACATGGAAAGAGTTGGGCAACGATTATTGAAATCTTCCAATATCTACTTGCCCTCACCGTTGTTGGCATCTGTGTATTTTGGTGGAGCTCTGAACGGGAGCAGCACGGGACCACTCTCAAATTACACATTTTTTGCTTCTTGCCAGGATAAAGAGTGTAAGGAAATTTCCTCACGTCGTATGGAGACAGCTACTTTCAACCAATCACACATTTTGACGCTACTTTCATTCAATGGTCCAACTTGCTCTCCCACATATTTTGATTCGCTTACAAACAGAACCATAGTGAGTTGCATTGTTTGGCATTTAAACAATCAAACATCGACGTTCGATTGGTATTTTGGCATTGATATAAGCACTGACACTTTGTCAAGATTGTTGCCAGTAAGCTTGGGTCAATCAACAACAGCATTAATTTTGGAAACAGGAACAGCAACTGTCATTGCAGGTAGGTTTCAAGAAAATTGTGTTTAATTGTTATGATCAACAATGAACTATTTAGCCAATACTCCTATTTTAAGAAACGGCATGAGAGAAACCATTCACACATCCAGCGATCCATCCACAAGAAAAATAGGACTTAGTTTGTACGACAACGTGAATCAAGATTTTCGCTCCATTTCTTGCTCGAGCATTGTTGGTTTTAGTGCACCTAGCGGAGTCACACGAGCTCATAGACTGTGTGAAGATTCAGGCCTAGATTGGGTCATTGTTTTTCATGAATCTACTTTTCAACAGGAACTTGTTATTGGAATCATCATTGCTTCTCTGATTAATACTGGAATTGGATTTATTGGAATTATTATGGGAATTATTATCACAGTGAAAATAATACAACCTCTAGTGGATGCCATTAATGAGTTTTCTCCACCTTTCCAAAACCAGCTTGACAAATCTAACTTCAAGCATTCAAGTATAAAAGAAATCCAATGGATACAGACAAATTTCATCGCTTTAATGGATGTACTTAAGAATTATAGATCTTCCATTCCGCCTCACATTTTAGCTAAATTAGATGCACCTAAAGAAGCAAATAGTCTTAGAGAAAGTATGCGGGAAAAATTACAATCACACAATTCAGATTTTTCTATTGTCAGCTCAAGATCTCATAAGGGAGATGACATGGTTAAACCATTATCGCACCACGGGTTAGACCAAAGAAGAATTACGGTAGCCTTATTTTATCTAGAAGGTTTTGAAGCTTGTTTGAAAGAACTTTATCACACGGATGTAGTTTTGATTTTGAATGACTTTTTAAACGTAGTTCAAAAAGTTTGTGAGACATCTAATGGACATCTTGGCCAATTTCAGAACAATACGGCAACCATTTCTTGGAATTCAGCCAATGAAATTGCACTTCATGAGCAACAAGGCTTGATTTCATCAATCCAAATATTAGAGAAGCTACTATTTGTACAACAGTCAAAATGGAGACAATCAGCTATGCCCTCAGACGTGGTAAGAACGCTAGGTTTTAAATCAGCTCTTCTCTCTCAAGACGTGTTGTGCGGAGCCATTGGAACGTCACAATGGAAAAGCGTTTCAATTGTGGGAAGCAATTCTTTTAACTTGGATCTCATCATGAAGCATGCCTTGAAATTAGATGTTGATATAATTGTGACCTCTGACATTTTGCATGCAAACCACAATTCTTTTTCACACAGATACGTAGGCACAAAGATGCTTTACGATTTTGATGAGATTATTTCTCCTTACTCTTCGACAAAGGACAATATCAATAGTATGAAAAAGAAACCAACCAAATTATATCAAATAGGCGAGGCCATTGAGCAGGTTGCCACCGACACAGAATGGATGTACGAACTTCAATCCTCGATCAACAGATCAGAAAAATGGAAATATTATAACGATGGAGTTAACTACATGCTGGAAGGAAACAATGATTATGCTATGCATTTGTTTAAAATTCACATGGCCAACTATCGAAAAATTAATGAAAGCGACGACAAGGCTGCCGCTTACATGATGAAAAAATGTACAATGAATGGGAAAATGATGAAAAAGAATTCGTATGTCCAACATTAGATTATTTATTCCTAAAAAAGAAATTGACCAATTTCATCATTCCATTGATTGCAAAAGTTAAATTAGGATGAACACAGAACAAACGAAAAAAATGTTCAAAAAACCTCCAGAAACAGAAAATCCAGAATACTCGGCTGAAGAGAAAAAGCCATCCGATGAAAATGCTGACAAAATGGCCCATGACTTAGAGAGACAATACGCCGTTGGAGTTCGGGCTCGAACAAGTCGAGAAGAAGATTTAGAAAGGATGAGTAATTCACCTGTCGGAATGGACGAAGATACCACACAACCGATCAATCGAACGATTATTTAAGCCCTGAGAACGCACCATTCCTTCATCCACATCTTGTGTAAATAAAATCAGATTAAAGTCAACACGAAAAAGTGCAAAATAACTTCAAATAAAAAATAAAAAATTTGTTCTAAAAAATGCCTTCCCCCACATCATCTGCACCATCCACACCATCAACATCATCAAATTCTCTATTTTCGAGTTTTTATTCTAAACCGTTTTGGATGGGTTCATTGTTTGGTGCTAGTGTTTTATCCCTGGGATTTCTCATCGGTTGTTTCTATCAGTCCAAAAGAAACAAGAAAGATATTTTGGAATTAAAGACTCTCATGCAAGCCTTACAGAAAAATCAACAAGAACCAATATTGAATCAAAAACGAATTTCTTCTAATTTATCGGAATGTGTGGTAGGAAATCCTGGTGATGAAATGGCATTAGCAGTTGAAGATCCTAATAGACAACCATCACCAGGACAACTCAACACTTATCAACGATTGTATCACAAGCCAAAAAGAATTTTTTTAATTCGTCACGGTGAGAGTGAGGGTAATATTGACCCAAATGTGTATGCTGTAAAACCAGATAATAAGATTGAATTAACAGAATTGGGAATGCAACAAGCCGATGAAGCTGGAAAGAAATTGAAACAAATTATTGGTGATGAAAGTGTGTGTTTTTTCATCAGTCCATACAAACGTTCTGTACAAACATTCGAAATGATAGCTAAGCATTTTGGAGGAAAAGAAAATGTTTATTATAAAGAGGATCCTAGATTGAGAGAACAAGATTTTGGTAATTTTCAAGATCCTGCAGGTATGTGAAAAAAGATTTATAGCTCTTATTGAACTTTCATTGTCTTGCTCAATGAAATTAAGATATCAAAATTAGACAAGAAGAAAGAAGGAGATTTGGAAGTTTTTATTATCGCTTTCCTCAAGGTGAGAGTGGAAGTGATGTTTTTTGTAGGGTTAGTTCATTCTGTGGAAGCATGTTGCGAAGTATGGAAGAACATCGGCAACCTTTTGATAACTATGTATTAATATCACATGGCTTGACATGCCGTCTATTCTTAATGAGATATTATCATTGGTCTGTTGATACATTTCATGCTTTGTGGAATTTAAGTAACTGTCAGGTTGTGACCATGGAATTGCAAGAAAATGGAAAATACAAAATAAGAGAAAAGTTAAAAATTGATGATGAAAACTTGCTTCCCACCAGTGATTTTGCAGAAGTGAAAGAAAGTGCAAAATAACTTGATTCAATATTGTTAACTTGCACCATTCATTTATTTACAAGCACTGTAAATGCACCGTTTCAGGTGTAATGCAGTCTCTTCTGTAAACGATAGACCATCGGGAAATGGATTAATGACAACCTTTTTGTCACCGTTAATAGATGCTGTGGAGGTAGCTGGGGACAGCTCTCCAGGTGAATTTAGAATGTTATTATCTTCACCGTCACTATCCACAATTTCATCAAATATTGATGTCCTTTTCTTAAATTCAGATGTTACATTTTTCTTCTTGTTAGTAAACGAGGCAATGCTGATGTTGAAAATGGAAAATGAAATGTCTCTAAGAGCTTTTTTGTCTTGTTCTGGTTTCAAAATATCATTGCTCAAAACATCTACACCACAAAGAGTGAAAATTCCAAGCAAGGTAAAGATAACAAAGTCGTGTCTGGTCTTTAAAAACCTATCACAAGCAGTGTCATAGGCAATACTTCCGTTTAAAAGATTTGTTTCCTCAACACTCGACCCAAGATTTGATTGTAATTCTGTTCTGAGCATACGTAAATAAACTGTCAATTCTGTCACTGCTCGTTCTCTTTCTACCTTATTCTTAATGGGAAGTGAAAGAAATAGGAAAAGAGTCTTTTTGTATTCTACAACACTTCTATCACTGAGTTGCTTTCCAATTCTATTTAAAATATGGGAAATCTTGTTGATAGTTACGTGTTGAATCTTTTTACCTGAGCAAAGAATTTTCACCCAATCCTTGATCGTGAGCTTATTCACTTCTTTTGCAGGGCATTTTAAAATGATATTGTCCACTAATGATAAAACTTCGTTCATCAAATCCAAAACAGTTCCATTTTTACAATTTTCTTGGGACTGAATTGGAGAATTGTCAGACACTAGCAGGCCATACTGACCCTTTTGGTCTCTCATTGGCAACGTTGTCAACTTTTTGTGAATAATAAGCTCACACAATATTCCTAACATGCAAAGTTCCTCAATGCTATCCGATGCATAGGATTTGACAATTCCAGAGTCAGAAAGTAAAATCATTAAAATGGTTTCTGGAATGGTCATTTTGTGATCGGAATCGACATGTAAGCTTGACAGTGTCGATGCATGATTCACATCTGGAGTTGTACTAGTATTTGGAAGTATTTTCATACTTGTAGGTCTTGGTTTTGTTGTCGTATCAGAACTAGTATTCGTAGAAACATCTGTTTTCTCATCAGACATCAAATCATGATCAGCGACATAATTTTCTTGCTTTGGAATTGGGTCAGAGATGCCTCCAAAATCTAAGAGATCTTTTGAAAAATTATTTCTATTTACATTTCCTTCAAACATGGTTCTGCTTCGTCTCTTAACAGAAGAGCTATCTGCAGACTTGATTCCACTAATCTTTGGATTTTCCTTGAATTCAAAATGAGTTTCATTGCTTTGGGATGATCCACCACTCTCGGAAGCAACACTTTGTCTTGGAGTGTTGGTCGTTGCTGTCACAACTCGAGGAGATATCATTGACGAATTACCAGAGTGTACGGGTGTGACAGTTCTTGGTGAAATCATTGGTGTTTGAGTTGTACTTGTGTTGTTGGAATTTTGCAATCTGTTCTGAGTTGGAGTTAGTTGTTGTTGATGATGGATTGGCGTTGACACCAAGGAAGGAACTGAGTACTGATTCGGATGTTGTGCAAATGTTCCCACTCCACCCGATGACATACCACTCACAGTATGTCTGTGAGAAGGAGGAGATGCCATCGATAAGAGAAAATCTGTAGATTCAATGGTCAAATGAGTGTTCACGTCAACATTGACACCTGGATCAGATGCAAAATCATCTTCAAATCCAATGGTCACACGACGAGGATTAAAACCTCCTGGATTGTTGGATGATGATGTGGTTGGAGTTGGTGTTGATTGGACAAGACTATTAGCTCCATATCGTGGAGAAGTTATCATCATTCCTGTCTGTTGTTGTTGTTGTTGTTGTAGTTGCTGTGGAGAACGAATTGCTGATGGAATAAGAGTGGGCGGAAAGGCTGAAGAATAATTTGAAGCACTTGTTGTACCCGATGAGGAAGAGAGGCTTCCTCCCAATTGAAAGGGATCATCATCGTACGGATTGAAGGCTCCTCGGTGGCTCATGGGTGTTGTTGTTGTTGTTGTGGTGGTGGTAGCGGTTGTGCTGGACATGATATCAAGCTAATAATTTGTTTTTTAGAGTTTTCTAGAGATGAATTCTTAAAAAGGCTTCCAAAACTGCTGGTGCTAAATAATTGGTTGAAAAAACGAGTCGGAGGTACTGCTGATTCAGTCAATTCTTATTGTTGGAACAGGTTTGAGAGAGATGTCAAGATAAATGCTCTTTCTCTACTCATACGATGGTTGTTGTTTATCACGGTTCTTTTTTTTGTTACGAAATTTGTAATTTTATTGTAAAAAGGAGATAATTTTGGAGATTGTAGCGAAAGTTCGATTGAGAAATTGAAAAGATCCAGCATTAGATCTTGTTGTTATTGTTATTAGAAGAAAGAACATGCATGGAACGATTTTAGCAGATTGGCAAGTTTGGACAAAAAGGAAAGAAATCACGCCTGTCATTTGTCAAACTAATGAGAAAAGGATTCGTGCTCAAACGCGCCTTGCACTAATGTTGCCAATTAAGTCACCTGTGCTTCTCTTGTAAGGCTTCTTCTTAACTGATTCATAATAAGGTATAGGAAAAATAAAGAGAAAGAAAAAAAATAAGGTTGTTACATGGTTCCTGTCTTGTTTTAAACAAACAACTGTTTCTATATCTCTTGATGAAACAACCCCGCCTACATTGATCACATTTAACAAATTGTTCGCCCCTCTCGACATACTTTGTGTGTTTGAAGGATTTATTGTCGAATCATCATACAAAAAACGGCCTTAATTAAAGTTGTATCTACGCAAAGAATGTTCTTTGGCGCCTTTTTCTTTTTTCCAAAAAACAAATGCTTAATCCATTGGACGAGTCCAACTCCAGCACATCTCCAACGTGTTCTTGTTCTGAAACAACAAAATCCAATTAGGTTTGGTGCTGGAAATAACCACAGAAAACGGAAACAAGTTAAAGTATTTTGTCAAGACTCACTGTCAAGGACGAAAGCTTTACACAACAATTTCATCGGGACCTAAACCAGTGTCACTAAGTGTCACCTTTGGAATTGATCATTTATAAGCTTCTTTGGCTTTGTGCCCAAAAGTAAGTGAGGCATGTCTTGATGTGAAGGCTCAAAAATTCAGTCCGCCACAATATTCGATATATCTAATAGATCGAATATTCAATTTGCATGATATCACTAACAATACCAATAATTTTGGATTCGTCATGCCTGATGGAGAGTTGAAGCTCATTGACTTTGGAATTTCATATCACAAGTTCACAGAAATATAAACTTTTAGAAAGCAATATTCAGACATTTAAAAAGTTGTTATACAAAGAATAAGTAAATATATCAAAGACGCAACATGGAAAATACCAAGAAATCAACCATGATATTTCGCTAGTTTGATGCATATCAAATTTTGACATTGTTTTTATGACAGGAAAATAGTTTTAGAACCACAACTACCTTAATGCTTATCTGTTGTGCTATTGTTCTCAATAACTTGAACATCACCTGTGCTACTTCTCTCTGCTTGCGTATGAGGATTTTTCTTAATTGAATCATAATAGGGAATTGGAAAAATAAAGAGTAAGAAGAAGACTGAAATTGTAAAAAGATTTTAAATAAATATATAAAAATGTAACAGCTATTTCCAAACCTACCTTTCATTCTATTTCTTCTCTGATCCAATACATCCTTTTGAAAATAAAAATTATAAAATTGAAATACAAATATTGAATGATACAGTAAGGCAAATAGAATGTGAATGGCCACTGAAGTTGACAATTTTTCAATTTGGTAAAACATTCCAAAATTAGAAACCAACACAGAGAGTAATGGAATCATGACTGCAAGCATTCGTATAAATAACTTCTTCTTCGTGTTAATAAATTCTTCAACAACATCTTCCCGTAATTTCTTGTCTGGCTCTATTCCATAAATTTCAGAAGAATTCAAAACTCTCCAATTCATTCCAATACATGCGATCAATGTGAATAGTGTCAAACAAGTGGCATATATCTTCAAATGGTCATATCTGAAGAGAGTGCTCACAAATGCATAAGCAACAGCCACAGCGACAAATGAAATTCGTTGAAACCACTTCTCATTGTCATTATATTCAATGTGTTGAATGCTCATATCATCCGGAGATCTTTTTGGTTTTGAATTTAAAATTGAATATAAAAATCCAAAATATAATAAACTCGACGACATGAAATATTTGAAAATATCTATCGAGTAATTATTTAGAGAAGAAATCAACTCAGTATTCGAGAGATCTTTTGAATTTTTGTAAAATAAGTAAAAACTTGATAGCAATGAAGCTGGTAAATAAATAAATCCAATCATCATCGGAAACAATGATTGATTAATTTCATAAATTTTTAACACACTCCGTAAATAGCACACCCGAGAACCAATCCATAAAATTCCAAAGAGAAAATAAATAAAAGGAATTATAACAAATGGATGTTGTGGTGGATTCAGTAAAACAAGAGAGAAAAAATCATTGGATGATGATTGCAACGTTGAATTCGAAGTGTTGTTCAGTTCTGATTGAGAGAGCATTTTTTAACACACACGTCAACACTTGTATTCAAGGCATAATATATACATTAATTGAATTGAGAAGAAACCAATGGTTGAGTCAATAATGTTTACTTGCTCGTTGGGTCTTTGTCTGTTGTTGAAGGTGCAAACATAATTTCCTCAATGGCCTTTTGAGCTTCATCAGAAAGGTCATCCTGCGTGTTGGCAAGTGTGGCATGCTCTTTTTCCCATCTTTCATAATAAGCTTTAAAAACACTTGTTCTTTCCCGTTCTCTGAATTCTTTCATGTGATGTTCCCAATCAGTCTTGTAATATCCATAGAATAATTGATTAAAAGTCGTAGCATTTGGAGCCAAACCACGTGCTCTCATTTCTCTGAGGATTTTCTTTGCTTTCATGATGTCTCCTCTCTTGATTTCTGCAGCAATGATGGCATTGAATGTTTCAGTATTTGGATGGAAAAGATCTCGGCACAATTTTCTGAGGTGTTTGTACAGATCGACCGTTCTCAAATCTCCATCATAACTTAATGCCTTCAAAGCACCATTAAAAGTATCCATATTTGGAAGGGTGTATGTGCTTGGTGCTTGAGAGGTGTTTTCTTTGCTCGCAGTGTATTCTCTGAGAGTTTTTTCAAGAATTTTCAAAGCTGTTTTCTTGTCTCCAACTTTAGCGGCAGCTTGTAACACTTGGTTGTAATAATCAATACTCAATTTTCTTCCTGTTTTTGATTCGAAATCTTCAACTAACTTTAAGCACTCGGAACAATTTTCACTTGCAGCAGTAGCACATTTACATTTCAAATAATCCATTAGTAATTCCGATTCATACTGTCCTTCTGTAACGCCAGTTTCCTTGTTGACAATCATACGCTTCATACCTTCGTAGATGTCTTTATAGTTGTGTTCATCTCCTGCTTCATAGCATGTGTTGAGCAGCAGTTTACATGTCTCAATGTCTGGTTTCACAGTCAATTCACTTTTCTCTCTAATCATGTCAAAGAGCTTTAGAGCTTCATAGCTTGATCCAGAAGGAATGCAGGCCTTAATTGCTTTGTTTAAAGTATCTGTGGACATTTCAATATTGTTTGCAATCATGAATTGAAGTATTTGGTAAATATCTTTGATTCTTCCTATACCCGCACAAGCATCAATGAGTTGATTGAACGCTCGAGGATTAAGTCTTGGAAAGTTTGGCACCAATATGTCAGTATCGTTAGGATCTTCTGGAGCATCCAGAACGGAAATGTAAGAAGGAGCTTCATCTGTTTTCTGTAAAATAGAGGTCTCATCCGCCTGATCTTCATAAATATGCTCTAATTCAATCTTTAACACGTCATCTACATGTTCTGGATTGATAACAATACCACTTGACTCGTCAATTTCGTCCATTTCTCTACTCGTAGTAGAGCTTGACGATGGTGTCGCATTGTCTGTATCTGCTCCATCATCATCCATTGCGCTCGCCAATCCTTGCAATATTTCTTCTTGTTTGTGAAGTATTTGAAAGTGCTTTTTCATAGATTCAAAAAGCTCAAACGTTTGTTCAGGAAACTTGTTTTCTGAGTAAATATCAATTAAAATGACATAAAGGTCCGTGTCATTAAATGTTACAGGTATGACATCTTCAGGTTTTAAGTGTACCTTATTTTTGCCTTCCAATAGCGAGAGGTCAAACTCTTTCAATTCTCTCTGAAATAATATTTCCATTAATTTGTCAAATAAACTCTGAGCACAAAGTGATCTGTCAAATGAAGATTCAAATCTATAGCAATTCAAAAAAGCATACTTGTAGAGTCCTTCAAGTTGCTCTCGGGAGCAGTGAGATAAACCAGAAATTCTGTCATACTTGACATACAGATATAAATCATTAACGTTTTCACTTGTTGCTTCCAATTCCCCTAATTCCATGGCTCTACATTTTGAAATAAATTCTTCGTATGAAATTGTTGGCTTTAGGAACGATTGGGAAAGAGGAATTCCAGATTCATCTACTCCTAGGGAAATACTCTTGCTTGTTAAATAATCTTTACCACTTTCCGAAGTCGAACTAGCTGAAGAAGCGTTCAAAATACATCTATTTGAATGATATTCTTTTTTTTGCATCAACCATGATGAATCATCTGCAATCTTCGGATTGTTGTTTGATGAAGTCCTTCTAAGAATATGTGATATTATTGATGAAGAACAAACACTCAACGAGGTTGTGCTACGGGATGAAGTAATCTTGTTGAAATTTTGCCATACAATTTGCAAGTAAAGGCTTTTTCGCATTTTTTCAATCAAAATTCTTTTTGAGCATTTTCACTTTATTTCCTTTTTTTTGTTGTCAATCTTAAAGAAAGGATATTGAAAACAGTGTCAACGAATCCATTTGCTTTATTCTTTCAAAACCTCAACATTTTCATTGTCATCATCGTCATCAATTTCAATTCTTCGAATCATCCTTTTGACATCATCAATCAAGCTGTCATTTCTACTGTTGGAATGATCTGTGTTGGATTCCATCCTCACACAAAACAAGTGTTTCTTGTAGGTGAAACAATACACGACATGAAGTGTTTTAGATTGTCCATTTTCAATTTGGTTGAAAATCATTTCATCAACTGTTTCTTTCTTTTTTGCATTGGCGGCTGTTTTTCTGGGTCTTTCATATTGATATCTCCAACATTTGATTTGCTTCTTGTCATGAATGGACATGACCATTCCATTGTTGATGATCTCAAAAGGAGATTTTTGTTTTTTTTCCTCTATTAAATGTGTCACATTCTTTGAAATGAATTCTTCCTCTCCTAGAGGATGATTGCTTGTCATTGATTGGTTTGGATTTTTAGGAACACAACTCTTAGCTACTAGATGTACAACAGGTGGAATTATTGAGGATTTTAAATTGGGATCTGATGGAAGTTTCAGTTGCATTTGAAGCTCTTGATAATCAAACTCATCGGTTCCAACTTCACATTTTGCAACTTCCCAATCATTGGGTACATGAATGTGAATGTGATCACTTCCATGACCATCCTTATTGATCACTTCAAATAAATCCTTCCATCCAGAATCAGAAACATTTTCTTTCGTTAAGGACCTAGAGCTATTTCCTCCTTGTGTTTTAAAAGAATTGTAGGAAAGTAAATGAAGAGATTTAGGACCATTGGGATCTTCCAATACTGTAATTTGAACTTGAATTTTACCAGATTTAACATTTTGCAAATTGATCCAATGGTCTCTTGGGTTATTGGCTGCAAAATATAAATCTTCTTTGGATAGATAAAGTTTACAATCGCCGAGTGCTAGTTCCATGTTTGAAAAAAGTTTCAATTCCATAAATTTCTAACAAGAATTAAAAAAACCTACGATCATCTGCTGTCAATCGATCCCAATCATAGACATTAAAATACAATGTTAAATCTTCTCTATCAGTTAATAACTCAAATTGAAATTCATCATTCCAAGTTGGATTCAACTATGTAAATGAATACAACATAATTTGAAAAAAGTTTTTTTACAATCAAAGAGACAGAAATTTCATCAGAGTTCAATATTGAACATGGACATCATTTCTCATCTACGTACGGTTTTCAGTTGAGTTGTCGTTCGATACAATCCATTCACTAATCCTCCTGGAAGACATTTTTCGTTTGCTTTCTCTACAAGATGACGGTACGTTTTAAATTTAAATTCTTTTGCTTGTTGTTTCAAATCAATGATGACATAACTAGTTCAAAATTAAATCATACAACGATCGGTGTCCATAAGAATTCGGGAAATGACACCACTCAAATTCCGATTTTTCAAAAAATTCAATACTTACGGATCGCTCTTTCCATTGACATCAGCGACAACAAGGTCAACACCTTGTACCAACTGTACAACTAGAGTGTCTCCTTTACGAAGTTTTAGAGATCCTGAGAATGACGACGACGATGACGAATTGGTCGATTTTAAAGTTGGGGATGATGACATTTTTTTGAAAGGTGTTGGTGATCAGCCCTCACTGATTTTCAGACATATCTCGAGAAGTGTATTTATTATTGAAAAGCAACACAAGTTCACGACGAGTGACGATATTCTCAACACAAGTAATGATATGTGTGTTATGTACATTTGGTACAGAATGTTGCCAATTGGACTGATCATTCATGGAGATCAAAAGATGGAATAGATCCAAGACTATTTGTTGAGCTTCAACGCTTGGAATGTTTGCTCAATATCTCGAATGTTTTTAGCTCCAACAGATTGGATTTTCTCAATCATTTGATTCATTCTACGCATGAGCTCTTCGTTCTGTTCGTATGAAAGATATGAAAAATATTTAACAAAAGGTTGAATCAATAGTGTTATTACTCTAGATCTTTGAAAAAGGATCATACGTACGTTAAGTTTGACTTTCTTTAAAAGAAATTCTTCAATAGTGAGAGATTTGTCTTCGTCTGAAATGGCGTAGTCAGATTGGATGTTGTGAGAATTAGTAGTGGTTGCTTCAGTGTTATTATTATTAATTGATGGAACAACATCATCCGAAAGGATCATACTATCTTCGGGATGAGCAATAATGGAGGAGTGTAGAGCTGAATGATGTTGTAAAGGAGAGGAAAATGTTGAAAGTTGTTTGTTGCCATAGGATCCAAAAGGAGCCTTGTTTCTGTTTGGGTAAGATGTGGTTGCTTCCTCACAGAAGAAGATGGATTTTTCTTCTTTGAAGAATGAATGGGTGGAGTTACAGCAGAGAGCATTTATTTTTTTTAACTTTTTTTCAACGTTTCCAGAGAGCGCCAAAATCGAATCGAGTTTTTCAAAGCTTTGGATTTGATCGATTAAATGTGCAAACGGTCAAGCACTTGGTTATCGATCAAAACCATTCAATCTCTCACACAATGATTTCGTTCGCATGCGACTCAAAATTGTTGGACCTTCACCTGTCAATTTTTTAACCCATTCAAAAAATTAATTCTTTCACTATCTCATCATCTCTCTCACACACGAAATTTTCCAATCATCGCTCAGCAACACTAATGACAGACAATACTGAAGAATCCCTCTACTCCACTTCCTCTGACGATGAAGATTTAGACGAAGATTTGGACGATGAAGAATTAGATCTCACGAATCGCCAGACGAACACGAGGATTCCCATCATCTTCATCAACAACAATATCACGACCATGACATTTTGGGCAATGAGGAAGAAGAAGAATACCTGGATGAAAGCACAAGCACCCAAATCAACACTACAACCTCTTCCTCCCATTCCTCAAATAATAATAATAACAACAACAACACTCCTCCTCCCATTCCTCCCAATAAACCGAAATTAACTCCATCCACACCATCCGACAGCGTGGATAGCAGCAGTAGTGAGAGCAGTCATTTACAAGGAACAAGTACAACAACAACAACAACAACAGTAGTAACAACAACAGCCTCAGCAAATTCTCCTCCCGTGCCCGTAAAACCTACACGAACCAATCGGAGAACTATTGTCGACAATGAAGAAGGCTCTTCTCATGATCATCACTCGTCTTCTCCCATCCTCCCAACACAGGGATCTTCAACAACACAAAGCCCTACGGTAGGAACAGTGAGTAAACGTTCTCAATCCATCATGAGATCCAATAGTGGAGGAGGACCCAACCACAGAAAATTATCTCAACAAATCCATCATAATATTCATGATGATGGACAATTCAGATACATGTATGTACCACCGCATCGTCTCGTGTATACCATTGAGACTCATGTACGAATGCTGCCCAATGATTATTCCTACGAAGAGGAATCTAAACAATTTGAAGAGAGAGCAGCTGAGAATGTTACAGAATCTCAGGTCGAACCATTTGTTGGTCAATTACCTTTACCTCCTAATTGTAATTTATTTAAACAAGCTTTGAGATATAGGAATGCATTGGAAGATTTGAATTCATCACATCATCACTCTCATACAAGCAGTAATGTATCGAGTTCACAACAAGTCAATTTGAATCGAAGACCTTCTCAAGGTAGAAGAAAACAAAGTTTGATTCAACAACCACAGGGAAAGCAAAGAAAACATAGTGCGAAAGGATCAGCCTCTACATTGCCTCATGGTGCGGTAAGACATGTTCAAAGTGTCAAGGATCCGTTCCCTGAAGAAATTGCTGGAAAAGGAATTCCTGTGAGAATTGGATTGTCACAATCTTTGAGTACCTCAACAAGTACAGTGACCAATGGAAGTCTTAATGGGCATACGACCTCCACGGCACAATCTCAATTACCTTTCACATTACAAAATCATCAAGATCGATTGTGTGATATTCCTTTCCCTCCTTATAACTCTGTGAATTTGTATGCAAATAGTTTGAATTATGTCTATGAAGATCATTGGCAAGTAGAGAAATCTAGACCTCTTCTCCAAGCAACTCTCGTTTCTCCACAGATTGATGATGACCGATCTAAATGGAGAACTCGTGTTCTCAGTAGATTCCCAGTGATGCAAGAATTGTCAGAACGTCTTTATCCTCTTTGGAGAACGATTAGTTTTGGTGAATTGTTTAACGCTGGTAGAAAAGAAGTACGAAAGAATCTCAAAGAAGAACATGTCATGAATATCATTATGCAACATTTAACATTTGAAGGGTTGAAGAAAACTAGAGCAAAACTTGAAGAAGAAGCACAAATCAAATACGAAGGTATTGATGTGGATCAAAGCTTACTTCACGCACTTGCCAAGGAAGCCGTTAAGAAGTCAGAAAAATTAATGGATACAGTTATTTGTGACAAATTTTCACCAGCTTATATTCAAAAGAATAAGGGTAAAATTTTGAAGGAATTGGATGAACTATTGAGTCTTGAATTTGGTATCAACAATGATGAATTTGGTTCATCTAGAAAGCGAGACGAAGATGTCAATATCTGGAAAGAACCTGAAAGACAAAATGAAATTGTTGATTTTGATCCTGTAAACAAATCCGAACACTTCCAAGCAGGATCACTCAACAAGGTCATTGAAAGATTAACCATGCCAACACAAGATCAACAATTTATTGATATATTCCTTAACACATACATGGCCATTACATCTCCAGAGACTGTTCTTGCAAAATTGTTCCAACGATTCAGAGTTCCAAGTCATTTCACACCTGATGTTAAAAACGGAGTTCAATCAGGTGTCATTCGAGTCTTAATTATTTGGCTCGAAAATCACTTCCATCATTTTACGAATAACATGTTACAAAGAATTCAATCATTTTTGGATGAACAAGCTCAACAGCAAGCCAAAATCAATAAGAGCAGAAAGAAGATTAACGAAATTATTTCACAAATGCGAAATAAGAGTAACAAGCCAGAAGAAATGCAATTCCGACCAAGTGATAAAATTCCAGATCCCATCATTCCGTTGGGTAAAATTTTCTCTCCAGATCTTGCTGTAGAAGATATTGACGGCGAAGAAATGGCAAGACAATTATGTCTCTATGAATTTGACATGTATTTTGCCATCAAATCTGAAGAGTTGTTGAATCAAGCATGGACTAAACCTAAATTGAAACATCGTGCCACCAATGTGATTGCCATGATGAATTTCTTTGAAAATATTTCACTATGGGTTGCAAGTTTAATTTGTAGAGGTAAATCAACCTATGAGAGAAAGCACTCTTACAAAAAGTTGATTATTATTTGTGAACATTTGAGAAAGCTCAACAATTTTAACACGCTCAAAGCAATATTGAATGGTTTTGAAACTGGTGCTGTGAAGAGATTGAAAGAAACAAGAAATGAATTGGGAAACAAATCGAAAGAGGCTGAGACGGTTCTCAAACAGCTCATGAGTGAAGAAAATAACTACAAACGATATAAGGAAGTATTGAAACAAAGCTCAGTCCCTGCCATTCCCTATTTAGGAGTACATCTTCAAGATTTGGAATATATTGAGAAGAATCATCACGATTTTGTGAAGAATACCAATCGAAATGGAAGTGAATTAATTAATTGGATTAAGAGAGAATCACTCTCTGAGGTAATCAAGGAAATCAAACACTTCCAAAATCCAATTGGTTACAAATTCGTGAAGGTCTATCAAATTCAAGAGCTCATTCGAAACATGCCTGGCAAAGTTCCCAATCAACAATCACTCATGATGCTCAGTTATAAGGCAGAAGGAAATTTCCCATATAACTAACACCACACTCCTCTCTGAAGCTCTTTGCAACAACAATATCACCACCATCATGAAAATCTCCTCTTGTATGTATCATTATATCTCATTCATCATCGTCATCACATTAAACCAATGAGGATTCATTCCAAAATATTCAATTTCTTGTGGTAAGCGCCAACAAATTCCAAATTGGAACTTTTTTGAAAGAAAAAAAACTCAATCCCTGAACTCATTCTCTCTATAATAACAAGTGTTCCTTAATCCATCATCTGCAGCCGTTACTCCATCCGTTACGAGTTCTATTGTGCCTCTCACAATATCTGATCATCATCAGCATTGAACCGATAGGTTCCTAGTAAATGGGATCGTCTGTATCGGTTGGGGTTCAACCCTCAACACCACTTTCCGGAGGAGTAGTTTCTCAACCTCAAAGTAGAAGAGCCTCGCAATTCAATCTATCGATTGGTTCAACACACAAGCTAAAGAAATCTAAATCAACAGATCCTAATGCATCCAAACGAAATTCAATTGCTCCGCAAACGACGATAGTTTCACCTGTGCTAGAATTTACTGAACAATCTTCGAGTTCTTCATCATCCGTAGAAGATATAGTTCATAACACGATGGAGAGTCGGACCTTAAAGTCTCCACCCCAACCACGAATGAAAACTTTTCCTTCGGCTTTATTGAGGAATGATCATGCTAAGTCTTCACCTCGTGTTTTGATACACGCTTCAACATCAAAGGACGATATGCAAATGACCGATGCGGAGGATGAGGACGACACGAACGGAAGAGCTGTCATTTACCGAAATCAGCATGAGCCAGAGGAGGCTCAAGACATCATGCCACCCTGACCACCAGTGCAAGCCCTCGACTGATGCACTCAAAATCAATGGGAGTTTTAAACCAATCACATAATTCACTGAAGTCTCTTTCAGAAAGTTTGACAACGAGCACACTGCTGAATGGCTTTTACTGTTCTTCCATTATTCCTGAAAGCAATTTATTGAAAGAAACCAATTTAGAATTGAAACATTTTGCACCATCGTTATCTCGTGAGGAAAACAAGCAACTGGGCCATATTGGAGATGGTACTGATTTTGTAATTCAAATGTTACAATGCAGTCCAATGGCTTCCGCTATCACTGATTTAAAAGGAAATATTTTAGCAATGAACTCTGCATTCAAACAAATATTTAAAGTGAAAGAAGTATTAAATCCTATTAAGAATAGAAGTGAAGTAGGACATGTAACAAATTTTATGCCACCAGAATACAGAAATCAGCATGACAAGCACATGTTGAAATTTAAAAACAGCAACGAGACCAAAATGAAAAGAATAACCTTTGGATACACGACTGAAGGCGACAAAATTCCTATAATGCTCACGATTGCATTAACTACACTTCCGTCAACACAAAAACCTTGCTATATTTGCTTTGTTAAAGATTTAACATTTGAATTTAAGCATAGTACATTGGCTGAAATGTATGAAACCGTAACTGGAAATTCATCGTTTCCTATAATCGCCATTGATGAAGAATGTACCGTTAAACTATTTAACAAAGCAGCAGAAACGACATGGATGGTAACTAAATTAGAGGTGATGGAAAGAAATGTAAATATTCTAATGCCAGAGTCAATTGGCAAGTTTCACACTAAAATGGTGCAGAACTATTGTACGGGAAAAAAAGAAGGAAAACTAATTAATAGAGTACATCAAGTGGTTGGAAAGAGAGTCGGTAATGGACACGAGTTTCCCTTAGAAATTAAGATTGCTGAGATTCGGCACGAAATTAATTTAAAACGATCCTTTATTGCTTTTCTGAGAGATCTTACAGCTGTGATGACAGCCAGAGAGTTTCAATTAACGCTCTATCCAGTGTCAGTCGTGAACCAACTTGAGGCAGGCCAAAGGACCATCCACAAATATCATTCATGTATTTCTGTTTTGTTTTGCGACATTGTTGGGTTCACGGAAATTTCTAGACGTATGTCTAGTGAGGAGCTAGTGAAAATGTTGGATGAAATTATAACATCGTTTGATGAAAACCTTTTGCTGAGATTTGGCTTGGAGAAAATCAAAACAATGGGTGACAATTACATGTGTGCCAGCGGGTTAGATTCAAATCCTCATCATGCAAGTAACATTGTAGAAGCAGCTCTTGAAATGCAAACACTTCTAATTGAGTTCAACAAGAAACATGCCGCTGATCTAAGAGATAGGTTTCCTTCTCAATATCAAGAAGATGACAACACTATTTCAGTGAGAGTTGGTATTAATTCAGGAGAGTTAGTTGCTGGCATTGTAGGAAGTAAGAAACCCGTCTATGATGGTAAGTTTACATTGTTACATTCAGTGTAATGACCTAACTTTTTCCGCTTGATTGTAGTTTTTGGTGATACAGTTAACATGGCCTCTAGGATGGAATCATCAGGCATTGAAAGTGAAGTCCAAATAACTCAAGCTACATATAATTTATTAAGAGATGATTTAAAAAAGAGATTTGTTTTGCGAAGGAACGTGACAGTGAAAGGAGTTGGTCAAATGGACACGTATATCTCGCAACTAAGGCAAGAACGAGAAAAGCATTTTCGACCAAAGTCTGTTGAAAATTCAACTGTAGATATAAATACCAACAAACAAGTCAACGGCATCAGACAAATGGAATTTGAAGACGTTGATGACACCGATTTACCATCACAGATCAACCATCGATAAACTGGGTAAAAGGTGAGTTTTATATTAATGTAAATTTTATTTAGAATATCATTTGTTCTGATATTATTTAACAGGTTCGAATGAAGGGGTTGTAAGAACTCTAATTATGTTGTTGCTTCTTTTCTTCCTCTTCTCTCATCTTCTTTCCCTTTTCCACTAACCTTTTCACAAACCAAATTTTAATTTTTTGGATTGGACTCTTATTGCCCCACCTTAAATATCCTGTTTTAAATTTGTGTGTCATGACATCAAATTGTGCATAGTAAGGAATGCCTTTCACTGGTCTCTTTTGTGTCACATAATTTAACGCTTCACAAGCTAAAATACCATGAGCCATAGTTAGCACAGGGCCTAAGGAAGGAACAGCATGCACGCTAAAATCTATTTTCTTGGAAGGCTTCATATACTTTAAATGCAATCCAGCAGGAGCAGTTGCGACGATGTGTCTAATCAGCACTTCTTCCTCACTCATGTCATCCGTGAATCCACAAAATTCTTCCAATGTTGGACCAGTGGGAAGAAAGATCTGCCATGCGCACGACCAACCAGCTAGTCAGTTCATTATTGGAATATTCATCATCAAATGAACCATTTCATTGTCTGCTGAGGTTGAAAACTTACCTGGTGCAGCTGTGAATACTGGAATTCCCTTCTTATGAGCATATTTATATAACAATCTTCGGGATTGAGGTGCAAAAAAATCCAAAGCATCCATCACGACAGTCACACCTTCCAAAAACTGCTCAATATTACTTTCATCAATAGCTGCTTTAAATGTTTTCACACTTGCTTCGGGATTAATGGACAAGACAATTTCTTGCATGACCTCCGCCTTATTTTTCCCAACACTATGTATAGTAGCTCCATATTGTCGATTAAAATTGACCACTTCAAAGAGGTCATGATCTGCCAATACGAATGAACCAAATCCAGCACGTGCCAATGCTGTAGCGTATCCTCCTCCTGCGCCTCCACACCCGGCAATGGCCACACATGCTTGTTTTACTCGATTTTGTTCTTCCAAAGTTAAGAGACCAATGTTTCTGCAAAAGGCTTCGGAAGAAGAGAAGGAAACAATAGAAGGTGCGGAAGAAACAGTTTGTGTGTGTGACATTGTGTTTTAATAAATTTTTCTGTCGTGTAGTTGAAACACAACTGGAAATGTCCATCGAGATGATCATGGAACTGTAAAAAATTGATCACGGTGATTAGAGAAATATGGTAGCAGATTGTTACTTTTCAGAAATTTGATCCAATGGAAAATACTTCGTGGCATTAGAGGTTTGTGAAGGATGAATATACACAGAGGAATTTATGTTGTTTCCTCGTCTACCAAAAGATATCACCCGTACTCTCTATTGAGTCCAAATAACTCATCAAATTTAAATATTTCTTCCAAGGTGTCGTTTTGAATCCTTGCACTCCTTGTTTCATTTTGTGATTGAGGCGAAAAGCTCTCCCATGTTTCATGACATATTTTAACATGGTTCTCAAAATGGCTTGCGGCTTCAGTATGTGTTTCATGTTTTCCTTGTCGCCCCATCCAATCCATTTAGCAAATTCTTGGAGTTTATAATTGACAGAGTAGCCATAGTCACTACTGTTCGTACTCTCTGAGTCTTGGCTATAGAGTGATAAAGTGGTACGACCACGAATGGCCTTCAGTTGAAGATCCGCAAATTCCACACTTCCATCAGTTCCAAAAAAACATTCTAAAGAATAGACGACTCGTATAGGTGGTGATGACAACGTTGGCGTGACATCGACGATGGACTTCTTACTTTCTTTCTCAGTGATCAATGCTCCCTTAAAAGTACACTCAAGCCTAACAAGGGCATATTGAGCGCGGGGATGTCGATCAAAAATACTATCTTCATAATAAGGACCACAGCTCAGTATTCGTTCTGCAATAAGTGACTCCGTTCGAGAATAGGCAAGCTTGGATACAGTATCAGTGTCGGCTTGTTGAGAGCAAAGGAATCGAACTTTTCGTACGAGCATTCTCAGAATGTCAAGTTTGCATTGAGTAAACGTGCTCGTTTTTTGGTTCAAAGCACTAGCCACACTTTGGTTGTTGTTACGGTGATGATGATGATCGAGAAATATATGAGGATTTACGAGTTTCAATAATTCATCTGCACGTTGCTTTCCAGGTTTTCCACGAATGGCCCACAACCATTTTTCCTTAACTTTTTCGGAATCATCTTCTTCTTCCTCGTCATCCTCATCTTCCTCTTCTTCTTCTTCGCCTTCTTCTTCTTCTTCTTCTTCATGGTTGTTTTCAAAAAGATCTTGTACAGATTCATTCATTTCTTTTGTTGCAGCTTGTTTTTCAGCTTCCAACTGTTCTTGCTGTTCCTTCTCTAGCAGTTTTAACAGGTTTTCATGTGCAATCAGCTTCTTTTGGAAAAGTTCACAAATCTTGTCTGGAATGTCAGTCATTCCTCCAACCATCAGTAAAAGATTCAAAAATTGCATACAAGTTAATTTCGAGCCAATGACTGTTTGATTCTTCAATTCTTCAAAATCGGGAATGAACGCGGCACAATATGAATCTTTAAAGGTTCCCTTAATGGATATTAATACCTTGTTTTCACAAGACAGATGGTATCGGATCAAATTATAGCCATCTTCATTCACGAAATAAAAGTAATATTGAGTCATACGAATTGGAGGTGGTTGTACTGATGATGATGATGTTTCTTGAACCAAAAGTACATCGCAACAAGTATACGAAACATTGTGTCCTTGAACACAATGAAAGCCTTCAATTTCCCATAAGGCTTCGTTCCATGATGATAGTTTCTCGATCGAGGGATCTTGACTATTCTTTAACCACTTCTTCAGGCCATCCTTATAGGACGGTTCCATAGTGGAATGACTCGATTTTTCTTGGAGCAACTCTTCTATGCGATGACTTGGTTCTTGTAAATAAAATCCATAGGTATGATGTCTGAGTGCTCCTTCTAACCGATACAAGAATCCCAAAGCAAAATCATTGGGATGACAGATCGGTGGTGCTTGTTCTTGTTGTTGTTGATGATTGAATTCGGGAGCTTGCATAAAATCACGCAGTTGAAGTAAGGCTCGTATGGCATGCATCGGAAAGCTCGATTGGTGCAAGATGATATTTCTAAATCTGGAACATGAGGAGAGTAATGAAAATTGTGTCCGATGATCATTTTCTAAAAACTCACACACAAGATGAAGTATTAAATCATCAGCAATGTGAGATAAAAGTATGAATGATGATGAAGTTGCGCAAGAAGAGCTTTGAACTTTTTCGGAAACGTTACGGTCATGATCAGAGGACGAATTTATGGTGTCATCATTCTCATTGTGCTTTTTTCTCTTCTTATTGTTCGTTTCTTCATTATTGTGTGATGATTTTTCATCGTTAGCGTTGTTGACGTGATGAAGCGAAAACTCTCTTTTTAACATTTTTTTTACCTTTATTCAATTATTAATATTTAGAAATGTAATTTAAATTAACAATCGTTTCAAAATAGATCATGTGGAAATGTTTTTATTTCACATTATTCAAAAATCCATGTCACAAATTTACCATTTGTGACGTCATTAAATTGGAAGCTCCATCCAGAAGGAATGAAAATGCACTGAGATTGAGGTTAAGAAAGTCAGCGATAATATTAAAAAGAAAAAACTTACATCTGTCTTCTTGACCTCAGTGTCCGTCAATTCTTTCTGAGGAGATGTTAAGGACACTTTGATTTGAGAATCAGAGTCAATGATACATATCATGAACTTGTTGATATTTTCATTTCTTCCAAAATTGAAAGGACTTCCTTTCTTTGTTCTTTTCGTAAACCAAATCTCTGAAAATACTTTTTTGAAATTTGCAAATTGATCTAAATTCTGGGGAAAGTCGTACTCAAATTCATATTCTTTCATTGAAGCAATGAAAGGAAGCCTGTAGAATGATCTAGAAAGAGCATCCAATGGTGCAATAGAGAGAGAAATCTTTTTCTTCTTTGTCCATTTGGCAAGATCTTTCTTCAATCTCTTCAGTCTCTTTTCAAATTCTTGATTTGTAATAAATTCCTTGCTCCAAGTCGAAGATGCAATCCACTTGCTGCTAAACTTTTTCATAATTATTGGTTTAGATTTTGACAAGTATTGCTCAATACTTGTCTTGTATTGGTCCGGCGACAGTGTTAAAATTTGTTCTTCTGGTTGTGGTGGCTCTGCACTTTGTGAGGAGAAGAAGCTAGCCAAAGTTTCCATCCATGTGACAGATTTTTCTTCAGTTGGTGTTGCTGGTGCAGTCTTGTCAATGTTTGGTGTTAGAATTGTTGATGATTTGTTTCCTCCAAAAGAAATTCCAAGCAATGTCATGATGAAAAATAAGGCAATCATTGTGGTGACTGCCATGCAAGCATATCTGACAGCTTTAATGGACCACCACAACCTAATTTGATGAATAATTCGTCTCAGTTGAAATATTATTCTTTTCCTCATTTGCTTTTTTTCTGAGTCTTCTCGAATGGGAGACTCTTCGACCATGCTTGAGTTTCTAGAAAAATTATTTACACTTTCTGAAGATGATTTGGGGTTTGGAAAAAGGTCCATGTTTCGATTGAGGTCGATTTTTGGTAACACGATTGGTTGTTTTTCCAAATCGGTCATCATGTCCACGCTGTTCGTTTCCGTTTCACCTTGTAAATTCACATTATGAAAACTATTACTGTCATCACTATGTTTTGTTCCGTTCATAATACTACTCGATGATGTCAGCACTCCTGATGTTGACGTCGTTGAAGGGTTGTTGGATGATGAATTTTTAGTTTTCACTAATTGAAAAACACTTGACTTTTTAGTAGTGCCAGCACTGCGTCTTGTTCTTACGGTAGCATTTGCTGTTGTAGGAGCCATTAGAGCAGAGTCCAAAGATGAAGCATTTTCCAAGTTTGGGCTCAGTGCAGTGCTGGTTGACTTGTCAGTGATGACAACATCAAAGGAGTCATCATTGCTCATGGATCCGTTAGCGTTTTGTGCAGCCATTGCGTGTAATGGTTGATGTTGCGGATCAGATAATGATGTGTTTGATATCCAAATATTATCCAAAAGTTGTGATGGTGGTTCTATCAATGAATATCAATTAATTGCTATCAGAATTACGAGATGCAAATAGAAATTGTACCACTACAATGCTCAATACTGATTTCAATTGATTGTATTTCAATGTAATATTGTATATACTCACTCTGATCTGGTAATAATTGAAAAATGAAACCAACCCGAAGATGCAATAGGATCCAGTGGTTATTGTGCTGATTGTTTGTTGTATGAGGCTGCAAGAGGTTGCCTTTTCTTGTCTGCAGAACACCTTGGAACTGGAAGGGTGAAAGAGAGCCGTTAGCACTGAGGTGGAAGGTTGTTTTTTTCAAAAGCGAACCCATAAAAAATGAACAAAATGACGTTGCTGGTTCGGTCGTGCTTTTTCAAGACATGATGTTGATGATCGGAATGGAGAAGAAATCAACAAAGGATTCGGTTCTTGCTCTGAATCAATCGGAGTACTCTTGAAGAGAAGGGTTTCGTAAAAGATACTTGTTTTTTAATTCATAGGATTGATTTGGGTTTATTTACAAATATATAGAAAAATATAATAGTGAGATTTGTTGGTTGTGGATTTTAAAATATCAGTAAGACTCAGTCCACATCATTGTTGCCTTAGAAGCACTTTCTATGAACAATTCCTGGACCGGCATCTTCATATTCTTCCTTAGTGATCCACATGGATTGGAAGGTAGACAAAGAAGCCAAAATTGATCCACCAATCCAAACTGAATATTTACGTTCTGGAGGAGCAACAACCTTAATTCTCATGGAGGCAGGAGCCATAGCAGTCAATTCCTTGGTCATTCTGTCAGCAATACCTTCAAACATGGTAGTACCACCAGACAAGACTACATTGGCATACAAATCTTTTCTGATGTCAATATCACATTTACCAATTGAGTTGAAAGTGGTTTCATGAACACCAGCAGATTCCATACCAATGAAGTTTGGTTGGAACAAAACCTCTGGACATCTGAATCTTTCGTTACCAACAGTAATGATATTACCATCTGGCAATTCATAGGACTTGTCAATACTGGAAGAATCAGAGGCCTTCTTCATTTCACCTTCAAAGTCCAATGCCACATAACACAACTTTTCCTTAATGTCTCTAACAATTTCTCTCTCAGCGCTAGTATGGAAGGAATAGCCACGTTCCATGAGAATCTTTTGCAAATAATCAGTCAAGTCTCTACCAGCCAAATCCAATCTCAAAATGGCATGTGGCAATGCATAACCTTCATAGATTGGAACAGTGGGGATTTTTAATCTCACACCCACACAGGTTGGGTGAGTTGAGATTAAACGCCGTACCTCACACCCACCCACCCATTTCACACTCAAAAAATTTTTGAATAAAGAAATATCAATAAATTTATTATTCATCATCGTGCATTCTATCAATGACACTGATGGAGAGTTCAGTGGTTTCTGTTGAAGAAAGAGCTTCAAATGAATACGTGTCATTGACAATAAATCCTTCGGAGGTTGTAAGAACTATTCTGTTCAATAAATCAGTAAAAGTACACACCCCTAAAGTTACTCTTTCCTGAAGGAATGAAAGAAAATCACCAGACAAGTAAATCAATACTTTGATGTCAGAAACAACTACCTTCTTTCTTTTTCCATTATAAGACAACACAACAACCTTATCTTTGCCCTGATGTGACTTCATAAGAGTGTTGGCCAGTTCGAATGTCTCCGTTAATTTATCCAATACTTCGGCCCACTTCTCACTGTTTCTATAGAATGTCATATGTTGAATGGTATGCATGCGCTGAATATCTGTTCTTTCTTGGATAGCATTTCTTCTACGATCGGTGTCTTGAATATCACGTTCAACAAGATCAATTACATTGTCTTCTGGATTAGAATTAAGTTCTCCGGTGGTCAATAAAAATTGTTGATTATCACGTTCAATATCCCACACTTCTTTCAAAATGGGATTACTTGGTTCAAATAAATCAAAAGTTCTCAAAATCAATAAATTTGTTAAAGGAAAAGCAATGATGGAACCTTGTTGCAAATCACCAACTGTCTTAAATTCAGATGTCACGACTGATGATGGTAAGAGTAAATTTTTCTTACTTGCATCGTGGGACTTGATTGTAATTTTAGCAAATTGGTTGTATGGATATGTTTTACCGTGGCAATGGAATAAATCTTCGTTATTAGATGGATTTGCACTCAAGATGATACCTTTACCAATAACTACCTCGTCAATACATAATTCGACATCTTGATTAATTTTCAGAGTGTGATTATTAAATTTCTCTGAGAGTTTTGATCTATATTCAATAATTTCCTTTTTCAATTCCTCCTTCAATCTGCGATACTTTTCAGCACAGCTTTTATCACCACGCACATGCCAATTCCATTCTTTGTTGTCAAATAATTCCTTAATATTTCTCGCAACCTTTTCCCAATCCTTGTCTTGTTTGTAAAGTTGTAATGCAGCAAGGACTTCAGAGTCTGTCCATCGTTTTCCCGTGCTGGATTGGTCCTGTGATTGATTGCTATTTGATGCTTGACTTGAGTTAGGTTGAGTGTTGGTTGGTTTTTGCTTCTTCTTGGGTTGAGTATTGGCCATTGTTTTTTTAATGGATGATTCTTCAAAACAATACTAGTCAACTACGTTAAATAGGGTTGGTGAATTATGTACAACAGTTGTAACGGTTGTAACGGTTGTAACGGTTAATTGTTGTAAATTTACAATAGTTTGAGAAAATATGTAATATTGTAATATTACAATGCAAACTGAAAAAAAATGCTACCTAATACATTACATGTCGTCATCACTTATTTAATGATGGCAGCAACTGTCATCATTACTCATCCTGAGTTGATTGATTATCCAGGTGTAAATAGTCATATCAATGTCAATAGTTTCATATCAAAATTAAATAACCTACAACAAGAACTGTTGATGTATAAAGCATGCTCATGGGATGAAAAGTATTTGAAAAGACTTCAATTACTTGCTTGCTCATTAATCCCTCCAGTAATGCCTTTGCCACCAGAAGAGCCATATTATACTTCCAAAAAATTTAGAACTAAAACTCCATTTTGTGGACAAGGACGAAGTCAATACCGAAAACCAAAAAGTAAGGTGGAAGGAGTTGACAATTATGGAAAATGGGATGACGATAAGTTGATGGATTTCACTCATTTAACTCGTGCTGAGTTTGAAGAAATGTATTCTAGGATCAAATTAGAACTGTTAAAGCCAAGAAGATATTATGACTTGAGAAGAAATATCAATACTAAACGTGAATACAGATACTCAAAACTTACTCCAAAAAACAGATTGCTGCTAATCTGTGTTTGGATGGGATCATATTCCAAATTTGCTCTGCTGTCAGAAATGTTTGGAGTTTCCAAAGGATATGTTTGCATGGAAATCAAACATATTATTCCCATATTATTATCGGCCTATATGAACGAGGTTGTTATGCCAGGACATTTGACTGTATTACAAGGAAGCTCTAATATTGATAGACTAGTAATAGGCGCGCTTGATGCAACGCATTTCAGAATCTCCAAGCCAAGTGTAGATCAGGCTATCTATTATCGTGGTGACAAATGTATCCATTCTTTCATCGGACAAGCGTTAGTTGATCTTCAAGGCAGATTTTTACATTTTACGGTTGGTTTTCCTGGAAGCAAGAACGACAAAGATGTATTATTCTTCAGTAATATCCAAAAATACTTACAGGGTGTGATGGTCCTTGCTGATGGTGGATATCAAGCAAAAACATTCAAACATGGAGTTGAATTGGTACTTCCAACATCAACCATCATCAGAAGTAAGCCTGATCTCTTTGTGCAACACAAATCTGAGAGAATGATTGTAGAAATGACCTTCGGATATGTAAAACGATTATCAGCAACGGCAACAAGATGGAGACAAAGAAAATCTTTGCTTCCATATGTTGCAATGGTAGCTGTTCTATGTTCGAACGCTATTTTGAAAAGCAATCCGTTGGTTAAAACCATGCCAAACACTTTGTTCAAATTTCAATAATAAAACGCTGATGATCATCATATTTGTTGTAGAAATATTTTTTTTTGAAGATTGATTTGGATTTGTGTTGTGTTTGAGATTAAACGCCGTCCTCACACCCAACTCACCCAATCCCATGTTCATTTTTGCTGGGTGTGTGGGTCTGAGATTAAAAATCCTCAGTGTGAGAAACACCATCGCCAGAGTCCAAGACAATACCAGTGGTACGACCAGAGGCATACAAGGACAATACTGCTTGAATAGCAACGTACATGGCTGGAACAGAGAAAGTATCAAACATGATTTGAGTCATCTTCTCTCTGTTGGCCTTTGGATTCAATGGAGCTTCAGTGAGTAAGACTGGATGTTCCTCAGGAGCAGCTCTCAATTCATTGTAGAAGGTGTGATGCCAAATCTTTTCCATATCATCCCAATTAGTGACAATACCATGCTCGATAGGATATTTCAATGCAAGAATACCTTTCTTCGACATTGCTTCATCACCAACATAGGCATCCTTGTTACCCATACCAACCATGATGGAACGTTGCTTTGGTCTACCAATCAAAGAAGGGAATACACAACGAGGTGCGTCTTCACCAGCGAAACCGGCCTTACACATACCAGATCCGTTATCGACGACGAGAGATTGTACTTGATCCATTGTTGTTGTTGTTTGCTGTTGTTGCTTGTAGAGAGTTGCTATTGAACAGTGAAACTCTTGTTTTTTCTTGTTGTTTTTGATACAAGATGGTCCAAACAGCTCGTGCTTTTATAGCTCGTTTCAAATGGACGTATTGAGTTTGAATCATCTTTGGTGCGCTTTCAGCACTCAAACAACAACTTGAATCTCTGTATTTTGAGCAAGACCTAAAGTTCCATGTTCATTGAACTGCAACTTTACCTTAAAAAAAATCAAATTTCTTACAAAGCTAGAGTTATTGTGGGAGGTAGTTGTATTATCTTTTGAAAGTGACATGGTCAAGTGGCACCCACCTTCAGTCAGGCACTGTCAGACATTGAACTGTTCCCTGTTCCTTGCCATACGTACTAAACTGCTTCTGCAAGAAGTGGATATTGGACAACATGGAACAAGGAGCTTTTTAATGTATTATTTCTTCCTTGTATACACCAAGTGACAAAGTATACACAAAAACAACAGGACTGATAGTGAGCTCAAGATTATTCCAAACGCCATATATTGGGCAATGGGGTTCAATGCAAGAACCTGCTTTCCCACTAGCACTTGAATCAATAATTGAAACACATTTGCTAATGCAGAATTGAATGAAAAAATTGCCGCAAATCGAGTGATTTTCAATCCTTCCGCAATTTGTGAAAAAGAAACCACATACAAAAATTCAAACAAGCAATGATATATCACAAATAAGAGATAGGCTACAAAAATTGGACATTTTCTGTTAATACCCATTGCAATGAGACATGACCCACATGCTAGGCAAACTATTGCTGCCATCAATTTTCCTTTCCATGAAGCAACCCATTCTCCAAATCGAGTAGGAATCATGCTGACCATTGCAGCACATGCGTAGGCAACTGCTATAAGAATGCCGTTCAAAGAAATTTGATTATTAAGGGTTTTGAAAAACGTTTGATAATAGGTGAGAGCTAGCATGTGAACAGCAATTCCAAAAATGCTGTAGATACTCCAGAAAGATACTGAAAAATTTCCCGTGTAACATTGTTTCACTTCCACAACGAATTTCCACGCTTTGCTACTTTTCAGAAAGAGACTTAATTTGTGAAGAAAATTTGAATCACTTTTGGAACTGCTTGAATCTTGTTGAAAATGTGGTGTGTCATGCTGAGTATGAACAAGTAACGGTTGTTGAGAATGTTCATTTTGCAGCTCAGTATTGATACTCTCCACATAATTCGATTCAGAAGATATTAATTTCACATCTTCTTTTGCGGTATTATTCTTAACTAGATCAGTAGTTTCAAAACTATGAATTGACCTCACATATTTCTTTGGAGAAGGAAAATGAAAAATTGCAAGATACAAACATGGCACCACACAAGCAAAACCTATGTAATACAGAACTTGAATAGAAACTCCGCACATGTATACGATTTGACCAACTATGGCACCAAATACTTGTCCCATTAAAATACATGTTCTAGATAAGCTTGTCTAAATTACGAGCTCTAAAATAATGATTGTCACAATAACTAAACTTACCAAGAATTGATACGAATTTGGAGAACTTGAATGATACACCAATGCATAATAGGTCTGATCCGTTCCATACAGAACAGCCACAGCAATTTCAGTCAACTGTAACATCCACACTGTGTGTTTCGTACTAAAAAATTCGCTCAACATGAAAAGCACACTCGACAAAATTCCAGCGACAATGACCCATTTGTGACCTATAAATTTCACTTCTGAAATAATTCCAATACACAATTGAACTACGGGCATGGAATAGGACCAAATTGGAAAAATATCAAATAAAATTGTTTTGAGTGAAATTCCTTTGGATGTTAAAAAGTCAACTAAAAATGGTTGTTGAGGATTGGTCATGTGAAAAAACGAATAAACCGCAAAAGTAAGAACTAAACCCAACGAGAGTTTTTTTGACGAATTCATTGTTATTGGTGTAGTTGATGAAGGTTTTGAGTTTTGATTTTTGTCATTATTCTTTGTACAATGATTTTTTCCAATTGATTCCGAATCATGTTCATTGTGCATTTGGGATGATTCAATATTTACAGAATGGTGATTGTTATGATTCGTATCATAAAGTAACAGTGAGGTGTTTTCGGACAAGTCAATTCCACTCGATTGCCTATTGATAGGCTGGGTAGACGAAGTACAAGCCGTTTCAATGGTCCTCATCAAGGGTTGTGATTCGTTGATGATGGTATCATCTTGTGTTTGCATGATGTGATGAAAACGAATTATGTCTCTCCACAATTTTTTCTCAGATTTTTCTCAATTTTCTCAATTTTCTCATTGACATCAGTGAATTAAGGGATGGGATACACTTCAGCGGATCAACATAACATCAACAAACGCAATAACAAGGCGAGATTGCGGTTGTGAATTATAATTATTTTAAAAATGTACATAAATTACATTTAGTGAGGAGTTTTAAGCATAATAGTCGAGAGCCACCTTCTTCTTGGCTTGAACTGCGGCAATACCTTCCATGAAATCTTCGTGCATGATTTGGGTGGCATCTCTCCTCAATGCAATCATACCTGCTTCGACACAAACTGCCTTCAATTGAGCTCCGTTAAAATCTTCACAACAACGAGCCAACTCTTCATAGTTGACATCATCAAAATTCACATTCATTCTCTTGGAGTGAATTTTTAAAATTTGTATACGTCCCTTTTCGTCAGGAAGTGGAAATTCAACCTTACGGTCCAAACGACCAGATCTCAACAAAGCAGGATCCAAAATATCGATACGATTGGTTGCAGCAATGACCTTAACTCGTGTATCTTGAGAGAAACCATCCATTTGGTTCAATAATTCAAGCATAGTTCTTTGAACTTCTCTGTCACCTGACTTGTCAGAACCGAATCTCTTAGTACCAATAGCGTCCAATTCGTCAATAAAAATGATAGCAGGAGCTTTTTCTCTTGCCAATGCGAAAGCATCACGAACAAGCTTGGCACCATCTCCAATAAACATTTGAACCAATTGTGGACCAGCCAACTTTAAGAATGTAGCTTTAGTTTGAGCAGCACATGCACGAGCCAGCAAGGTCTATAATTTCCACAAATTATTCCAGGTAAGCCAAACGAGTAGTATGTTGTGACATGAGCATATGAAAAAATTGAAGAAAATAAATTGGTGAAATTGTACTCAAGCCAAATTCACACTTACCTTTCCGGTACCAGGAGGACCATACAATAAAACACCTTTTGGTGGTTGAATACCAATTTTCTTGAAACGATCTGCCTCTGTCATTGGTAAAACAATTGCTTCATACATTTCCTTGATTTGAGCATCACAGCCTCCAATTTGATCGTAATCTTCCTTTGGTCTTTCATCAACTTCCATAGCCTTGACACGAGAATCGTACTCAGATGGAAGCTTTTCCAACACAAGGAAACTATCCTTGTTAACTCCAACTAATTCTCCAGGCTTTAATTCTTCAGAGTCGACCAATCCAATGACAGGAAGATAAATCGTTTGTCTTGTACTTGTTTTTATCACTGCAGATTTTCCTTTTTTATCTTCATCAAGAGCAATGCTTGATCCGTCTTGTATAATTTCTTCATTTTCATCAGTTTCCAAAATCTAAAAATGTTATGAATCATCATTTGATCGGAATGAAATGATATTTATACAATGAGTCAACCAAATATTACCACCATCATTATTAATACAATCGGATTAGTTTCTCCACCAATGAATGGTCCTATACTTACCTCTACAACAGTAGCCACAAGATAGGGCAATTGTTTGTTAAGTTTGATCTTTTCCGTATTTTCCTTTATCTTTTCCTTCATTGTCGTTTCATCATATTGAATACGCTTCTTTTCATTCTTAAATACATGAATCTCATTCTCGATTAATCGGGATCGGTGCTCAATCTCGTCTGTTCCAGCACAAGCAATATCCTCGCCGAATGTTTCAAGTACTTCCTCTTTGGTCCACTTCTTTTGTGATGATTGCATTTTTTTTGTTTGAATTTTAAAAAAAAAGGACTATAAATAGTTTGACATTCCTGGTCAGAAAAGTTAGCTTGAGTTGAAGGACAGAATGCCGTCTTAATATTCCAACAATCGATAAACACCATTACAGATTTCTATATTTTCACTGCTTACAAAGTCAACAAACGACGTTGAAGCACAAAGTCAATTTCAAACTGCGTCCAAGAGTAATTTCAACAACGAAAAAAAAACATTCCTCCTCAACAAGAATGATCACAGACATGAATTCAAATAAGAAAATCATTTACTTACATTGTGTTGGAGGTCAAGAACATTTCACCTCGTACACAGTGAATCTTGCTCCAAAAGTTGGTCCTCTTGGTCTCTCTCCTCGAATGGTTGCGGAAGAAATTATAAAACAAACTCAAGAATGGAAACATGTTCGTGTGAAATGCAAAGTTGTTGTTCAGGATCGATCATTTCGTGTGGAAATTATGCCTTCGTGTGCCAGTTACATCATTCGTGCGTTGAATCAGTCCATGGCAGCGTTAGGTTGTTCAGCTTCTCGACATGTTCGAAGTGAAAGGTTCTCAAAATCAAGTCTTTACAAACAAGGAAATCTGTCAATGGAACAAGTGTTTGATATAGCTCGAAAGATGAAACCTCGATCTCGATCGAAGGAATTGAAAGGATGTGTTCAACAAGTATTGGGAACTTGTGTTTCGATAGGATGTCAAGTCGAATGTCAAGATCCAAAACAAGTTCAACTACTTTTAACGTGTGGAGTTTTAAGTGTTCCTCTGGAGTAATGAACCAAATGAAACACAATTGTTCTAAGCGAGAGCGTTCTTCTCATCTCTTCCTCCTTTCTTTTGGCTTCCTTTCTCGCGCTCTCCATCTCGGAGCCCAGAACATGAACGAAAACCAGCTTGTCTGTAATTAGACAATTCGATTTGGCTTGCGTGATTGACAAAAATTAAACTTTAAAAAAATGTCTCAAAATGATCCGAGATGGGTAAGTTTTATCATCAGAGTTGTTGAAAATATTGATGATTGGCTCGATGATGGTTGGTGATATTTGGAATGAAAGAATGATAGAAATTTTGTACTCCAACAAGTGAAACACGATGGATTTGCACTTGAATATGCTTCTCAAGAATTGAGAAATGATCGAGAGATTGTATTGGAAGCAGTGAAACAAAATGGATTTGCACTTGAATATGCTTCTCAAGAATTGAGAAATGATCGAGAGATTGTATTGGAAGCAGTGAAACAAAATGGATTTGCACTTGAATATGCTTCTCAAGAATTGAGAAATGATCGAGGATTTGTATTGGAAGCAGTGAAACAAAATGGATTTGCATTTAGATATGCTTCTCAAGAATTGATAAATGATCGAGGATTTGTATTGGAAGTAGTGACAATTGAAAAATCCAAAGAAGGAATTTCTAGCAATATCAAAACCTGTCTCTTGTTCCACCCATCTCTTCAAAAACATCCAGAAATAATTACTTACATAATTCAAGAAGGCCCAAAGTCATTCTCATTCACCTCCACTATTGACGAAATGATTGAGCACTATTCCAATAACTATATATCAGAACAGAATGCATTTGAATTTTATTTATATTTGGACATCAAACCCTCTAGCACATTCTTTACACTTTCATCCAATTATCCTAAAGAAACGGTGATTGAATTTGCATTGATGAAATTATTCCACAAATTTATTGACACTCATCAAATCGATCTAAATGCATTTGTTCATCATGGAACAAGTTTCAACTCGATTGATTATTATTTGCTCAGTGACAGCATTCAATTATTTGTGAATCATTGGTTTCAAATTCTAAAGTCCACCCATTACAAACAACTCAAAACAATTGTGAACAACATTGTACAACAATTTCCAATTGAGATATTACCAAAATCATGTATTAATGTTATTGTGAAATTTTTGAATGATTGGAAGAAAGTGAAAGGTTTTCCTCGTCTCACATCCATTCAAGAATTAACATCTCAAAATCTTTCCATAGTTGGTACAGGTGCAGATTTGGACAAAATTCGAAAATGTTGCCAAATTGCCAAATCTCAAACACAATTCAAAACAATTCATTTCATTTCACTGTTGGGAATGGGAGCACAAGGTGTTGTGTTGAGATGTTTGAACACGAGTCATGGAATGGTTGCTTGTAAATTCTCTTTTGAACCAACTTTGGATCGTCAAAGAGCAGAAGAACAATTCAAAGTGTTGAAAGATCCTCGTGTGAAAGGACATGTGATTGATTGTATTGAATGTGGTACAATTGAATGGAATGGCTTACACTATCCATACATCATCATGGAAATGGGAAAAGGAACATTGGAAGAACGAATTCAATCCATCCATGCGAAGAAGATGTTGAATTATAATCGAGAAACTCATTGTGCATTTCTTCAAAAACAAGATTTGATTTGGATTGTGAAATGTTTTATTGATATTCTTGAAGCTGTGAATGTTTTGCATGGAATGAATATTTCACATCGAGATTTGAAAACAGGAAATATTGTTCTCATTCAAGATGCTCAAAATGTTCAAGATGGAAAGGCAAAGTTAATTGATCTCGATAATTCTCGAAACATTCAATATCGAGACTCAGTGACCATCAATGTTGGAACTCTTCAATACATGGCACCAGAAATTCATAGTACCAACAACATTGATCGAATTTCAGACAATTGGACAATTTCCAAATATTGTGACGTCTTTTCATTAGGTTGTGTACTCTTGAGAATGTTGACAAATTGCTCTTTACAACTTGATCCAGGTTATTTAAAAGCCACAGAAGAAGATTTGTTGGGAAACAAGAATCCAGATCATGTCACTTTCTTTTCAGATTATGGAACATATTTTCATGCGGCTATTGCAACTCCATATGGAGAATCCAAACTACATCATGCTCTGTACAAGGAATTAAATAGACACATCGATCCCTCATGGAATGTGAATGATATTCTTGGAAGATGTTTGATGACCATGATTCAGAAAGATATTGAAACTCGAAGAGATTGTGTGAAATATATTCCAATTTTGCAAGCTGTGAAACAATCACTTGAAAAAGAAGGAGAGAATAATCCACCAGATTTTTCCTCTTTTGATTTGAGCATTTTGAAAGAATATCAACCATCAATTATAGAAAGGTTGATGAGAGAGAATAGAATATTGAAAGATCTATTGAAGAGAAATAACATCAATTTTGAACAAGAAATTAATCCCAAACAAATCTTTCAATTCAATAACAACAGCAAGTAGAAGGAGCTCTCAAACGCTATTTGAAATGTATTTCTGACTATTAATAATAAAAGTATTAGAACACACCCCTCGGCATAACTTTGCAGAATGGAATAATTGAAATATATTAAAAATACAGACGTGGGTGGAACATGTGTCTGCTCATTTCGTCAAGATGGAGAATTTGTTTGAATGAACTCATCTCAAATGGACAATGAGAAAATATGTGGCGCAATAGAATGTCGTTCAACTGTTCTCCTCAGTGCAGCAAAATTATTGGATTTCTGGAAGAATTAGATATTTAACCACTTCTTTGTGGTAAGTAATGGAGATCGAGTTCAGTAATTGTTTGAACGTCTCGTCGTTCGCAAAATAATTAAAAGCTTATGTATTGAATTCGAACATGTTATTTTGTGTGATCATTTCCACGATTCATTTGTAGTCTCATGAACGCCTCTTTCTCTTTCGCTTGTCTTTGTTGTTTCTCTTGTTCCAATCTCTCTTTTATTTTCTCTATTTCTGCAATTTTTCTAAGCGTGAGCTTTCGTCTCATCTCTTCCTCCTTTCTTTTGGCTTCCAACTCTTTATGATAGTCAATCATTTCTTTTAATAGACAAGTTAAATGGGCAAGTGCATCTTCTGTGGAACTCATATTCTCAATGGTTTTTAAATGAGTGTCGATGGTTGAGCGAGGAAAATCAATGTTGGATCCATAGCTCACCAATAATCTTGTTAAATAGAGAGGTGTTTCTGTTAGAATGGTGTGAATGGATTTGGAAATTCGTAACACATTACCCATCTCTGATAATGGAAGATACGTCAAGGTTTCAATCATGATTTCTTTCGGAACAATGTCATGAAATTGTTTCAAACAATGAGGAGGAGCCAATGGTTGATCATGATCGACGTTTTCGCTGCAAGACATTTTTTATGGTTTGATTTATCTGTTCAATCCGAAGAGGAGATCTAAAATCTTTATGCACCGATTCTCGCACTGTTTCATCATTTGTTTCTCAATTCTCAGTTCATGAACATTAATGGTCCACTCCTCGTTCGCATTTTCGCTGTACATCCTGTTTTTCATCATTCATTCAGCCTTTCTTTCTAGGAAGATGCAATCTGGTTACTGTCCTTCAAGCTGTTTCATCCAATCTAAGGGCAATGTTGTATTGATGGATAGGGTTGTTGGGTGAAGAGTTTGAATTCAAAAACTTTTTATTTCGTTGCATCGTCCTTTCTTGTATTCATTTCAAGTCTCATTCGTGATGCTTGCTCCTTCAGTTCTCGAAGTTGCTTTTCTTGTTCCGTCTTCATTTTCATCAATTCTTGCATTCGTTTCCGGATCAACTCTGCTTCTTCTCTTTTGGCTCGTAACTTTTTCTGATGGGCAACCATTTCTTGTAATTTGGAAGTCAAGGTTTGATGTGCGTCTGTTGTGGACATTGTCTCAATGGATTTTAAATAAGAGTCAATGGTTGAACGAGGAACAGAGGTGTTGGAACAATAGCTCACAAAAACGGATTGGAAATATCGTGGAGTTTCTGTCAAGTGTGAATGGATTGATTTGGAAATTCTTAAAACATTTCCCATCTCTGATAATGGAAGATATGTCAAAGTTTCGATCATGATTTCTTTCGGAACTGTGTCATGGAATTGTTTCAAACAATGAGGAGCAGCCAACGGTTGATCGATGTTTTCACCCATTTTTTAGGTTTTGTTTTCGAACTTCTCAGCCCATGAAATTTGGAATTTGAACATGCTGTTGGACACTTACCTTTGACAAGAAACGCTAAAAGAATTACATTCGTTCACCACTTTTTCGTGTTGTTATTTGTTCTTATCAAAGAAATCGGTTAAAGCTTGTGGACCTGAGTGTAAATTCAAACTTTAATTTCATTCACAACTTTTTATTTCATGGCATTGTCATTTCCCGTTCGTATATTCGTTTGCAATAAAGTTGGCGCACACATGGCTGTTGCTCTTTCTGTTCTCTAATTTTTTTTTCTCGTTCTGCCATCCTTTTCATGAGCAATCCTTGAGATCGTTTCAACATCTCTTCTTCCTGTCTCAGCTTTTTCTGGTGGGCGACCATTTCTTGTAAATTCAAAGTTAAATATTGATGTGCGTCTGTTGTGGACATTGTCTCAATGGATTTTAAATAAGAGTCAATGGTTGAACGAGGAACAGAGATGTTGCAGCAATAGCTCACAAAAACGGATTGGAAATATCGTGGAGTTTCTGTCAAGTGTGAATGGATCGATTTGGAAATTCTTAAAACAGTTCCCTTCTGTGATAACGGAAGATAAGTCAAAGTTTCAATCATGATTTCTTTCGGAACAGTATCATGGAATTGCTTCAGGCAGTGAGGAAGTAGATCATTTTGAATGTTGGACATTTTTTTGTGTTTCCAACATCAATTGATCAATTCTGCAGTGGAATGCGTGACAAAATTTATTATAACCCCTTCCTTCAACTATATTGCTGCTTGAGTTGGACAAACTGAATAATAACCTCTTCAAATTCGTTTAACTTCTTTTGAAATTTCTTGTTGAGCTTTTCCAATCGAATATATTCTCTCCATTTAACCTTTGAGTTTGAGGTATTATTTTGGAAGGTTGTAGATGGAAGTGAACGAATGAGTGGGGACGCCCCAGTAATACCTACAACGTCAAGTTCCACAACCGAGGCTTCACTTGCTTCTTCCTCGTTTGGAACAATTATCTTTCGTGTCGTTTCAAAAAGTTTAGAGCATGTGACGGTTCTCTGAATGTGACTTGGAAAGTCAATGTAATCCATGATATCTTTGAAATTCGAGCTTGGAAGTTTCTTGAGAATGGGTAACGAGCCTGTTGAGCTTGCACGCTCTAGTTCTTCTCTGGCTTGGAATGAAAAGCCAAAATTACTCTCTAACATGTTCTGATGTGACTCAACCAAATTCAATAAAGTGCTCTCGATATTAATCAGTTTGGTTACTTGTTCACAAATTTGAAGCCGCTGCGTCTTAAGGTTTACCTTACTGCTGTTTGATGTATCAAATGTGTTGCTGTTAGACATGGAAAAATTTGGTGGAACAATGTCGTCATCGCCATCCTCTTCAAAGTCCATCAAGAAGAGGGATCCTGGTTGTTGTTCATCAATTTCTGTCAACATTTCCCACAAACTTGAAAGCTCTTTGACTCCAATTTCAACGCTATTGTAGAGTGAGTTGAGCTTGTTGATGCAATCCAAGCTAGCTTTTTTCATCTCGGCATATTGCTCGAATTTTTCAGCATACAGAGAAGCACTACCATTGTCTATGGCAGCTTCTTGTTCCTTCACACCCTTAGCAATCGTTGCCTTCAGTCTTCCTGAAGTGTTGGGAGATTTGTATGGAGAGACACATCTTGACGAGGTTGGTTGTCGTCTACTTCTACCTGAAGGTTGTGGCGAGAGTTGATTTGTAGTATTGGTTGTTGCAGTACTTTCTTGAATATTAGAAGTGGCAGTATTATTTATGGAATTGACAGCTGCAGTGCTTGTGCTTGAAACGTTAGAAGATAATGAAACGGATGTGGAAGGAGAGGAAGCACGGTCGGAAAGGAGAAGTTTGAGAGTTGAAACTTGAGAGCGATGATAACGGAAATGAATATGTTCAGGTCTGAAGAGTGTCTCCATTTTGGTGAATGTCAACAAGTGGCGGAGAAAGGTTTGAATGTGCTTGCTGAAAGGACAAGTGTTGTTAATGTTTGAAATAAGTTAACAAGGGTATGTACAGAGAGAGTGGAAAGCCTCTTGACAACTTTGTACAGCAGTTGATGTCGTACTGGTGAGCAATACGAAGACTCTGTGTATAAATACTAGGAAAGCTAAACGTTCAAAATCTCTACCAGTTGGTACGGACTCTCTATGAAAGTGATTGTACTCCTTCTTGAAATACAATCCTTGATGATGATGTTGTTTCTCGTGCTTCTAAAAAAAGTAACTCCAGACCAAGCAGCTTGATGATTCGACCCGAAGAAGAAGAATTTGAATGATGATTCTCACGTTACTAGCTGTTCGGATTTATCAATAGGTAGATTCAAATATTCATCAACACCACGTCGAAGAAAATCAAGCCGTCTGTGGAGCCTTTTTTTAGAAGAGAGAAAAAAAATTTAGGTTGAGTGTTTGAAGAGTTTACAACCAGTTTTTCCCGCTGCACTCTTTTTTTGAACGTTATTAAAAATTGCACTCGTTGTGTTGATGTGAAATTGAACTCTCCCTAAGGTGGTATTAAATGATGTGCATGGTCTTTGTGAAGCTTGATATTGAGAGCTTTAAATTTTCAATGGTTTTTCATTGGATGTGATCTTGAGTACATTTACAAGGGTCTTCAAAAGTAGAAGATTTACAAAAAAGTATCCATTGAGCACCAAGAAGTGTTTCCCTCGTTGTATACAAGTGAAATGTTCAATTCATTGACTACCTCAATACTGGAGTAGAGAATCAGCTTCTCAAGGATATGCCACTTTTTACAGTACAACGACGTCTGATGAATATTGAGACGGCAAAAGTAAATGTAGCTTGTCAGTGGCTTGTGACAACAGTTGTTTACAAATTAATGACCGCACGGTTCATTACTTATTTTCTCGTAACCTTGTGCGAATACAAGGACACAGTGTGATGGATGGAAAAAAGCTATCCATCGTTCTAATTGGTGATACCATCTCCTTAATGAACGACATTTCATAATTATTTCCAAATTATCCACAACGAACGCAAACTCGATCTAAAATTGTTGATTTTTCCCGATACGAACCGACACCCGTTTCATCTCGCCGTTTCTTGATCGCATCCTGGTCATCCACAACGTTTGATCGCTCACAATTAATGATAAAATTATTTAAAAAATTCAAAAGCATTTCAACAAACACTGCTTGTTGGATGTGGTTGTCATTTCTGAATTCATCATCCCCATTGCACCCTCTCTCAGTGGACTCCTTTTCCTCCAGCTGTACAAGATCATTTTCCGTTCAACACTATTTTTCCTCTCGACCATCAAGTTATTGTCGTACTGAAACACTTCTGCTGCTGCTACTACTGCTCAGTACTGATTCCAAGAATATTCATTTGACCGAATTTTTATCGTGATATCGAATTCATCATTATTGATCTCTAAAACTACACCACCACCACTGATGCAAACATCAACGACCACTCAAGTTGTAGGAACAAGAATTGTTTCTGAATCCAAGCAACTTCCTTTGCCTTTTCTGGGAGAAAATTTGTATCTTCGGTATGGAATAGCCGGAGGTTTGAGTGCATTTTCAACTCATGCCATTATGGTTCCGTTGGATGTAAGTCTTTGAATTCATGGATACATGCGCGCATGCTCATCACCATTTTTTATTTTCTGCTTTCCTTTTTTGTCGGTTGTTTTTGTGTTTCATTACTATCCCAAACCAAAAACGATACTAACTGAATTCTGCCATTCCTGTAATAACGAAACCACAACTATCCTCCTCTCCTCGCGAATTCATGAATTTCTCTGATTCAGGTCGTTAAAACTCGAATTCAAATCGAGCCCGCCAAATACAACAAGGGAATGGTTCAAGCGTTTCAAACAGTGTTGCAACAAGATGGAATGAAAGGTTTGACTTTGGGCTTTTCTGCAACAGCTTTTGGCTACTTCATTCAGGGTGCATGCAAGTTTGGATTCTTTGAGGTCATTAAACAAGGAATGATGCATCAAATAGGATATGAACGAATCATGAATGGAGATCTCAAATATTTGCAATTTCCAATTTATGTTTCAGCCTCTGCATGTGCCGAAGCTATTGCTACTGTCATGTTGAGTCCATGGGAAGCCATTCGTATTAAAACAGTGAATCAACCTGACAAGTATGGAGCTATGAATGTTTGGAGAGGCTTGGCCATGATTGCACGTGAAGAAGGTCTATTGAGTGGATATTTCAGAGGTCTTGTACCCATTCTCCTTAAACAAGTTCCATATACTGTGACTCAGCTGACCGTATTCAGTTATGCCACCGAGTATTTTTATCGAAGCTTGTTGCCCAATATGTTTGGAAAATCAAAGAACGATTTAAACACTAAACAACAATTGAATGTGAGTTTGGCATGTGGTGTGTTGGCTGGACTTTCGAGCGCAATTGCCTCACACCCTGCCGACACATTGTTGTCGTTGGTGAACAAACCAGGAGAGAAGAGAAGTGTGTTAGAAATTTTGAAACACATTGGTTTTCGTGGAGTTTGGGCTGGTATTGTTCCAAGATGCATTATGGTGAGCTCATTGAGTGCGGCCATGTTTTTGGTATATGATGGAACAAAGGTATTGTTGGGATTGCCAACCACAGGGGGAAAATAAGATGTTGTCTTGTAATGGCATGCCCTTGTTGGGCAGCAGAGACTTATCCTTGCCTAATAGATGCAACATGTGATTATTATTAATAAACATGTGAACGGGTTAATAAGGCTAAAGCAAGGTTTATTCAAAATTAAACGCCTCTAACATCATCTATCGTTAAGAGCACATATAATATTTGGGTTCATGGTCTGGAGAGTCTTTTCGTGTTCTTCATAATTACTCACCCTAACCTCAACTTCCAGAAACTCAAGTCCTGCTGGTAAGTGTTGGGAGAGGGATGTGGTTGAAGCAAATGATTCTAATGACAGGGACAAGTATTTTAAATTTGGAAATAGTTCAAGAGATTGAAAGTACTTTGGGTCAAAGTTATCTTTTGGCTCTGCGATTTGGAGATCACAAGAAAGAACACCACCTCTACCTAAAATTAAATTCAAAGTTGTGGTTCTGATATCTGGGTTAATATTTAAGTCCACGCTATAGGACTTGTCAAAATTAAGCAATCTTTTTGGACGTTGATGCCTAATCAGGTGTTGTGTAATGAAATCCAGGCTACTATAATCAACAGACAGAGTATTGAACTTCTCCTTAAAATACTTGGAAATAACTTCAAGTCGAGATAAATACTTAAAATTCATCTTGTTTGGGCTGAGATCCATGGAAGACAAGGCAAAAGGAAGTTCAGATGCTTGTTTCCACAACTTGCAAACTCTTGCTACCTTGAGAAAATCAACAAAACTAAGAAAGGAAAATATGTTTGCCCAAATTTCAGGAATAGTGATATGATTGAGATGGCCGAATATATCAGCTTTTCCACTGAGAAGTACCACTTCAACTGATTTACACAGCTCCGAGGTTTTAGCAATGTCTGTTTGAATCATACGCAAAGATGAAAGACAATGTTCTCTATCTTCCTTAGTCATTTGGATATATCCTTCCTTAAGAGTTTCTAACGCCTTCTAGCAGGACATTAGTACTTGTAAAATCTCGTGAGCAGCAGGAGAGTCCGAGGTGGTCAATGAAGCCAAGTCCAATGGGTACGAATTAGTTTCAACCTTTGCTTTCTTACTATTTGACTCTATGGAATGAGTGGCATGATCTGAATCTTCATTACTCAAAGGCTCATGGCCGCTCTCTTCGACCTTCGTTCTCTTTGCAACAACCTTATCCCTTCGCTTCTTGGTCATATTTTTTGTTGAGGTACCATAACACGATACCGTAATGAAATGTTGCGCCCAGTAAAGTCCAAATTCCATGTTACATACGTAAGTACAAATAGATATCAGTATTAAGGTTAGTCTTACCATTGTGTATATACGAATAGGAGGCAATTACACGATGATGAAATGTTTAAGGGTTGGTTAAATCATTTAACCAGCGAGCTTGTTCAAATCGGGGAGCGCTCTCCTTTTCGGTTATTTCGCCGCTCGATCGATTGTACCTTTCCTAAAGGAGTCAAATGAGCTACAACGTTTCCAACCGCCAGGCACCTCCATCACAAGAAAACTTTGATGACCTTCGTTATTGCGTGTATCCACTCTCCACCCAAGCACAATCGCAAGGATCAACATCTCAAAAAATGTCCTTCCTCACCACACCTCCAACAACTTCGAGAAAGTTAAGCTTGAACAATGTGGAGGACACTTCTTCGTTGCTGCTGCTGCAGTTGAATGGAAGCCTTACTCCTCACTCTGCTTCCTCACCCTTATCGAGTGCATCATCTTCACCATCTTCATCAACCACAAGCTCCAGAAGGCAGTCTACAACAAGTGAGGCTGGAATGCTGTTGGTACCACCAACGGTTGGGTCTTTGACTCGTTCACGAAGTGCTGGTAAGCTAGAGGAAGGAAGTACTTCACCTCAAACTGCTCGAAAACCTCCACTGTTGAAGGCAGATTCGTTCCGGTTCCCCACAAGTATGGATGGGAAAAAGGAACAAGAAAAGTCTCTGGTACGGGAGTATCAAAAAGCTTTGCTTCCCTCAACAAAAATCTATCTTACAAGCGCAGAGAATGACATGTACAGCATTTCAAGCTCTCTTCATGCAGAAACAGTGTATGAGCCTCAGGTCGAACATTTGGGTGCTCCTATTCTTTTCACAGCGTGTCATGGTCATCAAGTGTATCGAGGCGGAAAACTCTCGGATGACGAAAAAGTGCATCTGAAAGAAAGTTTGACAAGTGAGATTGCTCTGTTGCTGGCAGCCAAAGTTCGAAACATGCTCCACTCGTTGGAAGGTTCGTTTGTTGTGTGGAATATGAAGACCATTCAAGAAGAAGACATTTCGCACATGGACCCCAATTACTTGTTACCTCATCAATACTGCGAATCTCCTTTTCATTTGTTTTTGCACAAGTTTAAAAACTTGTACAAGGGTATTCCAATGTTGCATGTAGACATTCATGGAAAGGTCAATCGCAGAGATAATCGTAACATTGATGTTGGATTTGCTCCCATGATGGAATACTGGAGCAATTCCATTCATGCCAAATTGCTTAAGGATGATTTTTGTAAACGCTTAACAAACGCTGTGGCGTTGTGCACTCGATCGATTAATGGTTTTAAAATTGGCATTGAAAAAGAGCCTCAACAAAATGGATGGAGAGGAGAGAATGCGCCTCAAACTCTGAGCCATCAGAGTGTTCTTCTCGGTATACCTGCAGTGCAACTTGAAATACCGTATGATGTGAGAAAGGAACTCGTCGAAAATGAAGCCTTTTTGGAAGAGATTGCAAAAGCAATTACTGAATGTTACAAAATCACGGTTTGCAAAATGTATGACATGAATTGGCAGCAATGTCATCAACAAATTGTTAATGTGAATACAGAAAATGATAAGAAAACACTCCGATTGACTTCAACCAAACACCATCATGACCACGTGGATGACATGTTTTTCCAAATGTTGACCGAGTTTGCTGAAATGGAGAAGAAACAAGCTTCCATAAAACAAATCTAAATGAATAATTAATTATTATTATTATCATAACAGGGATTGAATATTCATCAGTGATTAATTATTTGATTAATTATTCATTTATAATTTCTGTGATTGATTTAGAATTCTCTCGAGAATCTCGAGCGGACGATAGAGGTGTAGCACAGCAAAAACGGGGAATGGAACACAGGACCATACGGAGAGAATCTTTTTAGCTCAATCACAAAAAAATGAAAGCAATCATCCCTTCCTTTTCCAAAAGTGCATTACGTGTATCGTCATCGTCGTTATCATCATGCTCCTCTTCCCAGTTGCTTTTAAAGCACACAAGCAGCAGCATGGCAACTCAACGAAAATTCTCACAATATAATCCATTCAATCTTAACTCTTCCGCATCCACACTATCATCATCAGCCACTTCAATGAATACAACCTCATCCTCTCCGGTTGGCAACAAATTGGAGCCCTCCATTAAACTAGACAAGAGAGTCAGAGGAATATATTTTGATTTTGGTGCTACCACCATGATGGATCCTCGAGTTTTGGATGCCATGATGCCCTTCTTAACTGAAGTGTACGGTAATCCACACTCCCGAACACATGAATTTGGATGGGATGCAGAGAGTGCTGTCGAATTAGCAAGAAAACATATTGGAGACTTAATCGGAGCATCTCCAAAAGAGATTGTGTTTACAAGTGGAGCTACAGAATCAAACAACACAGCCATCAAAGGTGTTGCTAGCTTTTACAAAGACAAGAAAAGACATGTTATTACTGTACAAACTGAACACAAGTGTGTTTTGGATACTTGCAGACATTTGGAAGAGGACGGATTTCGAGTTACATATTTACCAGTGAAGAGCAATGGAATTGTTGATTTAGAAGCACTTGAAAAAGCCATCACACCCGACACAGCTCTCGTCAGCGTCATGATGGTTAACAATGAAATTGGAGTGCTTCAACCTATCAAGGAAATTGGTAAAATTTGTCGAAAACACAAGGTATTTTTGCATACAGACTGCGCTCAAGCTTTTGGAAAAATTCCAATCAATGTGGACGATATGAATATTGATTTGATGTCAATTAGTGGTCACAAGATTTATGGTCCAAAAGGAATTGGTGCTTTATATGTTCGAAGAAAACAACCAAGAGTGAGAATTCATCCTATTATTAATGGAGGTGGACAAGAAGGTGGACGACGATCTGGTACTCTTCCAGCACCATTATGTGTAGGACTGGGTGAGGCAGCAAGAGTGGCAGCCGAAGAAATGGATAGAGATTATCAACATGTTTCCGAATTGTCACAACGGTTAATTAACAATTTGAGAGCCAAGTGTGAACATATTGAATTGAATGGTGATGAGATTCAAAGATATCCAGGAAATGTTAATATTAGTTTTGCCTTTGTTGAAGGAGAAAGCTTGCTAATGGCATTGAATTCTGTTGCATTGTCATCAGGAAGTGCATGTACAAGTGCTTCTTTGGAACCAAGCTATGTTTTGCGTGCCTTGGGTGTGAATGAAGAATTGGCTCATACTTCACTTCGTTTTGGTATTGGTAGATTTACTACCAAGGAAGAAGTGGACTACGTTGTGGAAAGAACTGCTGCAGAAGTTATTAGATTGAGAGAAGTGAGTCCTCTCTATGAAATGTTCAAAGAGGGTATTGATTTGTCAAAGATCACATGGAATGAACATTAAGCTGTGACCAAACAACATCCACAATTATCCACTACTCACTCATTGAGGCAAGCAATTAGAGATTATTCACGACATTAAGGATGACTCCTCATTACTTTTATAAATACTGTTAATAATAATAACTTGTGTTACACACATCCCAAGAATACTATTGTATCAAGGTTGGATGACAGATTCAAAAAATCGATAGCCGTTGCCCATTCTCGCCAACGTCTTCATTCACACGACCCAGATGATATCCGATTCATTTCGAAGCAGAGCAAAAAAATGTCCTCTTCATCGTCATCCACTCCGACCTTGGTCGAGACACCCGAAGCCTCTCTCACAGCAGCCGAAACGATTGCTCGATATGTCAACATCTTCAACAAGGTGACCGAGATTATCATTACCGAATTTCAAACTCATCCCTATCGTTCATTGATTGATTTATCAGTCGTGCTTCTCATTATTTGGTACATGATGAGCAAGAGACGTTCCGCTCCAACCACTCATAAACTTACGAAAAAACAAGAAGATGAAATCATTGAAGAATGGGAACCAGCACCATTGGTACCATCATCCGATGATGCCAGCAATATTGATGCTACCATCAATGCTATCAAGGAACACGAATATGTTCTCACAAGTGCTGCCGATGTTGAATTCACTGTTGAAGGAAAAGAAGGAAAGATTATCAACTTTGGAACCAACAACTTTTTAGGCTTTATCGGTGATAGAGATATCATTGAAAAGTGCAAGGATACAGTCCGTGAGTATGGTGTTGGTAGTTGTGGTCCTCGTGGATTCTATGGTACCATTGATGTCCATTTGGAATTTGAGAAGATTTGTAGTCGTTTCATGAAGACCGAGGCTTGTATTTTGTATTCGTTTGGTTTTTGTACCATCAGCTCGGTGCTTCCTGCCTTTTCTAAACGTGGTGATGTCATTGTTTGCGATGATGCTTGTAACTATGCCATCAAGACTGGTTGTCATTTGTCTCGTTCCGAAGTGATTTACTTTAAGCACAATGACATGGAAGATTTGGAAAATGTTCTCAAGAAAATTTGTGCGAACGACAAGGGAGCCACTCCAAATAATCGTCGTTTCATTGTTGTTGAAGGAGTTTATGAAAATTGTGGTGACATTGCTCCATTGAAGGAGATTATTGAACTCAAGAAGAAATATCTTGGCTTCAGAATTGCTCTCGATGACAGTTTTGGTGTTGGTGTTTTGGGTAAGACCGGCAGAGGTACCATTGAACATTTTGGCTTGGATATTAATGATTTTGAAATTGTTTGTGTCAACATGGAGAATTCATTTGGTTCGGTTGGTGGTGTTTGTGTGGGTTCACACATTATTGTCGACCACCAAAGATTGTCTGGAGCTGGTTATTGCTTCTCTGCTTCATTACCACCTTACTTATCAGTAGCTGCTATTGAAGCTCTTAATCGTGTAGATAGCGATCCAGAAACTCATTTGGTTCCTCTCCAAAAGAATATTTCGCTCCTTCACCAAACATTGGTCAAGAAGATTAACTTTAAGAATCTCAAGTTGGTGCTTCAACACCAAGAACAATGCCCAGTCTTTCACATTCGTCTTGCTGATGACCATCCTCTCAAGGAAGGATTTAACAATGCCAAAAAGCAATGGGTTGAGATTTCAAAGATTAAAACCAAGAATAAGAAACAACTCAATACCGCAAGCATGAACTTTTACAATGAGAGAAGCAAGATTCAACAAGTATTCAAGGATATTGTCTCTAAGGCTATGGATCAAGGAGTTGCTGTGGTCTGTCCAAACTACACTCACAGAGAAATTACTCTTCCAGAACCAGGTATTAGAATTTCTGTTTCATCCAAACATACGAAGGATCACATTGAAAAATGTAGCAATGTGTTGGCCACAATTTTTGCAGAGACCTTGTCACCTTCTAACTAATGAAGAGGATGTCATTCACGATGTATATAACAATTATTGCAGAATATAATAGTGAGTATGTATAATAAAGTTTTTGAAATTTCGATTAATGCTATCATTATGACATGATGAAAGTCGATCACAATGAACACTAAAAGTGAGAGAGAAGCAGAAAAAAATATATTTATTCAACAACAAACGCTCTCGTTGAAATGTCCTCGAAGAGTGCTTCATCCTCTTCGGAACGAGAGAGAATTAAAGTATTTGTGCGGTGCAGGCCTCATTCCGAGAGTGAAACTATTGAAGATCCCTCCTGTAAATCATGTTTGGAAATTCGGGGTAAAGATATTAAGGTTTATAGATCTGCCTTACCAACGAAATCGTTTACATTTGATGGAATATTCGGACCGGAAGTTACGCAAGAAGAGGTTTTCAATACGGTTGCTATTGAGGCGATCGATGACGTTTTTAAGGGTTATCATGCAACAATATTGGTCTACGGACAAACAGGAACAGGAAAGGTAATTGGAATGTGATAGTTGTTGATGGAAAATTATTAACATTTGTTGAATGAATGCTCTTCTGAATATTAGACTGTAAGTAGAATTTGGAAATGGGAAAACGTATATCGTGGTCATGAAATTAGCATACATTGAGCAACATTGATGAAAACAATTCTATTCAAAACGGTCTCATACCAAGAAGTGTACAGGAAATATTTAAGAGAATTAAAAACGATAACGACCATGAATATTCTGTCAGAATGAGCTACTTACAAATATACATGGAAACGTTACAAGATTTACTTCAACCAGAAAGTAAGAGTTTGCAAATTAGAGAGGACCCTGAAGGTAACATTTACGTATCGGGATTGAGTAATCGAGAAATGGGTAATTTTGAAGATTGCATTAAATATTACAAAGAAGGAGATGTCAATAGAACGACTGCACTGACTAAGATGGTATGTGGAGAACTTGCTTTGTTAAACTCCTAATCCATGCTTTTAAGAATGCAACATCTAGTAGAAGCCATGCCTGTGTAATTATTAATGTACAAAAGAGAGGGAAATTGAACGGCACAGAGGCAGTGGAAGGTCTAGACAAAAAGAAGGTGACCAGTGCCAATTTATTCTTGGTTGACTTGGCTGGTAGTGAAAGATTAAAAAAGACAGAAGCAGAGGGAATTCGAAAAAAAGAAGCAAATTATATTAACTTGTCTTTGACAACTCTAGGTTTAGTGGTTCACTCGTTGGAAGCTAATCATCCTCACATACCATTCCGAGACTCCAAATTGACAAGACTATTACAGGATTCTTTGGGTGGAAATGGAAAAACTCGGATTGTAGTCACAATTGCTCCAAATGAAGCCAATTGTCAAGAAACTGTAGGAAGTTTATTGTTTGGTGAACGAGCAATGAATGTAAAGACAACAGCTAAGGTGAACGAATCCATAGATTACAAAGCATTATGTGTCAAGCTGAAGGCCCAACTTGAAACCTTGGAGGGAAAATATAGCGAGCTTGAAGAAGACTATCTCGATGTTACACACGATAACGACAAGATGGATTTAGAGATTGAATCATTGATTGATGAGAACAAAAGTTTGAAAAAGCAGATAAAGATTTTGGAAAAAGAACAGATCAAAGAAAAGGAGAAAATTGTGTCTCTCATGAAAGGAGATTTGGCAGATTTGGAAAAGCAACATGAGATTCAAATTAAGGAGTTGAATCAACGAATAGAGACAATTTCAATAGAATATGCACAAGAGTATGCAGGCAAAGAACAAAAATTAACAGAAATCATCAACAAAAAAGCAAGCGAAATAGACCGCTTAGAAACAACACTAGGTGATAAACAGTCTGACATTGATGCCATGACAAAGAGGATTCAGGATTTGGAAAACGAAGTCGAGTTATTAACTTTCAACAATGAGCAACTCCAACGAGATTTGGAAATCACTGTGGAGCAATACGATAAACGCGAGAGTGAGCTTGAGAATGTACAAGAGCTAATTGAAAAATACGAAAAACAGGTGCTACTATTGAAAGAAAACATAACTAGGCAACAGGAAGATTTTAATGGAGAACAGGAAGCTCTAAAACAAACTATTAAGGGACTTGAAACAAAGATTCATGAAATGGAAGCACAATACTCCAGTGAAAAACTCAAACTTCAAGACGATATTGAGGAGCTCAAAAAGCTAAACCTTCTATTATCTTTAAACTTGGAGGATACATCTAAGGAACACGCAAATCAACAAAAGGAGTGGTCTAGCGAGAAATCAGAACTTGAACGACAGATTATTGGACTGCATCAAACAAAGAGTGACATGATTTCTCAAAATACTTCTCTAAACCTTGAAATCACCAACCTTAATAATTATATTCAGGAACTGCAACAGAGCGCCGTAAAATTAGGCGATGAATGGGACAATGAAATGAATAACCTCTTGAAAATTATTCAAGTTCAGGAGAAAGTAATACGGCACCATCAAGAACAATTCAAACACCATTTAATATGTCAAATTTCCAACGAGACTATCATTGACGGAATGATCAGACATAACCAATCCACTGAAATGATGTGTATGGAGTTAAGATTACAGCTTGAACAATCCGAGTCTGAATCCGATCTCCTGCGACAAAAGCTCGAAGAAGTTTATCTGAAGTCATGTGAAGTGTTTAGGACATCCATGAACAGACATATCGACCAGAAAATTAAGAAAGGCACAGAAAAATTTGGAAAACGTTTGCATGACCTAAGTAAGGAAGGTCAATTTATTCAATTATTTTCAAAGAAAGAGTCAATTCTTACCAAAAAAAGTCAAGCCCAAACTCCCGAAGAAATAGCAAGCGATACGCTAAACTATATGATATGGGCTTTGGAATACACAAGTCCGTCATGTGGAACTCTGTCCAACATGCAGCTTTCTGACGAGAAAACTCTCGATATTATCAATTCTCTGCTCGAAGAAAGCGAGAGACGAGTGAAATCTTCGAATAAGGACATTGCCAAGCATAAGGATGAAATTGACAACATATGGAGACATATCAACAAGACATTGTTGACTCTTGTGGAAAACAATCATGAACACAATGTGAATTATATTAACAATATTATTAATGATGAGAAATATTTGGAGCTCATTGAACTACAAGAAAAGGCCTCAGCATTGGAAGGTATTGATATTGATTTTATAGCTCCATCTAATATTCAAGATTTATCAGAAGAGACAATACATGTATTACAAAAGCTAGGAGACAAGTTTAAGCAAGATTTTGACACAATTAATTTGTACAGTAACTGGTTAGCAGTTGGCGGAGCTTTTTTGAACACCTTAATCGAGTGTGAAGATGCTAATTATCATGCATTATTATATTTAACTCATGAATTGTTGCATTTATTGCACACCACTCGAAATTTACTATTCCTGTTCGACTCGTCTGAGAGAGAGACGATTGTCTACAAGCTGTCATTGCATGGATGCGCCTCCAAGTTGTCCCAGTTTATTTCATCGGCTGAGGAAGTGAAACGAGAAATGGAAGAGCGAGTGCAACAATATGAGAATTTGAGGCGAAGCACTGATGCTGCTCTCATCATTCAACGATTCTATCGAAGATATAAGAAGAGAAAACAAGAAGCCATACTGTTGAAGCAGAAACAAGAAAGTGAAGCAGTCTTTCTCAAACAGAAACAGGAGCTTGCCGAACAATCGAGGCATCAGCTCCTAAAGATTCAAGAACTACAAATGTCTGAGATGAACTTCAAAGCAGAGATTGAGAAGCAAACAGCTAAAACTGGTCGAATGCTGCTCAAACAAAGTTTGTTGGAATTGGATAACATTTTCAATGCAATGAAAGAATACTTTCTGTACGGAGAGGACGATGACATGCCAGTGTCTCCATCATCTTCAAGACCAAGTACTCCCACATCATCACCACTTCAAGAACGCTCAAGAGCATTAAGCACTTCACCGCCAAATCCACTCAAAGAAAACTTTGGAGGGAGAGGTCGCTTATCGAGTGGGCAGTCTCGAGCGTTCAGTAATGCTTTCAACGACAAGGATTTGGAAGAATTGCACTCGTCCCTAGCATCTCGAGACTCCTCCAGCAAAGTTTCCCCAACAGCACGCAGAGTCCTCATTAAATCACTACCACAAGGAATCACAAAAAAGTAGGGGCTAAGGGAATAGGAAGTTACGCCTGTAAATAGAAATTTTCGCACTGGCTCACCAAAAACGATAAATAATAATTAAGGCAAAAATTAAATATATTTATTGCTTTCGCAAGTGTCTTTGGCAGAATGCTTCTAATCGGTCGTAAGCTTCCACAAGATCTGCTTTAGATGGGCAGGTCACTACCCTGAAATAGTTTTTCATTCTAAAGCATTGGCCAGGCAAAACCACAAGGCTTTCTTCCTTGAGAAGAAGCGACGAGAATTCCACATCGTCTCGAATGGACTCGTCGAACATGTTCAAATCGATACCTATCATGCAATACATGGCTCCTTGTGGTTTGATGGCAGAAAGACCCTTAATTTGTGAAACTCTTTCAGTGGTATAATCAGAACTTTCCTTCAGTGACCTGTTCACATTCTTGTAGAATGATTCATCGACCTTTTCCAGAATATCTGGTAAAGCACCTTGAATGAGTGTGTTGGCACCTAAAATCAATGTTGTTAACCTTTGAATACCGTCTCTTACAACATTCAAATAACCTTGTTTATCGTAAATGCAAATCCAACCAATTCTCCATCCAGGTACAAGGTACTGTTTTGCAATTCCACCTACGCTCAAAATTGGAACTGTCTCAGTTAACTCTGCCATTCTAACAAATTTCTTTGACTCGTCAAAAATCATATCTGCATAAATTTCGTCTGCAATAATTGGAAGTTTATACTCTTCAGCTAATTGTATAATTTCTGAAATATGTTGCTCGGAATATACTGAACCACATGGATTTGAAGGATTATTTACAATGATGGCTCTTGTTTTATCTGTAATGAGCGATTTGACATGATCCAAATCTACCTTCCAATCATCATTAGGCTTTAAATTGTAATACCGAGCTTCAATACCTTTGCTTCCAGCCAATGTGGTATACAGAGAGAAGCCAGGTTGTGGTATCAGTAATTCATCACCTTCGTTACACAAGGCTTGAACACAAATATCCAAAGCTCCACTAGCACCGCTGCAAATCACAATATCCTAATATTATTGCAAGAATAATATCATGAGACGTAATCATTACGGACATTAACATATTATCGGGTAATTTCAATTATCATCATTGGTTCATCATCATTATAGAAATTCAAAATTGAACGTCCATTCAACTTACCGAAGGCTTCAAATCATGATTTTTAGTAGAACATCGTTGTGCAACAGCTTTACGGGCATCATCTCGTCCCATGGATGGTGCATAGCCATTACATGCTCCACTCTTTACAGCCCGAATTACAGCCTCCTCTACGACATGATCCGTACGTAAATTTCCAAAGACCGTTGGGTCTCCAATGGAGAGTGAGAGTTTTTTCTTTTGTGGATTCAAGTCCTCATCACGAAGCTTATCAACAATTTGTCGGATGGGATTAACGGTTCGCATGGAAGAGAGAGAAGGCTTGATGGAGGACCATGAGGAAGTTTCGCGTCGTTGGTTCGTGGTCATTCTTTGTGTGTGTTGTTAATGATGATGATGGAATTGACTTGTGTGGTGTTGAAAAAGATTTTGGCTGAACTAGTCTTGAAAGTGGTGGCTGTTGTGTGTGAATGAGGATGTTGCTGTTATTGTTTGTATGGCAACAATGCAACGATTATTTGTGTCTCACAAATTCAGCCCAAGTTATTAAAAGATGTTTGTAGTGACTTGATTCAAAAATCTTCTTGAGAAGTTTTTTTTGCGTGTTGTAAACTCGATTTCAGGTCGACCCAAGGCGGGTATTTTTAGTCGTGCCTCGTTTTGTTAATTTTCCAACGTTGCACTGAACGAGGCACAACGAACCAATCAATATCAACTTGAACAAACCGTACATCGGCTCAGCAACGCTAAATTCATCACATTCCTCAAAGATTCGCTAAAGTAACTTGTCCTTAACCTTATTGACTGCATTTATTTTTGTAGCGTGATTTTTTCTACAGCCTGAAGAACTTGTTGCATGAAAACTTTTAACTTTTTTTGAAACCCTTGCGTGATCTTTGTCTCACAGTGCAGGTTGAAAGCCGATACAACAATGAAAGGATTAAAAATAAATTTACTTCATAAAAATTTAACTTTTTGACCTTGGTCATCCCTTCTTGAATTGTCAAATGCAATCTACTTCTGGTCCTCTCCATACACAGGATTTATTGGACATGTTGCCAAACACTCCATCTTCTGATGAACTAATCACTCAACAACAAATCGTTCAACTTATGAACGACATTTTAAACAACAAACAAAGGGAGGCGGGCCAAAACGAAGAAGAAGATGAAGAAGAAGAAGACGAAGAAGAGTTATCACTCACGCCAGCACAACTGGAGAGATTAAAAAATTTGGGATACTGATTTTTCAGTAAAGTAATCCAACGAGTAAAATCGAATTTACAACCGAATTTATTCTACTTCATAGCATCAGTCTGTCCAACTCACTTCTCTCACCAGGCGCATTCTGTGTTGTGCACTACAAAAGCTATGGATAAACTCATGTCATCTACTGCCCGAATGCGATTCAGTTTTTGATTCATCTAGATTAAGGACGTTGTTGAGTTTTTTTTTGAAAACCTCAACAAGAGTTGAAACTTTATCAGTGTTGAATGACTCATTGAATTGAAACTCTTTCAACTTGATTCATTCTTTTCGTCCGAACTGATCATGGAAAAGTGAACGCCTTGACAATTCCTTATCCACCCCCAAAACAACACTTTTGATTCAAAGAATGAATAAATGGTTCGTCAGGAACTGTCTGTTGATGAATATATTGACTTGTTGAGCTTGTAATAAATTGTGGCTTTTATTCTTTCATTTTAATGCTGACAAATTTAAAACCGTTTATAAAAACAAAACCTCCAAAACAAACAAGGTTATTAATAAACCTTGCGTCATCAGGACTGTGTTTTAGCGATGGAAGAAGTTGCTGTAATTGTTCATTTGGCTTCAACGGTGCACATCGAATCCATTGAGGTCAATCAACTTCAACAAACCGTACATTGTTTCATGCACTTTACATTCATCAACTGCCTCAAAGATTTATTTCAGTAACTTGTCCTTAACCTTATTGAAATCATTGACTGCCTTTCTAATTGTTGCATGAGTGATGGCAGACACTTCTTCAACGTCGATTTCTGTTTTACGGAATTTCTGGTCTGAATGGTTCTCAGAAGCAAACACAATACAAGCCGCAGCAACTGTAGATGGGTTTTTACCTGCATCTGCACCAATTTCAGCCACTCTTTCGGCAGTGTCAAGAGCAAATGACAAAATCTTGGTTGGAAGTTTCAGCTTTGAAGCAAAGCTCTCGATATATGATTTTGGTGAATTGCTGTCTGCAATGGTAAGATCTTTCAATGACTCAATTTTACCAATTTCCATGATCATCTTGTTCAATTTCTTTTCCTTAACTCCTAATAGAGCACATACTTCTTTGAGCGTCACAGCATGACCCACAACCTTTAATCCCTTATATAAGCATGCACCTAAAGCCTCTTTTTCATTCCTAGAATTAATTTTGTTATTTTCACTGAGTACTTTAAATATTTGTTGGACTGTGGTGGCTGCTCTTGATGGAGCTCCAAACTCATCAACCCATTTGTTAATTTCGCTGAATGCTGTTTTCAATCTGTTTTCAATCTTTTCTGTTGTTTGCTGAATTTTCATTTGTGTTCGCATCAGGCTACCCGATTGACCAGGTACTCGGGCAATGGAAGTTGCCAATTGACCTTCCAATAATTCATTGTTACTTGCTTTAGAAGCACGAGCCTTGTCCTCGCCTCCTTCATCATTTTGGAAATTTCTATGTTCTTCTTCACGAGAAATTAAATAGTTTGAAACGACTAATCCGCATCCTCGACACACCATACATCCTTGAGCGTGATCTTCCACTACATCTTTATCACTCTTACAATTCGAGCAATATAATGGAGAGTGTTGCGGATTTGATATTTGATTCAAAAGTTGTTTTTGATATTTGCTGAGTTTAGGAATGTCTTGTGGTGCTCCCGAGATGCGACTCGCAGCACTATTGGCTGATGACGAGTGAGTGGTAATGGATGATGAGAGCATTTTTTTTATTTGATTTTTATTTCATAAACTTCACGAATAAATTTATTCGTCGTGAGTTCCCAACGTGTCTTAAATACATTGTAATTCAATCTCTACGTTGCAATGGTTTTACACCCGCAGCAGTCAATCCAGCAAATAAGATGGTTCCAAATGCATGACCTAAAGCAATTCCCATCTCTGGTTTCTTTAAAATCAAACCAGTTAATCCTCCCAATACCACACTACCGAGCCATGCTTGTTGCCACATATTACAATGAATATTACTAGCAAATGTCAATAATAATTGTCATCACCATTCCACAACACTTACTGCTTGATACGGAAAGCTCGATCATCAAAATTATTTTGAGTGAACGTTCGAGCTTTGCCATAATAAAGAATCGAACCAACGAGAAATCCTATCGTTGTTCCTCTCCAAATATATTGTGGAAGTCTAGTGTTCAGAAAGTTAGAAAATGAAAGCGTTGGTTCTTTCCTTCTTTTCAAAAAGTAATGAATAGGAGTGTAGATGGCACCTACGAAGAATGAACACGCCGTGGAGCAGAATAGCATGCAAGATCGGAGCCAAGATCATTTTCGTAAAGAGAGAACGATGATGATCAATAACCTACCAAACAATCCTCCGACTTGAACGGTGCAGCTAATGACATGCATGAATAAAAAGGTTTTTGGATTTGCAACTTTATCTGCCTCTGGGATGATCACTTCGTTGCTAGTTGTTGCTGCGTTGGATGATGACATGATGAAAAGAGTGGTCTAATTGTTTTTTTGATTGGTGGGCCAGATTGGAGATTTTGTTAAGCTAAAATTCCTATTGGAGGACAATTGTGACTGAGGACATTTTTCATTGAGCACTTGTTTTTTAGTTCCTCCACTAATGAATTGATCAAATAGGTGAGAGCCTTTTGACTAGACTGACCACTGGATGCATTTGCATTTGATTGTTTTTGAATTCCTTCCTTTTACTAAACAGGAATTATTGGAAACAAAAAATGAACAAACATCAAGAACCCTTCACAGATGAAGAATATCTGTATGGTCATTCGGAACCTCATCATCATTACCAACATTCCGATGATTCATCATCAGTGTTATTTCAGTCCATTCAAATTTCAATTCCCGTTCTTCCATTCATTGTCATATTATGTTTGATTTCAATCATTGTTATATTACGAATGATTAAATTTGGGCAATGGACTATTAACTGGCAAATAATTGCAAAAAGTTTTCGACATCAAGTGGTTCTACTCTGCTTATTTGTGGAAATTCCTCTCTTGCTTTTTTATTTATTTTCATTGATCAAGCACGGAAAGAAAGATAGGCTTCTTGCTGTGGTTCTCTTGTTGAATGGAATGTTTTCTGGGCTCATGAGTTTTATGCAAGAGAAGAGTCTTGGATTTCTTGTATCATTAATGGGCTGTTTTATTGCTAGTCTTGTAATTGATGAAGCACATGTGAGAACCATATTACTTTGCTTGTGCTTTGTTTTAATTGTGATGGTAGGTTGTGTGAAATTTAGCGTGAGTGTGAGGATATATTTGGACAATATTTATTGTGTCTGTTGACCCCTTTAATAATTGTGAAAACGTAAGAAAATTCGGAAAATCATCTTCCAAAACGAAAACATGGAGAGTGAACAGTGGCAAGACAAGAGATTTAGAAACGTCAGATTTGAAAACGACTCGTTGTACCCCTCTCGTGACAGCGACGATAGAAACAGTCTTCGAAATAGGTTTGAGAATTATTATCGAGCTGGTCAATCACAGGTTGAGGACAGATTGATAGCAAATAGGTTTGACACTTTCGTGGCAGATGAACACACACCTACTGACGATGACCTGATTCATCAAGAACATGCAGAATCAAGAAGTAAGAGTGCCAATAGCGACTCGTCAGTTATGAGCTTCTTTCGTAGTTTTCTTCCAAATCGATCCTCGAATTTACCCAAACAACAACAGCCAGATATTCTTGAACGAAAAGCAGTCAAGCTTCAAAGACCTGTGACTGCCTATGAAAGATATCTCAATTCTCGAAATCAACCCATTAGGCCTGTACGGGAATCTGCTTCCCCACTTGATTCTTCAACTAATAGGTCTACATTTACCCATGCAACAACAACTTCTGCTACTACGGACTCTGAAACCGCATTACAGAACCGACCTTGGTCCTTAAGATATTCGACAACTTCAAGCAATGTGCATCCGTCCGTAGTACAAGCTCAACAACCTTCCTCCATCACTCTCGCCTCATCATCCCGCCCAGAATCTTCCAGTTATCCCTCCAATGAAGCTCCAATAAGGCAAAATGTGATTCGATCCTCCTCTCCACAAGCTCCATCCATTCATCGAGTTTCCTTCAACCATAATCCCACCTCATCTCCACAAAATCGATTTGGGGACATATCCTCCACGGAAGATGAAGAGTTCATTCCATCTACGTCCACCTTGTACACCACGGATGATGACGATCAATAATGAGTAGATTTTGATTCCCAAGTTCAGGAGCGGAAGCCAGAGCTCACGAAAAAAATATTATTATTGAGGTTTACGCTCTCGAGGGCACATTTCCAAAAAACTACGATCCACGTATCGAATAGAAGCCTTATTATCTTGAATAACTCTGCTGTAGCTTACTCTTGATCCATACCAAGTATTATTAAGGCTGATTATACCATTGAATATTTACAGACTCATAAAAAGTTCTTTTGGCACATACAGTATAGATGGGAAAAGGAACAGTTGTACCAACTTCTACTAGTTCTTCTATTGAATTTCAGACACGGAAAACAGGATTAAGCAAGAGCATTTCACGATCATCAGCAAGCTTTGGTGTCGTACGAAAGAGTACTTATTTTCATTCTGATGATGAAGCTTACTCGGAGAAGGCTGAACGCCGAGAGAGAAACCCAGTGATTGCTTGCTTACTCTCAGTACGGCTATTCATCATTGTCATAATTACACTACTCATTGCACTTTGTATCTTTTCGATATGGATTACATCCTACGTAACCAGCCAACACACAGCATTACAGAATACGCAGACTCTGTTTAAAACCATGAACGTACAAGTCTCTAATTACCTTTCCTCCCAAATAGTACCAGCTCGATCAGTTGCTCAAACCATTGCTGATGATTATCACAACAGTGTTGTTGGACTCAATTTGAACGTCATGCCTTACTTGTCAAGCAAGATGAAATGGTTTGGAGTAACAGGTGCCAATCTATGTCTTGGAGAGGAAGGATTGAGCGTTCTCTATGCTTATTCTCTTTCTGTATCAGCCCAAGGCACTGATATTTTGCTAGGTGCCTTTCAACCAAATGCCAACTCTAGGTTTTTGATGTTCATATCTAATATGGACACAGGAGAATTATATTACGACCAGATGGTGAGAAACATTTCATATGTAGTGTCTGCTACTGATTATTACATTGATTCCGTCAAGATGTTGAAGACCAACTCTGAAGGAGGCTTCGGCCCCGTATACAAGGTGATTAACAGTAAGTAATGCTGTTGTATTTTGAAAGATTTATGGGTAACATGGTTTTTCAAGGTGGGCAAGCCATGTACTGGTCCACTCCTGTCTACGACAAGAGCTTACTTCCTCATCAAAAGAAACGATTAGGAATCGTTAAGGTCAACGTTTCCCTATTTAAAATTTCTCAATATTTGCTTTCAATGTCATTGCTTTCGAAAGGTTTTTTTGTAGTCACCGAGAATGATAGCAATTATGTCATTGGTGCCAACTTTGTTATTTCAGGACTGGATAATGACCGAATACCTGTGACAAATGTTACGGAAAAAGATACAAACATCATTTTCCAAAAATTATTGAACGTAAATCCACAAGATGCAGACATAATCAAAATTCATGCTAAGGGCGTCGACTATCTAGTATCAACATTTTCATATTCTTTGTTTAATTTAAAGTGGAGAATCACAATGATTTTGCACGAAGGAGAGGTACAACAAGGAAGCATAATTAGTAGCTATATCATTCTGGGAGTGGCATTGTTTCTTTCTTTATTTGGAATTATAGCTAGTATTGTGCTTGGCTGGATTGTTACCAAACCGCTACGAATTATTCAACAAGACCTACTCAAAATTGAAGTGCTTGAATTGGACGACGTTGTTGAGCATCACTCAATATTCACAGAGCTGAAAAGCATTTATGCAAGCCTTATAGAAACAGTTACTGACCTTAAAGAGATAAAAACATTTATCCCAGAGTCTGTTTTGAATCAATTAGGCCAGAGCAAAGATTTACCAAAGGAAATGACAGCTTTGCACAACGAATCTCCATTGCATGACAATGATAGCGGTCATTCTCAAGCTTCAGTTAGCAAACACAGCTCATTGCCAATAACTAAAATGGTTGGAAACATACTGAAGCTCGGTCTACAAGAAGTAGAGATAAGTGTACTGTATGTGCAAGTACGTGGGTTGACAGAGCAGGAATTTGTTAACCCCTCTGAGTTAGGAAACGCTGCCAGCAGAATCATCACGTCCATTTCGAACATATGCCGATCTTTAAAGCTGGATTTACAAATTCGAACCTATGATGAATTTGTCATCCCGTTTAACAGTGTGACTGCCCAGTCAGTTGAAACTGCCATGAAAATATCATCCATACTTTCTAAAGACATCTCTGAAGCAGAAGAAGCCATAAAATTTCATATTGGGGTTGCCTCTGGCTTCGTTTTGCAAGGCAATATTGGAAGTAAGAATCACAGATATCATGCATTAATTGGATCATTAATGGAGAAGGCACAATATTTGTCGAAACTGAACGCTTTTTTCAATACTACTATTATTATTGACCAAACCACCTTTAACCATGCCAAAGATCAATTCTTTGTAAGGCCAGTAGAAAGATATCTCATGTCAAAAGACATTGAAACCGTTTATCAAGTCCTCAAACCAAATCAAAAGTGCGAAGACGATGAGTGGATGTATGTGTTAGCACAAAACAAACAAAACGACACGTACAGAAAATATTCAGCTAATTTTGCAAGATTGTTTTTGCATGAAAATGAAAGCCAGGTTGAAATAGCTGTTGACTATTTCAAAGACTATATTAATTCCCATTTTCACCACAAGCAAAAGGACCATATTCTCGAAAGATTAGAGAATATTTTAAAGCAACGAGAAGAAGTTGTGAATTTTAATTTTTCTAAGTATCATTCTAACATTAGGGATGAGCTTTGTGGATATTTCAATTCCACTAAATTAAGGACAGAACATTACTGATTGTCAGAGCTATTTTCGAGCTTATTTCTTTTTCTTTGATTTTTTGCCACTTGCTTTCTTTTCAGGCTCCGATTTCGAAACTTTAAAGATGGGTATTTCGAGCGGTTGGTAGGGTGTAGTGAGAATAGCATCAAAGCTACAGCTATTTAAAATAGAGTGATCATTGCCCGGCAACAAAACACCTTACTTACTGCTTTAGAAAGTTATCTTTAAATCTATTATAATTTCGTGTGGCTGTTTCCGTTCTAGGATGTGTGTGACCAAGTTTTTCTCGGAGAACTTTCATTCCTTGTAAATACAGATCATTGGCATTTTGAAATTCCCCAAGGCATTGTTGGCTGCATGCCACATTAACAATTGAGACTGCTGTGTCTACATTATTTTCTCCAACCAAGGCACGCCTTATTTCCAAAGCCTTAGTAAAGTACTTGTTTGCTAACAAGAATTGTCCAACATGGTAAAATACGCTACCAACACAACTGTACGGGATGGCAGAGTCACAATTGTTCATATTTGCAGCAAACTTTTTGGCCTCCATAAATTCGCTAATAGCTAAATCGTCGTTACCTAAACTTTGGTAAACGAGCCCAATGGCACACCTGAAATATACCAATACTTGAGGACTCAAGAAATCTTTATGCATCATACTATCTTTTAATTCCTCCTCAATATCTTTCTCCAAAGCCAATCGTCTCTCGTTCTGTTCGGTAAGATCCAAATTTTTCGAAATTTCTACAAAATCTTCCATTCTCAAATCAATCAACTCTTTTTTTCGTCTAATGTACTCGTATTCGATCCATAAATTTTGAGCTCGAATGTAGCCATCAATAGCTTGTTGATATAAACTCGAATTATGATAGTTCATCGCAACTTCAATTAATTTTGCAATTTCTTCATTCGGACATGGGGGAGCGAAAAGAACCTCTCGGATGATGCAAGGAATGTCTTGCTCCTTTGGTTCATATTTGAGACGATATGAATTCAAATGTAATGGATTCTGTTGGTGTTGCTTGATCATGATTTTTTTAAATTTCAAATCCCATCTTGCAACAGCTTGTAAACTTTTTAGCGCCAAATCGAAACGTTTGATGAAATTCAACTATCAAACAAGTTCGTTTATTTGATAGTTTGAACTTCAGAAACAGTATTGGGGTCCATGTTTTCAATATTTTCGTGTGACTGTACAAAGTGAGTGTTTGGTTGAAATCCAAGAGTTACAGAAGTCCGTGTGGGCATTGGTATGGTCTCTGCTGGTCTAGCAAAATCGACTGGCAAATTGAAATGACTAAATTCATGTTGAAAGATTGGGAGTTGCGGTAATTGCATGCTTGAAGATGGGTTTAAGGGAATTCGAGCTGCAGGAGGAGGTGACACTAGATTCACAACCACTTGTGAAGAATGAGAGCTGGATGAACCTGCCTTACTCACACGTCTGTGTTGATTCTTTGAAGAAGGAGTGTCAGAGGCGAGATCTACGACGGTTTTTTCTTGTTGACGTTTCAAATAGTTGCTAATGGTGTGTTTTTTCTGTACGGCGGCATCATCTTCATAATTAAATGATTCGTTCAAGTAATCATCTGATTCTACTGAATATAACATGTCATGCCATGTCACACCATTAATTTCTTCTAATTTTTCTAGATCTTTCACATGCGACTCAAGTTCTTCATAAATTTTTCCTTTTGGATGCAATGACTCGAGAAGCTTCTGTGTTTCTGATGATCTCTTATCTCGTAGAGTGAAAATTTCTAGCAACTCTTGTTCAGAAGTAAAGTAACGATATTGATTCTCTTTTACCAGTGTATTCTTAATTAAACCATCCTTAATCACTTGCCTTCTATACATAACCTCTTCTATAGTTCCTACATTCACAAGTCTGTAAGTGACAACGTTTTTGGTTTGACCGACTCTGTAAGCACGATCCACAGCTATAAGAAATATTTCAAAATAAGTAGTTGATGCGGGACACGAAAAATTAGTATCATACTAACCTTGTTGATCTGTAGCAGGATTCCATGATATATCTAAAATTATGCATCTGGAAGCTCCTGTCAACGTGAGTCCAACACCTCCTGCGCCAGTTGTGAGAAGAAAACAGCTATATGACGGGTCTTTTTGAAATAACTCGACTCTGCTTTGTCTCTCTTTTGTTGACGATATTGTTCCATCAATTCTTAACACCTTCAGCTTTAAATGCTTCCTAATGATATGTTCGACAATGTCAAGCATGGATGTGTATTGTGAAAAAATTAAGGTTCTATGGCCGGTTCTCTTGTGTTCTTTGAGTAATTTCACCATCACTGTCAATTTAGAACTTTCAGCAATCAGAGTTTCACAAGGAATGTCAGAAACATCAATATGTTCCTCCATTTCTTGAGATAACAATTTTTCAATATTTTCATCATCATCTTCTTCTTCAGAGTTGTCATCAATCTTACTTAAAAATGTGTCTGCATTAGCATTCAATCTCGGATGGTCACACATTGTTCTCAGCGCAGAAATTGCAGATAAAATACAAGCTCTATCCGTATTTTTGCTCAAAATTTGTCTAACAGTCTCTGATTTCAAATAGTTAGTGTATAGGACTTCTTGAGCCTTTGCTAAATAACACCATAGCACTAGCTCATTTTTCTGGGAAATCTTAGCTTTTCCTGTTCCTTGCTTTTTGAGAATGCTCGACATACCAACATTGTGGTCACTTTCAAGTACCTGGCTTTTGAGTCGCTTCAAAAAATAAGTAGAAATTAATGCTCTCAATTTTTGGCTAAGCTTGTTTCCTAATATTTTCTGGGTATTTGAGGCATCTCTTCGTCGAGATTTCACAATGTCAAGTTCATAATTTTTCTTAAATTCACTTCTATTTCCAAGAATGTTATTTCCATAAAATATGTAATCGTATATAGCCCACATTTCAACTAGCTTGTTCATTAAAGGCGTTCCCGTCAGACAAAATTTTGCCTTACTCGTAACCTTTCTCAAATTTGTAGCAATAGCAGTCTTTTCATTCTTGATTTGATGAGCTTCATCAACAATGGTAACGTCAAACTCTTGCTTTGCACAAATGGATGCAAATAATCCAATCTTGGAAACCAAGGTTCTATAAGTTGTGATTAGCACACCTGGATGTTTTTTGGTGTGACTGTGGAATGATTTTATCATGTATTCAAATTCTGACTTTTGTAGAGCATGGAAGAGATACGGAGTAACAAGGGGAGCCCACTGACGCAATTCACTAATCCACGTCTGCAAAACGGACAATGGAGCTACAACCAAAAAGCGCTTTCCTGCTTCAGCTGCTGCAATTCCAGATAAGAAACTCGATAATTGTACAGTTTTGCCAAGCCCCTACATGAGTTGAAGTTGTGAGTAAAAAGAAAGACCATAAAGACTTATGCCTGCTTACCATTTCATCTGCCAAAATGCCGCCTCTGTAAGTACTATCATTATATCGTTGATTTAGCCATTTGATTCCCTCTTTTTGAAAGCTGTAAAGCTTGTTATACATTCTTCCTTCTAGCATGAAGTTCTGGAGGTAATAGGTGGCATCATCACCTTCATCATCTGTCTTCCAACCATTTGGTAACTCTGTGAGCTTGGGAGGATTTTTGATAAGCCTCTTGTATTTCGATTTTAACTGGGCGGTGCTTTGGGTAGTTTCTGATTGGGTCGCCTCTTCAATTTCTATTAAGGCATTGACATCAATATCGTCACTATTAATGGATATCAAATCAATTTCTTGAGACATGGTCGTTTCTTCAAATTCTTCATCATCTTCAGTTTCTTCTCCTGTTTCAATCTCCTCCTCATCTGTATGGACCTGTATGACTGCTTCCTCTTCTTCCTCAATTTGGTTGGTGCTTTGAGAGTCTTCAGCATCATCGTCCACAATAAAATCTTCCAGATCTCTTTCAATAATGCGTTTCTTTTTCTTAATTTTTTCTGTAATATTGGAACCAAATACAATATGTTCATCTTCTGATGAATCATCTCTTTGCTGTTTGGAAGGTTTAGCACTCGTTGTTTTTTTCAGTTTTTTTGATGAATGATTAGTCTGTTTGTAATGCAGAATGGCTTGCAAGTCTTTGGATGCTTCCTCATCGGATGAAATTACGATGGCACTACTACTATTTTGACTGTTGGAATGGACATTGTTGTTACTAGCTGTTCCGTGATCATCATCGGTTTCGGAATCAGATATCATGGATATGGTACATCTCGGAGGAGAGGAAGAAGCAATTCCTTGCTCTTTCTTCTTCCTATAACTCAATAGACTTTTCTGAATGGTAGGAACTGTATTTTCCTTCTTCTTGGTCTTCTTACGTTGCGGTTTATCGTCAATCTCCTCCGATGATTCAAAGGAATCATACAGTTGGTCTTTTGGTCGTTTGCTTTGTTGCGTTGATGGGTTACTTTTTGAAAAACTATTGCTGTTACTACGAATTGGACGAATTGGGGTTGCATTTAATACCACATCTTCTTCATCCTCCGAAACATCAAATACGATGGGTGGCGTCATCGATTATGTTCCATCCGTGGCTGGAATGCTTCTATTTTTTTTGAAAGAAATACCACAAAAAATTTCGTGTTTCACAAATTTCAATTTGTTGAGGTTCATAAAATTCATGGTTTTGTGGTGTTTGGATTGAAACGTCTCTGCTGTATAACTATTCTGTTCAGAACAATTATTTCCAATCTCCAATAACCTTTGTTTGGAATAAATCTCTGGCAATTTCTTTCACTTGTTCCAAGGATTTGCCAAATGTGTCAACATACACAGACTCCACTTGCTCGTTTGTTTTTTCATTGTGTTCCTTCAATTTTTGAAGAATTTCTGAAGTCGAAAGCTGCGCATTAACACGATCTTGAGCTTCTTCAAGTGTAAGATTGTTACGTTTACATAATCTTTCAAGTCTATCGTTAACGTTGGACACGTCAATGACCCATACCTGGTCAATACCATGTTGCCAATCCGCCTCAACCAAAACTGCAGCTTCTATTAGACACACAACTTTGTAATTTTCTGTGGCCATGTCTTCAGCTTTTTTCATCTCAATTTCAATGAGACGTCTAATTTCTGGCCAAACAATATCTGTCAATTTTTTCATTAATTGTTGATCTTTAAAAACAATTCTTCCTGTATCATTGATATTACATCCAAAGTTATTGAATTCAATTTGATAAACGTATTTTGTCAGCACAAAAAATAATTAATTAATTATTGTTTATCTCATGTTCGAAATCCACTCACCCAATACTCTCCTATTAATTTGACGAGTTTGTGCATCCACAAGTAATGATGGATCTTCCCCTAATTTTTCTTTCACTAATGATCCGAATGCTTCAATCACTTGATGATAACATGGCGTATCGACCTCATAGGCTTTCCATCCGAGTTCATCTGTCGGAATGATATGAAAATGAATGAGCGGTACATTTGAATGAGTATTCGCTTCGGAAGATGATGATTGCTGTTTGGTTTGCAATGTTTCATGCTCTGTTATTAATTCTCGGAGATAATTCATCATGGTGGATTTTCCAGAACAAATTCCACCGGTGATCCCGATGGTTTTGAGCTTGTTTGTAGACATTTTTTAATGTTGACAAGTTTCAAGAGCTTTCAAATGGTTGTTAGAAGGTTGGGGTATCAAGACAGCTAAACTATTGGAAAGACTGACTGTCATCAGCGAAAGCAGTGTTAAATAACTCCTTATCATCATGAGAGCGACGTCCATCTCAACACTGGTTCCATCGTATACTCACAATCTTGCACATGGGAGATAAAACTCCTTTCACATGCCTCAATGAATTTTCGTTTTCCTTATTTTCGAATATTTTCACTGTCAATCTCTACATCTAAAAATCGAAACATATTTTCCATTTTATAAACAATCACATGACATGTCATGCGATTCACAACCTTGACTTTCGCGAACTCTGCTCTAAAATTTTCCATTCTCTTCTTAATTGTGAATTTTTTTGGACCTCACTAAAAAAGTCCAAATGCAATGTCGTGCCAATTCTGATCTGAGAAAGCATACTTGGAGACTCGTTATTAAACCAAGCAGTCAACTGAAATATGGATTTTTGAGATGCATTATGTTGAAGATGCACTCCATGTTAGGAAAAGAGATGATACATTTTAAGAGTAGGAAGTTTCTTTTGTTGGGTTCAATCCGTTCGAGTGGAATTTATGCATAGATGTGTAGAACTCAGGTGTCACAAGAAAATAATTCTTCATTCACAACTGATTGCCTTTTCCACGTCTAGAAGAATTTCGCTTTTTAAATGCAAGTGTTCTTCATACATTTCTACAATGTCAAAAAGAAAACACGAGATCATCAAGCAGCCAACACTCTCAAACAATTCACTTTTTCCAAAATACAATGTACTTTCATTCCAATCGAGCGGATTTCGACAATGTTGAACAAGACGATTATGACTTGTTCTTTTGTATGTCAGACGACACTCCTAATACCTCTTCCGATATGCTTCAGAATGATCTCGAAGGAGCCAAGCGAGATTTCAGCAGCAGCGACTCGGGAAGTTGTAGCTCAATGGATATTCACCAAGACGATGACCTGTCTTCAGATTCACCAAAATGAATCTGTTTTCCTCGCGATTTAATCAATGGCCTGGTTTCCAATCGACATCTATGAAATGCTGGAATATGGCTGAAGAAGAAGACGGGTTCTTGCCTGAAGCTGAAGTGAGCTTTGTCAATGAAACCAATTCTTTCCATGCTGGACAGATGCCTATGTTGTCTGCCCATGTTGGAATGGAACGTGAATCATCAGTCGCCATGTTGTATGCTCCTTTCACAGAATCCCCCTACGAGAATTCTGTTGTAGACAAGAAATGTTGGCAAATTCCTCAATTCAATGACGCCATCCGTTGCATGTTGCTTCCTCCCATCATTCTCTCTTTCATTTTGGAGTTCATTTAAATATTGAGGGTGATGTCATGACTCATTCCTTACCAATGGTAAACAACACTCCGAGGCTCCCATCTCGTCCACAACCAAAAATGCATCAGGTTCTTCTGAAGTGAAAGAATCTTCGTGCAGAACTCCAAATGTTACCGAGACATTGGACACATTTAATATTCAACTCAGCTCTAGCTCTAGAAGTGATCTTGACGGAAGCAGCACTGAGCCAGAAACTTCGAGCCCAATTACAAATTCTTGCAGTACCAAAGGTAAATCGACTCATACCAACAACTCATCTCCCAAGAGAAAGCGCACTCTCATTTGTGACTCTGAAACAGAGGGAAGTACAGAGGACGACCAGTGTTTGGTCATTGACGATAATTTAACAGAAAACATCACCATCCTTGACAAGCAGAGACAGCAACTTCAGCGAAGAACCAAGGCTCCAAATCCAGAAAAGAAACTTCGAAAGAAGAAAATTAGTGCCACCACAAAGAAGTCTGCTTGTCCAAGAGAGGAACCAAAGCGAGAAGACGCAACGAACAAGGAAATTATCCAACCTTCGGCTAGCTTGTGCTCAGAAGAATTTAACAATTCCAATCATAGTCCTGTAACATCTACACTCAATTTAGTTGATTTTGGTGTAGAATTTCCTAATGTTCCTCACTTAAAGATTGAGCTCGACATGCCATGTCAAGACAATTACGTGAAACCTTCTATTTACAACAAGCAAGGCAAATGGACCAAGGACGATTCCATCCTTTCAAAATTTAAAGTAATAGTCTCCACTAGTGGTGGAATGAAGAACATTGATGTTTCCAAGATGAGGTTACTGGTAGTCACTCAAAAGAACACTAGCAAGCCAGATGGAGCCATTCTCAATGTTAATCTCATCACAGATTCACAGTACGTGACTCCCAAGTCCAACAAGCCCATGACCATGTACTATTTGGATAAGGATCCCAACGAGAATGATCTTCTTCAAGTCATTGAGATTGAACAATACGAAAAAAACCAAGCGATTTTCACTTGTCAAGTTTCCTCCTCCAACAACTCTGGATGGAAGAATAAGTATCACGAGTACAAATTGATTGCCATTGAGACCAGCTCTGCGGATCATTATGGATGCTTATCGGAAGGTTTTAAGGTAGCCAAGTGTCCCAAGCGTAAAGACCTTGCTTCTGAGGAGTCTCGTCAATGTAGTACTAGTGATAATGCATCAAACAGTGCTGGGAGTGAGATGATTGTATCATCTACCGCTGTTGATGATTCAGAAGTTGTGCTGGAGCATGTATACGTTGAAGAAAATAACAAGAAGAGAAAGCTCAAGGTTTTGGAGCCAACCTTTGTAGTACAAGATGGCAAGAAGTACAAGATTACCATTGAGCCTGTTTCCGAATAAATCATGGACTCACAAAGTATTTAAAAAAGTTGTAAATTTACCCTCCTTTTTCTTTTACAATTTCAAATTCAAAAAATGATGAAACAGAAAAGCAGCGGCACCCTAATGTCATCTGACCAAACAGGCCTCTCCGAAGTAGAGGTTGCTGCTCAATCATCGAGCGGTGGTCTTTCAAGAAAAACTCTTCAAACCATCGAGAGAATGTCGCAATCTTCAAATCAATCCCGAACGTCATCCCGACGCATGAGTACTACCACTTCAAACAATCTAGAGAGTGCTGGCAAGGAGGATTCTTCTTCATCATTGAAAAAACCAAGCACTCCATCCCGTAGATCATCACAAACTTCATCATCTGCGAACGACAAACTAAATACATTTATGAAATATTTGGAAGATGTTGACAAACAAAGTGCAGTATCTTACACTTCAGAAATTTCTGTCCCTCCACAATCGTCCCAAACAAAAATTATTCCCCCTTCACCTTCTCATTCTTATATTTCCTCAAATTCTTCTGCCTCCAAAGTACTAAATAATTCTATGGATTTTGACGATTTCTCTCCTCCAAATTCCAATCCAACAGGTATGCTACTTTTCAACATGATGGTTCTTTCTAATTCGTTTAACCAATTTTATTAATCTGAACTAGCTGCTGCCGCTTCATTGTATGATGGTGTCAAGTCAAAAATGAATGCTTTAAAGAATAAGGTAGCTGAAAAAGACAGGAGAATATTATTGCTCGAAGAAAAAATTGCCAAGCTAAAAGAAACTGTAAATAATGCAGAAAAGATATTGTACGTATAATTTTTATCTTAACATTGCAACTTATGTCATTACCAACACCGTTATCCACTCATTTCAATAATTGCTCAGCTCTGCTCAAGAAAAACAAAAGCTGCAAGAACAACAAAAAGAATTTGAAATTTCATTTGCCAAACAAGTAAAATTAATAGAAAAACTAGTTAAGGAAAAAGAAGCTCTCAATTCCAAATGTACAGAACTTTGCAAGGATGCAAAAGTAATCGATGAAAAATACGATATGAAAATCAAACTTTTGCAAGAGAAGTATGAAGCTGACCTTAAGCGAGCGAAAGAAAATTGGGAAGCCACGGAAAAGGTGAGAAGGACAACATGGATGGCAGAAAAAGAGAAGAAAATGAAAGAATTAATTGTCAAGGACATGGAACCCGATATTCAGAGAATGTTGCTTTCGCACAAACAAGAAAAAGCAAAACTTGAAGACTTTTATCAAAATGAAATGAGAAAACAAAAAGTGGATCTATTGAAACAAGCTGATTTAAAAATGGAAGAGTTGAAGGAAAAATTCAAGAGGGAGTTAGACGCGTCCTTAGAAAAGACACGACAAGAAAATTATGCTGAAGTGGAGCAGCAAAAGTTAAGACGAAACAAAGAGCTTGAAGAAATTGAAGCACGTTATAGCTTGCAAGTCAAGCAGGAGCGAGATCGAGCAGAGAAATTGCTTATGGAAGAGCGAAAGCTGTATCAAGACAATCTCGAAAAAATCAAAGCTCGCGAACGTGAACTAGAAGACAAGCACAGAGAAGAAGTTGAGAAAATTCACAAAGATTATGACAAGAGGCAACAAGAAGACATTAATACACTCAAGGCTAAATGGGACATTGAGAAGGAGCAATGGCAAAACAATTTTATTCAAAAGTGTCAAACTGATTTCAAAGAGAAACAAAAGACTCTAAGAGACAAGATGAATACTCAACTTGAAGAACAAGTGGTTGAAATTACCAATAAGCTGCAAGACGACTTTTTCGAGCAACGGCAAAAACTGCAAGCTGACTATGAGAAGCGAATTGCCAAACTACGAACAGAATGCGACGCAGAAGTGAATCGCGTAAAAGAGGAAAGTAATGAATGGAAAGACAAGTACATGACAAGTGCCAAGTCTGCAAGTACTCTAGAATCGAAACTCAAAGAAAAGGAACAGACCATCATGGAATTCCAAACTCGAATCGAGGAGCAAGAGAACACCATTTCCACTCTTAAAAAGAAGATGAGTAAGAAGGAAGAAGATCTCTCCTCCACCATGAAAGACATTCGCGAAGAGCTCGAAAGTAAGATCAAACAATTGGAAAATCAAATCATGGATGGAGAAGCTGAAAGAACTTCACTCGAAGAAACCATTCAACGCCTCGAGAAGGAACACAAAGAAGAAATTGACTCACTCCTTGATCAAAAGAGCAATGAAATGGAAGCTCTCATGACCAACATCAAACAAGTCATTTCCAAAAAGGATTCTCAATTACAAGACCTCTCAGAGAAACTCTCTCTATCAGAGCAGAAATTAAGACAAACTGAGTCTCTTCTTGCCAAGCAACGTCAAGAGCTCATCGAAGACGATGATGACTTTGATTTGTAATCGAGTAATTGAGGCTCGAGAAATTGAGAGGTTTACAATTTTCAAAAAAAACAACAAACATCAACGTAATGGCAGGAAAGAGAAAAAGAGCATCTGCGGCAGAAAACGACGAAGACTACAGTGGCGCTGCTGAGGAGGAATCCAGAGACACTCAGGAAAGTAATAAGGAAGAACCATCTGAGAAAGAGGAAGAGGCTTCCCCAAAACCAAAAGAGAAGAAGAAGAAAACTAAGAAGAAGGAATCAACAGCCTCGACGAAGAAGGCTTCTTCATCAGCCGGGAAGAAGTCAACCACAGCAAGCTCCAAGAAAGGATCAAAGCCTGTCATCAAATCAGAGTCAGAAGCAAGAAATATGATACTAGAGTATATGAAGGCTCAAAACAGGTAGGTTGAGCCTTGTCAACGGTTTTTGAATTTTGTTCTTACCCATTTGCATAGACCGTACTCTCTTCAACAAGTCATTGATAATTTGGGAGGCCAAATCAAAAAAGCAATGGCCACAAAGTGTATCGATAAGCTTGAGCAAGAAGGAGAGTTGGTATTGAAAGCAAATGGAAAGCAAAAACTATGGTACCGAAATCAAACCGACCTTGAGGTCTTGTCCAAAGAGGAGCTGAAGGAAATTGATAATGACATTAAGGATATTCAGAAAGATATTGCTGCTGTCAAGTCAGACAATCAGAAGCGCGCCTCTGAACTGGCCAGAATTCAGAAAGCACCAACCACGGTACAGCTTGTTTCTATTGTGGCAACACAGCGCGAAGAGCTTGCTGCAAAAAAGCAAAAATTAGAAAAGCTTGAGAGCGGCTCTATTCAATTAGTGTCTCCTGAGGAAAAGAAGAAGGCACTTGTTGATCTTGATAAGTACTTGAAGGAGTGGAAGAAACGAAAGAACCTTGCGATGAGCATTTTCGACAGCTGCAGCGAGACTTGTGAAACCAATCCTTCTGAATTGCTGGAAGAAATTGGAATGGACACTGACGAAAGCGTGGGTGTTGATATGAAAACCATGGGACGCCTTTATTGATAGCTTGTTGTTGTCATATTTTTCACAAACAATACAACGTTCTTATTGGGCAAAGAACCATTAAAACCTGAGCATGTGAATTTTCAAAGTCAATCAACTTGTCACACATTTACTTTTTTCTCCGTGCCTTTTTTAGAGCCAACCATCTCATGTTGCAATCTTCGTCTTCGGAAGGTTCCTGTCCAGTCACGACTCATTAATTTTAATATTCAAAAAAGCAACATCACACCTGAACCGAAATCCGAGCTGAGGATTTTTCCAATATCGAGGATCATTAGTATCATCACAACACAAACCATCCTCTCTCTCGCCTAACAACTGCTCTTCTTTTTGAATTTATTTGAAACTACGAAACGGATTAATTTTCATTATCATCATCGAGAATCCATCCGAGCACAACAACAACAACATCACAACCACCACTTCATCATCATCATAACAACATCACAAAAATGATTGATCTGAATATAGCCTTATCTCAATTAACCATCACGATGCAACAAAATGTCTACTCGTCATGGACCGAAGACTATTCAATTTGTTTTGTAACCTTTCTCAACTCCATTCTGTTTCATACCATGATTTATTTGGTTCTCTCTCCGTTGCTCTCCCGACACTTTAAATCGTATCGTGAAGGAGATGAAGAAACAAAAATTGAATGGAATTCAAGAGTCGTGAGTAATGTTCATGCCATTCTCTATGTCTTGTTGAGTTGTTATGCCATCTTGGTGGAAGATGCGTTTCCTAATTTGTCCATTGATGAAAGTACAAAGATGGCACGAGTGGCTGTTCTTTATGCTGGTGGATACTTTTTCTATGACTTGTTGTTAATTGTTAGATATCCAAGTAAGTATTGGTGTTGTGTGTGTGCGTGAGTGTCGTTTGAATTCATATTTCAATATAAATCCTCTCCTCATTGGTCAACTGTATCAATGTTGAATGAATCGAATGGAAATGATGTTGGTCAACAACAAAACACTGTTACTACAACATGAACACTCACGCTTAATGTGTGCCTTTCATTGACTTCAATGAACACACGTGTTGTTGCACGCTTCATATAATGACGCTTCACTTGAAAATTTTGCCTTTCGAATTCTTAATTTGGGAAACAAAACATTTCGGACAAAAATTTATTTTTCCGTTCACTATTCGGACCTTTACAGAGCTTGGAGGAATTGCCATGCTCCTTCATCATGGTTTTGTCTTGGTCGGAATTATTTGTATCTGGTTTTGTGACAAGTATTGGGTAGTTTTGTGTTATTATTCAATTCTTGAAGTGTCAACACCTTTTGTGAACGGAAGGTGGTTTTTGATGTGTTGCGGATTGAAGGATTCAGTTTATTACTGGATGAATAATTTATTGGTGTGGCTTGTTTTTGGATTGTGCAGGTGAGTAGCTTGGAGAATTGTTTTCGAAAATTTATCATGAAATTTCATTCTGTGAAATGAATTTCCTTGTAATGACCTCAGAATGCCATTTGTGATTTTCGGACCCTACTTGATCTATGTCAACAACACGAGAATGTTTGCACACAATACATTCTTGGCGATTTTCCTCTATATTCAAATTGCAAACATTAGCATGTTGAATGTTTACTGGTATAGTCTCATGTCCAAGAAGTTGGTTCAAACCGCTTCTTCCATGTTGAAAGGAAAGAAGGAATAATGTTTTTGTAAATAATTTTTTTAATTATTTCATTTAATAATTATTAAACAACAAAAATTAATTTATAAAATGTTAAAATGTAAACAATACACAACGGAAATTCATTGATTAGAAAATAATAATATCAACACCACAGTGCCATGGAGCGACAAGTGTCGTTGCAGCTCTAAGGCTTTCCAAAAAGAGACTTTTTGACTAATTCCCCATACTATATTAATGCATTGGACAAAAATGATTCAACACTTTTATTTTAGTGTCATGTGTCCTTCCCTTTTTGAACTAAAATCATCCATTCCTTCTCCCACTCATCAACTCTAACTACTTTTAAGAATTAAAGAAAATGAGCAAACAGCATCAAGACAACCGAAAGGCCAACATGTAAGTTACATTTCGTTTATTGAAGGGGACTAATCTGTTTCAACTATATATTGTGATGGTGCATTCATCCATGAACCATGCAAATTGAATTTCTTCTTCTTTGGAACTCTTTGAATGGATGTAAAAAACACATTCTAGTTGCACTGCGTGTGTCTATGGCGCATCCATTCTCTTCTCCATCTCGTTCGCCATTTGGGGTCTATTCATTTACTCCCATATTTTGTATCCGAGAGTTCCATTTGATACGATTCGTTGTTATGGATCGACCATTGTCAAATTGTTACTAGTTGTGACGATTTTGGAATTTATTGGAATTTTGTTTGGAACTTTGGCCATGTGTTCTGGATTTTTAGAAGTTTGTTACAGTGCCCTCGCTGCTTCTCGATCTTACAAATTTGTGGGTCAAGTGTCACCTGCCATGGACGATGAAGGTTATGCTGTATTGAGTGAAAATTGGATTCAAGAAACTTCTCCCAACTTGTTTGAGAATGCTCCTTTCGATATGGATGGAACTCAATCCATTCATATGAAATCTAGTGTCGATCGAAGAAATGGAGGCCAGGCATTGAATGAGCCAGCTGTCACTAATCAAGAACTGAAATCCTCGGAAGAAATGCAAAACCAATCTTCACAAGTAGTTCAAAGCAATGGAGAAATAGTTGTCACTCATCAATCACTTCCATCCAGAAAACAACAACACATCAAACACCACTATGAATATCACTACGAAGAAACCAGAAGCTCTTGCTGTTCCAATTTCTTTAGAATTGGTAATTGTTTCACTCTTTCCTTTTTAAGAAGTCTCTGTCAGTTGACAAAATCTGCCACTGGCGTTGCCATCACTGCCTTACTCGTTGTCATGGCCTTCTATGTGTTTGAAAGTCGTTGTAACACTGATTACGATCGAATGTATACATTAGTCAGACCATTCCTCATTGCACAATTTGTGTATTGTGTCATTGCAACGTTGGCAACTGTGATCATTACCTGTGGACCTTTTTTGTTTAATATTTTGGTCCTCATTGTGTCCTTGTAAATGATTGAGAATTGTTATTTGAGAATTCTAGAAAAATTCAAACTTTGTAAAAATTTGTACATCATGTCATGAGTTATTGAGCTAGTAAAAACATGTTGTCAACAACGTCGAGAGGGCATCCACGATCAGAAACCTGATTACCCGCCTTTGGCTTAGAGATTCGTTGCAAATCCAAACATCAAAAATCTTTGTGAAAAAAAAATTGACTTTTGATTGGTGTGCGATCTTTCAAGGGCATTCCAAGCTTTGAACTACCAGCACAGTCTTCAAACACCTCGTTTTTTTGTGTTACGTTTTTCAACCCGTTACACACACTCGTCCATCAACAACTGTCAAATTGTCATTGCAAGCCCATCATCATTTAAAAAATGTTTTTATCTGGTTCCGGTGCTGAAAATGATTCACAGCGCACTTCTTCCAACAACTCATCACCTCGTTCTCTAACTTCTCCTCGAGGTTCCAACAGCGCAAACTCTTCCTTACAGCAGCAACATCATCCAAATGGATCTCATGCAAATTCACAAAATTCTTCTGAAAAACTTGTTTATTCCACAAAATTATCATTGATCAGTCCTTCAATGACGTCTACGAACGGAACTAGTTTTCCAGGTTCCAATGTTGGTTCAACTTCTTCCTCATCATTGAACGATGAATCGGATCGTATTTTGGAATTTCGTGCATCGATTCAACATTTGACATTTACTGAAATTTATGAAAAAATTGAACGACAACATGAAGAACAAAAAGAATTATTGAAATTATATTGTCCTCGATTGTTCGACGAGTTGAAAATTACCAATGAAAAATTATTTTCCATTTTGGTTTGGATTTTCACACAAATTCCACTTTCCCAAAAATATTCCAAAAGGTTAAAGAAAAATTTCGAAAAAGTGTTCACTGCCAAAACCTTTGTCTCTCTCGTGACTTCACAACTACACAAAATTTCATTACCTTATTTTCCAAATATTATTGCCACTCCGAAAAGCAATGCTGATATTTTAGACAAGTTGAAAAATTTATATCGAAGTATTAATAATACTTTGGGAGATGTGATGAACATGAACATCAATAACAACAACAACAACCACAATAATCATTATGGCGCTCGAACCACGACTTCCATTTTGGCACCTCAGGTGTCTCATTCATCATTGACTTCTCCAAGACAACAAGCATCATCATTACCATCCACACACGACACCGTCGTTGATAATTTTTCATTCAAAAACGATTGGACCAAAGTTCAAGCTGAATTATTAGGTCAATTCTTTTTAGAAATTGGAGTGATTGAAAATATCAAACCAGAAAAGAAGAAGAAATTTACAGAGAGATCTCATCGTTACATGTTTCATTCAGAGACGATAGAGTATTATGCTGACTTGTTGTTTGTGAGTGCCATTACTAGTGCAGAACAGAGACAAGTGTTTGAACATTGGAAAATGTTCATTCCACTCAAAACTCCATTTTCACAATTTGCACATGATTTTTATTCTCCATTTTTGAGTGGCATTTCGACAGGTTCCATGCAATTATTGACAGCAGGACAACTCGTTCAACAATGTTGTCTTCGTTCGATCATTGTTTCACAAGAAAAAGATTTTGAGCTCGTTCAAAACCATATTAAGAAACTTCAAGAATCTGTGAATCATGACTTGTCACCAATCCATGAAAATTCATCGCCTCGTGATGCTAACATGTCTTCATTATCAACCATTGGAACAACATTGTCCACGAGTAGTGCGTATCCATTAGTGTTTCGAAATGTGGAATCTGCACAACAACAATTACGAACCAAAGACATGTCCAAGACAGAGACAAGTTCACCATTCATGGATCGAAGATCATTTCGAATGAGTGCAGCTTCTTCTGGATTGAAAGCAGGTTGGGAATCTCAATCATTGATCGGAAAACGACTCATTTTGGAAAGTGGCATGGGAGATTATGAAATGCAATCTCCGCGCACAAAATTTTATGAACAACATGGAATTCGAGCCAAAGTTGAGAATTTGCAACAAGCTCTTGTACTTCCTTCTGTATTGGAAGAATTTTCCAAATTCTGTGTCACTAATCATATTGAAGAAATTGTGAATTGTTGGAAAGCCATTCAATCCTACATGAAAATGGAATCAGCCAAAGATCGAAAAGACCAAGCGCTCTATATTCTGAATCAATTCATTGACGACTCTTCACCCAATGCAACTCCGATCAATCTCGACTCTGAAACTCGTGAACAAGTCCTTTCGAAAATTCAGAGCAATTTGGAAAATTTTGCCTTCTTTACCAAAGATTTATTTTCCGCAATGAATGTCGAATTAATCTTGTTGAACGATTTGAAAGAACCTTTCATGAATTTTAATCAGAAACGAAATCAAGAAATTGATTTGGAAATTGATGGCTTGCAAGAAAAACTTCGAATTCGTGCCATTCAGGAAGAAAAGTCATCGAAGAGTTTCTTGTCACAAGTGGTGGGTGCACTCAAGAAGAAGCCAAGCACGAGTACGACGATTCCTGCATCGTCAAATACTTCTTCTTCGTCTGGTTTCCTTAATAGTCCCAATTTGACAGATTCCATGGAATTAATGACAAATTCAAACAAATTGTCAGGAATCAATCGATCACAACAACAAATCAATTCTCCAGTGTATCCAGAGATGGAGAAATTACCAGTTCATCTCTATGGTTCATTACCAGATGTGCTTACCCATAGAGATGCTATCAAACAATTCAAAGTATTCTGTACGTCAGAACATTGTGAAGAATATGTGTTGTTTTATGAGGCTGTTGAGGAATTTAGAACATTACCGACGCAACAAGAACGAATTCAGAAAGCGAAGGAAATATTTGAAACATTTATTGAGATACCCTGAAACGAACCAGTTTGTTTGAGGCTCAATCTCGTTATTACACGATTGGATGTAGCGCTGAAGATATTGAACGCATTAGAAAGAAGGTATTGAATGAAGACATTTCTATGGAAATGTTTGATGACCTTTCATTGGACGTGCAAGAACAAATGAAGGATGTGTTTGAAAGATTTGCACAAGCCCAAAGAGAATGGAAAGCTAAAAGAATGTTGGCTGGAAAAGAAATGTAATTTTACAAGTAAAAAAGTTTTATTTCAAATGAAACTATTTCATTGGAATATTTTGTGTGTAACTTCAGATTTAACACACCTTAGTGGAGTACTCAAGAAAATAATTTAACGACTTTAATAATTTAAATTAGGTTGCAAAAAAAAACTTTGACAAGAGCCGCTCTTGAAAACTTTAAAGACCAAAATCAATCTTGTAAATATCTTCAATTTCTTTCCATCTAGTCTCCTCAATTTCCAAATCCTTAATGAGACCTGTCTCAATATCACATACCCATCCATGAACATGCAAGGTATTTCCCTTTGCCCATGCAGTCTGTACAATACTTGTCTTACAAAGGTTCAAAGTTTGCTCAATGACATTCAATTCAATCATTCTATTAATCTTTTGGTCCTGATCTTGAATGGCATCAATCTCTGCCTTATGTAAACGATAGACATCCTTAATATTTCTCAACCAATTGTCAATCAATCCGAATTGCTTATTGGTGAGAGCAGCCATTACTCCTCCACATCTTGTGTGACCCATCACAATCACATGTTTCACCTTCAAGACTTCAACAGCATATTGCAATACAGACATGACATTCAAATCAGTGTTCACAACCATGTTGGCCACATTTCTGTGAATGAAAATTTGACCTGGTTGAGTTTGTGTCAATTGATCCGGTGGCACTCGACTATCAGAACAACCAATCAACATGTAATCAGGTCGTTGAACTTCCTTCAAACGAGAAAAGAATTCAGGATCCTTTGAAGTCTTTTCAAGAACGAAATTCTTATTTCCCTGCAACAACTTGTCATAGGAAGTTAAAAACTCTTCGGTACTTCTACTTCTGCTTAATCGACCTGGAGCGTTGATTCCTTTGTTGAGTTGAAATTTGTGTAATAAGCCTTCAATGGATCGTGAAAGATTGTGTTCAGAAGGCTCTTCTCCCTTGAATGAGTTTCCAGGTGTGGTTTGTGGTTGATGATCAATCGAGAGAGTACTGAAATCAATGGATCCTGGGCAGATGGTAATATTTGGATTCATGGAATGACCATGGTGTTGATGGTCGCAACATGAGTGATTTTCGTCTTGTTGTTGTTGGTGTTGTGGTTGCATCTATCATGTGGGAGTACATTGATATAAGTGGAATGGGTCGTGATGATATTGTCCGAATAGTCATCATCATGAGGGAATAAATATTAAAAAATTTCGGGTTTGAATGAAAGAATGGTCAGAACGGGTCAGAATGATGATTCATATACTCACCTTTAAAGACCTCCTAGCAAATCGTTTGATATGACTATCAAGCTGAATCAATGTATGAGTTTGTTTTTGTTGAAAAAACCTCTTTCCGAGAACGTTTTGGTACTTGAAGTGTCGCCGTGTGCTACTTTCTACGATTGGTGGTGATGATGACTCTGCAATTCCAAGAGAATATTCTCTTGAGCAATTCAAATTGAGATGATTCAAGTAGGTGGGTAATAGAAAGGAATTTCCGAAGAGGGTTGTTCCTTGAGAGCTGTTGTTCAACAACGTTCGTAGTGTGATGAACGACGAGGAAGAACGAGATTTTAAATTTTTCATGAATGTTTGGTTGGCACGTTTGTTGGCTTGAAAAGCTTTTGGGAGTTGGAAAGAGACACCAATTGAATCTTCTTCTCGGAAAATCAAGGAGACGGAAAACTCAACGGAAACAACTCGATTGTTTTTGGTATCGAGACCAAATGGAGACAGTAAGGACTTCCGTACCCGCTTTTTTGAGCATGATGCATTTCCTGAGCTCAAGCTCTCTAATTCCATTCTATGAATTGTCAAACCTTACATGAATGAAGGCCCTCAAAGAAATTTTCATCTTCCTTTAGGAATGGAGGTGATGAGTGAAAAATCCCAATTAGTTTTTTAATATTTTTCAGCTCATTGACAATTTTTGTTGTTCCTGATAACAAAGCTTAGATGGTTTCTCTGACCTCAATCGAGATTTGGTCTTGTTGCTGTTTCGTTTTTGCTTCCTTTTTGGATGATGAATTTTCAATGAGTTCAATAGTGTCATGTTCGAGGTGTGACGTATCATCATGATGATGATCTATAAATTCATGATTCTCCTCGTTCATATGAAGCTCATTCAAATGCTCTCCTTCTCTTTCATCGTGTTCTCTAACAGCAGTTTCCTTCTTCTCTGTCTCTTGTGCTTGTTTTTTCTTGGCCTTTTCTTGTTGATATTCCGTATACATGAAATAGGAAACAGAGGCCAACACAAGTATGCATCCAAGTAATTGCCAGATGGTTTTAAGACTCTCTTGCAAAATGAGAATACTGAAAACAATGGTTGAAACCAATCGCAAGGCCAAAATAGATCCTACCACAGAGGAACCCAAAGCACTGATTGCAAAAATGTTCAAATGATTGGCCAACATGAACACGAAAATGGTGAAACAAAAGAACATGATCCAATCTTTGGGTGAGAGTTTTGTCCAGAGCGTCCAATCATCAATGATTAAGCTTGGAATTAAAAATATAAAACCCATGATGAATAATTGGAGGATGAATAGGTTTTCTCCTGTGACAGTCACAATATTCGACTTTTCTTCCTGTTTCATGTACCTTAAACAGAGCATGTACCAAACTAAACAAGCGCTTGACACGAGTGACATTGAAATACCCAATAAATCCCACCAAGTAATGTGCTCAGAAAATGAGCTCCAATCAATGGCATACGTATAAAAGAATGCATACCAGGGCTGTGGTGTTGCACTCTTTTCAACAACACTTCCAATAATAATGACCACTCCTCCTATCACTGTCAAAATCATTGAAACCCATGCCTTCAATCCAAATGATTCCTTTGCATGGCCTCTCAAAAACCACTTGTTATAAATAAAGACAGTCACAAAGGCCAAAATGAAAGGTGTTGTCAGTGCAAAAAGCTGTACAAAAATTGCACTTGTAAATTTTGAGGACATGATATTCGTTACTGATCTCGTAACGAGTGAAATGCAAAAAAATGTTAGCGGCAAAAATTGCCTCACTTTTTCCTTGATTCGGCTCCATAAACTGCCTCCCCTGCTTGCTATGGGCTCTGAGTTCATATCTTGATGATTTGATGAATTTTCATGTTCCTCTAACGTGGTAGTATTCTTTGGATTTTTCTTTTTTGAAATTCTTTCTTTCACATAATAAATTAAAAGGTAAATCATTCTCGGTAAATAGATCAATATTGCTGCAAGATGACAACTTGTAATAAGTAATAACGAAGGAAGCTTATTTTCCGACTGTGATTGCAAATATCTCGAAAATATAGGATGCATTCCAAACAAGACATGGACCATGATACACGAGAGCCATCCCAGTGCAGGTTTTAATTTTTCCAAGAGCGTTTTCAATCGTTCATTCATTCCCGACACGAAAAGGGGTGTCGTGTTGATCTTCTTCGGACTTGTTGTTTCATCTTGGTTTCGGTGATGATGATTCAAGCCTTCATCGGAATGAGCTTCTTCGTGATGATGATTTGTATTCGTTTCCATGTTGTCTTTCATTCACTCGTCCAGTGTTCAATGTGATGGTTTGTCGAGTTAGTAGAAAAAGTAAACGGTTGTGTTTGTATTTTTTAATTGTTTGATTCGTAATATTAAATTTATTATTTGAAGCATCGTTGAATTCTCTTGTCCGAGAATCAAGTCCGAATCGATGGTAAAAAGAGTTGGTTTGTGCTGCCTCAATCAAATACCTTGAGAATATTGTCTCATCCTATTCAATCAATTTCAAGAAGGATTTACTGTTTCGATGTAACTTGCAACAACGAATCTTTGAGGTAAAGGAACAAGGTTGTGAAAGTGAGAGGAGAACGAAATTGTCAGTTGGAACCGCTTAATCGTTAAAGTCAAGTAAACACATTCATTAGCCCTATACTCTGAAAGTTATGAGAGTAACACAGCCATCGATGTTCAATAATAGGATATGACAGGAAAAAGTTTGTTGAACCAAGGGGAGTCAATACAACACAACAGCTCTTTAAGAGAAATGAAATATTTATGAATTGAAATAATAGTTACAATTTAACATGATGTGAAAACAGACTATATGTGTGATATATAGACATTTGACAATTGTTGTGGGATGTGGTGGTAATTTGGACACAGCAACTGTAAAGTCACTGTTGTTGTTGTTCGTGACATGTGTGTGTGAACAACAAAATGGGAGTGTTGTTAAATAAAATTGAGCAGCGTCATGATACACTTGATGATTTCAAATAAGTGTGAACAATTTAGGCCCAGATTTGCAAATTGTAATCCCAAGAGGCAGTACATAATGCATTGCCATCTGGAGAAACAGCAAGACAAGCAACTCTTCCGTCTGGTCCATTTTGTTCGTTGGTCAAGTTTTGAATAATTTTACCCTTCAAGGTGTCCCAAACAACAATTGACTTTTCATCGTAGGCAGCATACATCAAACGTCCAGACTTGCTGAATGAAATAGATGTAGCACCTTCTCTGACAGAATCATCAGAATATACCTTCAATTCTCTGCTAGCACGAATATCAAAGAGTCTACAAGTATTGTCATCAGAAGCAGTGGCAAAGCTCAAACCATTAGGGAAAAATTGGACACAGTTGACATCGAGTCGTGACCACCAAAAGTAGCTACACACTTCCCCGATCTAACATCCCACAACTTGGCATAGGCATCACAACCACCAGAAACAAATTGAGATTCATCTGGAGAGACAGAAACAGACATACAGTCACCAGTGTGCGATTGGAAGGTCTTGATTGGACGCCCATTTCAACATCCCAACAAATACAAGTCATGTCACCAGAGCTGGATAAAATTTGCTTGTCATTTGAAATGAATTTACAAGCACTAATGTAACCAGTGTGTTGACTCAATTCACGATGAGGAGTGGTTGGTTGTGAACTATCTGTTGCTTCAGTCAATTGATTAATGTTAAAGATGGAAACAATATTGTCCAAACCACCAGAAGCAACATATTGTCCAGAATTTGAGTAGGAACAAGTCATGACCCAATTAGTACGAAGTGTAATGGCATGTTGTTTGTAGGTGGTCAAGGCATTCCATATAATGAGTTTACCATCTTGAGAGGCAGAGACCATGAGTTTGCTGTCTGGAACTGGACTCCAAGCACAGCTGTAGACTTTACCCAAGTGACCACGGAGGATATTTCTGACCTTGAGTTTGGTTGGAGTGATTGGAGCGGCATCCAATTGAGATACTGTTGTTGTTGTAGAGAAAGTACAGAAGAAGAAGAAGAGGAGTTTTCATCAAACAATGATGTGCGAGTGGATGTAATACAATTGGTGTTATGAGAGAGATGAGATGAGATGGATGTTGTTGTTGTGGTTATGGGAAGAGGAATACATTACGAGAAACAATTTGACGATCACAACACAATTCGAGGGTGGATATTGTTGTTGTTAGAGAGTCATCATGAGTATCATGAGAGAGCGAGTTGGAAAGGGTTAGACAAATTCATTTGACATTTGACGTTTCATTTTTGAAGAGCATCGTCGGTGAGTATCGCACCGTCATCAGCAACAGAAATGATCGTGATAGTAGGTCGTTCGAGTTGTTGTGTCATCATCATCATTGAGAGACAATGAAATACAAAATTGTTTCAAGTTTGAGATCCACACAAACGTTATCCACCAACAAGAATAACAACATTTGACAAAACAACAAAATCATCATTAGACATCAATCAGCACTCAACACCAAACACTACTTACATTTAGCATCATTACCACCCTCCATACTCTTCTTGATTTGTTCTTGTAATGATTGAGCTTCCTGACGAGCCTTGTTAATTTGTTCTTGTATAGAAGCCATGATTTCGTTGTTGTTGTTGTTGTTGTACTATAATTTAGATCTAAAATAAATTAGTTTTGAAAATTAAAATTTTCTGAAGCGAGAAGACACAATGATGAGTTTGCTCGACGTCGAGAGGATGATGATGATGGAACGTGGGATAACTGCCAGCAACAAAGGATAGGCGACGAGTGGTGTGCGGCGGCGGTTAGGAACGATTTTTTTTTCTGTGATGGTTGTTCGTTTCCAGGTTTCCTCTTCGGGAAAGTGAAAGCTGTCAATGCGTTTGATGTGTGGATTGTGTGTGATATGAGAGAGAACCTGGCCAATTAACTCTCAGATCAACGCTCTTAAACAACAATTTTTCTTGAGGTTGGTGGTGCAACAGTTCACACCTCTGTTGTGTGAGGTTCTCACTTCGAAGGTGTGTCTTCAACTCTCTGGTTTATTGAGGTGAAAGTGAGGTTCATCATTCAATTTCACGTGTTCATATTGAAGATGCAGTGAAAAGCAGTATAAACCAATTGGGACAGTTGTGTTGGAATCATTAAGGATCTACTTGGAAATTCATCAACCATCAAGACTATCATTGATGATACCATGTGTTTCAAATTTAAATAACATTGGATAGGACCATGAGAGAATCATCTCTGGGATTTCATCATCATCACGTTACCGAGTTCGAGAATCATCAAAGAAGAAGAAGACTCTGCTCTCTATCTCTCCGCGCACGGCAATCATCAAAAAAGAAGGAGCAGGAACTATTAGTAATATATGACAGTATCAAAATTCATCCTTCGAGTGATGATGTGTGGGGTTGGCTCCGTTTCGACATTCACAAGCCTCTTTCTGACTCAACATGTAGGCCTCACATCCGAATATTCCAACACCCATGAAAAACATGGATGATGTATTCTTACATTCCGAATGAGCTTTGGAATTCTTCTTCTTATTGGTATCGCAATGATGATTCATACATTGGTAAAATTCATCATCGCACTCTTCTTTGGATTTATGGCAATACGTATAGCACGTATCATGCTCGTTACAGCAATGAGTAAATCCATGTTCATCGGAAATGGCGTTGAATTCGCCCTGTGTCCCACAGCCGTTGGGTTTTGGTGAGTAGCCTTTCCGAAGAGTTTTGGTGTGGCCTCTCGGACACGTGTAGTTACATTCTTGAGCTTGTGTTGGGAATGAGAGGAAGAGAATACAGGCTAGTATCGCTACGAGAAGAAGTAATGTTTCATGATATCGAGGTTGGATGACAACAATTCTTCTTCTATAGGGTTGAAGAAGAGAGAGGTTTGCAAACATTTTTTATCATTGGAGAGGAATAGTTGAACACGTGTCCGTTTTGAGGTCATTAAGGACAAATCCCTTCATTATTTCATTTCGTTTGTTTATGTCCTGTACTATGTCAGTTGTCACCTTGCACGTTTCAGATTAAATAGAACAAACAACAGCAAGAAAAATTCCTTCCAACCTTATTCGCTGTTTATTAATATGAGCCAACCACCTTTCGTTGAACGAAACGGAAATGCAAGACTGGCGTTCAAAAATCAAGATTTTGAGTGTTCCTCTTGCAAGCCAACCGGTAGAAATAATTATGAAATTTACGATCAATTATTGATGATCTGTCAACAAAGTGGTCCAATTTTCGAAATTGGGTTTGATGATGAATCGTATGAAGATCGTGATCAGATTTCGGATGAGTTCATTGATAACAGTCAGCAAAAAGAAGTGAACTTGCAAGAATCGTTATTTGAAAATCAAACAACAAAAACATTAACTGAAATACAAAACGAAGGCAAGAAAGATTTATCAACCTCCCTGATGAGAGAGGAGGACCTGGATCAAATGAGAGTTCAATTGGACTCTCTTCAACAACATGTTGCCTGCAATCACACAGAGATGATTCAACTGGTGACTGAATTTGAAATTCAAAAACAGGTAAACCAAGAATTAAGATCATCCATTCACTCTGCTATTCAAGAAATTGAGGGTATTCAGCAACAACTGAAAATAATTAGGCAACATGAAACTTCACAACACGAAGAACAATTCAAAATGTTACAAAACGAAGCACAATTCATGAAAAATTCCATGAACGAATTGAAAATAACACTCGACTCAGTTGGAACAGAAAATTCCTCCTTAACCATTCAATTAGAAAGTATTAACAAAGAAATTGAATCTCTGAAGAATACTCTGAAAACCATTCAAAACAGTTTACATTCTCCAAAAAAGAGTGAAAGTTCTAAAAACATGAAAACGAAATTGAAGACCCTAACTAGAGAAAAGGATGAGCTCATGAAAAAGTTCCAACAATTACAACAGGAGGTTTCTTCTCAAAAAGAGACGTTGAAATTGTTTCAGGAGCAAGCTCTCTCGGCAAGTAGTACCATTGAAGACAATGCATGCAATTTTCGATCAAGTTTGCAAGTCATGAAACATGAAATGAATTCTCAATTGGAAGATATTCAAAACGATTTGGGCACAAATAAGGATAACGTTACAGAGATGAAAGAATCATTGAGCAAGTGGAAGGAGGAATCTGTGAAAGTCGATGATGCAATGTCACAATGGCAAACTCTTCAGAAAGAATATTCTGAACTGAGAAAATTCACGCTCAAGCTGGAACTCGAGTTGAAAAGCTGCAAAGAGCAGACCTCGTTTTTGAAAGTATTGGTCATGGTTGTGATCATTATTTTGGTAGCATTGATGGCCATGGTATGGATGTCTATCTATGCTGGAGATGGAAATTTGCGTTTCTGATTTCCACAGAGGCAACTTCAATCCCATGATGGGTGCCAACTCATTTTAAATGATCTTTATTTGGAATCAATTGTAAATTGACAAACCTTGCTAACCTGTCCTGAGAAAGAGAAAAAAAATGACAGAACAAAAACTGCTTCTCTCACTCGATCCAAACCGATCCACAATCGAAATGATTGGAACAGTTACTCATGAACACGACAAGATCACACCAATTCCATCGGATCTGCATGATCCATCATTAGAGCAATACTTGACGAAACGAGGAATTTATGGCATTAAAACAATAATTGCTAGAACTTCCTTTGTATGTTTAATTCACGAATGGAAATGGATGAAATTACAATATCATTATTTGTGAAATGGTGTTATATGATTCAATAATTTTTTTTTTAATTCTTGTTGATGATGATCTCAATATTTGACTGATTCAGTTGTATGTTCTTACTGATTCTGGCCATTTATTAGAGTTCTCCCATAATACCTCAGATATTGTGGAACACATTCTCGAATTTGTAGAACCCAACGAGAAGATTGTGAATATCAGTGCCGGATATGCCTTATTACTTGTTGTGTTGCAAGATCAACACACATTGAAAACGAGAGTTTTTGGTAAAAATTCAAGTACATCACACGGCCAATTTCAATATGCAAAGAACGTGAAACAACATGCACAAACGGTCATGTCGCTCACAGCACGAGCCACGACTAGTTGTTCTAGTCCATGGTACGAAGTTCTTGATTTCCAACATGTGCTTGATGTGGATGAATACATTATTTTCACGTCATGTGCTGCTTATACAGCCACTTTTATTTCGAACAAGGGGAGGATTGCAGCATCTGGATCAAACCAATTTGGTGAGTGTGCAAGCGGCAGCGTTTGTTCTTATCAAGCTGGAGTTAATCAAACCCAAGTAATGGAATGTAAAATTGAAAATTGTGATTCAAAGAATAGCAAGCCGTTCTTTGTCAGATCTGTGAATGGTGACCATACAATTGTTGCCTTAACAAGAGACAATAGAGTTTTCTATTGTGGTTATACCTTGAATAGAGGTTCAGACTTATCTATTCTTAGAGAATTGCCATCGCCGTTGGACATCGACGAATATTTTATTGATATTGCTTCATGTTACTATTCTACCTTAATTTTAACAAGTAAGTACTATACAATTCGTGAATTGTCAACAAGACTTTTCGTGAACCAACAAAGACAAACACAAGTTATATTCCGTAGAATCTCATAAAAGAATTTATTGGACATGGAAAGAAAACATTACCCGTTGCAGTATTTTTGCATCACCTTCCTTGTTTTTCATTGTAGTGAATGATTCAAAAATTTTCACATATTCACCAGAATCAATCACTAAAGAAACCAATCTCACAGTGAATACCAAGTTGCACGGATCCCGTCTATGCTTAACAGCGAGTGACAACATTATCATGTATTGGCAAAAGCATGAAGAGTCCAAATCCCTCCGAAGAATGAAAGAAACACTTTTAAAATCACTGAACAATGTTTTTTTGCAAGACGTAACAGTGGTGCAATTGTAAACAGAGCAGGACAAGCGAGCAACAAATTCGAATGAAATAAAACCATTGGACTTATCATTGACGCTTGGGGCAACTGAGTTACTTCTGCGGGGCTTTAACTGTGTTGGAAATAACGCAGAGTTTTCTGTAATTTTGAAAATATAAACATAATCGTAAGTCGAGGTGGCCGAGTGGTTTAAGGCGGTAGCCTGCTAAGTTATTGGAGAAATCCGCGTGGGTTCGAGTCCCATCCTCGACGTTAATTTTTTGATTTGCTGTAATTTCATCTGTGGCGTAACGATTGCTTTAAATGGACGTACAAAATGGTTGACCCAAAAGACACATGAGGTTTTGAAAGTCGTAAAAGATTTATTACAAACTGTTAAAGACAACAAACAATGGAACAACAACAACCCACATGCAATTGATTGCTTCACCAACCAATGAATGAGCTCCGTTAGTTGTTGGTTGTCCAGGAGTTACAGGAGAATATGGAGTCAAAGTTGCATTAATCTCCATTCTCATATCCTTACCAGTGTATTCTGGATTCAATTTGACCAACAATCGAACTGTTCCATAGTCATTTCTTGGCGGAGCAGCAAATGTTCCCCTGAAGACATTTTTTTAAAGATCATTATTTACGCCAACATAACTTTCCACAAATTCTCCAGCAGCAGGAAGCCGGACAGAATCAAATTACCTCCTCTATTAGACATGTTTGCGTAGTCTCGATTTGTTATTTAATTTTTTTTTGAACATGAGCAACAAAGGTGAGCCAAAGGCTCTTTTGTTGTGAGTTGCACAAATGCGACCACACTTGCCCAACGGGTCTGTTCTTGGCACTTCATGCAACAGGTATTAAGTTGTTGTTCAAGTTCAGCAAAGTTTAATTCACCAAGAACTCCACACGCGGTATTTCCAAACAAAATTGGGGAGGTTCTGGTCTGCCGTTTAATTGCATTAGAGCTCGAAGGCACAATAAAATAAATGGTAATATGATAATGTCAATTCCCGTGTAGTCCAATGGTTAGGATACCTGGCTTTCACCCAGGAGGTCCGGGTTCGATTCCCGGCATGGGAGCTAAATTTTGCCAGCCACTGACATTTTCAACAGTTTGTTTTTAATGCTTGATACATAATCCACAAATCAGCTCTCCACACGCGTGTGCTCGTTCATGAATCTCAACTAATTTTCTCCTCCAATTAATCTCCTTTTTTTATCGTAAATATCCAGGCAGTACCTCTTTGGCATCATAATACGATGCAGAACTAGGCGAATCGGAATGTCTCTTGTATCCTTTATAATATCGTTTGTGTCGATTCTTTCGATTTTTCAATACCACAATCACCACAATAATGACAATGACAGCCATCACTAATGAAATGACTGCAAAACTGCCAACTCCGATGGCAATGGCAATTTCTTTCGAGATGAGAGGTTCTGTGGTCGAGTTGTTGGAAGAAGTAGCTGTCACAGCCGAAGGAGCGAGATCCAAAGTGGTCATACGGAGATTTGATTTCATTTTTTTGTGTTTTTTTGAAATTGGACAAATAACAGATGATCATAATGAAGCAATCCTAAATCAATTATTAAATTTTTGTGACATCCTCGTTTTGATTCATGAAACAATCTGAAGAGATTTGTGATATCTTCAAAATATTTCTCTTTATTATAAAATCACACATTTGAGATGTTACCAATAGGTCCTATTGACATATGATTTTTCAATCACCCCCTTCTCAAAACAATAATAAGGAAGATAATAATTCCACTGCTCTCTTCTCTCTTCCCCTGCATCTACTCTGAGTTTAGAAGGATTCAACGACCAGACATGCAATATAGGTTCGCATGTCTGTTGCAAATTTAAATATTCACATGAACGAGAATAAAAATTATATTCTTCCTCGCTCTCAATCCGATACAGAAATTCATTGTTGTGTTTTGAAAGTCTTCCCTCCAAGTTGTAGCTTTTAACAATTGCAAAAGGGAGAAAGATGATTTGATCTTGTCTTGAAAGTTCCATTGGTTTCTTGAATTCTGATCCATGTTGTAATGTATACTTTTCATTCGTGATCTTCTCATCCCGAGAAACAGGCTCCGAACGCGTAGTCAGAATCAAAAACTCTCCCTGAAGGACTTTCATAACATGTTCACATTTTTCTTTACCTACCGAGACATAGAGTCGACTGGAATCGAACGAATGGCCACACGACAAATCTCGATCCAAACATGTAGTTGAATCTACTATACCCATGATCGATTGTAATTGAGAGAGATGAAAAGGCTTGTATCTACGTTCATGTGTTCTTATATAGAGAAATGTTGTGTTCGTCGATTGGCTAGTTGAATCTATGGTCATTTTGATAAAACTTGCTTCATGTGTTTCTTCGGCTGCTGAATGTCCGTTGCTGTCGTCCTCTGCTGAGAAGAGAGTCATGTTGCTATAGTCCAAATCGTCGTTGCTGGTTGAGAGATTTAAAAATTTTGAGGAAATGATCATTCTCGAAGGTGCACAACACCAACAATATTGTTGCAAAGTTTCTAATAAGGCTTTTCTTTCCTTCTCTTTACAAGGCCGCTCGTGTTTGGACAACTTGTCAATTTTTTTTTGATCCTCCTTGGAAATCAACGCTCTTCGTTCCAAACCACCCAATTCTCTAATTCGCTGTGCTGAAAGATAAATCATTGGTTGAGGATCCTTTTCCTTTCTCACGGCCCAATAAGATTCACCATTGGTTGAAGTTTCATCCAAAGGACAAAAGAAATAAAGCATTCCTCCAGATTTAGGAACTACATGTCCAATCATAATATTCCAATTGTTGAAGATTGATTTGACAAGCAAAAAGAAATGGATCACCATCTGAACACTTGGGCCATTCAAAATTTCGAGGTAAATCTGGACAACCTCCAATTTTTGATTCTCCCACAGCCAGATATTCCTCTCCTATCAACAAGGACGGTCCCATGTGTTCACATGGAGGAGTTTCCCAAAAGAAACGAGAAGGAGAATATTTCTTTCTTTTAAAATTAGGTGGTTGGTAATAGTGAGAAGAAAAGGATTCTAAGGTGAAGGACATGCATGGACGACAATTGTGAACTGGAGAATGGATCATGATGGTTGACTTGTTTCCATCGTTCTTCATCTTGGTATTCTTTGATTCTTCTTCTTCTAAATCGGAATTCGAGTTGTTTTGGGCGTTGGAATGAATAAATTGTTGTTGCCAAGGAAGATATTTAAATTTTGCAACCTTTTCAATGAAATATCGTTTCCAAAAAGAGTTCACAGCACGAGGATCCATTCCTGACTCTTTTCCAGTTGTGGTTGTTTCTTGTTTGACACTTTGTATAGGTCGATAATGTGACCGAATGTGTTGCTCGATGATTCGAGAATCAGGAATGATTGGTTCAAAACCGAGTCTTCTCTGAACGAGTAATTTCCAGTCCAACTCATTCGACACGAGTTCGAACCAATTTCGACACACTTTGGAAATATTTTTCAATAATTCACATCCATTTAAATATTCGAAAATGCTCAATAACAATTCGTTTGGAACATGTTGTGAAAAACTACAATTATTCGAGTCGGAAAGAAGCTTGGATAGGGTGGTTTCCTTTCTGGATTCTTCATTGGTTTTTCTCATCTTGTCAGCAGGTTGTTGTGTGAGAAAATAGTATGGCTCGTCATACGAATGCATGACCATGTCTTTGCGTTTTAAAGACATTTTTATCATGAGGTTGAGGCGACACGTTTCTCATTGCCTGAGCGTGAGGTGTTGTAGAAAAATGGAAAGGGTTACAATTTCTCGTTGAAATTGGAATTATTAAGCAGAAATTGTGATGAGATCAAAAATTAAGGCTTTGCTATGACTTGGAAGGGCAATTTATTTCTCTTGTGAATTCTCAGCCAACTTTAAAATATAATAATACAAACATTCATTCCAAACCATGCCGCTTCCCTTTCTGACGTACGATCGCTCAACCACATACCCTTCTCAAAATAATATTAGTGAAAAAGAGTGGGTTATGAAATGATGTCTGTCATGTCATCCACATGATGAGTCGTCATATCCTCAGCAACATGTTCATGATCGTCCAAATGGTCCTCATGGTGTTGTGCTTGTTGCTGCATGGCAGCATACATTTGTTTGACAATTTCATTTCCTTGAAGATACCATTCATGCTGCTTGACTTGTTCCAATCCATATCTTGTCTCGGCATTCACTTCTAACATTTTCTTTATCAAATCTCGACAGGCAGGAGACAATTTCACTCTCTCGTCGTCGTCACACATGTAACAATCTGAAGAGTTTTCATCATCTTCATCAGGGTCATCCAATGATATTGTAAATTGCATTAAGAGTTTTTGTTGAGCTCCTCGAAATGGCATGTATCCAGTTAGTAGTTTGTAAGCTAAAACTCCCAGTGCATAGACATCCATTTCAGGTCCATAGGGTTTCTTGAGAATCATCTCTGGAGAAGCATAGTGACTGCTACCACAAAATAAAGTTTGTGTCTTTTGTGAAACATTGTCACTCTTGAAGAAACAACTCATTCCGAAATCGACCAATTTCACACACTTTGAAATTTCCAAAGTATCATGCGTAGGACTCGTGCTGCTACCTCCTTCCAAGCAACAATTGGATGGTTGAATATCACGATGAATAACTCCTAGCTTGTTGTGAAGGTGATCCAATGCGTTCACTAATTGAGCAAAATATATTTGAACTTGACGTTCTGAATGCTGCTCATTTTCCACCAGTGGATTGTCCAAGCAGCCACCTGATAAGTATTCCATGACAAATAAGAATTCTTCTTCTCCTTCATAGACGTCAAGAACTTGAACAATATTGGGATGAGGATTTTCCTTAATTAACTTGAGAATTGCCATTTCATTTCGCACATGATCTTCAATGCCAATTAGTTTCATTGTTTTTCGACATAAACGTTTCACTGCAACTTTTCGCCCAAGGCTCAAATCTAGTGCCACTGACACTGTGCCATACGTTCCCTTTCCAATATGTTCGTCAGGGTTGGCCACAAATCGATCTAAAATACATGGATGAGTTTTCAAATAAATTTCGCACTCCACTAGAGATTGTTGAATTCGTTTCTGATGCTCTTGCAAGACGCTCTTATTGGTGTACTTGGTCACAGACTCAAACATTGGATTAAGATGAACAATTTGAGTATACATTTCCAGTAATTGTGGAGGGCAATCTAAATCGTCATCATTCAAAAAACATTTCACTTTGTGCTTTTCAACATGAGCCTCTTTAGATTTTCGAGAGAATACTCGAAGAGGATGAATATGATGATGATGATGATGCTCAACCTTTTCCTCTGTCTCTCCTAATAGTGTTGAAATACATGTCGCAATATTTTGCAAATGTTTAACAGATTCAATCTTTAAATTCTCAAAATTTAGAAAAATCATTTCTCTCTCAGAGTTGTACATGATTCTTCCCCAAACATTGTCCATGGTTGCATGATCAACACTCAACCTTCTCGAATAATGAAAAAGAGGTTCAGCGGCTGATCTACCGTCCGATACCACCATTGTATTTCTCCTTTTCAGGAGATGTGAATGCATGTGGTGATTTCCTTTTTTTGGTTCATGTGAAAAAAACTTGTGCGTAGTTGAACGGTGAGATTTTGGTGTTTGCAACTGTTGTAGTGAGTGCGATAGCTTTAGCGTTGTACAAGGAGATTCAATGTGAGAGTTATCCACAACGGTTTCATTGGATTGAATCGATTCGGTTGCAACCATTGAGGATGGTTTTCCTCCACTCGCCACTGCAGGAGTCAAGATTGGAACACTTCCATTGAACTGCGCGCTTGATACAGTATCATTTGCAATCACAGAAACAACGCCGCTACCACTACTACTGCTGTTTTCAGGATCAACTTTGAGCTTCTTCTCTTTTGTGGCCAATATTAACACATCATCCATTGATTTCGATTCCTTATTTAAGTGTGATTGTGGAGCATGGATATGGTGTTTGGAAAAGAATACACCCAAATCCTCATCTGCTTGCTGAGAAGTTGACGAGTGACTTCGAATGCTCAACACACTGTCCACAATCATGGACGAAGAGTGAGACAACTGATGGGAAATTCTCTTCAACAAACCCTTCTTTGGAGTCGTTGCTGCAGCAACATGCTCAATCACGGGTACATTTGCAGTCGGACCATTCAATAACGGTAATTGCTGCTTTGTGCCTCCCAATGCATTAGTCACAACCATGACACTCTTCTCGCCCTTTAATGTTGCTGCTGCTATTTGTTGTTGTTGAGTACCGCAGATGCTTGATGAAGAATTAACAGCAGCTGCAATAGAAACCTTCTTGTTCATGACGGTTGTAGCTGCAGTTGTTGTGTTGAATGATTTCTTGGATGGTGTTGAGGAACAAGCTTGAAGTGACGATGATGTGGTGGACGAAGAAGTATTGTATTCAACCATTTCGTGCAAAACCATTCCCTATGTTGACGAGAAAGAGCAGCAGTCCCTTCTTTTTTCAAAAACGCTACTTTAGCGTGTAAAGAAAAATGATGAGAAAATGTTAACTCTTCCTCAAAGCGAAAAGTTTTTTTTGGTATTTTCCTATATTAGAAATGTAGATATTATGAAGAATTTCAATGACAGACTTCCCTCTCGCCGACGTTGTTTCTTGTAAGATGCGTTGATACATTTTGAAATTGGCCAAAACGAGAATCCTTTCAAAATGTCAAGAATATGATTGGGGAAGTAGCATTGATCTGGGCATATTGTCAAAATACTTGACAGGCGGTCCGTTTCCATGATTTGGCAATATTCGGATTCTAAAACTGTTATTAGGTTTGATTTGGATTGTATTTTCAGGATATAAAAGGAATTGGCTGATGATTAATTTGTTGAACTTGTAATTCCAACCACATTAGGCCTTGATGAGTCTATTATTCAATCATCAACGAAATAATAAATATTGGCTAGGTTCCGATCATAAAACTGGCTTTCAAACCAATTCCAAAGAAATTACTTCATTTTTTTGGAAACCGTTTATTGACAACATCAACGATTGTGAAGCCTCGCCGTTGCATCCGACTGCTGTTGGATGAATGAATGTTTTTTGACGCAGAAAACTCAACGAGTTCTAACTTGACCAAAATACTCATGTAAATCCAAGTCATCATACAGAATCGTGTTGGTTCCATGCTTACAGTGAATCCCCAAGATCCTTTTTCGTATTCAAAAACATATCCAGAAGATCATCCTTGCTGGAGATGAGAAATCAGCACCAGCAACAACTCATACAACATAATCATTTCCATCCTTAACAATTAATTCGATATCTTTTATTATCTCAATATTTCCATGAGTTTGCATTAATAATTCCAAAATGTCAATGCTGAAAGAATTTGAACCACACCAAATACCATCGTCCACACCAATGCAAGTGGACTTGTCCTTACACTCGATCCATTATTTCTCTTTCCTGATGTACTTGGATTAACGATAGGGAAGGTTCCGTTTTTACATTGGCTTGCGAAATTGGAACATCGTTGATTGGTGGGAGGAATGTAGAAATTGGTGAAGGTTTGAGTGAGTTTCCATGATTCATCACTTTGTCGAGTCCATGTCTTTGGTTTTTAATGCAACATTTTCATTTATGAAAATTTGTAATTTGAAATTGTCCAAAAAATTGAGAATTCACAATTTCCAATTAAGGTATTCAATTAAAAAAATCAAGGCAAGAGCACTCAACTACTTACAGCCGCTTCTTGAGTATAATCCCCACAAGGTCCAGTATAGTTATATCCACTCGACATGAATTGTTGAACCGACTTGGTTCCAGTAATTACAATATTCGCACAACTATGATACACACTGAAACATTGAGGAGAGGATCCACTTGCAGTTGGATAGGAACAACACGTTCCTGAGGTAATCTTGTCCGTCATTGGATTGGTCAATGCCAATGAACATTTTGGACAATTAATGTCAGGAATGATCACTTCATATTGATAGACCTTGACGGGATTAGATTCAGTAGCATCGTTGTGGGGAATGTGATCAATGAGAATGTACTTGTCGTAACTACTGTCGTCGTTGATACTGAGGGCAATTCGGAAAGGAGCTCCTCGATGGGAAATGGTTTCTTCGAATTTCAAAATTTGTTTGCCTGGGGAGAGAGTGGTTACGGGTTGTCCTTGTCCATGGAATTGAATGCCACCGCCTGTTGTTGGCCATGTTTAAGTGTTGAAACAATTATTGTTGACGCATTCGAAATGGAATAGTGCGGATTGGAATTTCGTTTTTATCATTCCATAGGAAGGAAATTTTTGTTCAAGTGAAAAGTGTGAACGAACAAAACTTACATGGATAGGTTTTGAGTCCAGCATCAGAGGTTCTTGGACTTGATTGTTTTGTGTGTGACGCAAATTATTCGGAGTGGGTGAAGAGGAATATATATTATCATCATCGATACGGAGATCCAATGGTTCATGATGATTCTCTGAGTTTGTAAAATCAACCGTTATTGACATACCTTGGATAGGTCCAACGAGCATGACCTTCGACGAATTGCGAGCTCAAACGCAACAGACAGCAAATCAAAGCGAGTGTGATGAAATACACAGCTCTGGATGACATTATTTTTTGTGTGAAATTTGTTGATGGTTGAGGCGAGAATCAAGATCTTGATGACAACAGAAGGGTCAAGGCTAAAGATCCAATGACGGATTACAAAAAGGCAACAACGATTTACTGTAATATTATTCGTGGTTAATAGAGGGTAAATTACTTGTGATTAAGAAATTCCTTCTCTAGGTCTTCGACTGACATCATTTCTTGAGATGGCATAAACATGTTTGGATACATGACGCCAGTATTTTGCATAAAGCCTGGGGGTACATTTGGAAAGCCCATACCACCAGCATTTGGATAGGGCTGGTGAGGAGGAACAAAACCAGGATGCATGATGGGAGGGATAAATGCAGAAGGATTATTTGGAAAAGGTGAATTTGGGTTGAACAAAAAGCGTTTGTCATGCATCATACGAGGCTGTGGTTGCATTTGATCCATCAAAGGGCTAACAGGATGCATTGATTGCATGTTTGGTGGTTGAGCGGTGTTAATCATATTTTGTGGTTGAGTATTTTGTTGTGACGAAGCATAATGTGGAAGACTTGAAGTAGTAGTGCTTGGTAATGCAGTAGTAATTGTATCTGTAGTAGGTGAAGATTGTTGTTGTGGAATGTTACTGTGGGTTATTGCGGCATTTGAACTAGTCGAAGCATCAGAGGCAGTGACTGGCTGATTTGATGATGTTTGTGGACCAGTTTTAACTGTTGTTTGAGCATTGGAAGTGGATGTTGTTGTTGTGGCTTGGCTTGGTGTTACCTTAAGCTTAATCTTCTTTTCGGTATTGGTACCCATCTTTTTCATGAGGTGGGAAGGTACGAATGGAGAATTAGCAGAGGTTTTGGAAAGTTTTCTTTGAGTGCCTGTTGCTGTTGACTGTGATGGAGTTGATGCTTTAACTGTTGGTTGTTTGGAGGGAGTTCCTGGTTGAGTATTGTCTTCGATGTTTTTTTCTGCCTTCTCTTTGTGTTCTTGATATTGCTGGAATGGCGACACAAATTTTGGAGTGGCAGTAGTTGCTAATGGAAGCTCAACATTGTTTTGAGCAGTTGTAAAGGAATCTGTGGAAGATAATGTAGCTGTTGAGGAAAGTGACTTAAATAAATGTTCAATGCCTTGATTTGATAAAGCAGGTATTTTGGACGATTCCGAAGGTGGTGACGCTTGCTTCAATGGTTGAGAGCTCGAATCGTTGAGGGACAACAAGAATTGGTTTTCTAAATCTTCGGCACTCATCATTGAAACCTGGTTGGCTGAGTCTATGACTGCAAATTGATCAAATTGTGCAGGTGCTGTTTTCGTTTCTTCTTCATTAATGCCCTTTTCAATGCTAGAAAACTTGCTGCCTCCTGTCTGTGCATTTCCTGTTAATAAAAACTCAGGAATGGCATTCATGGGACGTAAAAGTGGAGACACTTGTTGTTGAGAGGATAACGAACCTGTAGTAAAGAGACCTTGCAAGTTTGGAGCAGATTGAGGGTAGGCAAATGAATTGTCATTCAGTGGTTGAGCTGTCATTGCACGACCTGATGGTAAATGCTCGTCTAATAGAGATGCAGGACTGATGTTAGACTGCAGCTGCTGTTCATCAAATGATCCAAACCCAAATCTTGACTTTCCTGATTTGGTACCCTTAATCATTGTAGAAATTACAGGATCTTCTGAAACGAACGGAGGAACTGCATCGGTCTTTGTGTCTCCTAATGCAAACAATGGTTTGTCTCTCTTTTGAGATGAAGGTGCTAAAGATGAAGGAGTTGGCAAATTAAGAAAAGAGTCCTCAAGCTCTGAAAGTGAATGTTCTTTCTGACCATACTCATTTTGGTGGGAGCTTAAAGTGAAAAAGTAGCTTTCCAAATCGCTTGCATTGCTTGATTCCTTCATTTCATGCAAGTCAGTACCAAAGGTTTCTTCGTCGAGAGAGGTATGATAGTCCTCTTCTAAAGCTTCTCCTTCAGTATTGGACAAATCTCCAAAGAAAGAGCCTGCTCCTGTAGTAGCTTGGTGAGTTTTTCTAAATTCTTCAAAGGCCTTCTTTCTTTCAAGTTCCTCGTTTGTCAATTCATCATTGGAAGCACTCGAGTCAAACCAAATGGCTCCCTTTCCTCCTCCAGTTCTCACAACTGTGCTGCCGCCGCTTGTTGATGAAAGAGCGGCATATCTACTATTGTTGCCTGTTGATGCCGATGAGGAAAGAGTTTGTGCAAATGCGCTACTATCTCTTCCACCAATACCTCCTCCGGATTGAGAACGACTACTGGCACCTCTTCTCGATGTGGATCCGAATGGATTAGAAGCCGACTCAGAAGTGGTGTGTTGTCTTGGAGGGCGTTTGAAAGGATCTGATGATGACACAGGTTTGGAAGAAGACTGTGTTGAGGAGGATGGAGCTTGAGTAATTCCCCAATCCAGCTTTCTGTAATCCAAGTCTGGTAAGTCAGGGTGTTTCTCAGTGCAAATTGGGTTGCTAGTCCCAATATCGAGAACATCCCTAATGGAATATCTGAGTCGACCAGTCTCGTCAGGGAATTGCTCTGCTCTGCGATTTTGAAGTTGGTCCACTGCAGCAAGAATAGATTCTGCATTGAATTGAAGAGTAGTGTTATAGATTTTCTGGATGGCATTGGTGGATAGTCCTGCTTGAATGTCCGAGTCATCATCTGTGATATTACTTTGATGTTGGCTAACTTGATGAGATGAGTTTGAATGAGAGTGATGATGATGATGATGAGAAGTATGGTGATTGGAATGATGGTGAGAATGATTATTGTTGGAGTGACTCAATGGTGCATGAGAGTCCTTATTGGTTGCTGCCAATGTTCCGTAAAAGCCGCCAAAAGGTTGATTCCTTGCTGAAGGATGGTTATTGGTGTTGTTGTTGGTCGAGGAAGGATGTGAAGTAGATTGATTTGGAGATGTTGTATTAAAAGTATTAATAGCCGCATAGTCATGGCTCGAGTTATCACCAATATCGTTCATGTCCACGACTTGTTTTTGATCATCGTTGGGGCTGAACGCTGCGTCAGTGGAACGTTGATTATTGTTATTGCTGTTTTCATTACTAACATCATCAGAGGGCGGAGATTGTTCTCTGCTCACACTTGATCGTCGACGACGAGGTTGCGGGATAATTGCTGAAGCGTTAGAAGCCAGACGAGGATCCAATGTTGTTGATGATTTATTACTCATGATAGAAACACCCGAAGGAGGTGTTGGTGTTGTGGGCGTGGTTTGCTGTGTTGATGACGAGTTTCTATTCGATGAGGAACGACCATGAGATGGATTGTAGTATTTTGTTGGCGGCATTTTTTTCTATCGATAATTTTTTTTTAAAACTACTCGTGCTGTTAATATGCACAACCATCGTTGAATGTTTATTGGTTGGGATTGAAATGGTTGAAAAAGAAGAGGAGTGTCAAAGGTGTTCGAAAGAAGTGTTGGCTCAAAGTTGTATGTTAATTGCTAACACAAAGAATGTTGAACGTGGCCAAAGAAGTGAGTGTGTGTCATTTGCTTAATCGAGCATGTCTATTCACGTGTGTCCATATTTCCGGTAGAGCTTTGACTTGTTTCATTCAACTTGCTAAATATGCTACTGATGTAAGGGTGTTGCATGGCTTCCTTAGCTGTCATTCGTTGTTGATGATCGTATCGAAGTAATTTGTCCAAAAAGTCGATGGCTTCATCATTGGCAAGATGCGAATTATCCTTGTTAACAAAAGAGTGCCATGGCTTTCTTGGATATCTGTTTCTTGAAAGAATACCCTCATAGTGTGCAGAGAGTGTAATAGAATACTTGTCCAAATAGTCATACAATTCCTCAGTTCCTAACACTTTTGCAATTTTAACTAGCTGGTCATAGTTATCACGACCATGGAAGAATGGTTCCTTTCTGAAAATCATACCGGCAAACATGCATCCAAGACTCCACATATCCAGAGAGTAATCATATTCTCTGAAATCTACCAAAAGTTCTGGTCCTTTGAAATATCTTGAAGCAACTCTTACATTGTATTCTTGACCAGGATGATAGAATTCTGCAAGACCCCAGTCAATGACACGTAATTTCTTTTGTTTGTGGTCAATCATGACGTTGTGTGGTTTAATATCTCGGTGCATTATTCCCATCGAATGGCAAAAATCTAGAGCCTTCAATAATTCATACATGTAATATCTAATATCAAAATCAGAGAAGGTTGGATATAAAAAACGGAAATCGGTGTTATCAACATTTTCCATGACCAGTGATGGAGTTTTAGATTCAGGATCTCTAACAACATCCAAAAGTTTTACAATGTTGGTTCCTCCACAAAGGTTTTGTAGAATTTTAATTTCTCTCTTGATTTTCTTCTTCTTGACAGGTTTGAGTACTTTGATGATACATCGTTCATTTGTTTCGGCGTTGATTCCTTCAAAAACTTCACTGTATTTTCCTCGGCCTACTTTTCGAACAATTTCGTATTTATCTTGAGAACTGTTTGTATATGATTTGTAGATGATGTAAATAATGTATGTAAACACAAGAGGGTAAGTTTTTGTTGTTGTTGAATGACAGTGATGTGGCAGACCACAAAAGATGATAAAATATTGATGATGATGATGATAAAATAACGAATTTGAATAACAATTTGAGATAATAACGGCGGTGGTGTGGGTTGTTGTTGGTATGGTATATTATAAAGACTTGGTCTACTTACCCCCAGTCAATTTGAAGGCTTTCATAATCCCAATATTCCTTCGGTTTTCTCAAGTTTACGTCGGCATACACTCTTGCACGGCTCATACTCGATGTTATTATTTTAGTGATGGCGTTTATCAACAACTTTGTGTGCAATTTTTGGGAGTTATTTTTTGGTTTTGAAAAGGCTCGTGTTGTCGAGAAAGGCGGCAGGATGGTGTTCACTGTTGCTCGTCATTCTAGATGTCGATGATGCTAATCACTTTGTGGGATCCTGCACTTTGCAGAAACATCTCGCACACTTCCAAGTCGACTTGTTCTGCGTTCGTGCTCTGTGCGTCTTTACCCATTGTAAAAACCAGTCAACCAAATTTTTGCCAACAAAAAAATTTTCGTTTGAAAAAAATACGTCAAAAAGTATGTATCAAATCCTCGCATCCTTTTATTAATGATTTTGCTGTTTTTTGAATTGCCTGTTCGATAGGATGGGTAAAGTCCACGGTTCATTGGCTCGTGCCGGTAAAGTTAAAAACCAAACACCAAAGGTTGACAAGCAACCATTCAAGGGTAAGAGAAAGACCGGAAGATCAAAGAAGAGATTCCTCTACAACAAGAGATATGCTTCATTGAAGAAGGGTACTAACCCACTCAGAATGAAGTTGAACTCTATTGCCATGCAACAAGAGATCAAGGAAAAGAAGAAGGCAAGAGTTGAAGAAATTGCTCAAAAGAAGAAGGAAGCTGGTAAGAAGGAAAAGTAAATCATTTGACTTGCCATACTCATCATAATTAAACAAAAAATTTCTAAATTATTTATTTGCGTGTGAGTGTGTTTGTTCGATCCAACCATGAATGCGAGAGGCAGAAAACATGATGAATTTGACCCGCACAATGATGAGCTGTGGATACAAAGACCTTTAAAGCTTTAATTGTTCGTAGTCTGCATTCTCTCCCATCAAATCTAGCATGTTGCCGAACATTTTTGCCATGGACATAATCTCCTCTCTTCGTGCTTCGTCATCTTCCGTGTTGCAAATGGTGAGCAAGTGGTCTTGGGCAATCTTCTCAAAATCTGTACCGTTGAGAATAGCTTCACTAAATTCTGCCACTGCTTCCACCAGGAAGATATTCTTCGAGACGACAGGTAAATTCATGATTTGCAAATTCTCAACATTTCTCAACAAATCCACAAGGACTGGTATTTGGTCAATCAGAACGTCTGTGAGATGTTTCTTGAGCTATTCGTGAACCGTGGACAATTTGATATTTCAATAAGGATGAGTTTTCGCATTGTGCACCCCTAAAACAAACAACTACTTACCCCAACAACTGTTTCCCTTCTAAAGGTTGTATACTCGTACTTGTTTCTTGTTTCTGGATCTACTAACAAATTATTTAGGGCAAGCCACACTTGTGCTTCATATTGTGACACTTTCAAATATTCGTCAAACGAAACAGTTTCCCATTTGTTTCCATTGTACTTTTTGAATCCAGACTTTTCCTTCCTTTTGAAAGGTGAATCCTCAATAATGTACGCTAATGCAATTGGAGAGTCGTGTTTTTCTAAAATTCGATGTACCACACTTGGAGATATTTCTTTGAGATTGTCTGTGATGAATCTAAATATTGTGAGGGAATACATGCAACAGTTGAATTCAATTTCTAGCATTTGATCCTGCCAAATTTCATCGTCTGATAATTTCAAAATTTCCTTTTGATCGTGACGCTCTTGCAATTTTTTGTTATGAATAAGAGTATTGAATTTTCGTTGGCAATAATCTACAAGTTCAATGAGAATGGATTCCTCACAATAAATGATGGCATCCTTATGATACATGACACATTCCAACAAATTAACCAATGTTGCCTCATGATAATAAATTAAATAAGGTTTGATGGATTGTTTTGCTGCACTTGCCAATTCTTCCTTAATGAGCGGTGCCACTTTGTTTTTCCAAATTTCGACAGTGATGAGCTCTTTAATGAGAATTTCCACTTTTTGAGAGGAAATTATGCTTTGGGCAACATATTCATCTTGGTTGAGAGCAGCATTTTGATGAGCCTGAATATTTAACATGTTGATCACTTCACGTTGTTTCATCCATTTCGAAGAGCCAATATCTTTCATTTCGAAATATTTCAAATTGTTGACTTGTCGTTGAGCTTCCAAAGGATTCATTTCCGACATGTAATTTTCTCTTTAGTATAACGAATCAATGAATCATAACCATTCATGTTTGTTGTTTCATGTATACAACCCTCATGCTTCATTACACAAACTACCTACCCAAGCACTTCATCAAACTGAACCATCTTTAATTCCGATAATAATAGCAACGGTATTGAAACAATGAATAATGGGAAAGGTTAGAGGAATTTTTTTGTATTGCATGTGCAAAATTTTGGCGGCAATTTTTTCTTCGTCAACAACAAGCCAACAACATACAATCAGTGGTCATTACCTAGAGTCTTGGCCACTGAGTTGCAACACCTTGTTTTTCAAAGCCGTCTCAATTGCCAACAAGTATTGTTCCAAAGTCACTGCATTCGAAATGTGATTCAAATAAAAGGCATGTGACAGGAAGGGTAATTTTCGAAGTGATCTACCACTCATGCCTTCCTCACAACATTCTGAAAGTTGTTTGAGTTTGAGAGCATAGGTATTTTCTGGAGCGTCTTTGTCATTCCATTTCGGTATTGGTATAGAAGGTGAAATAACAGAAACACGCATCAATTCCATTAGACATGATCTTAGAATGGAATATCTTCCTTGAACGGAAGGTGGTCCAATATATTGTTTGATGTCGGCTCTATCGACAAATGCTAAATCAATGGCCTCTGTAATATTTGAGGTTGTTAAAATTAGTACGTTTTTGTATCGTTTCAAATGATCTAATTGGGTGAGGAGTGCGTTTACAACTCGAATACTGTCCGAAGGTTCAGAGCCTGAGAGTGCGCTTTTTCGAGCTGCAGTTAAGGATTCGACTTCATCAATGAGAACACAAACAAATGATTCCTCATCTTCCACAATTTCAAATATTTTCTTGAATAATTTCATGACTAGCTTGCCGCTTTCACTGAACCATTTGGAGAATAAGCTGTGAGCATTGATTTCAATTAATAAACCCCCTGATGGATATCTGTGTGACATTCGTATGGCAAGTTTTTGTGCAAGACCTTTACACAACGAGGTCTACATTTATCATTTTCCAAAAATTGTCAAACGCAATTGTTTCAAAACAAGTCAAGAGCCATGTGATGCGAAATTAATTCGAAATCAAGTCAAGAGCCATGTGATGTGAAATATGATCAAATTATTAAAATTGATACCAAAATGCATTTCAAAATTTGTTTCCAATATACTCTACTATCTATCTTCGAATGACTTACTTTACCAGTTCCAGGAGGTCCATAGAGCAATACTACTCGATTCCAACTAATTAAATTTTGATCCACACCCAAATCAGAAAATCGCATGGTCGTTGAGGCATATTCCAACAAGTTATACTTTACATGGTTGTCGAAAATTAAACTTTCCCAAAGACCATCAAATGAATCATTTGGAAGGGTCCATTGTTTACACGCAGAAATTTCTTCATTCTCTGTTCCATTGTCATCTGTTGTTTCTTCAATAGGCTCTTCATCAGTGGATTTGAAGACATGAATTGAAAATTGTGCATCTTGGTTGTACAATAAAGGACCATTATACATTGGATGTTGTTCCATGTCAGCAATTTTAATTTGTTTGACATGTTTGACCAGAAATTCCTCCTTTTCGGAAAGTCTCTGGCTCTCGGAAACAACGATTGGAATGATTCCATCTTGAATGATGGGCCTCCTATTGATGATGAGCTCCAAAACAGCCTCTTTAATTAATTTACTCTTTGCAGTACTTTGTGGCTTCAGACACACTGATTGAGTTCAAAGATTCGAAAATGAAATTTGAAACATTAAATCGTTTCATCATCATGATAGCAAAGAGAGCATTTAAATGAAAACCATTCCGATGACGATAACTCTTCAAAAGGCTTTGCTTACCTTCGACATGAACGGGCGGTAAATGAGAGTTCATTTTTTAAGTGGAAGAATAAAAGCCTACTTGAATCAGAAGAAAATCTTTAATATTGCCCTCACGTCAACTCTCCAAAAAGTTCATCAAATAAATTAATGGAAATTTTGAATTTGGAAGCGATACGTGGAGTGTGAGAGGTGGAGTTAGAATTGGAAACATGATGAGGATGTGACATGTTGGTATTTGCAATTTGAGAGTTATTGAGAGAGGAGGACGCGTCATTGGAAATTGGTACGGTTGTGGAATGATTATCAGTGGCAAGAAGTGAATTAAAAGTTGCACTTGGCAACAACTTTGGTCTAGCTTCCTTCTTCTTTTCTGCTTGAACAGCCGAGTCTTTTCTGAAATTTTCTTCCACGTACTTCTCGGCTTCATGATTCAATTCGTTGTAATTCGTTTTGATTCGAAGAATTTTTCCTGAAGAGTCACCTGCAAATATTTCATTCTTTTCATTGTCATAATTCAAAAAGGTAAAGTCTGTCTTTTTGTTTTCATAAGAAAATAAAATGTGCTGAGTCGAGTCCTCAGCATTTAGCTGCCAAATGTCAACTCGTCCACCCTTATACCAGGTTAGCATCTTTCCTTGGTTGTCCTCAATCAACCTCATTCCTAGAATGATCTCTGAACAGTTAATGGAAATTAGCTTTTCCAAGGTCAAAATATTCCAGAGAGCAATGGTTTGGTCATCACTGGCAGAATATAAAAAATTTCCGTCAAGAGCCAAAGAAACAACGGCATGTTTGTGCCCTTTTGAATCATTATCTTTTCGCTTAGCCTTAATTTCACCTAGTTGTTGGAAATCATTGTCAATGGACCAAAATCGAATAATACCATCGTTTCCTCCAGTTATTACTGATCCATTAAGCTGATTCAGTATGACACACAAAATTTCACGGTTGTGTGCATTATGCTTCACTTTGAAAATTGGCTGTTGGTTTTCATATATAAATTTTGTTAAATCACATACTCCGAAGGATCCGTCAAAACTTGAGGAAACCAAGACAACACACTCTCGTTTGTCCCTCTGGTTTCTATCGAACGTGCCTCGAGGTGAAAAAATTGAGGGTCTCTTTCGGTCTGTGACCAGGGTCCCTTTGAATAAATCACAAACCGTATTTTCATGGAGCTGAACTGTAAACAATTCCTTTCCCTTTTCTAAATTCCACAACGTGAGAAGGCCACTGTCATGGCCACTACATGCTACTCCTTCGTCAATGTACACGAAAGATGTCACGTCTGTTTTGTCTCCTCTAGGATCACATTTGATTTGATCAATGCATCTCATATCAAATTTGCTTACTTCCCACACCAAAATTTTGTTGTCAGCTCCTGCCGTAATTAACCTAGCTGTGGCTGTTCTTTTGGGATTTACAGAAATACCGACGACTGAATCGGAGTGATCCTTGTGCTCTCGGTGTGGAATATTTCTTTCAATGAAGAAGGACTGCACAGCATTTCTTCCTGATACAAGAATTCTTCCGGAAACAAAACTGAGACAAGTTGGCTCCTTAGTAAAATGAAACGAGAGGGGAGATTCTCCAGTTCTATACTGGTAAACATTCACCTTTCCAGACTCCGATACTGAAATCAGTTCCTCAAATTCACTATTCCAGTCCATGCCACATATCCGTTCGTCGCTTACAAAACGTGAGAATACAGTCTTTCCACTGTAATCTGTAAATTTAACCTCGTTATCAAATCCAGTAGAAACCATCATGTTACTACCTTGCAACATCAATATACTAGTTATTCCCTTGTCTCTAAGCTTTAGTTTGTACATAAATTTTACATCAGTGATGGATTTTCGATCTCGAAGCTCTCCAACTGTTTTATACACAAAACAAGTTCCTTTCATTGTACCAACGACGATTTCTCCTTGGTCTCCGGAAAGTTCTTCAGGAGAGGCCCACAGCGAGCTTACCCATGCGTCGCATTCGCTTAGTGTTTTGAAGCAAGTAAACCAAGGAACAAGATTCAATTTTTTCCTCTCCTTATCAGGTTTCCATATCTTAACAGTCATATCAGAACTACCCGAAATAATTAAATCAAAATGAAATGCCAAGCATGTCACTGGTTTTGAATGAGAAAACATGGCTATTAATGAGGTGTGATTAATTATTTGATATTGAAGAATACCAGTTGAAAAACATACTTTGAAGGCACGAATTTTCTGCCAGATATTTTCCAAACGGGTCAAAGACTAAGTGACGTTATTAAGGGGTTAGAAAATCCATCTACGAGAACAATAATCATGAGCTATCATGCATACCTTTCATTGAGTGATCAACACAGCCTGTGACAATTAATTCAAGAGATGGATGATACATGATGCAAAGTATAGATGCTGAATGCTTTCCCAGAAGCGTAAAATTAGTCGCTACTTTTTCGTTATTGTCTTCATGCTTCCAATAAACAATTTCTCCTCTCGCTATCAAGTTTTTGTTTTATCAAAAAAATTCAAAAGAACTCGTCCAAAAGAAACTCACCCGTGCCAGCAAATATTATCAATTGTCCATTCCGTTCTACCGCGGTATGGCAACTAAACCTCGGAAATTGATTGTTTGTTCTCTTTCCGAAATGTTTTGGTTGATCCTGAGAAATGGTATACTAATGGAATTGTCAATTTAAATGAAAAACGTCAGAATTAATTCCGATTCGTGGAAATTAGCATTCGAGTTGTTTTACATGTGTACCATCCATTTCCAAAATATGAAATTTGAAATTAGCCAATTTTGAATATATAACCGATCTTCATCATGCATGATGATATCACATACATTCTTTCCGTACACGACATTCATATTTTTTTTAAGGATTTATTTTTGTGATATTTACAGCATTCATGAGAGCGGGGAAAGTCGTTGCTGCTATGAATGTCGTTCTTGCATTCAGAAATAGAAAAGGCTCAAGTTTGGAAGAATTCATTCATACTATGAATTTAAGAGAGCAAGCCAAGGATTACAGCAATAGATAACATACTTATTTGAACAAGCGATGGTTTGGAATAATTTCAAGCCGTCCAAAACGAGAATTCTGAATCACGATCGTAAATGGATTAAGAACAAATTCAGAGCTCTATTTTCGGTAATTTCTCATTTCAAACATTTTCACTTTTATGGCATACACGCTTGTATTCATCAAGTCTTCGAATTGTTGCATGCATGTCTGGACTAATTTCTTGGTCAATGAAAAAGATAACTCTCGAAATGATGCTTGCAACCACAAGTCCTCCTTCAAGAATTGATCTCACACTTGCCTTTCTGGCTCTATTCATTCTGCTCTTTTCCAATGGTTTCCTATGGGCACAAGAAATGAGAATGGCCCTCAATCCATCCACACTCCAATCCTGGGAATTGGCCTCTTCCATGCAATTTTGCAAGAGAAATTTGACAGTCGATACCTCTCTCGCTTCATCCTCACCAGGAAGTGGCACTTCTGCTGTACTCTCTCGAATCTCTGTCATGAGTGCTTTATTGTGCAATAGTTCGAGTAGTGGAAATGTGTCTCAGTCCTCAACCTCGTCATTACCACAAACGAAACGAAGCACTCTCTCAGAATTGCAACAACCCATTCAAGGAGAAGCACCTCTCGAATCGATTGGTTTCTTTACCAATTTGGAATTAACTGGATTCACAACTGGTTTACTTGGACTCGATATGAATGAACAAGGAAGTACCAATACCATCTTGCAATTACTCTCTCTCGTTCAAATTTCCATTTTTGATAAGAGTAAGCAAAGTTCTTCTTCAAGCACGACGGGTCAGTCTCAATCTCAGACAGCATCGTCCTCTACGGCATCGAGTCTTCCACCTCTACTCTTTCCATTTAGTCCAGGAGTGTTAAAGACCATCTACTTTACTAATTCTTCACTCCAAAATATTCAAACAACGTATGGAATGAAAGTAGTGAACACTGGAGCATCAACTGCATCAACAGGAGGAGATGGATCAGGAGAAGCGAGTAAGGTCATGTACTTTTCAGTTCATGCCGATTCTGAAATTGGTCACTTGATGGTGAGTGTGTTTGTGGCCGAACAACCGACCATCCTGAAAACACAGCTCATTCCAGCCAATTCGACCATAAATCCCAACAAGAACAATGTCCTATTGTTGCCAGAGAGTGTGTTATTAGTATTGAGTATTGATCAATTCAATGCCCAACGTTTACTTCAAATGGTAAATTTGAATTCAGTAGAGAACTTGGAACTGGTATTGACGGTCGATATTGGTGTCTTGGGTTCTTCCATGAATGCTTCGACAACTCTCCCTTCGCAAGACGGTGATGAAAACGAAGAAGGCAATAATCAAGAGGATGATCAAAATTCTTCTCACAGGACGAACCCACTGGACAAGGTTCCAAACAAGCTCCTCAACAACAACAACAACAGCAAACTCAAGAACAATCTCAGCAACAAGAGCAGCCACAGCCACAGGAATCACCACAGCCACAGGATTCTCCTCAACCACAGGAATCACCTCAGCCACAACCACCCCAACAAGGAGCAACCTCACCACGTCCTCCAGAACAGCAACCGCCACAACAACCATCTCAATCACCTCAGCCACAGGCTTCACCACAACAACCTCAACAGCAGCCTCCTCCTCCTCCACCTCCTCAACCTCAACAAACTTCTGGTATACCTCCTCAACAACGGCCACCACAAGAACCTCAAGGACCTCCTCAACAAGTACCTCAAGGACCACCGCCTCAACAAGGAGCAACCTCTCCTCGTCCTCCAGAACAGCAACAACCACCTCCTCAAGGACCTCCTCAACAAGAACCTCAAGGACCTCCTCAGCAAGTACCTCAAGGACCACCACCTCAGGAGCCTCCTCAACAGCAACAACCACCTCAACAACCACCTCGTCCCTATGGAGGATATCCACCACCGAATACAAACTCGGAACACTCGCAAGACAATCCACCATCGTTCCGGATCTTCCTTACAAACCAGATGATTATCGACGTGTGTATCAACTCATCAACAATAGCACGACACGAATATTCCAAAAGGTTATCTGGCCATTCCAACAGCAGCTTCCTATGGTAAATACAATTCAGAAGGAAAGGGAGAGCTTGTCAAATTCTTGCGGACGACTCAATCCATGGCTTCTCTGAGTTTGGGTTCTGGTGGTGCGAGTGTCACTACGAGTCAATCTCAAATGTCGGAGACACAATCTCAGCAACAATCTCAAACAATCTCAAATCCTTCAAGTCAACAAGGAGGACGACTCGATCTTACTCGAATGGATATTCATATTCCATTAGCAACCTTAACACCGGAAGAACTCTCTCAGGATGCATTCATTTTGTGGGGACCTGTCTATTTTGGACATGTGGAACAACAAGGAAGCACTTGTTCGTGTTCGGTGCCTCAACAACAACAACAACCTCAATCCACTTCGAGTGGAGCACCTTAATTCCCTCAACTACAACTTGTTAAGAGAGTGAGAATAAACGGCGAATTTGTTTCTTAAATAAGCGATTTTTACCGTTGCCTTCAGTTGTCATTTTTGTCAAAAAAAGCATTCTCACCTACGAACTTGTTCGAGAAGAAAAAATTTCAAAAAGAGGACCTCAACAAAGTGTGTGTCAGACGAATGAAATTTACGTTTTCGACTCCCACACGAAGCCTCGATGCCAACCACTACATGGCTCACCCCAAAGGAGGACCTTTCCATCGAATGGGTTTTTCATTCTCTCAAAAGTTATTCCTTCTATGTTGTTTGTTTTTATGCCTCATTCTTCCAATGTATTTTGTTTTTCTTCATTATTCATCATCGTCTTCGATTTATGCCTCACACTCAACCAGAAGCCTTCTTTCATCATGGACACAACATCGAAAGACGGACCAACCACGCTCGAAGTATAATTTGAACCAAGTCGACACTTCGACCCATCATCATCATTATTACATGTTTGGCAATTTTAAATGTAATCGACATGACTGGAGTGAGGAACACATACGAAAATTACCTCGACGTCGTTTTGCAAGTTGCGATTTTGAGAATTTATGTTTAACCAATCAGGGAGAATGGCTTCTTTTTCATTCGAAGGATCTTCTCGATGGAAATAACAAGGAAAGTGCTTTGAATGAATTAAATTCGATGCCTTTTACGTATGCTCAGGGTCGTGAGGAGACGGAGAGAGGATTATTTCGTGTGAAATTGGTCGATGCGAATTTAGTATTGATTCGAAACGAGAGGGGTCATGTCGTTAATGTCACCACTACGACCAGTTTGATTTCGAAAGCGAACACGAAGGAGGTATTAACATCAACAACAACAACGAACTTGACTCGTGTCGAATTGGATCCCAATTTTCGTTATTTGGAAAAACCAGTTTATGCTTTAAAACGATACGCTGCTGGTAATATGGGTCACTTTTTATTCGAGAATATCATGATGGTCATCATGTTAATGCAAAATTTTAGACCATCCATGAGTAATGCCAGTCCTTGTTGGACAATCACATCTTGTATTTGGATGATGTTTTTGACAAGTCACCTCATAATGACATTGCCTTGTATGGTTATGACGGAAATTTGGCTACAAATATTTCACTCAAAGTTGGAACAATGATTTCAAAGAATGACGTGTTACAAGTGTGTTCAAAGAAAGGCATTCATTCGATTGAAAATTTACCTTGCTTGAATGACGCTCCAAATGAAAGTATTAATACCCAATCATCCGCCGAGAATTCACAAGAACCAACAACGAAATATGTGCTCAATACTTGTTTTTCACATTTTCTAGTCGGAAAAATTTCGAATTTCTTTGTTGAGTTGTATGGACGTGAAAGCGCAATGGTCATGTTGAGACATTTGGCATATTCAGGATTGAAATTATCTCCTCTTCCCAACGAAGAAGACATTCCGTCGGAATTGATACATTATCTCAAAAGAAAGAACATCAAGATTGGTATTCACTCAAAATCGAAAGCATCTCGACATGGACGTATTATTTGGAATGTTGATGACATTGTGGATTATTTGCGACAAAATGTCACTGAGGATTTGAAAGCGCTATTTCCTAAAAAGAAAATTAGTATTGACGTATTCGAAATGGGCCAAATGGATGTGCATGATCAAATACGGTTAATTTCTGATCTTGACATTTACATTACTGATCAAGGAAGTAGCGCGTATTATGCAATGTTTATGAGACAAGATACAACAGTCTTGATCGCACCAGAATGTGCAGTTGTTGACAAGAAACAAAAATGTTGGACTGGACTTGGACATGCGAAATTAATGGCTCTTCCACACCTTCGGGCAGTGGATTATTTAGACTTGCACAAAGGTGAGCCGCCAATGTCGTGCAATATGAGACCCACTCATAATCAGGATAATTGTGATCCTATTTTGCGACCTGATCTTGTTGGCTCAGTTGTTGTGTCAGCCATCAAGAGAAGATATTTGAAGTTAATTGCGTTTGGTTTGGAGCGGTAATAATGTAGCGGTACGTGCTAATTTCTTTAGGGTGCACCTTTGAAAGTACGCTCAGTTGATTTAGATTAGGAGAGCAGCGCGTCACAATGATAACAAATAACGTCACACCATTGAAGTACAAGTCAAAAGGAGTTTACTTTTTTAGTTGTTGGTCCAGCTCAGCAAAAGTTTGTCTAATTTCTCTCGCCATTCGGACACATTCCGATGCAGTTGCTCTTTCTTTCGGATCTACTCTCAAAATTTTAGACAGAAAAGTAATGAGAGGTGTGTGAATTTGAGGTTCTGGATATGCCTTCTTGATCTCTCCTTCCACTACATTTTTCCAATAATCTTCGAAATTAAATTGTGCAAGAATTGCATGAGACACTTGTTCTTTTCCAATCTTTAAGGTCATCATTTCATAACACATGACGGCAAAACTCCAAATGTCAACTTCCAAGCCATAACCAGAAGAGGATGTTTGAATTTCTGGTGCAATGTATCCGGCAGAACCGAGTTGTGTGTAGGCCTTTCCTTCCTCGACTTGTTTTGCAAATCCGAAATCTCCAATTCTTTGAGATGTTGTTGACCACAAGATTATTCATAAATATGAAATGAAATCGTAACATGAGAGCATTTCACATTAATTAACATAAATTGAAAATAACGTCACAAAGTAGTGTTCATAATATCCAAATATGAATTTCATCACCAAGTCATTTTCATAATAATAATCCGAATTTGACACCAATGGCGTTAGTACAAGAAGGATGCTTGTCACATCTCGATCACTTACTTGAGTTGTTTGTATTGTTCGGTAAAGAAAATATTCTTATGTTTCAAATCTCGATGAAACACCTTGTAACTATGTAAATGTTCAATTCCTTTCGCTATTTGCACAATCCAATTTGCCAAAACCACTGGTTTCAAATACTTTCTAGGTTTGTTTTTTTGTTTTCCTTCAAGTAATTGATATAAATCTCCTTGTTTGTAGTACGGCATGATGTAACACACATAAAATGAAACATCTCCCATGTGTTGCTCCACGTCCAAAAACATGTCTTCATATAATACAAGATTTTCATGAACAAGACTTTTGAATGGCCATGCTGAGAAGAAAATGTCTCAGAATTTTCTTTCAAACTTGTCACTTACCTTCCTTAATGGCTCTATTGGCATCTTCTAACGTTTTACACATAATTTTCTTTAATGCCTTTTCTTCACCCGTCTTTTCATCTTTCACAAGATAGACAAGTCCAAAACCTCCCTTCTCTAAATTCTTAACAATTGTATATCGATTATTAATTTTGTTCGAATCCTTTTTCTTGTTTGACAAAAAGCTAGAAACATTTTTGATGGTTGGTGCTTTTCCAACAGCTAAATTTTCAACAAGTGAAGAATTGAAATAGGCTGAAATTTCAATTTTTGAATTATCCAAGACTTCTTCTTTTCCAAAATTGTGAGGGAAGGCAACAATTTCTAATTGACCACTCTCGACACCTTCAAGAGGAAGTATTAATACATTTTCTTTTTCTCTAGTAATTGTTGTTAGTGGAATGTCAGCACATCCCATAAAATCTGGAGAGTAGTGACCATAGAATTTCAAAACATTAAATTTTCTCACAATACGTCCATACCATTGATCACATACCATCCATTTTAGAATTGTCTCTATCCCAAACATAGATTGTAATTGTATCAATCGGTATGCCATTCTCATCGCATGATACTGAAATCTTTACAATTTGAATATATGATTAACAAAGAGATATGAATAAGTGATTAATAAAGAGAATTCATGATGAGCGGAATAAAATCTTTGTGATCTACCAACCTCAAACACTTCTTTCCATTCTGGATTAGGAGATGATTTTGCAGGTTTTGATTTTAATTTTCTACTTGTGTAATTATCGGACGTTGGACTTGCTCGGTTGAAAGACCAAACCACTAAGAATGGATCTGTTGCGGAATAAAATGATGATTATGAAAATAATGATGATTGAATCATGAAATAATTAATATATTTACATAATTAAAATTATGAAAATAATGATGAGGATTGAATAATATTTACATAATTAAATAAATCACAGATCAAGTCAAAAAAACTCACCATAGTTATCTCGGCTTGCAAGATTAATTCCTTTCTTTACGTAAAATTCTAATCGGGGAGCATCTGCTGACGTGCTGGTAATAAAACTTGTCCTCCTATATACATCCCATTTATTCCGTAGGTTTTCAGGGGCAATTGTAGCTTCCATGGTTATGAAATGGTGTGGTGCAGGGGTGGTTATGATCACGACTATTTTTTGTTATCCTTGCACCTCGTTTTCTGTTTATCCAGCAACCCGCTCTGTTGGCTATGTCTGAGACACCTTCCAAATTGAAACCACATTGTTATGATTAAATTGTGACCTGGTTATTATTACATGTGAAGCAGGGGTTCCCGAGCGGTCAAAGGGGGTAGACTCAAGTTCTACTGCGCAAGCTTCGTGGGTTCAAATCCCACCTCCTGCAATTTTTTGATTTTTTAAACTTTACATTATTAATTAACAAGCTTAATATTGATATGACTCTATATAGCTCATCGTTGGCCACAATTTATCTCATTGAAACAAGCTCCTCCACATTTTTATTTTGTTGTCTGGATTTTTGATGTAGCCTGATGATAGGGTCCTCTCATAATTGAGATGACAATTTGAGAATCTGAAAAAAATATTAAAAATAATTGAAAACAATGAGCTGATGGTTTGTGGTGGCAGAACGATTGAAGTTTGCAAATAGATTAATTTATTGTCATTTAACAAGAACAGATTTCTATTTCCAATGCAAAACGTTGTAAACAATGAAGTGTTCTGAACAAACTCATCAACAATAATCGAAATCATACCATTGAACCACCTTTCATGTGAACATTATTGAAGAATTACATGGAGTCTTGCCATGACCTTGGAACTTTCCAAAAAAGAGCATCAAAAGTTGTAAAACCCATCAAAAAAAAATGTCGCAAATGAGTTCATCCTCTTCCGTTGCAACTGGGCCAATCATTGTATTTCGATTCGGAAAAACAGCTTGCTGAGGTTCCGCACCGGTCCATAAAACAAATAAAATTGAGGGTTTTATGGAACGGTGTAAAACTGATTTTCCTCAATGTACAGTGAGTCAGGTCAGATTGGATGGTTCGGGCATGCTTGAAGTCTATCTCTTTCCGAGTCATGTACAAATTCCAGAATGTATTTGGGGATCGGAGTCTTCGCATTCTTCTTCAAAATTTAAACCAGTAGAGGAATATCGAGTCTATGATGGATATTTATTTGAATTTTATTCGAGTGGTGAGAGTCCATCAGAGAAAAAAGCCAAAGCGAAAATGCAATTATTGGTTGCCAATAATGCGAGTGTGAGTCATGAGAAGTAGATGACCTCGTGACGCGTTTGTGGCGACTCGTCTTCTGTGGAACTGTATATAAAACATTTCCAGATCTGTGGGATGACAGGGTAGTGAAGTGTGAAACCTTTTCATATTATTCCTTTGCGAGAGTGAATAGAATGAAAGCACAACTACCCTTGAAAGTGCAGATGGTCATGTATAAAACAGCTTCAGTAGATCTGTAATTAATAAATTGGTAGTTTTAAGTATCACACAGCTAAAATTTCAGGTCATTTCACATGGTATAATTCAAATTCCAGCGTTTACTATTTTTTCTATCTAATGTACGAGTAACATCTTGGCGTAAAAAAATTGTTTTCAAACAAATTTCAATTAATCCACCTGCATTTTGCTAGTAGTTGTCACCGTTTTTGACTATTGCTTGTGTTGCTGCCACTGTTGCTACTTCCAGTCGTTTGTGTTGTTCCACGAAGAGTAGAAGTAGTGGAAGCGACTATTTTTCCACTTCCATCATAATAAGACCACACAAAACTAGGATTTGCAGCTTCCTGAAGTTTTTGTAATTTCATTTTTCGTTGTTTTTCAATCTTTTTAAAATATTTCTGAGCTGTCCCATTCCATTGTTTAAAATCAAAATAAATTTAAAATACATTTCATCGACCGTGTTCCAAACAAAGAAAATTAAAATTTCCATTTTCAAAATAAGATCCAAAAATAATTTCCATAAAAGTCAGGCATGCACATGCCAACATGCATGATCAATAACGTACCATGAGAAGCTACCTGAGATCGTACCCTACTCTTAATATACTTATTTGCAATGAGTTCCCAATTTCTTCCAACCTCTCTCAATCCCTTCATAAATAATTCATGTTCTTCTTTACTCCATGTCCCATGATTGATTTGAACTTGTCCACTATCAGAAGTAGTAATCTTTGTAAAAGGTGAACATCTCATAACAGTTGCATCTTCACCTGTGTTCACATCAAATGAAGAAGATTGAGCAATTCCATCTTCCTCTTCGTGATCTACTCCATGCATGTGTTTTTCCGAACGAATGTCATGATCCTCATCCTCCATTAAAATGTCGTCCAAATCTGAATCTTGCAATGCTGCATATTCCTCACCTACAAGTGAAATTAAGCCACTATTATTAAAGGTTCCAATTCCACTATCTGATAATGTTGTTACATTGGATGCATTTGATGAGCATGTTGTTAATGAAGGATTTTCCGAAATCAAACTTGCATTTGAAATTCTCTTTCCAGTAGATGCACGTGATGAGGATACAGAAGAACGTCTTTTATGGATGTTGGTCACATGCATGGATGCATGACCACCTTTTGAAGGAGAAGATTGTGATGAAGGAGGCGGTGTTGCTGTTGTCTTTGATGCATGTGTGTTACTGCAGAATGCATGTGACTGAAGGACTGGCGGAGATTTGGTCATTGATGAGTCATGTGCTGCATGCATGTTGGAGTTCATACAGGTAGTTGCAATAGTGCTCGCAGATTCGGTACGAGACAAATGCATGGTAGACAGTACAGCATGATGGCTGTCGCTACTGTTGTTATTGATGTGATCAAGATGTAAGACGCATGGTGCAGTTGGAGTGGTCATGATCGTGCTGTTGTGACTGTCAACTCTTTGCATTTCATGCATTCGAGTATTGGATGTTGTCTCATAGACGCTACTTGAAGCATGTGAAGTAGCGATAGCTAGAGGATCATGTTGATGAGAGGAAGATGATGCATGTGTTGCCGATTGGCAATGATTGTCTCCTACTAAATTTATCGAAAATGAAGATGTTCGCTCTTTGTACAGGATTGTGTTGATGCTACTGTTTTGAACTAAAACGGGACTGCCGGCAGTGCCCATGCGAGTCACATCTGCATTCTTTCGAACACCTCTTGCAAGCCATCGAACACCAGAATTGTAGGTGTCAAAGATTGACGACGGATCAGACCCAAACGAAACTTGAGGCTCCAGATAATTCGGCAGTGCCTTTCTTGAACTGTTTGTGGATGTCGTCATCAAGTGGTTGTTGTGCGTGGCAAATGCTGCTGCTTCATGTGGCGATTCGAGCAGTTGTGTTGTGAACGGTGAAAAGTTTCTGGGTGGTGTATTATAAACAGCATGCTGATGGTGTGGTGGAGAAGATGACAAAACATGTTGTTGTTGTTGATGTATTTCGAACATGCCATACGAAGAAGCATTCACACCTTGATGCAATCCAAGTTGAAGAGCAGGTAGAGACGGTGTTGTTACATTTGAATGGATCGATGGGATGTTTGGATTCCTACTCGACCAAGTTGGATCATGTTGAAAATTGAATGATGAATGAACGAGGTGGTGATGATCTTCCACACTTGAACTCAAAGTGTTTGGTATCCACGGTGTTGTTGTTGGGGTAGAAATAGTTTGTTGCTGTGTTGGTGCGGTAGATGGTAGATGGGAAAACGAAGTAATTCTTGACTCCATTTTCTTGTTGGTATTGTTTTGGCAATCTGCGAGAACGCTTTTTGAGGACGGCGCACAGTGTTTGGAGTTTGTATCGAAAAGGACAGTGTCTCCGGCAGTGTGTGAAGAGTATTTGAGATACACATGAATGGACGCCAGTTGTCAATGATCCTCAAACAAGGTGTGATGCTTTCCAAATGAATACATGAAAACACAACACAACCAAGCAAATCTCATACCTCTCTCTTATTTGACATGTTGTGGATAACGCACAACACTTTTTTTTGAGTCAACGTTTCAAAACTTTTCCAATTACGCACCAAACGCCAAATGAAAGTGGAGGACTTTTGAAAGCCCTTTGTGAAAGTGTGTTGAGTTTTTGGTATGGGATCATAGGAATGGAAGGCAGATGACGGAATTAGCCATGTGTATCGGGCGAGTGATTGTATTTCAAAACTTGAGATAACTTCCACGCAACTTAATACCTCAATTGTTGCAATGTGCCATTACAGCTTGTTGCACGCAGTCTCGAACACCAAAGGTCTCCAAAAGACCACGCAAAGCCTCCCGTTTTGTTAATCCGATTTGGTCATGATGAAATTCATGGCATCGCACGTTGAAGGTCTCTAAATCAATTACTCCATCACCAATTTAAATAATAATTAAAATAAATTAAATTTATTGATTGTTGCAAGGATTTTTTAACGTTTTAAATTTATCAGCAAAAACTGCAAATCCTTTTCCCGCATTATTTATAAACGAATAAACACAATCTAAACTTTCACGCAGTGCTTGAATTTGCTGTTTCATCTCTGCATTTTCTTTTCGCAACCTCTCAAGCTCATATGCAATCACATCGTTGTTCAAGTTCGGTATCGGAGGAGGAGACGATGGTTGTTGTTCAAACATCTCTTCAATTTCCGCAAAATCATCAGTAATATCTACAGTGCTTGATGATGATTGGGATCTAATGTTGTTAATTGAAAGACAATGAAGACATCAACATACTTACACTGCAAAACTTTGGACATCATCGCAAGATATTTCGCTAATTTTTCGTTTGGGAGGTTGATTGTTGCATTTGGGTTGAATGTGATCTTTGATTTGTCCTACAATCGCGGAAAGGAATTGGGGACCGTTTAGACCGGTAGTTTCTTGTGCTGCTTTGGCTACGTGTGTCCATTTTGAATTGGAAGATGGTTTCAAGGATGCATCATTTTTGAACTGCGTCTTCTCTTGTTTTTTCTTTCATTCTCTTCTCGCTGAGCTGTTGCTGCTTCCTTTTTGCGTTTTTTTTTGACTGAACAGTCCTCTTTAGTACAACTTCCATCGCAGGGCGGGTTTGTACACTTTGCTCGGTTGTGGCCTTTCTGATGGCATCCGCTGCAATAGCAAGAATAGGAATTGTTAGTTGTGTTAGGTGTAGAGGGAGTAAAATTATAAACAAACGTAGATTGTTGAGAATTTGAAAAAGGTGGTACTTGAGAATTGTTCATTGGTGTATTACTGGTGTTGCTTTGCGTAAATGTTGTTGATTGTTTTTGAGGTGTGTTTGTTGGATATATAATTTGATTGTCAATGGCTGGATAAACATTCAAACCACCAAAGTCAGTAACAAATGCTACTTGTGATTGAGTGGCCATTTTTTTTTAGATTTTATTAAATTTTGATTTTTAGTTTAACGGTTGTTTATGGCGCCACTTTGTGAAAAATTCACATGACAACACACGAAAGTAGAAGCAAACCAAGGAAGCGAGTTGTGGTTGGTTACTACCACAGCAAGAAGGTAATGGTGGCAGGCCTGAAAATATTCTCTTTCAGACAGGTTGCAAAAGCTTGGGGATGCTCACCAAGCACTGTGTTTTATTGGAAAAACAGAATTGAAGAAAACGTGCAAGCTAATGTTGGTGGTGTTCGTCAATTCAAGTATGATTTAAAGGACGTGGTAAAGGCAGTACTTATTGTGAACAAAGTGTCAATGGTAAAACCATTGTCTACACTGGATGAATATGTAAATGAATTACAAAAACATGGTTACGATTACAGCACCACATGGGTGAGTCGAGTGTTGAAGCAACTAGGTAATTCTTTCAAGAATGCTTGTTATAAGAGCAGATTGAAATATACACCAGAAAACATCACAAAGTACATCCATTACGTTTGTGGTATGGCAGAGCTTCTTGAAAAAGTGCCGGTGTATCGTCTGAAATTCCTTGATGAAAGTAGTTTCGTGAGCAGAAATTTGTATCGGAAAAGAGGAGTTGCTCCTATTGGTTGTAGATTGATAGTTGTGAACAACACAAAGCCATTAGATTATTCGTGTAGTCGTTGCTTGTTTTGTTGTAGTTTTCTTGCCATGTCTCGTTTTGTGATGGTCTCTTCTCTCTTGTTTTGTAATTCTCTGCTTCACATCTCACGTTTTGTCAGTAAAATGGCCCGCGCTTCTTGTTTTGTGATGGTCTCTTCTCTGCACATGCTTGTTTTGTGAGTTTCACAGGTCACACGTTCTGTTTTTGTGCTCGTAATGTTGGCGCTGTCAACATTTATATTTCTTACATGCTCGTCATTACTTTTTCTGTGCACGTCAAACGAAAAATTTCCTTTGCTAGAGGCTTGTGTGGTCTTTTGGAGACCTTTGGTGTTCGAGACTGCGTGCAACAAGCTGTATTTCACTTGTCAAATTGAAATGAAAATCTGTTCGCACAATCCAATGCTGGTCAATGTAAAGGATTGGTAGCAGAGTAGTGCGTGAGGAGAGAAGGAGAGAATCTAGCGGGTTAACATTCAAGGTTTGTTTCGGAACGTATGAATGGATGTTAATGCAGTTTGTTTCATAGATGATGAGGACATATGGTAAATGAAAGCGTTTTAAAATGACTATTAATGGAATGCCTTTTGAATCACATCCCAAAATGTTGTAAAAACATAATCCACCACTATTCCAACGCAATCTCAAATGTTTGAAAACTGGTCTCCAAGTGAGGTTTTGTCACTAATCATACAAACTTGGTGAAGAAATCATTCGTCGTCGTCATGAATACAATGGAGATGGCAACCATGATTGGCGATAAACACAGTCAATGTTCATTAGATGATACAATTTACAACAACTCCATCCACTAGCTAAACATGATATTGAATAGAAATTGGGAAGGGATCAATCATTGCATTGAAAATTGTTCCATCGTTCAGTTTTTGCATGACAAAAAATCCTCTCATGTATCCAATTTCTGATGATGATTGAGTACAGGAGCAATATGAAAATACAGATCCAGGTACCACTTTTGGAAATAATCCCACTACTCCTGGGCCATCTACAACTTCTGGTTCTTCATTTTCCATATCCCCTCCTTCGAATATTTCCCAATGCCTTGATTGAAGGCGGCACGATTTGTCGTTTGTTTCGTCCTTATCCATAGTAATTTTCACACGATATGAAAAATGATAAAGACTTTCGGTTTCAGTGATTTGTGTCATTTCAGGTATTAGAAGGGATTGACATGTAATTTTCACTCCATTGGTGATGGTTTCTGATCCGAATTGTGAGTTGAAAAATCTATTAATTGCTCCACTCTCTTCGATATCGAACAATTCTTTCACTGTCAAGTTTACAACATAAGTTTCAAACCACTCTGCGAAAGACTGATGCAATACAAATGGAATTCCTTGAGCTGTGAGTTGAATGACATTTCCAGGGAGATAGCTATAATTTGAGCATGTGAAGGGCTTTGTCACAATTAGAATATTCACGTTAGAGCTAATGATAAAAGGTACGGTAGAGTCAACCAATTCGTACTCTTGACTTCTAAATTCCTCGAGGTATTTACAGTTTGTTCGGAGACTGATAAACGGTAATGCAGCAAGATATGAATAAAATTCATACATTCCAAAGAGACCTAATGATTTGCTTTTCAAACCTCTTTGGCCGTCTGTAAGCAAGTACAAGTATTTGAATTCTAAAGGTAGATCCTTAAAATCCTTCTGTAGTATTGTTTTTTGAGATTCAATGTACTCAAACATGTTAGGAGTTGATTCAATGATAAAGAGAGAGGCATAAATTTTTGGTGAATGATAACCTAAGTAGTATTCGAGTTGGTTGACCAGCCTCTTCATTTTGCGAAATACTTCACATGCCTTTTGAAAATCTTGCTTGTTGCTTACCACCCCACGAACGTAGGTTTTAAAATATTGAATAAATAACATTTTACACCATCTATGCTTGTTTTCAGGCCCAAAGACATTGGTCAACAAATCTTCAATTCGCTCTGATTGTCTCATATTCATTTTATCCAAAATAGGATCAAATTCTTTTGAGGAAGAAACTGAATTTGGAGAAATAAATAGTTCTGAAAGTGGAGGAGGTGTAATGGTCATCATGTCTGTCAATTCTTGCTCGTCTGCTTCGAGTGTAGTCATATTGTCATTCCCAAGATTGGCATGAGTTCGCGTTTCGATAGCCGAAAGTATCCCTTTTTGTTCAAATACCACGTTTGGAATCAAAAACACATCTTGACATTTCTTTCTCCACACGACATTACAGTTACAAATTTCGTTAAAACGCAAATTGATCAAGGAGCAAGTCAATACATCATCAATATCCAGAAATTCCATCATGTGTACATAAATTTCGTATGGAAGCTGAGAAAATGTAACTGTTGATGATTTAATCATATTGTTGGTCATCATCGTGGCTTGTTCGTCATCATTAATTTCATCCATGCAAGAATTCAATTTTTGTTTCTTACTTGAAGTATTCATGATATCCGTTGCAAGAAGGTTTCTCTCGTTTTTATTGCTCGAGCTGGTGGTCGTCGGAATCAGATGGTTGGCCGACGATGAATACTCGTGAGGAAATACTTTTTCGCATTCGGGCATTTTTTAAGACTATTCCGTGGTCGGCTTGCACTAGAAATTGAACACTTGACTTTCAAAGACAATGAACCAAATATCTAAACCTGTTGTTATTTTATTTCCTCCTACGAGTGTCCTCATCTTGTGGCTCATTATCAAGTCGTTGGTAATGATACTCTTCTTCTGCAATATTAAGGGAAACCTTGGTGTTTGAAATGCTGTTAATATTAACAGCAGAACTTGCTGTTTCAACACTCAAGGCTTGAGGTGATTTCGTTGGAGAAGAAGTAGTGTTCGATCGTTTTTCGAGAGTACCATGATGGGAATGATGAAGCCATCTGGCTAAATCTTTCTTTGTGATAATTCCAACGAGCTTACTGCTATGTAACACCAGACAATATCGAATACCCATCGCTCGAAACATGTTATAAACTCTGTCACCTGGCATTTGAGTTGGTACTTGGATAGGAACTTCATCCAAATAATTGGACAGGTCAATTTTGTTAATTAAATGCTCTTGACGTTGCGTCACTAACAGCTCTTCAAAGAAAATCTCTGTCTGATCATTAATTCGTCGCTCATTTTCCTTGATTGCATCTCGTAAGGCTGCTTGTGAAATAAATCCAAGTACTCTTCGATCTGAGGAATTATCGATAATTGGAAAACCATAAATTTTTGTTTCCTCAGTCAATAATCCAGTTTTTACATCTCCAATGGTCACACCTTCAGAATAAATGACTTTGAGACTGTGAGTAGTCATGATTTCTTGAGCAGTTCCATCATGATCTACTTCATCGTTATGCAAGAATGGATATTCACTCATTTCAATATTATGTTCATAAATTGTGACATGGTCAAATGCATCTCCAACCCATTTTGCAAACATAGTTGAAAGCATCAGTGGTACCAAATATTCCAAGCCTCCTGTCAATTCAAACATAATAACAGCAAGTGACACTGTTATTCTACAAATTCCACCTAACATACTCGCAGCTCCAACCACTGCATAAATTCCAGGAACAATACAAGATCCTTCTCCTCCCGCATAGCATTCTTGGAAAAATAGAGAATCTGGATACATGATTTGAATATACTTCATGAGAGAACCAATGACCTGTCCATAACATGCTCCGATCATGAGCGCAGGAACAAGAATTCCTCCAGGAACTTTGATGCCCACGGTCCAAAACATGAGAATAAATCGCAATACAAAGGAAATGATGAGTTTTCCAAGAGGCCAAAAATTTGTAGGATCACACAACACCTTTGCTATTTCTTCAGAGTCTGAATTTTCAGTACACGTGTTTTGGAAAAGCATGGCAATGAGGTCAGACATGGGAATTCTTGAATATTCATTCCAATAGCAAAGTAAAGATGTGACTACTGAGGTCATTAGGGCTTCTGTGATGGGCCAATCTTTAAGGTACCTTTTTCGTACATATTTAATGTAGGTAATATTGAGCTTGGTCCACAGAGCGCCTAGAATTCCTCCTAAAATTCCCATAAATATGAAAGGTACTGTATGGAATGTATTAAATTAAAGGGAATGTCATGATGATCCGTGGGTTCACATAATTCCACATATATTGTTCATTTACCAATGGAAATTAATATTAATCAGAAGAATGATATTAAATAATCGGATCCAAATCAAAGAATGATATTAAATAATTCATCTCAATTCCAAAAATTCCACATTCACTTACATAATTCAAACCATTTCCAATTCACATGGTACGAAATACTGAACAAGACGATTTTTCCAGAAGGTCTTGGATTCAATACTTGCAGCGTGAGTGCTCCAATCACACACGTAAAAAATGTTCTAAAAAGTGTCTTGGGTGGAAAATATGAAGATAACTCCTCTAGTGAAAACAATGTTCCTCCAGCCGGCGTTCCGAAGGCACATGCCACACCTGCTGCACAACTTGCACTAATAATTTCTCTCTTTTTTGCTTCATTATTTCTATATTTTGAGAATAAACGAGAGCCAATATTACCAACACATCCTCCCACATGAACCATGGGTCCTTCTTTACCTGTCGTTAATCCAGAACCCACTGCTAGAATGAGACCAACAACTTTCACAAGGAAGGTCCAAATACCTAAAAATCCCTTAATGACAAATCCACCTAGAATTGTTTTCACTTCGGGAATACCTGAACCAGCTGCCCATGGAGCCAGACATTTCACAAGCCACGCTGCAAGAACAGACATGAAGGCTGCTGTGAAAATGTATGCAAAATAATTGAAAGCGTAGGCACCAGTAGGATCTAAAATTCCAAATAATTGACTCCATGTTCGCCAATATGGGCATTCGACGCCAACTGTTCGTGTATAATTTTTGGAAATATAAATTGGTGAAATCATTTGAGGAATATTTTCAACAATTATGGATTCATTTCAACAATATGGAAATATTTAAGGAAATCAAGTAGTTTGAAGAAGGATTCCACAATTTCACAATCACACCAATGAACGTTGTCAAACACGAACGACTATTAAATTGTACGTACCTGGTATGTCGACACAACATCGTTTCTCTGTTGCAAGAAACCAATTGACACAAACACCCTCCCTGAACCCTGAAACCCATTCCATTCCTTTATCGACTAAACTTGCAGCAATACCCACGGTAATACCGACCACAACAGTCATAATCCAACCCTGTGAGGCATAATAAGCTTGTTGCAATAGAGCTAGGACACCTTGCTATATAAAATTTCCGAATCCGATGATTGTTGAACAAATTCCCGTCCATTCATGCATGAGAAAATAGTCAAGACAACAATTGGAAATATTTGTTAAATGACGATGATAGGTTGTTGCATCATCATCATCATCATTATGGTGAAATAAAGAATCGTAAGATATTTTTGAACAAAAATAACAGCATCATGATTTGACGCATTCCAAAAAGAATTGAAATCAGCATTTCATATGATACATCAAATGATTACATCGATACACTTGAGGAAAAACATACCTGTTCAAAAATCCTTGCTCTCTTCTTCTTTTCCTTTTTATAATCGGCTCTCCAATCAATGGTACTAATATTTTCATTATCAAAAGATTTTTTCACGATTCCCGATGACGGCGCATTCGTCTGCAAAGAGGGAGAATTCTTTTCCTCTTCATCATCATGTATGGAATCATCTCCTAACAATAGTGATGCTACCTCCCCTGTTGAGCGTCCACTGCTACTCTTCATGATGGAAGGGAGTTCAATGAAACGTGATGACGATGGAGTGCTCACTTTCAAATCGTGTGAGAGGGATGAGGAAGTAAATGTTTGAATTTTTTCGTTTGAATGTACACACCTCCCACTACCAAAAAGTCAACAGGTTTGGTTTTGGATTTGTGTGGATCCACACAGCAACATTCAAGTCCTTCTTGGTTGTGAGCTCCGAGTCTCCGAAATATTCCAATTGATCACAAAAATTTGTACATCCGAAGTTTCGGGCAAGAGAAATTCTTTATTGAATGAGGGAAGTCGATCCCTTAAGTCTCTTATTGAGGGTTTCTCGTTTCTGGATTTGCTGATTGGTTTCATGAGTGAGCTGTTGCAATTCTTCATGCAGTGCAGAGAGCGACTTCTCTAGATCCTGCTTTTCTCGTTCCTTTGAGGCCATTGCTCCTTGATGAAATTCAATTTTCGAGCGTATTTGTTTTTCTTGTTGTTCCTTCTGTTGATAGGACTTGTCCATTTCTTCTTGGCGCTTGACTTCCGATTCAATGCTGCGCGTGAGAGAATCAATTTCATGTTGAAGTGCCTCTTGGCGTTTCTCTTCTTGGTTTAAGGAATTCTCAATGTTGGTAATGTCTTGTTGAAGGCATGCAATGTGCTCTTTCAATTTTTGAATTTCCTTACCCTCGTCAGATCCTTCATAATAATGCTGATCGATTTCTTTCAAATACTGATCGTACTTGGTACTTTCTTGTTCCATCAGCCTTGTATATTCCTTCATGTGTTGTTCTTTTTGTTCTCTCCTTCTATGGTTGGTAACGATTCGCTGCAAATAATAGTCAATGTCCTTATCTAACCGCTTAATGTTCTCTTCTAGGATGTCCAATTTGTTTTGAGAGGTTTGATTCTCAAATGAAAGCATTCTCTTCTTTCGTTGCAAAGATACTAATTCTTCCTCGCCTTTTTGGATTCCGTTAGAGAGATGTAACTGCACTACGAAGGGAACAGAACAAAGCAAACTTACATGCTTTTACCTTGGACAAAAGTAGTTCATTGTCTTGCAACAAATTTCCGAGTTTGGTGTGCTCCTCTTCCTGTAGACGAGTCAATTCCTCGATCTGAACACTCAGTACCGTTTCCATCTCGAATAACTGAAAGCCTTACTTTGTAATGAAGGAAAAAGCCTTCTTGGTTTACTACAATTTTTTTTAAAACTTATCTCAATTTGAAGTCAACCCAAGACATCACACCACAGAACATTAATTTCTCTGATTGGTATTTTTCATGATTGAGAGACAATCCATTCCAAGCAAGCACAACATTCGACATTGCCAAAGATCATAATCCACAGGTCTCTTGTGAGGAATGGCAATTTTCATCTCGTAGTGGCTCTCCAAGAATTCTAACAAGTGTCCTCGTCCTGATTGGATGAATGTGTCAACTTTGAGAAGAGACACTTCAAACACTTGATTGGAATACCTGATGTTAAATTTTTCTTTGGCTAGTTTTCTTACTAAATTCACAAATGGAAGTTTCGAATTGGAACAATAGCATTCATTGTAGTCACTACTGTCTTGACTTGTTTCGGGCCTGATCACCCATTCATTGTCGTCTAGTAATAAGTCAATACTTTTGTTTGTCTTCTTATCTTCAGCAAAGGACTTCATAGTAAAATATAGTCTCATGTCTGAATGTTGTGGGTTGCTTGAAATGAATGAACAAGCAAAGAATCTTGTTGAAGAATAGCTTATTCGAGATTTCCTGCGAAAATTGGCATCCAATATCACTTTAAACTCTTGATCTTTGGATGCACCGATAATGAAACAATGGTACTCTGTTTCATTCTCAACTTTGGTGCACATAATTGGGTTAAATATTTGGTTTTTGAGCTCATTAATTGATTCTTCATCAATGGAGGTGAAAAACGAATCGGAAGGCGCCTTTTTGACATTACTTCTCTCAACAATGATCTTGTTGTCGGTGTTTTTAACTTTGTTTTGGCGAGACGGCATTTCATAATAATCTTCGTCGCTCGTTTCATCGTCTTCCATCCGCACAACTGTCTTTGAATTAGCTTTGTCAACCAATTTCTTCAGCTTGATATTCTTGGTTTTCTTTTGCATGACCTGATTAAATACTTTTGGAGAAATATCAAGCATCTCAGAAAAACATGATTTCTCCAAATTGATGATGTAGTATTTTCCAAATTTTACAGAAATTCTCCATTCTTCTGGGTCGTCATGATCGCTAGCAAGTGTGCTAAAAGCAACAGCTTTTTGAATCTGCTGCTGCAATTGTGATAACACTAAGCTTAAAGTGAAATCTGAGCTTGTTGATTTACAAATAGGCAAATATTTTGTGATGCATGAATCTCTATGCTTGGGTTGGCTCATTCCTTGATATGGCTAAAACGATACAACTGCATCTGTGTCACTGCTGCATCCTTCAAACACAGACAAATAAGAGCCTTCTAAAAATAAGTTATTTCTTTTGCATGCAAATAGATGTAAATTACAATCCCACAAGCTCAACAACTTTTTTACATCAAATATACTTGATCTCTTTCCTTTAGCTTCTATCCAATACGAATTGCGGCCTTTGGCAAATATATTTGGAATTTGTACATTGCATTTTCTCTCAATATCCTCACGAACATGGTTGGACATTAGAACATCTGAACCTAACACTTTGGATATAAAGCGAGGTACCATGACTTGAAAAGTACATTCATCTTGCACTGCATTAATCATGGAGCTTACACCTCCAAAGAGTAGAGAGAGGTATGAGCTGAATGTGCTGCTTCGAATAGACTCCATTTTGTTTTTTTCAGACTTGGACTTTTCAATGTTAACAGTGGTAAGCTCGTCGTCCAAACAATCAGCAAACGTCAATTCAGGTGACAACAGAAAGCGTCGTAGTAAACGCTCGAAAAAGTCAACCATTATTTCTGCTTCCTTTTTGAATTCGGGCACCATATTGATTTTCTCAATAACAGAGGACATGAAGATGGAGTCTTTAGTGACTTCTAATTCAAATGCCTCCTCGTCAGATGGGACTTTCTCTTTGGTGAGATAACTTTTTTCAATACAAAAATCAATAATTTTCCAAACAAATAAATAAGTCTTAACTCCAGTAAATACTCTTCTAAACCATTGGACTAGAATATTTAGAATAATGAATAGGCATGGCTTTTGAGTCAAGTATTTTCTTAACAGATGCTTCTTTCTCAGTCCTCGTGTTGAGCCAGAAATATCCATTGCTTCACAGCAGCCAATGATCTTTCGTGGAAGCAAAATTGTTATAACTGGTACTGATTTTCTGTAGTCCACACTTTTATAGTGTTGTTTAAACAGTTCCACAACTTGATCAGCATTGTTTGAATTGTAGCTCATGTAAAAATCTACGTCAGTGTTGTTTGAGTCATGAAGAAGCACAGAAAGAGATCCATAAATAAATACTCTAAATTGATCTTTCGCAATGTCTTGAATTTTGATCTTTTCTCTTTCTATTTCCCTTAACTGATCGAGATAAAACTCTGAACAATTATTAATGAAATGATAAATAGATCGAGAAATGGTTGCGAACGGAATATAATTGTTCAAGCTTGTATCACTTGGTACGATCCATTGATACGCGTCAAAGGTAACAATTTCTGGTGAGAGATTAAATTCAGGTTCTTCCGCCTTTCTTTTGTACTTTGAGACAAGAGAAGCATATAACTTTCTTCCAAGCTTTCGGTCACCTGCAACTAAATCTAAATCTGAGCTAGAGTAGATTTGCTTGATATAGTTGCAACAATTTTCAAACTCCAAATACTTTTGTAGCGCTACATTTTCAGTATCCTTCTTAGTAATATCATGTCGCGGAATTGTTGAAGGTGTTTGTGAACTAGTTGACGAGTTTTGAGATGAAAAGAGGCAAAGTCGTTGATAAAATTTTCCAAGAATTGAATGTGACTGATAGCAGGATTTCGAATGCTTCATAAAATCTGGATACTCTAATTCATCAACCCATTTAGGGATATCAACTGTCTTTCCAGTCTTAACAGAGTCAACAGCAATATTAAAAATCGAAGATAATTGTTGAGCCCTATCTGAAAATGCGCCGTTCACCTCTTGATCACAAACAGCTGTCCATGCATTACAGATTTTTCCCAAATCCTTACTGTGCTCCATCATTGTTTGTAGATCAGTTGCTACTGAATACTGTTTCAACATCTGCTCAAGAAGACCATTGTTGTCCGGAGACGAGACATCATCCAGTGTGGTATCAGAAAATAGGAAATAGTTCAAAAGTTGGTCAATAAACATAGAACCATTTGGTGATGGTTTCAGCTTCACTTCTTCCTCCACAGTAAAAAAAGGCGATTCATCATAACTTCTTTTAGGAACTAGATCCGGATCCCAACACACAAAATATCGATCACCATCTAAGTCACCAGGTATTCTATTCTTTCCCTTTCCAGGAAAAACCACCACCGCTGTAGAATTTAAAAGTGGTATTTTAGCATTGCGTACGGTATAGAGTTTGAGCTCTGATGGATGTAAACAGGGATTTCGGCAAACAAATACTTTGGTTCCATCAGGAACCGTTTCGCTATTTCCAAGAAGCACCATCAGTTCTCCCTCCTCAAGTAGTTGAAAGTCATCAATGATTCCAAGAGCTGACACAGCATTCTCCACATACAAATGACCACTACTTTGCATTCCCATAACATCTTTTCCAAATGAGTATTTAACTACCGATTCTAAGAATGGGTCATCAACCATGTCATTTAACTCGTTTAATGCAGGCAATGTGTCCAAGTAATTCGCTTTCAATAAAGAGAGCATTTTCTTCGGATCCGTTAGGTTGGGCATCAGTGTCAATAATTGTTCGTCGAACTTTTGCAAAAAATTCTCGTCAGGAATTCCCAATGATGATAACAAAAGTATGATTTGATTATTAAGGAATGCTTTTTGACGGCTGTTGCTATGGCTCACAATCTCCAACTTGTTATACTTTTCATTGCCAATAAATTTCTTCATGCTAGGTCTAAATTGAGCGTCATTGCCATTTAAAAATTCATCGGGAAGAACTGTGAGCACTCCTTTGTAACCAAGGAATCTAATTTGAAAGGCAGTTGGAACGTCATCCAATTCTAAGAAGTTCGAAATTTCTTTAGCTTTGGTTAATGAAATTTGGCCAACTCCATCCGATAACATTGATGTTGAGGTTGTGTCCATAATATCCGGAATCTCTTTAAATTTTTCGATGACACACGTTTCAATGGTGGATGTGAAATTCAAAGCCCTTCTCGAAATTATTTTGCAAATTGAGGCTTCTTCAATCGTTCCAAATTCATCCATGATGCTCGATGGATCATTATCATTGTCCGACTCATAGAAGTAGATTGAACTATTTCTTATCATGCTCAAAGAGCCACCAACTAGAGCAAATTTCTTACCAAATAGTGAGAGTCCTGTGGAGAGATGCTCAAAGGAGGTTTTACCTTCAAAAGAGACTCTTAAAAACTTATTGCTTCCATATTTTCTAAAAACTCGATTACTGGATACAAATATCGGTAAGTCCACTCTAATGTCATTCGCTTCAATGATTCTAACTCGTTTTGTTAAAACAAAGTTTTCAATAACAGGTAATGGTCTTACAAACTCTTTTTCTTGATGCAAAAATTGTAGGAGGGTCTTTTCGTCAATAAAATCATTCTTCAAAAGTCTGTTTCCGAGACTACCTGTAAATGAAAGAGTTTTTGATTCTTCATGCAAATCATGGATTATATTTCCGAATGTAGTAATAATAGGTGAGGAAATATGAACCAAGATCCCCAAGTTCTGCAAGTAAGTAAACAAATAGAGGTGATAAAAATCAGTCAATATGGGCTCCATGGGCTGTGGATCAATGTCAACAATCCATTCAATGTGAGTGTAGTAAATTTTTTCAATCTTCAGGCTATTATTCCACCTGCACAAAGCATTCCGCAAGTCTTTTTCAGTCTGGAATTTGTAGGCGTAAGTAAATTGATTAATTGTTTCTGGAGTTCTGGTAACAATAAAAACATTGAGAGCAGATATCAAGACAAATTGACCAAAATTTCCCATGATAACATTATACATGACCTCTGGGGTTCTCCATGACCCTTTACAAGACTCTTCAGCAGTTTTTTCAATAAATTTACATTCATTATCAGAGCATATCAAGGCCCCTCTTGAAAACATAAATGATGGTTCGTCTAATGAAGTAGGTTCGTTCAGAATTTTGTCTTCATACAATTCCAATAACACGGTTCTGTCATTGGTCAACATGTCCTTAATCTTGATAAAATGTAACATCAAGTCACATTCTCCAACACCTGTAATTGTTACGCTCATGTGTATCTTTTGAGAATCCAATTCTGCATGTTCGTACTTGTAACCTGTTAAATTTCTCAAAATATCTTCTGCACTGGTTGTCTTGTAGTGATGAATTATAAATTTCAAAAACATGGTTTCTAGAGTAGGAGTTAAATCTTTCGTTTTCAAGAATTCTCTGAACAGAGGTTCAATCTCATCTGATTTTGATCTGTTGACGGTAATGCATAACATGTAAAACAGAAAACAAACCTTTTTTCAATTTCCTCTTGCATTGATTGTTCTTCATTCAAAATTTTTCTTAACATCTTTTCTTGATGTTCCGAAATTATAACTTTAAATTCACTATTTTTCTTTCTTGCTCTTCCTCTCGATTGAACAATCCTACGCAACGACATGCCACCATCGAAAAGAACAACTAGATTGCAATCTGAGACATCGATACCTTCTTCGAGAACGCTAGTTGAAACAAGAAGTTTGCATTCCCCAGTTTTAAACTCTTCAATCAATAACTGTTGTTCTTGCTCCCAGTCCATTCCATCAAAGCCTCTCTGGCCAACAATGCGTTTAGGATAAAATTGAGAAAGCGCTTCGTTTCTCTCGAGCAAACTTGTCAATTTGAGAGCAGTGTCTCTGGTTTTCACAAAAACAATAATTTTCTCATCGAATGAGGCTCTTTTTTTAAGTATCTTTTCCAATGCTCCATATCTAGAAATAAAAGTCAATAATTCGGCAACATTTTAGGACGTACCTTGGTGAATATTTTGACGGAATTGATTGAACATGCGGTTTCAGCTGTGTTAAGGTTGAATCTTGACTTTTGTTAATAATGTCGATCGTACATTTAGTTCCCAAGATGTCTGTAATTTCAATTAGAAAAGCAAGCTTTCGCATTTGCTCTACTATATTTCTAAGATCAGAAGGAAATTGCTCGTTTCGTAAATATCCTATCGTCATAGAATAATGGTTAAGAGTAATATCAGAAAGTGCGTACTGTCCAAGCTTATCATTCAAAGCTGAAACTCTTGTGTCAATAATGTTTTTCATTTGAGACTGTTCTTCTTGTTCCTTGAATAATATTGGTTTTGTTGTTGTTAATGATTTGATTTCCTCAATTTCTTCTCTCGTAATGCATGGATAGACGACAGAAGTAATGTTAAAATTGGTTTGAATTTCTTGTAGATGAGAAGGTGTAGCTGTAAGGCCTAATATTTTAACTTCATGCTTGCTTGTTAACAATCTTTTAGCAATCTTGCAAAATTTGTCATTTTCTGAGACTCCATGATGGATTTCGTCAAACACAACCATGGAAAAATCTTCTGGAGAGACAACTGATGCCTCTATAAGAGAAAATAACATTCCGTGTGTAAAACAGTGAATTTTGACCTCCTTTGATTGCAATTTTCGCAATGTATCATCATTTTTCGTCTCACTACACAAAACTTGGCATGGAATACCAGTTTCAAGCTCGATATATTCACACTGTTGAAATGCAAGGGGTATCTTTGTGACAACGAATGCTATTAGCTTTTGCGGATTCAGCTCCCACATCTTTTTCATTAATAAAATAGCGATCAATGTTTTTCCCATGCCAGTTGGTAAAGCAATCAAAGAGTTTTGGAATAAGGCTTGAAAATACATTTCGGCTTGGTAATTTCGAATAGTTGAGCGTACTATTGGAGGTTTGTATCTCTCCAACAGTTTGGCCATGTTTGCATTACTATCCATTCGTGGAAGAATTGTGGATATTGATTCAGGTATGTGTACCATTGTCGCTTCTTCTTTAATTTCATACTCAGCCAGTAGGTGCTCAGTTAAACGCAACACCATTTTTCTCTCTCTAAAACTGCGACCCTTCTTTTGAAAGCACACACTTGCATCTTCTAATGAAGAAACAAATAAAGCTTCAGGACGAAAGCACACAAAAGGCCATTCTTTGCCAGTCTTTCCGATCGTTTGAGCAACAATAGTGGCTATTTTCTCCCCACACTTGACACACTGTAAAATGTTGATCGAATATTTCTTCAGTGGTGGTTGGATGAACAGGTTTTTCAATAACTTTAAATTTGATTCATCATGTTCCAAATAGCCTTTACGAATATCGGAATGATATTTGATCTGGTGCTCGGGTTTTAAAGTACAATGTTGTGCCGAATCAGGAAATGTACACAAACAAATCCACTCTAAAGGCACAAGAGATGATTTGCATTGAACACATGTGAGATAAAAATTATTTTGAATTGTTTGGTTCGAGATCATGGTTAAAAAGCAAATGGTATTGGCTTGAATTCTTCTAAGAAAAATTGATGATCACGCTCTTTGAGAAGCACTCAAAAACAGCCCGATGATGAGCGATGGTTCTATTTTTCTCAGCTGACTTTGAAAACTGAGATCTCACAATCGTTAACAGCACCTGTGGCTTGACTTCAGAATTCCCAAGTCCATTTTTTTCAAGTTTACTTTTTTAACCAATTAACACTTCATGGCTCTGTTAAAATCATATTGCAATGAATACAATATTCGTGCAGTTTATAATAAGTGTTTTTAAATATAAATGTAGGCCTTATTTCCACCCAATGAATATGTTTGTAGACTTATTGATCTAAATCTTCATACTTTTCTTGTTCCTTTCCTTTCAATTGAACAATATAATAAATGAGACAACAAATAATAATGATGGAGAGAACAACAGTACCAGCCTCAACACCAATGAACAAGTACAAATTGACAACCTTTTCAATTTCTGGAGCTTCATATGCATCTTCATAAATGTCATTAACTCCCATGATCATTTCGTTTACAATTGGATTACCAGAGAAGTTAAGATAAACGTTCTTGACGCAGCTTGTGTCAACAGTTGCTGAATCAGGAGTGGCCATGTTCACAAAGTTGAGCATGATTTGTAAACCACATGGAATGGTTCCATTCACAAATGTAGAATCGAAAGCAGTAAAGTGACCAGTGAATGGAATAGTGACCAAGTTGTGAGGTCCCTTAATACCATTGTTTTGGTTTTGTGCAGACCATAATGGAGTTTCAGCATCCAATGCACCGTTAATCAAAAGAACAGGAACTGTAGTGGTGAAGGTTTGATTGTAGTATTGAGTATCGAGTGAGTATGGCTTCCATCCAGTAGTTTGATACAAGGACGCGAATCGAATGGCTTCTGGGGTTGCAATTTGAGTTTCATTGTATTGAAGTTGGAGGTCGAGCTCTGAAACTGATGGATCAAAAAGTTCTGAAAAAATAATGTTCAAAAAGGCAACAGGAGAGGTCATTGGAAGTGATGACAATTGAGTGTATTGCTTCATTCTGGCAGCAATAACACTATGCACATGGAGAATGGTGGCAACATCTAAATCCTCATCACATCTATTCATACGATAGAGAATGGCAGGAACAAAAACTCTAGTCTCAGCACCTTGCAACAAATGACCCAACATGGCTTTGAATTCTGCAAGTGGAAGAACATTTGAAATTGCCTTACAAGTACCGTTCAAATAGACGCTTTGAATGGTATTCTTCAAGAAGGAGACAGCATCAGTTTTGCCATACTTGTTCGACCACATTTGAGTGCCGTTGAAAGTATTCATAAATTCCAAACCAACATTGTTCATGATGCTGTCAGAATCAGTCACAGTTAAAAGACCTCCATAATTCAATGATCCAGCAGTGCTAATTACGCCGTCCAAAACAACTCCCTTAACAATATTCAAGTTCTTCAATTCAATGTAACGCATCAAACGAGACACCAAAAGAGTACCAAAGCCAATACCATAAACAAAGGTCTCTTGCTTGCTGTTGAATTGTTGAATCAACTTGGCAACATCAATGGCAGCAGCCTTTGTAGAGTACAGTTCCTTGTTGGCACCATATTCGCTGTCAAAGGCTTGATAACATGCCTTCCATTCCGAGTCAGAAATGAAAATTCCATCTTTACTTCCTGGACTCTCGGCTTGAGCAGAGGCACATCCAATACGAGAACTTCTTCCATTTCCTCTGATGTCGAGTGTGTATAAATCAAAGTCTTGACCTAACAACTTGGAAACGAGTTGCATTGTTACTTCAACGATGGATGGATCGGAGAGACCGCTCAAAATCCAGACAGCCTTCTTGGCATCTTGTTGAGGATTGAAACGCACCCTCTTGACGAAAATGTTGATCTTTGGTGTGTTTTCATCTTCAGGGTTTGAAGAGAGTGGAACAACAGCACATTCGGCATCAATTCGGACGGTTTGATTGGCCTTTTCGTCTGTTAATGTGAGTCATTAATACAAGTGAGATTATGAGAGTGATGAGACGATGAAGGTACAACATGATTGCCGAAGGGCCAGTTGAACAATCATTTGATGTGGTGGTATGGGTTGAATTGGAGAAGAACAAGTGACAGATCCGTGGTTGAGGTGGTGAAATTTGGTCAACACAATCATGCGACGCACCCATTAGTGTGGTTATAACAAGAAGTAACGACGAATCAAATAGCAATGTCGAGAAGGACGTGTGAAATAAAATGGAATCATCACAAGTTTCACAAATTTGTGAAATCAAATGGTTGTGAAATAATTCGAATTATTTGAAATAATAATTTGTGAATCATCATTGGCACCAATCGTTTCCATGAACACAATTGTACATACTGTAATTATTGATGGAATTCACCAAGCCTCTCACCATGGGTGGGAAGAGTGTATCATTCAAAACTTTTGTGGTGGAGTTCACATAAACTTCGGTAAAATAGGGGCAACTCACAAACTGTCCCTGCACGCTCATCATCATTGATCCTAAAATGAGTGCTATCAGAGCCATGCTCATCAAAAAAACAGATGAGGAAGACCTCTTCCGTGTTGATTGGTTATTATGTAGACTTGTCATCAATTTATCCCTTGTGTGTTGGAGAAAAAACAATTTTGTGAGAGAATATCGGGTGATGATTTGAAAAAATCTTGGCAACAAAGCGAAAAATCAAACTTGAGCAAAACTCGTCGCTGTAAATTTTTTTTTGAATCTCAGAGACGATCAATTTTCTGTGATGAAGCCTCTCGTTACTGCACACGATTTGACTGATTTCATGAATCCTTCTCGGAGTTACATCCGGGCGAGCCAACTTGCCGAATTTTGAAAATGTTGGTCTTGCTATTTTAAGGGCATGGTGAAGACGTTTTTTTTTCAAATTGCACGTGCTATTTCACCTCCTTTACTGTTTCGTTGGGAGGAAGAGATTCGATAGACAGTGCATTAAATTGCAGCCAAAAACCTGTATCGTGAATGCTTCAAGCCTTTAAATTCATTATTAAAAGTTCAAATCACTCTAATAATTTCACCAATGATTGGTCGAGTTGATTGAATTTTTGAACTTGTCACTGACATCAAAGAATGATGATACACTCTGGGAATGTTTGCTTTTTAAATACGTATTGATCATGTGAGATGTAGTAAACTCTTGTTTAGTCGGTGAATCAAAAATTGGAACCTTATTAGAAGTAATAACAGAACTGACAGAGGGCTCTTTTACTACAGAAACATCCTTGAACACAAATGGAAAGTGACTTTAAAGTCAGAGTGAAAAGATTATTTCATTCAAAAACAAAATCTTCACTTCAAGAATGAGCGACTGGCAAGAGACACTCTCTGAATGGACAAAGACCTTTCCCTACATGACCTCCGATACACAGGAAAGACTTCTCTTCAAGCTCAAATCAGCAAACATTCCGTCTCGGACCATTCTAACTCATTGGCCCTATACTATTGGATTAATCTTGTTCGTTTCTGTATTCATGGTTTCATTGTTCTGTTTCTTCTTGTTCATGGATATTTCTGGCATGTTAAAAACTTCAAGTTACCAAGTGGTGCTGAATAACAATGATGACATGTTCAATTGCACAAATCCTATGGTGCTTTCTACATGTTCTCTTCTGCCTTCATCATTGATGAAAAGAAAATTAAAGCGTGATGAGAAAGCCCACGAACAACAATTTGAATATTTCTTTCAACTCTACAATTTAAGTCTCTTCCTCACACACAAGTCTTCAAAATATGATAGGAACGACTACAAGAAGAATCCGATACTTGTGGTCTCGAATTTTACATGGAATGATTTTTGTTTGTCTGATGATCCCGAAGATGCTGAGGAATGCTTCAAAGAAACCTGTTTTGATACAAGAACCAGTTTCCTCGTTCGTGGGAAACCCTCCTTTACAGTTTATGCAAGCATCACTGCTATTAACAAGTATTCTGATGATTCGAACTACTATAATTCCGATAGGTCCAGCATGATGATGATTTCTAATACAGATCTCGGACTCCAGTATGCAGAGGAATATGATGAGAAGGTAAATAATGCACTCTATTGGGCAATCAGTATTGGAATTATTCTTGCAATGATGGTTTGTGCAGTCGTTGCATCCCTGACCTTTGTGGCCTATCAAGGAAAAGGCAAAATTGTGTTGGGAAAGTATTTCAAGAAGAAGAAGAGTTTCAATATCACCAATAATCGTGATGATGTATCTATTGAGATGCATAGTGATTATGGTGATGATGTAAATACTGCAACCACAGCTGAAACAGCTTTTTGGGAGTCGCTGAATTCATCCTCTGTAAGAATTGAGGCTAGAGCGGATCCGTTATCAAATGTACCCACAAAGGCTTTCTTTAGATATAGTAATAATAATTCCAATCATAGAGAAGTTACTATTGAAACCTTAATCAAGAGCGACCACATCATTCGGGTTCATTTTTCCGAAATGAGTTTAATAGACCATGATGAAACCTTAATTTCCTATGAACACGTTTGTACAAGAACTATGGATACTGCTCGGCGTAAATTCAGCCAACGTATGGTATATTTCTTATCCATTCCTCTGGGCATACAAATACTGGGAACCCTTATTAGCATACTCATCAGCCTTTTCACTCCCGTTTCGGTAGTTTGTGGTACTATTGCCTCGAGCGTGTTTACTTTTATTTACTTGATGTTCTTGGTTGTGGGGATGAAATGCATCGGCATGCACTACATGATCACCAATAAGAAGATTATTATTATAGAAGAAATGTCTTGGAGGTATAATATCTATTGGATTCCTTTGGAACGAATTGAGAGAGTTTGGAGTAAGATTGTGGTGGTTACTCCTCCGTCTGATAATAATAATGGTAGCAGTAGTGGTTTATTAGAGACTTCACACTTCCACAATATTTTGGTTGCATTAAGCAACAATGGTAATGAAAGTGAGAGTGGTGGTAGTTTGGCCGGCGTGTTGTTTGAGGGTGTACGTAGTGAGCAGAATTATTTGGAAACTCTATCGAGAAATGTTTGAGAATTTCAAATGTCAAAGTTGCATGATGAGTTTTGAGGCCCCTTATTTTAATGTATTTAAAAGCTGATAAGGTTATTTAATACTTCTCATGGAGAGCGTGTAATCTACCAAAGTATTTGTTTGATGACAATCTTCCCGAAATGACGACCAGAATTTCAGACATTTTAAGGTTTGTAACAGCCAGTCGCAAGATTTCTGGCTCCTTCCAAAGTCATTCCTTAAGAATTGGAGTATTTTGCTGATTTCTCTCACACGGCGGTAATTCAAGCTCTAGGGAGGGCCTGGACAAATCCGCAGCCAGGCCCTCGCTCTAGGTAATTGGTCTGCCACTGCAATAGAATCTTATTTCAGAGCTGGATTCGCATCTGACATGAATATTTCTCGCCAGATGGGTTTTTAGCGAAATCTATCAGTTTTACCATCTCGATGTTGATCTACTACAAATTCGGTAGTAATAGGCAGTTTTACTGAGGATTGACGCAATAGTGGTTGGTTGATCAAGCTTTTTGAATGTCAATTTCAAATAATTTACATCGAACAATTGTTGTCATCTACTACAGAATCACTTTTTCTCAAAGAACTGAAAAGTATTTCATGAAACATAGTTGACATTCAGCTACTAGACTTGCGTATGAACATACAGCGAACAATAAACAATCCGCGTTACCAGCCACCTCACTATTAAATTACACAAACTCCTTACAAAATTAAAATGACGCGTCGCCAGCAAATTTTAGCTAGAGTTAAATGTGCAACAGGTCACTCTTAATTTCGCAAAGATCCTAATGGGACAGGTACAAGGATTATTGGATTAAATTACAAAAAACAATGCAACAACTATACCTGATTGACGGAGCCAATTTTAATACAACACTCAATGATGATATATTCCGAATCGTACTTTCATTTCTCCCATGCAACGATTTATTAACTATGAAATTGGTGAGCAAAAATTCATTCAGAATGTGTCAACTCACCGAAGAAGATTTTCTTTGGGAATTACATTTCAAAAGTACAATGAATGAATTGAAAATTGCAACTACAGAATCTCACTTTAGATACTCCGAATCAGAAAATCGATGGATCTCGGTGACAGTTTTAAATCCAAAATATTCGAATATTGACATTACCGTTTCGTGTAATTTTAAAGAAAATCTTGTTTCAATTTTGAGGGAATTTCTTTCCAAAAACCTTGAACTAAGAAAAAGTGAAATTCAGAAAGAGATTGTCTCCACTGAAAAGTCAATAGAGTCGTCCTCAATATTAGGAAGATTGCTACAAACTAATTTGTTAAAACCTCAAAAGCTTAATAGTTCATCACAATGGTCTGAATTGCCAAATATTGCCAAGTTTTGTAACAAGTTTAAAGTATTCCATTGAACCGCTCGTAAGAAGTGGGTTTTCAAGGTCGATATTTCCTCATTAATTTTTAAATGTAAGATTTCAAGTTAAACAAAACTTTTTCATTATCTGACTAGATCTCTATTGGAATACTTTGCTTGAACAATGCACTCCTAATTGTCGTCATTGTCATCATCACTTCCGTTAATTCAAAGAAATACCTTCATTTAAAGCTGGAGTTTTCATCAAAATAAAGACTGCAAAATCTTAAAAGCTTACTGGACACTGCTTGTATTGCCATTTCCAATAGATTTGGTTTCCTCGTCTTTCCTCTGTCATGTCGCCAGTAACATGATAAAGAGCTCAGAAGGACAGTTAATCAAACGGAAGTGGTTCGACAGACATCTGATGACAGTTTTGGGATTTCACAAAATTCCAGAGCTTGTCCCGCCAAACTCGTCCGTTAAAAAATCGTTTCACAAAAACAACCAAATGTCAAATTGTCGTTCCAAAAAATCACAAAAAAAAAGAATCAGAGATTGACTGTGGCCAACCTCACCCAAAAGCTTGTAAGTATACCTCTCAATTTGAGCTTGACGTGTCATCATCACGAACATCATCCTTTGACTGAAACTCAATTACTTGTAACTACTCTCTTCCATGAATCTCAATCAATTCCACTCAATCCACCAACTCTAACGCTCCTTTGACTCTCCTTCTTTGAAATTACCACTAAATTGATTGAATTTGTGTTCCATTCTTCATTCGAAAAATTCAATTCAAAAAATTTCCGTTACACACTTTTGGGGTTTTTTCATTCCTTTCTTCCCGAACTGAATCACATAATCACATCATTTTCTAACGACCTTGATCATTGGTTTCAAATTCTTGTTGGAAAACAATTGAATCCTCTCCTCACTCCCCACTTCAACGAACTCGGATTTATTATTTCAGTTATTTATTATTATTCATCATTATCATCCTTTCATGTCCGAAGTTGCTGTTGCAATGATTTCTTCATCTCCTCAAAAGATTGCTCCTTCCACTCCAAAGCGATCCACCATGAACTCCTCCTCGTGTTCTTCATCACCTTGTACGGTTACTCCAACCAAAGAAGAGCTTCCGATGATGACTTTCAATTCAACTCCAAACACTCCAAATGTACTTTCCTCAAAATTTGGTTTTCCTCTCTTGTACACGGGTCATATTCAATTAATCTTTGGAAATATGTTTGCAGGTAGGTACAGGTAGATCATGCGCTCTCACTCAGTCTCTCTTATATTTTCATCCTTTTGAAATTAATCCTCAATGGTTGTTCACCAATTTGTTTGAATTTTTTTGAACGTGTCAGGTAAAACTTCTGAACTACTTAGACGAATGCGTCGTTATCAAATTGCTCTCAAGGAATGTGTGCTTATTAAATACATTAATGATGTGAGATATAGTAAGGAGAGTGTTTCAACACATGACCAAGTTCAACAACGTGCCATCCCAACAGATCGTTTGGAAAAGATTGCTCATCTCGTTCAGAATTATGACGTGATTGGAATTGATGAAGGACAATTCTTTCCTGATTTGGTTGATTTTTGTGAAGCTGCAGCAAATGGTGGAAAAATTGTGATTGTGAGCGCATTGGATGGAACCTTCCAAAGAAAACCTTTTGGTGACGTTTTGCGTTTGATTCCAATGGCTGAAAGTGTTGTCAAATTGAAGGCTGTTTGTATGGTTTGTTGTAAGGATGCAGCTTTTACAAAGCGTATAACCGATGAGCAACAAACCGAGGTGATTGGTGGAAGTGACAAGTATATTGCTGTAAGTAGTAATGTACATAATTGGAATGTATTGACAAGTTGTGTGCACAACTCGCACCGCATGTTACTTGTAATTATTTGCATTTCTCTCCTCAAAATAGGTGTGTCGAGAATGTTTCATGACTAGAAATACGCCATATACAAAAAAGAATAAGAGCATCTTTAATGAAAGTATGCTTGAGGAAGAACAAGAGGATACCATGCCTTTTTCTCCACAAAAACATTAAGGCAATTGGTAGAGAAGATCGTTGTGAAGAGATTGTGAAGGCAGACAAATTACAAACACATAATGAATTTATTTAACCTAGCACAGCACTTGATTTGCACAAGTTGTAAGTGTGCACATGTCAAGAAGATTAATAAATTAACATTTATTCATGACCTTCCAAGGCGTCATTCACCGCCTTTACTTTGTTATGCCGATAGAGCTCATGAATGGTTTTGATTTCGCCGATTCCTTTTTTTAGGTTTTGGCTTGGATTTTGGTGAATAAATAGAAAGTGATTGTTTGCGCAACTGTGAATCCAGCAAAAACAAAATCAACAATGAACACCACACACTCGGAACAAGATCAACAGACCGTTCAGCCACCAATCAGCGACGAAAAGAAAAATAACGACAACAGTCAGAAAGAAAACGACTCTCAATCTCAGCAAAAACAGGTCGAGCCTGGAATGTGCCAAGTATGCGATAGAAACGGAAATTGCACCAACGTTCCTTGCTTGTACATGTGTTGAAACAACACAACTCATCCCTTATCTTCCTATTGTAAATAAAATTATCCTAACACTTCATTAAAAACTGTCTGTTTTTTAATAATTAATTCTGTCCCACTCAATAATAGCTCACAGTTTGCTCAATCTATAAATGTTTTCTTCTCGAGACAATAATGTACGGTGTCGTTTAAGTACCAGTGGCGACATGGTCTCAATCAACATTGTCAAGCTTTTCATTGAGGGTACATAATAAAACGATCCCAACACATTCGTAGAAAATCTCATAATATGATCATTGTGACCTTCGGGAGTTGCAAATTTTCCAACGCCTACCATACTCTCCAATTGATGAATAAAAGTCAGAGTAGAGTTGGCAAACGATAAAAAGAAGAGACCATGTTGGGAAGAAGTGCCAAATGTCATGGATTGTCGAATCACTTCAATTTCATGTCCGTCTTCTTCCACCAATGATACTCGTGCCACATGAGAGTTTGGAGATTTGTCCTCCAACTCGATACTTTCATCCATGGTTCTTCCAATATCATTTTCCCTCTCTTTCAATGGAAGAGAATTGAAAAACTTTAAATTATGCACCCATTTCTGAGCCAGTAAAAACGAATCTCCGTGTTCATTAAGGGCTGCTTCAATTTTTTCTTCCAATTCTTTTGGATTTTCAGTTCCGTCCTCAAATCCAGATAAATCTCTTCCTAAACCTTTTTTCATGTTTTTTCGATGTAAAAATCCAAATGTTTCATCTTGTACTCGTTTTACATGTGGAGCAATGCTGGCATGATTTAACACTTGCATGCTACATCGAAAAGCGCCATCCATATTGTTCGATTTAATATGAAGGAAAATATCACCTCCAGTGTTGGGAAATCCACCAAATTTTCCTTTCAAATCTTTGGGATATTCTGTAAAGTCAGAAGATTTTAAATATTGTTTGATAAAATTAATTGGAGAAGAATGCTCGGAATGATGATTGGTTTGGTTGTTCATTGATTCAGTATTGGAAATATTTCGTAAAATAGATTCTAGAAATTGACGTCCAAATCCAATACTCATCAATACTCCACAATCTTGTTCATCATTGTTGAATGATGATTCACCCGATGATAATAATAATGATGGTGATGAATTCATTAATTTCAATAAATTTAAACAAGCATCCATGCATTCCCATTGAATTTGTAAATTCTCAAAACACTCGCTCAATAATTCTATGGTAACAAAACAAGCATGATCCGATACGGGAGTCAATATTGTAGGTTGTGGTTGCTGCTGTGAAAGAATTTGCATGCCCGAATACTCTTCAAATTCAACCATTTTTTTTTATCATTCAATACTTGATATACAAGAATTACATACAGAACAAAGGAGAAGTATTAAATTAATGTAATTACTGTGGTTTCGTTAATACTCATAGGTCTTCTTATTGCAATCTCTTGCAAACCAGAGAACTCCCACAAATGTCATCCAATGTCAATTTTCGTTAAATATCAAAAAAAGCAATCAATCGTTTAAACCAGCCCTACAGAGAGAGAACATTCCAGTCTATTTGAAACACCAACAATTCGTTGAATAGATCCTAACGACCATCAATCGTCATCAAACTATTTCCGATCAACACACAAAAATATCATCATGATGGAAGATGATGAATATTATCATTATGATGATGAGGAAGAAGAACCATTGGATCAACAAACAAACACAACAATACAATTTAATCATCCTAATATTAGAAATGATGATGTAAATCATATTCCGCAATATTCGGATCCGAATATTGATGCTGCAGCAAGTCCGAAATTCAAACCTTCTTTCAACAACCATAATAATAGTAATACTAACATTCCTTCCTATCCTCTTAATCCTAATTATTATTATGATAATAACAATTATCATCCTAGTACGAGTAATAATTATAATGATAATAATAATAATTTGATGATCCATTCAGAGGATGCCATGAACGAAGCCTTACCATCCTCTCCCAGTTCCGAAGATTCCACAACAACACTCAAAAACAGAATGAGCGGAGAAGTAGCACCAAGTTCTTCCAATGCTTTTTCTAAATCTTCGGAAGAACAAGGACAAGGCAACAGCAACACACATTCATCTTCTCAACGAAATTATATTGATGATGATGATATCTTGTTTGAAAATCAAGAAAAGCAATTACAAACTCAAAAGTATTTAACCATTGTACCTTATGAAATTGCATATCATGAAGGCCAATTACTGACTTGTGTGAGGGTTAATCGATTACCTATTTTGGTGAACAAGTTGGTGGAAGAAGTTAATCAATATTTGCAACAAGAGAGAGTAGCATCGAATGACGAAGAAAATCATCATCATGCCGAAGAAATTGAGGATGAAGAAAAAGTGGTCGATGTCTATGCCATACAAACACTCTTTTTGAATTGTATTATGAGGATTGATAAGTTTAATAATGAGAGTGAAGTGTATCAACATGTTAGAAAACGAGTATTTGATAATTTACAAAATGTAATGAGCCCACCTGATTATTATCCATTCAGTAAGTTGTTATTTAGTGATAATGTGTTATGATAATGTAATATGTGAACTTGGAATTTTTGGAATTTTTGTGAAATAATCTTTTTGCAAAAATTCATTCCTTCATTCTTTTGACACTTTACAATTAATAGATTACCCAACATTCTATGGAGAGGATCATGATATCGAGCAAATTGAATCCTATAACAAATTAATGGAATCTGACGAAATGAAAGAATCTCGAAAATCCTATCAAACGAAATACACAGCTCAATGGACAAAACAAGAACGGAAAAAGTTCAACGAAGGGCTCAAATTATTTGGTTACGGTCATGATAGTAATAAGAAAATTGCTGAATATATGGGCTCTCATATTCATCCCAATCAAGTAGCACATGAAAAACAACGTCTACAACTCTCGCATCAGAAAAAACGAAAAAAGACAAAGAAATAGGCCAAAGTTCTTGGACATTTAGCTTTTGGACAAGCAGATTCTGTTTTGCAATGTATTCTCAGATTATTGGAATGAGCGAGCTCCACACGACCAAGATTAATGTCTCAATATCATGAAAAAAGCGCAATCTGAGAATTAACAGTTGGATTCATGATGGTCATGAAAAGATTCCAATGATCTTCTTGAATCTGTCGATTTTGGGCTTATTAAGATTATTAGGAAATAACCATTAAAAAAATGTCACACCACGAAAAAGGACACAAGCCATCTCACAGCATCTGTAAAATTGATGCTACACTCGTTCATGATCATGCCAACAGCAACGAATGATCGATTGAGAATGGATAACCACTCCTCGGAAACAGCATCACTGTTAAAGGATTTAATCAAAAAATTGCAAAACAAGTTGAGGAATACATTTCAAAAAAAGGACTTCAATGAATTTTGAACAAGTTCAAGATTTAAAAACAAATGACATGAACAATTCGTTCCATACTGTCATTCGTGTGTTTATTTCATGCAATCATCATTGCATCATTGTCAGTTTATTCGACTGGTCAGCTTGTATAACATTTGCCGCACGACTCAGTTCACTGATCGTCTTTGATTGGGAAACTCGAAAATTCCAAACAACAATTGAACTTATTCCGAACGAAATGCCTCATTTTCAAATCGAACACGTGGGAATGATGCCATTGAAAAGATCCATTTCGAAAAGTACATTCACAAAGGTGATTTGAAAGAAATACTTTTGAAAAAAAAAACAAAACGATTCAATCCAATTAAACATCATATTTGGCAAAATGATGCCATTGTCATTGCAGACGCCTATTCAAAATGTATTTCTAAAATTTCCATGAAAGCATTCCTGAAGTGCGCCAATGATCGAGATTTACAACATCACTGTATATGGAGAAGTGAGCTTTCATTCCAAGCTTGTTGTTATACAGGAATGGCCATTGTATCATCCACACATGAATGTTTTATTGGCTCTGATTCATCAATTGTTGTCTTGAATTTGGAAAATGGTCAAGTGATTCAAACCATTCTGTTGGATGATGTCATTGGCAGTATTCATCAAGTGGAATGGATCGATTCTGAAACCATGATTGTTTTACATACAGCTGCTTCAATTTTTAAAAAACAAGGTCCAATGTCATGGATCAAACATTACGAGTTGAAACATCTTGATCATGGTAACAAGAACATGGTTGCGAATAACACCATACTCTATGACGCCGAGTCGAGAATGATTCTCAGTGCTTGTCATTTAGGGAGAGCTGTCTCCATGTTCAATAGTGATGATGGCCAATTATTGAAAACAATCAAGACCAGTAGTATAGTGACCAAAGGAACTACCTTTCCTCATGGCATGTGTGTTAATTATTTGACAGGAGAATTGTTGCTTTGCCTCAATGATCGTGTAGTATTCTTAAAATAAGGAACTTGAGAGGTTTAATGACAACAAGAGATGATTCAATAATTCCCATTTAAATTCATGGAAAATCATTTTGAAAATATCCTCTACGCGACGGATGAAAAAAAATATGTAAAAACGAATTTATTGGTGTTATTTTGTGTGTGATCGTTTTGGATTCTGGCAACCACTCATCACATTGTGAGCACTTTGTGTGTGTTGGATACTTATTGCAATGATGGCCATGACGATCATGCACTCTTTGAATCATATGAACATCATATAGTTTTTTTCCTTCATCATCAAGATCAGCACCTGCTTTTTGGGCAAATCCGACAGCCACTCTCATCAGGAATGATTTGTAATCAATATCAGTGTTTTTGGCTTTCTTATAGAAAATCCATGAATTTGCGAGTACAATTCGGAAAATTCCCATCCATGCTGCTTGAGTCCACTTGTTGACCCGATGGCAACCGGGATACATATGTGCATATCTATCAGCCACATCTACGTTCACATGCTTCTTCTCATAGAGCTCTTTTACTTTAGGAGCTCCTTTCTTCTTGTTCTTGCTTTTCTTCAAAGTAACCATGTTGGAAAGAAAAGTAATTTGTTTTTTGTCTTTGTAATGAATTGCGACATAATCTCCATTAGTGACACCAATCCATTCACCTTTTGATAATGTATACCTTGAGAGTAAGTTTTTGCATTCTTCTTCTAATCTGTTTTTGGGACAAATCATCGTAAACCGGAATTTGTGGTAATTCAATAGTAGGGCCGTCTTGTGGTGGCCAAAGTAGGAATCAGTGCAAATATTGTACTCATGAGAAGGTAAGAAGGAAACAAAATCCATCACTAAGATATGAACTTGTGGTTGATGACCTGTGTAAGGCCACAACCTTATCACGAACCACAAGTCGTCGGCCATCATATAAAACTTAATACCAGTGTCTTCAGGTTTTCCTTTGATGTGTTGTTTAAATTTAAATCTGCCCGTGAATTGTATCAATGTTTCATCAACTGTGACGTTCGGGAAGGGTTTCCAAATTATCAAAGAAATTTGATTGAACACTCTGGTAAAATAGTGGGGGTTGACACGAACACTTCTATGAACTGAAAGGAAATGATCTCTGCCACTCCAAATACTTTTTATGAATTCGTTACCAAAGAATACACTTGTTGAGAAGTAATCTGTGAGCTCAGGTTGAGGAGCAAGCATGATGGCAATAACAGTTGCCAAATATAGGTATAGGTCAGACACGGTGATATTTGCTGTGTGTGTTGCAGAGGAAGAGTCATCCTGTTCATCTTCAGATTCTTGACTCGAACATGGAATGATAGTGTCTTCGTCATCATGTGAATCATCATCATTGTGCTCATTATCAGCTGGTGGCGAGGTGTACCAAGCTTTGATATGGTCTGAGGGTTCAGGATCTTCAGTAGTACAAGGAATAGTAGGATCATTGGACAAGTGAATAATATGTTTTATCAAATGATCAGGCAAGTATTGCTCAACACAACGAAGAGGTGTAAGACTGTTCAAGTGGTTTCCATGTCCTTGACACCCAAAAGAATTGTGTTCGGAATCGTTTTGAAAGCCTTCAAAATGTCCAGGACCAAACCCTCTACCAGAGTTTGTTTCTATCACCTGGTTTATCAAGTCTATGGTGACATCAGAAGGTTGTTTATCGGTCATAGGGTGCGGTTGTTGAATTATAATACCTCTACTTAATGATGTTGACTTTTTTTTGATAACGGTAAAAAAGGGGTGTTGGCGGCATTTTCCTTTTATTGCCATCCAATCACATTAAAAGTCCACAACAAATGCATAAACGATATCTTAGCAAACAATAGAAGAGAATGATATCACATAAGGAGAGAACAGAAGTAGGTTTATGTATTACTTGCCAGCTAAAGTTGCCGTCGCGTAGAGGATATACGATGAATCTTGGAAATGGTTCATTTTCATAATAACAATATATATACATCCTTAATGACAGGTTGGTTTCACATTCCAATAAAACATGTCTTTCTGAAATACATTTGCTGAATCATCTCCTTCACCATAAAATTCAAAATTCACAACATCAAACGTTGTGACATCCTTAAATCCATTCAATCCATAAATTTCAAATCGAGCAGGTTGTTTCGTTTTCGAATCTTCATAATAATAAACATCCACGAATTGAGGTCCCTGATAATTAAACAAGTAAAATCCAAAACCAACTGCCAAATCGGAATGTGCCTCCAATTTGTACAAGTTACAATCTCGTTGTGAATTCATGCCAAGGACGTATTTCGATTGATCAATGACAATTCCTCTCTTTACTAAACTTGCTTGTTTATAATTGGAAATGACAAAACCACCTGTTTGTTGTGAAGTTTTCTGAGAGAAGGGAAATACTCGAGCGCCATACCAATTCGTGTTATTGGGATGCAAGTGTTCAAAGATACAAAAGTCAACCGAGACGACATTCATGTAGAAACGTAACGTGTCGAACACGACCGTGGTGGAGGAGAGAAGTGCATTGGGACCTCCGAGACCTGCTGCATCTATTCTCATGAGTTGATGAATGCCATCATAGAAGAGTGAAATGAATTTGGGATTGTTATCTGTGTCGGTTTGATTGTTGGGAGAGCGAATACCAAAGAGTTGAAAAACATTGGTCCAAACGCCGTTCTCTACTGTATTAAGAGTAGAGGGTGTTGATCGAATGGAGAGTTGTTGTTGTTGTCGCAAATGTTGTTTGAAGAGTTGTAATTTCGGAGAAGGAGAGGCACATGTAGGGATACTACATAAGAAGGAAAGAATTGCGAGAATGCAACAAGTGACTATTGTCAACGCTGTTCGTTTCATTGTTTTTTACTTGTTAATTGTTGATGATTTTCATAATCTATCATCTCCACTCCGTAATACGGAGTTGAGGAGCACACACTTCCGCTATTTCATGACAATCCCAAACCTTCACCGAGGTAAGCAACAAGATATGGAACTACAAGATGATAATTTAATAAATGTTTTATTGGAAGATAATCGCTTATCTCAATCTTCTTGCTTCTCTTTCGGTTTCGAGCAAAGACAAAATGTCTCCTTCCTTGACTGGTCCCTTAACGTTTCTGATAATGATACGAGGCTTGTCAGTGTTGATGAATTCGACTCTGACTTGGGTGATACCACCACGAGAACCAGTTCTACCGAGGCACTTGATAACCTTGACTAAAGTTGGTTGGTTTTCTTGATTTTCCTATTTAATGTTGATGCGTATTGAATTTGTTGATTCATGTTTTTGGTTATGATGTGTTCATGATGAAGAAGATAAAAACAACGATAATGACAAAGATAATATTATTATATTATATTTGAGAGAGAACGGCGTGAGTGAACGTACCATTTTGCGACTATTTTTTTTTCGACGAAAATTCAAAAGTCAACCAAAAAATGGTTTTTACAATGGCTAAGAAAAAAATTGGCTGAAAATCACTCTTCACCAAGTTAGATCGTGGACGATGCCAATCTTTCCATTCAATTCTTGAATCGGAATTTGTGATTCTGCAGATATGCATAGCTTTCAAACTCTCTTGAAGTTGCATTTAAATTCAAGTCGTGAACATGATCATGGAGTGGGAAATGATGAATATTGATCATTGGTGAAATAATTTAATTTTCAAAATCAAATTAGAGGAGATTTACTTGTTATTGATTCCAGAAAATAGAGAGGAGGTGAGATTTACAGCTGGATTATTCTTTAACCCTCCTACGATGGTACTACTTCTTCCTCGAGAGGTTGGAAGATTAGCAACAGAGGAGGATGACAAATTATTATTATTATTTACAACACGTTGTGGAGAGGATTGTTGCTGGCTTGCAGTATTGTTGGGTCCTTTCACTACATTTCTAAATTTGTCAAAATAATTGAAATTAGTTGCGTCATTTAGAATGGCTTTCGATCTTTGGAAAATTTTCATTCCTTTGGCAGAGACTGATGCAGAAGAGCTTGAAGGAATTGGCAGTGAAGAGGTTGAATGTGAAGCAGTGCTATTGATGCCAAATGCAGACTTATTCAACATTGGCTTACTCATGGAGAGAGGTGAAGTCGTTGACGTTCTCGAAATGATTGCATTGGTAGATGGTGGTGAGTGACATTGAGAATGAGAGGCATTCTGCGCCGTATTTGGAAGCAGAAGTGAGTGATGGTGGTGACTAAAAGCTCCATGCAGAATGCTCTCTTGTTGTGCTAACAGGGAGCATGACGATTCAGTCACTGTTTCCAAATTCAATAATGAATTCTCGTCATGGAACGAGGCCGATCTCTCAAGATTTCGTGTACCATTTGCACTATTCGTCACGTTATCATTATTTTGAGCTTGTGACACACTGGTTACGGAGCTATTGAGACTGGATGCTCGAGAGGAACGACCACCACTATTGTTTTGGCTATTATTGTTGAGGCTATTAGTGAGTCCTCCACTAACATTGGAAAAGGCATTGCATGGTACAGAGACCACTTGGTCGAGGCATGTGGTACTCATGGCCATTGAGGCATGGGATGAGCTGGCCTTCTTAACTTCATGATATGTGAGTTTGAGTTGAGTGAAAATATACTTGAAATCAAAATAGGAGAGTGGCTTGTGTTCTTCAATTGTTGAGGTGGTGGTAGTACTTGTGGTTGGAGCGGACTGATCTTCATTGCCCATCTTGATGCATTGACTTATCAAGTATTGACTCAAAATATTGAATACTAGAGCCATTCCTTGTCCAGATCCTGAATAATTAATACCCATGCCATCCACAACAATGCATCTATGTCCAGAGTCTGTACTAAGCATAAATTCAATGAGGTAAATTCGATATCGATCGTACATGACACCAATGGATCGAAGAGGTTGATCCTGTGTGGAATTTGTTTGATTGGCAGCAAGACGGCTCTGATGGGAAGCGACCAAGTCACTCACACACTGATAAATAATTCTTCGCAAATGAGTTTTAAATTCGAGAACATTCTTACTATTCTCTCCAACTACAGTGAGCATTAAGGGATGAGAATGGAAATAGGATTCACTAGATTTGAACAGTTGAGATGAGACCAAAGTAGAGCTTTGAGGTGGCGAGTGATTGCAGTCATTCTCTACATTCTTACCATTGTTGATATCGAGTTGTTGAAACAAGAGACCCAAACCTGAATTGACTTTCTTAGACGCGCCAAGATTGGGACAACTTGTTGAGACAGGCACTCGATTAATGTCCATGAAAATATTCTTGGATTGAGGGGTGGGTAATGTTTGACTCTCAGGGTTTGGAGTTTGAATGAGATTGGTCAATTTTTCCTTCTCCTCATCACTGCTGAGAAAGAGAGAAATCAACGAGGTCAAAAACCGCACCTGATGTCCTAATTGAACATTGGTCATGACTCGTGGCTGTTTGGCGTTGGCTTGGGCCGCGTAGAATGAATTACTGAGCTCTTCGAATACATCAACGCCTTGCTCTTCGAGAAGAGTCAGATTTTTGAGACCTCTCGAAACATTGGAATCGAGTTGAAGCAATTCTTTCACGGTTGGCAATTTCTGATAATCCAACAAGCGACCCAGATAAAAAGTCTCATTGCCCATCAAGGTTTGTTGATCCATAATGAAACTCTTGCATTTTTCATTTTGTTGACAACCACTTGGATAAACAAAAGGTAAATGACTCAACTCGGAGTGCAGGCTTAAATGAACGGAGAGTGGTTGAATGATTTGAAAATGAATATATTGGACGACTATATTCTACTACTTACTGTTTGAAAATATTCGCTTCAACAATCTTATTCGATCGAAGTTTCTTGAGCCAAGCTTCATTCGTCCGTTTGGTCATGTTCTGGAAGATGCCATTCAAAGAGGGATCTTGTTCGGCCGTGAGGGGCACAACTCCCTTCAAGACTTCATTCAAGGCTCCCGCAAAATTTGAAGCTTGAAATTTGAATTCATTTTCTCTTCTCATGGTGATGATGAGGTTGGGCGGCAGTGGATGGTGTGGTAGTTGAATAGATGATGGAGAATGGAAAAAAGACTCGATGATGATATTACTAATACAATTCCGATAATGATGATGACAATAATAAAGCCTCAAATTTGGCTTCTCTATGTACAGTTGATGAATATAAACAGCAAAAGCTTTGGGATACCTTCCGAATGAACCCAATATTGATGAAATAAGCTTGATGAGAGGAATATACAAAAAACTCTTTCAACTTTCAACCTTAATCCAAAACTGAAGAAGGAACCAGCTCTTGTTCGCGAACGTTGTAAATCGATTGGCGCGAGTGACCTGCTGATGAGTAAGTGATTCGAAAGTTTTTTTGATGAACAACAACAAACACTCTCTCCCTTTGTTTTTTGAAAAAAGAGGGAGAGACGATGGTTCATGACAGAGGCGTCGTGCAGACCTACCCACTCAAGTCTGTTAGTGTTTTTGCAAAATAATTAACGAAAAATATATTTGTCTGATGTGTTTTGACTTCCATCTAAATATGTGTTGATTTCTTGTGGTGTGTCTCTGTATGTATTTTCAACAAACTAATATAATTCAGAAGCACACAACAAAATCAATGCAGGTTCATACAACACATCTTGAATACAATGAAGAACCACACTTCCATACAACTGAATTAAAAAATTGGTGCATTGTCACAATCCGAATTTGTTGTTGATATGGAACAAGGGTGCAAAGGTGGATATCAGTTTCTCTGTGGCTGTGGCGAAATTATTGATGTGAATTCAATTAGAAGTCATAAATGTAGTGACAAGAACAAAGGCAAGGGCAGGAAAGAGTTCCAATTTTCTAATGATAAAGCTGATGCTAAAGGCGGTGATTATCTATATATTGGAAGCAATAATGGATTAACTCAAGTGAATTGTAACGGAAGAAAAATGATTGGCTTGGTGGCAATAATACTACAGAGAGGGATAAAATGCTTCACCATTGTTTAGATGTCCTGTATTTGTATATTGCAACTGAAAAATCATCAGTGAAAGTATTTGTAGCAATATTGATGAAATATGGGACAATTAAGAAGGAAATAGAAGCTAGGGATCATGACAGCTTTAAACGTGGAGTGCGAGAAGGCCTTGACAAAATGGTAAATCATTTTGCAAATGTTGCACCTGTGTTTCTAGCAGGCACTAAGGTGACTGCTGATTCGTATGACAAATTAGTCAACCTAAGAATTACTAAAAAAAATAATGATCTTCAAATAGAGTGTGAAAAGATTGTGATGGTGAATGATCTTGCTACAAGTTTTGGGAAAACATTCATCAGTGAAATTATATCTTGCACAATTGATGCAAATGAAGTGATCTATCGTTATTTTGATATTAGGGTTGTAGTACTGAAATATATACTCCAATTATTTTTGAAAAAACTAATTGACGCCAGCTCTTTTGTGCTGATAACAAAGCTAAACAAGCAACAATTGGCAACTCTATTGGAGGGCATAAACGTTGCAATCAATGTGATGAAAATTTTGACAGTGTTGAATTAGCATGTTACAATCCTGATAGACTTACTCAAATAACATTTCAAGAAGTATTGGATCGAGCACAGTTGGGAAGAAAAGAACAAAATCAGCAAAAATTGGGGTTGAAGAGAGTTTCAGGTTGTGTTTTAGCATACTTCTCTGAAAGGCAAAAAGGATGTTGGGTTGTTTCACAAATATTTCAATCAACATACCAGGTCCCATTGCATTGCTCAGTCATCTGTCACCAAATATCAAAGAGCCTTGTGTTTGTATGAAGAACTCTCCCAAGTTACAATTAATACTCAAATAGATAACCACAACATATTGCATGTTGCTACTCCAATAGCTGAATGTTGGTTCAGCATTGATGGGTCAAATAATCTTGTCACTAATTTCAAGAAATGCTCTTGCACAAATAATCAACAACAAAAATGTGATACAATTTGTGAGCATGCTTGTTTTGTACACATATTGTTGCATTATAATAGAAAAAATATCACTTTGGAAGATCTAGCTTTGAAGGATGTAGAAATATGCTCTGATGCAAGTCATGTCATTCCAGGAATTTTTGATAGGCTCAAACAAAAACTTTCAGATGAAAAAGGGTTCAAGCTTGACATTTTCGTTAATAATGCTAAAAAAATTCTGGGTCATAATGTTTCTTTGGGTATGATATCACATAGTGATTAGAAGTTCCTGTTGCTGCATGGATGTGATTTGTTTGGAAAAATGTTGCCTAAAGATTATGGACAAAATTTGTCTCAAGATACTTCTTGTGGGAATGATATCTCCAATTCTCATCCATTTGATATGAACAAACCAAGTATTTTAGATGGTCATGTTAATGTAACCTATGAGCACCGTTTTTCACACTTAATCAGTAGTGGAATTACCTCAAAGGTTCCAGATGTGGAAGACAATTCCAATAATAGAGTTGTAAAACAATCAATTGGTAATCTGTTATGGATGTTGACAATGCTGCAAATAATAACAGCAATATCTGTAATATCAGAGAATACCTTCAAAAAAAAGAAAACTGATTACCAAATTGCATTTCATATATGCACCTTTTTGTTAGGCATGTTATGTGTTGAAAGGTTTGGGCCTGAAATGCACACTCTATATTTGCATGAATTAATGTATCATCTTACAAAGCAATTAGAAAAACGTAGGCTAACTCTTTCCGGAACTGATAAATTTGAAGGGTTTTTCGCACCATTGAAAAAGCAATACCAAAAAGGGTGTCATAGAAAAGATGAGGCTGATCGTCATGTTACTATCAAACGAAATGGTCAATCTCAGCTTGGATTATTGCTTCCACAATTTGTAAAAAGTAACAATAATTCCAAAATTTCAGAGTGACTGGAAACTTTTGAACTGAAAAATATTTTCATACCAAAAGAGTTAATAGTATCATCTGATATTCATAAGAAGAGCTTTGAAGCTAAATTGAAAGAGCTATATCAGGTATTTCCAACAACAAAGTTCCTTGGAGAAAAATCCATCTCTGATATAGTTGTAATTAGAGAGGATGGATGAATTCTATTTAAATTCTCTGCCAAGCCTGAAATTTACCTGAATAATATTACACCATGTTGCTCTCGAATGGAACAAGATTCTTCCTCAAAATCTTGTTCCAATGATGGCTGTTCCAATATGAAAGCTGCTTCATGTGTTATTCATATGTGTGTATCATGTTGTGTTCGTAATGGATGTGTTAAGGATGCACATATTTGCACTTACCATAAGAAGAGCAAATTGTACTCTAAGAATGCAAATCTAAATATTGACACTCAAAATCCTCAGAGAAAAACAGCTATAAAATCTAAAGCTCCACAAGGATCGAAAAGTATAGTACGACCTGTGTTTGGGGAGGTTCAATTCATAAATGCAACAGTTGAAAGGAATAACCAACACTACCTCCCAACAGGTGCTACTTTGACATGGGTGCCAGAATATGGTAATAATATCAATAATTCGACAACAAATCCACTGGCCAGAATTAATCCTCCATCAAAAATTGCTCACTTCACACAAAATCAAAGACTAGATAATCAACAACCAAAAGACTCTCTTACACAAACATCAGTGTACAATATTGGAACACAGAATGTCAACCCAATAACTCGATCGTTCTCTCAACAAGTAGAGGATCAATCATCTCAACAAATAATTAGAAATGGAGAATCAGTAATATCGGAGAGAATTGCTAGTTCAAGATCATCATCACAATATTCTCTATCTAATCCACCTTATACCACAATAATGGGACAAGGATGTAGCTCGGACATAACACAACTAATTGCAATTCCATGTCAGTCCTTTGACAATATTACAACCTCGAAAAGAATTGTAAATAATTCAAGATCCAACACACTCAAACAATTCAATACTGGAATGACAAGACAAGGTGAGAATTCAATAACTCAATTGTACTCTCAACCAACAAGAAATCAGTTCTCATCTCAATTACTATTGGGTCAAGTGTCACCATAGCTGCTCCAGCCACAAACAGTTAAAAAATCTTACTATCCATTCGAAGAAAGTAATTGTCAACAATTTGTCAGCCCTGGAATATTACATCCATTCAGTGGAATTACAGAATGTGCATCATATTCAATGCAACTTCTAGAGTGTACATTCAGCAGTGAAACGACACTACAAACTCTCTCTCAGTCAATAGAAAATCAATCATCTCAGCTAATGGGCAGTAATCCGAGAACAACATTACACTCAAGCCATGAAATTTCGGAAAATGCACAACATTCATCAAAGAGTTGTAACATCAATCGTATTGCCACAAGCCTATCCCGTTTGTCATCAACTCACAATCGTGTAGAACCATATCCAAGGAACCCACAACAAAACCGAATCGGAGCGCAAAGCCAATTCCAACAAAATTGTTTTAAATTTTCAATGAATACACCTTCTACGGTAAGTGTTTGATTAACGTTGGAATGATAATTATTATTGCCATCAGAATACTACGAACAAACGTAAAAGAGAACTATACCTCTGCTAAAAAGAACAAATAACTTCACACAGTGGTTGTATTTTTTTGATGTTTCTGTTGGCTCAACTAACAATCATCACTACAAAAACAACCAACAACGAACAACAGTGAATGATTGAAAGTATTGTAGATAATTCTATTGAATCTATCTCGTTTTATTAATTAATTATTAAACCAAAAGGCTTTCTTATTGTTTTACACGATTAAAAGTGAATTAATACACAGCAACATCGGTACAACTGCAAGTTTTTTGTGTGAGATGTTTTGTGACAGCTCTCTCTGAACAAGTTTGTGCAGAGAGAGTCCATCAACATGCTTATTTATAAAGTTCAAACACTAACATACTTGAGCAATGCTTTTCTTTGTGCCACCGCGTTGTTAGCTATGATGATGGAGAGACAGCAAAATTTACGAGATCAATGATTGCTGCACAATTAATGAATAAACAGTGTCAACGATACGTGTTATTTCTTTTATTTCTTAAAATAGTAAATCAAATAGATTAGAAATGCCGTAAATTCTTAGAATATCAAAATTGTTTGAACGATGAATGTGGAAAATGTCAACGAGTCGTGCTTGCCCATCGTCATGAATGGCATACAAATGAACATAAATATATTGAATCTATCATGATTGGTAGACAGAATCTCTCAATGGTTTCCCATGGGTTGTTGCGGCGAAACCAATGGATTTGAAGATGTATAAACGTTCGACATTGAATTCAATGCATAACTAGCAGGAATGGGTATTCCCTCCTTTCTCATAAACTCTAATTCCAATTCGTCACTTCTTGAGACACAATCTCGTAACCATTCCAACAGAATATTCGTCTTTTCTTCGCTTGAATAAAGATATTGCTCAGCAAAATCTTTTGTCTCTGGATTACTCAAATAGGTTCTAAATTTCTCATTCAAGAAATAGGTCGATATGGCAACGCTCACGTGAATATTAAAACTCTCTGTAAATCCATAAAGAGGCAATGTTAACGAAGCATCTGCATGGTCAATGGCAACATTTGAAATTCCATGAGCTTCATTTCCAAAAACAAGAGCTATAGGCTTATCATCCTCTTTCGATTGTTTCAATGGACCAAAAGCAATGGGTACTTGATCCACTCCAACATAGTGAGGCAATGATATATGTTTTTCTGTGATGACTGGTGAATAATTTGTACAAGTATTGGAAGCCTTTTGACCTCTCTTCTCTCCAGCCAATAATTGAGGAATGGAATAGGGTGATGTAACAATAATTCTACAATTATACTTGTCCTTCAATTCTTGAAAACACTCTTCGGAACTTTTATGATTCTTTACGTAAATCCACTCGGTCGCTCCGCTTGAAACACCTTTGGACCGAGTTTTTCGTTCATTCATAGGAGGACTTGTTGGTGGATTAATAATGTGTAAATTGCTCATTCCAAAACATTCCACAGTCCGAACCACAGCAGCAACATTTTGTTCACTCCGAACATCTTCCAGTACCGGAATGATAAATTTCGAACGTTTATCCAGAACATTCTTCATGGTTTGAATCCGAGAATGATTCAGAAATGTAGAATAAAAATCAATGAGTGCTTGTTTTTGTTGAGAGGAATAAACAAAGGAACGAATAAATTTGCGAATCATGGGTGGAGCTGAGAACGTCATTTTTTTTTTATTCGTTTTTTATTGCAATGAAATTGAGATTCTTGGATTGGGTTGCTTTACGGAATGTTTCAACCTCAGTTTAAGTTCTGTTGAGAACAGAGAATTGAGAAATGGTCAACAATCGAGCAAAAGATGGAATATCTGAAACCGCCAAAGTCAAATAAAATTCAGCAAAAATCGGTTTTCCTTCAAAAATATTCAAAAAAATTAACTCGATTATCACTCATGGTAGGTCTGATTCATGATTTTTCATTTAAAAAGTTCATCATCATCCTGATCCTTTCATTGTACCATGCATGGTCTCACTCCGATTCATGAATGATAGGCCTCCGGAAAAGATACTGGTAAATTCAGTGAATTTGTAAAAGTCTGTAAAGAGATTGAAGAAGTTTCCTCGCATACAGAGAAAACAAGTGTCATGAAAGACTTTCTTGAGGATTTCAAAGGAGATGTCTATCTTCTCTATAAATTATTATTTGCAAAGGAAGATAAAAGAAAATTCAATTTGAAAGATAAAAAGCTTGTTGAAATTGCTGCTTCTGCATTTGGAGAAGATCACGACGAAATGTTAGATCATATGGACTCGAAAGGAGATGTCTCGGAAACTTTGAAAAAGTATTTGGTGAGAAGTGGAAATGCAAGAGATAAGGGTGTTGTGAATTTGAAACAAGTCGATGAATTTCTAGAGAAGTTGACTACAATCACAACAAAAGATGATCAAACCAAAGCTTTTGAGAAGTTTGTGGTTGGAAATTTAACAGGAGATGAAATGAAATTCATTACCAGAATTATTTGTAAAGATTTAAAGATTAGAGCTGGACCAAAGTTTTTATTGGCAGGTGAGTGGAGTTGTCACACGCACACATGTGAAATTGATAATTAATTTTAATTCGAATTTTTTATGTGAATTGATTTATAGCCCTCAATCCCGATGCTTATGCATGCTACATTTTAACTCATGATCTCAAGCAAATTATCGATGCAGTTACTAACAAGCAAGATTTGAAAAATCTATCATTGACCGCACAAACACAATCACTCGATATTGATGCACTCATTCGAGATGCAGGAAGTGACGACGATGAGGATAACAAAAAGTTCAACATGAACATTTCAGATGATGAAAGTGATGATGCCAAATCTTCTTCCAAAAAGAAGAAGGACTCAAAATCATCTGGAGCATCTAGCTCGTCTTCATCAAAAGCCTCTTCATCCAAAGCATCTTCCAGCACAAAATCTAAGAAGAAGGATGTTTCAGACGATGATACCGACAATGAAGGCGACGATGAAGATATTGATGTTGGAGAAAATATCGATGACAACGAAGAGGAAAAACCTGAAGACCTAATCGATGAAGACGAAGATTCATCATCAAAGAAAAAGAAAACTGTACGGAAATCAGCCAAAATTAAGGCAAAAATGGTTTTATTCAGTCCTGTGAAACCCATGTTGGCCAGACCAAGCAAGACCTATGACGATGTCATTAATCGATGTCCCAATGGATTTTATTGCGAATTGAAATATGATGGTGAGAGAATTCAAAGTATGTAGTTTCAATTATTATTTGAGATGTATGGACATAATATTGTATTTGGCCATTGTTATTATTCTGCTCAGTTCACTACGATCGAAAGAAGGACAAGATCAAATATTTCAGTAGAAATTTGAAAGATGTTCAAGATTACAAAATAGAATCTGTTAAAAAGTACATCTCGAGAGCAATTAAGGACAAGGTTGAATCGGTTATTCTTGATGGTGAAATTCTCATGTACGATACCAAGAAAAAGAAACCTCTCCCATTTGGTACACTGGGAAAGAAAGTGAGACAGGACCATCCAAACGCAGTGACAGCCGTTTACTTGTTTGATATTTTGTATTATAACGGAAAATCATTACTTTCTGTTCCAATCTATAAGAGAAAGGCCTTACTTTCAAAGATTGTCAATGTTGTTGAATCAAGAGTCATGCTTGGTGAACATGTGGTCGTAAAAGGACCAAAAGGTACTCGAGAAGCTCTCATTGCATCCAAAATGCAAGAAATGATCTCTGAAGGAGAAGAAGGATTGGTGGTAAGTTGAGTGTGAAATGTTATACGTGTGTTCACGTATCTTGTGAAAATCCTAACTACATAATTTTGTGATTCTGCTTCCAAAAGTTCAAAGATTTGTGCTCTCCCTATGAACCCAATGCAAGACACTGGCTCAAAATGAAAAAAGACTATCTACAAGGAATGGCAGATAGTGTGGATTTGGTAGTTTTGGGAGCTTATTTAGGTACAGGTTCGAAAGGTGGTCTCATGAGTGTTTTCATGATGGGTTCGTACGACAAGAAGGAAGGTAAATGGAGAATTATTTGTAAGTGTGGTAATGGACACGATGATGCAACCTTGGAAGCGCTGAATGAAGAACTAAAGTCAAACATGAAGAGAATTAGTAAGGATCCATCTCTAGTTCCAGACGACATTGATATTCATACCAATGCTCTTGTTCCTGATTATATTGTCAAAGATATCTCAAAAAGTGTAGTTTGGTAGGTTTATTTCTCAAGACTTTCTGTTGACACAATTGTTATTTCTTTTGTGGTGAATGATATTATTATATTGGAATTTTACAATATGTATGTGAAATAGGGAAATTACTGGAGCTGAATTCAGCGTCTCCTCTCGAAAGGAAAGACCAATCTCTATTCGTTTTCCAAGAGTCACTAAAATTAGAGATGACAAGGATGTTGACGATGCCACCAATTATCAAGAACTTACCAAACTTTATCAAGTTTCCACAAGAAAGGGACCTGTTGCACTCTTCCCAAAGAAAGGAAAAGATGATGATGATGACAATGACGACAGCGATGACAGTGTGGATGTGAAAGCAGGAGGCAGCAAAAAGAGAAAGGCAAGATCAAAGAAGTCCAAAGATGATTCTGATGATGACGAAAACGAAAAAGGAGACAATTCTGATGACGACAAGCCAACAAGAAACAAAAAGACATCATCTAAAAGACAAACTAAAAATTCGAACAAAAAGTCGGACGATGACGATACCGATGATGATCAGAACGATACAGCACCAAGCAAGAAGAAAACGAAACAAGCTCCCAACAAGCTTACTACTATTAAGGATATTCCAGAGTCGAGCAAACCAGAAGAGATTTATTATATTTATGGAGATTTTGGAGGAGTTCCAGCCAATAAGGACAAGAAGGTATGTTCATTTACTTTTATAATTTTAACAAATTGAAAAATATTATTATTGAACAATTCTATGAATGAATTCATTTGAAATTATTTTATACACAATTTCACATACAGTTCATTGCCCATTGTGTTGATGACAGTAGTCGATGGGGCGACAAGGGCTCTATGGGTAACATTGTTCTTCTTTTTGGAGAAGGCATCAAGAAGGCCTACGTTGATGACATGAATACTGTTGGAGATGTTCAACTTGTCATTTCTGAGAGTAACTATTTATCCAATCTCATTTGTTTACAATTTGTTCAGAAAGGCTCACCACCCAAAATAGATTATTCATCATTCGATGAATGTCTCAAAAAGTGTGCAACCTACATGATTGAACATGACATCAAAACATTCCATCTTTTCAGATTGCATTATGGAATTACTGGTTTAGATTGGTCGCGTTGTGAAAAATTATTGAAAGAAAATATGTCCAATAAGGGAATTGTAGTCTATGTGTATACGAAAGATCGTGATGATAAGGATCGTGTAACAGAGAGCAAAGCAAAACTCAACAAGCAGAAAGAGACGACTATGAGTGATGAGAATGTAATAGCTATGACAACTTCAAATAGTAATTCTAAGAAAGAAGAGGACAAGATGGATTTATCTTCGGATGATGTGAAACAACCAGCTGTTTCTTCACAATCTTCTTCACAGGACAAGTCCAACAAGACAAATTCTTCACAACCTGTCAGTCATACTGCAACATCAATATCCTCCTCAGAATCTTCTTCAGCCATTTCAAGAAATATCTTCTCTGGAGTGATTGCCCTAATTTCTGGATATCCTCAACATGTGAAAAATGAAATTTCAGACCTAATTTTAAAGAATGGAGGAACAGTGACTCAACAATGGAATTTAATTGGAGAAGAAGCCAATACTCATCTCATTACGGAAACCAAAGATGATACTTTTAATCATTGCTTCTCTCTTGGAGCAATTATTGTGGCCAAGTCGTGGGTGACAGCATGTGTCACGAAAGGAAAACTTGTTGAAACCAATGATTATGTATTTCCATTGCAAGTGAAGGAGAATCGACAGACGTCAATGAAATTGAATGCATCTTCTTCTACTGAGTCATCAACTGTATTGACAACCAACTCAAGTAGTTCCACAACCAATACTCCAGTGGCCACTCTTGTGGATTTATTCACAGAATTTGCCATTTATCTCCACAAAGATATCCCAAGTAAGAAAATGCATACAAGATATATTGTAGCCTATGACGGTGAGGTTTATCCAGCATTTTGTGATGAAGTGACACATGTGGTAACTGCTGCTAAAAGCTTGAGTGCTGATCCATCACTTTCAAGCTACAAGGAAAAGAGTCCAATTGTGAAAATTGTGTCCTCGGAATGGATTTGGCATTCGATTAATTCTGGGCAATTAATTGATTACAGATTTTACGAAATGAAGTAAACATCGATATTTCTCCACTCATTCACGAATTTTCGTGCCTTAATCGTAATAACCTTTCAACGTGCAGACTTTCGAAATTCATTTGAGTGCACTGATTGGCGGTGTGGCAAGCAAGACAACGAATACAGTCAATTTGTCAATTGAAAAGACCACACTAATTTATTTAGTTACCTCCTCTCAATCTCAAGACCAAGTGAAGAGTGGACTCCTTTTGAATATTGTAATCAGACAAGGTTCTTCCATCTTCCAATTGCTTTCCAGCAAAGATAAGTCTTTGTTGATCTGGTGGAATTCCTTCCTTGTCTTGGATCTTACTCTTAACGTTTTCAATGGTATCATTGGACTCAACTTCAAGAGTAATTGTCTTTCCGGTCAAGGTTTTAACGAAAATTTGCATACCACCTCTCAATCTCAAAACCAAGTGAAGAGTAGACTCCTTTTGAATATTGTAATCAGACAAGGTTCTGCCGTCCTCAAGTTGCTTACCAGCGAAAATCAATCGTTGTTGGTCTGGTGGAATACCTTCCTTATCTTGAATCTTGCTCTTCACGTTCTCGATGGTGTCGTTGGATTCAACCTCGAGAGTGATGGTCTTTCCAGTCAAAGTCTTGACGAAAATTTGCATACCACCTCTCAATCTCAAAACCAAGTGCAAAGTAGACTCCTTTTGAATATTGTAGTCGGATAATGTTCTACCATCCTCCAATTGCTTTCCGGCGAAAATCAAACGTTGTTGATCAGGAGGGATTCCTTCCTTATCTTGGATCTTACTCTTCACGTTTTCAATGGTATCATTGGACTCAACTTCCAAGGTAATGGTCTTACCAGTCAAAGTCTTGACAAAGATCTGCATACCACCTCTGAGTCTGAGGACAAGGTGAAGAGTAGATTCCTTTTGGATGTTGTAATCAGACAAGGTTCTACCATCTTCCAATTGCTTACCAGCGAAAATCAAACGTTGTTGATCAGGAGGAATACCTTCCTTGTCTTGAATCTTGCTCTTCACGTTCTCGATGGTGTCGTTGGATTCAACCTCGAGAGTAATAGTCTTACCAGTGAGTGTTTTAACGAAAATTTGCATCTTTACAGAGAGGCGCAGTAGTGTGTGATTTGATTTTTTTTTTGATTTGTATGAAGCTCGAGTATTTTTGGCCAACCGTTTTTATCGTTATTTGATTGGCGCGATTCCTTCTGTATTTTTAGAAGCCAATCATTTTTCGAGCCATCAACAGTCTGATTGAAGACAAAAAATCTCGCTGCTTATTTCAATCATAACGTGAATGGGTGACGTTGTGAATTCCTGTATCACAATTGGAATGAAGTATGGGAACAGAAACATGCAGAATCCAAACAATGTCCAACCTCTTTCTGATTTTTGGCAGTTTCTAAATTGAAATTCAATTCGTAATTGAACTTGTAGTAGAAAAATTAATGAAAGAGATTGTAGGTCATTTGAATCTTGAACCTCATTAAGGATGGTGAAAATTGGCTCTATCATTAAAATCTCGTTCCAAACTGATTGGGTGTACAACTCATTCCATGACTCTTTGTGACGACTGACAATTCATTTCAATACAGCATTTCTCCTTGTTTCCAAATTTGTTTTTAAATCCGTAATTCTCGTAATTTTCTCAATCGTCATCCTCTTGGAAATCCAATACAGGAATTGGCATGGCCATGAAAAACCCTCTTCCACTTTTCATAAAGAATGCAAACAAATCCCGAACCTCAAAATAATAGTGAACGATAAGAGAGCAATGTTCATCAATATAGTTTTCAAATTCTTCAAATTCTTCAAAAGTTGAATTATGAATGGCAAGTCCTTCTGTTGAAATGATGAATTTTTCAGTCTTTGAATGTGGGCATTCTAGGATATTCTGATACCTGTTGTCATGATGATTGGACACTGTATTATTTTCACATTGTTCCATCATGTCAACAATCATGTTCACAAATTGCTGATTAAGTTTCTCAATGACTTGTTCTTTCGAATGATTTGGATAATTTCGAGAGTAAAATACATCATCAGTTAACGTTATGGATCGTTTGTAGCTTTTCAATACATCCAAACCTTGACATGTTACAAAATTATTATGACATCCCATTTGTTGAGTCAATAGTTGGCTGATTCCTTCCTGAAATAAACTTGTACAATGTTCATTGCGTAAAGATTTCATCATGAGTGCAAGTAAACCAATACTTGAATACGGCTCAAATGAAAATTTCATAATTTTTGCTTTCCAATTTGGTATTTCATGATTTTGAATATTGTTAACATTCCATGTGAATAGTGGACTTGGAACAACATCCATAGCAGTTTCAATCCCGTGACCATGATGGTCATGACCATTCATCCATTGAATATGTTTTGGAATGGTTCGTTCCAGATATAATTTTCTCCAATCTTGTGATTTCTTCAATACACGATAACAGTGAAATTCATCCAAATGATGGGAATCCTTTTCGTTTTTGATCGTTCCGATAACAAGGCAAGCCCAAAAACTATTGATACAATGATCATTCTCATTTCCGAATCGGATTTGTTGTAAACAATAATTCCAATCTCGACAAACTAAACATAAATTTTGAAATTGAGAAATGATACGAGGAGGTGGTTGATGAAATTCGAGAACATGAACGAGAATGTGATGAATCCATATTTCGAGAGGGATGACGAGTCGATTCGTCCCATGACGTGTATTGAACATTTTTTTAATTTGGAACTGGGTCAACACTGGAATTTTCATCATCAATAATGCAGTTGACTGTTACAATTTTTTGGAATTATGATTACAAAGAAAAAATCTTAACACCATCGCATTGATGATGATGAAAATTCCTCACGAGATTTGGGTACATAACATTTGGATCTTTGTATTGGACTGGAGCGAGAGTCCTCAACAAACCCGATTTCAATTCAGTTCCTTATGCCGAGTCTGTAAAGCTTGGGCCCGAAGTTTGTTATCCATTGGTTCATCATCCTTGTCCTCTTGGGATTTAAATCATGATGTAAATCAAGATTGGAATTGTAGCTATTGGGCTGCGTTGATTGCTTCTACTATGAATACTGAATTAGCTTCATCATCATCATCAAAACGCTCATCGGAAGCTTTGAACAACTTGTTGAAAGACTCTCCCGATTGGAGAATATTATATTTGAAACGAACACTATCCATGAAGCCAGTAAATGAAATGGTCGTAACCATTGCACCACAACATTCATTAGCATTTGATGGAATCACTGGTTGTAATTATGTCAGCTATGGACAATCCTCGTTCTTTCATTTTAAAGAACCTGCTGCTCCTACTGGTTTACTCTTACTCTTAATGACTGAACAGAAAACGAATGTAGGAGAAGAATTGATGAATATGTTTAAGGAAGAAGTGAGCCAACCATTGGTGGAGCAACTGAATGAGTTTAATGAGAATGTTTTTTCATTATGTCAAGCGAAAGAACTTGTGAACATGTACAAGCATACCAATACGATTGCTATGGAGAATTTTTATCCATCCATTTATCCAAATCAAACACGTGAACAAGTGATTGAAGAATATGATCAAAATTTTATGAAATTTATCGTGCAATGCATTCGAAGGTGTGAAGATAATCTTGAAAGTGAGTTTGATGAACAAGCTGTGCTGAATGAAAACATGGATGGAACAGTTAAAATGACGTTTGAGGAATTTGAGGAGTTTGTCAATGAGCATTGCCCATTAATCATTCAATATTCTGCATGGTTTGACATCATTTATTCATATGCGTTTGCAATCTTTACAAAGAATGGAAAAGGATTTATGTTTACGTTTTGTGCAGCTGATTAAGAGTTGATCATGTACATGAACTTCTTAATAATATTAGAACAATTGAAAATTTGCCTCCTGTTAAAGTATACTTTTGGTAAGACATAGTGATGATCTTTTACTGTAATTTATCCACCAAGACAACAATAAATCTAGAAATAATGAGTTTATTCTACCACACGTGTTAGTAGACATTGATACACCAATCCCCTTCAAACTCAATTCATTTCTAACCATCGCACTATGGTAGTCATTGGAGTCTTGAATAAACTCATATGTAACCACAAGCCTCACGGTAAAAGATTTGGTCAATGATCAACATCGACATGGTGTAAGCCTCCTAAAGGCTCTCAACACCTGTATCAATAGTGACGTCACTAGTGATACCAATTAGGATCCCATCACAGTCAGAGACACTTAGATAATAGGGTGCAAAAACGTATCCGTTTTCACAACAAAAAACCCTTCCCCTGTAAGAGGAATGGATGTTTGCCGTCTCCTACATGCCTTGGGTCGTTGACCTTAAAAAAAAGTGTGACAAATTTCTACACGATTTCATTGTTTAATTAAAACCAAAGTTCTTTGCTAGTCGATGCATGAAGAGGGTACACAAAATTACTCGGTATTCTGTAACAAAGAAATATGATTATTACCAAGATGGATTGTTGTTCAAATCAAACCTTTCTTTTTTAAACATGCTTAATTCATCTCAACCGCTGAATTGTCATAGTTCATCATCCACAAAAACTGTACAGAATTCAGTTAGTCGTTTTTTCAACGGGTTAAACATCACAATGGCCTGGAACTTCATGTTATTGGGGTTACTGTTACAAATGAGTTGCATCCGCAATAGGCCAGAAGGATATACGATATGAACTTGGCAAATTCCATGAGACACATCTTTTTTGATTTTATTTGGTACAACATATGAAAATTGTGTGACACACAGAGAACAAACTATTTCCAAGTGAATGTTTCTTCAGAGAATACCAACGTTCAATAATTTAAAAAAAAACAGCAAGCAACAACAACAACAACATGCCAGTAACGTTTCAAGTGACCAAAACACCAGAGCAAACTTTGGAAATTAAGAAAGCATTTACCACTAACTGCATTCTTCCAACAGAAAATGCTTCTCAATACACACTCATCCAAAGTAGTTTACCAACTCATCTTCAACAAGATGAAAAGAATGAAAGTCTTTGTCATATGGGGGCTCATTCCTTCGTTATGAGTGCCTTTCAATCATATTCTTCTCATCATCATCTCATTATTAGACCAGATGATGTTTGGTTGGCCATTTGCACACAATTTTCTTTGTATGTCAATGCTCACTCTGAAGAATTGAGATCAAAATTCGTTGATTTTGAAGGTAAAAAACAACTCACAGTCATTGGAGATGGAACATTATTTACAGCAAATTATGAAGAGTTGAGTGCTCAAATGACTTTTGAAATTGCAAAGAATATTAAAGATCCATCTGTTAGAGAATGGATCATGCCAGATTTTACAACCACAAAGGATGTCGATCGAATGGTTGGTGCTGTGGTCTTGATGGCATCCATGAAACAATATTTTGACTACCAATTTGTGTTGGTGTGTAATTTACCAAAAGTTACCTTATTAGGACAAGTTGAAGATTGGGTCAAGGTCAGAGAGAAGGCCAACAGATTGCTCGAATTTGATTTGAAACAAGGTTACTTGACTGAATGGTCTAAAATGCTCTTCCCAGTTCTTGATAAATTAGTTCAGAGTGCCAAAGGTAAACCTGATTTATCTTTCTGGAATCGAATTGCACACAAAGATGGAGGTGGTAGTGGTCCTTCCTATCTCTCAGGTTGGATCACTGTATTTTGTGTGTTCACTACGAAGGGAGAATGGGTTGGTGGAAAGAAGAGTGTGGAAACTGGATCAAAAACTGTTAAAAGTGAATATCCTATTGTGGATATGAGTGTGGTTCCAAATGGATATGTCAGTGTTCCTATGTTGGTTGTTGACAGAGGAGTCAAATATGAAACTGAATTGTTTGCTGGACATATGTGTGCTCATAACGGAGAGAATGGAAAGAGTTTGCAACCTAGAGTGGATTGGGCCTTATTCCTTTCTCCAACTAGCGAGAACAAGTGAAAAGAATCTTAATACTGTGTCTGACCTGAATGACTGCTCTCCGATGCATCAATTTGAATGGTCAATAATTAAAAACGCAAAACCTTTGATTACATTCTTTCACGATCAATGGATGTTTTGAGAATTTACAAGCCACCATAGTTCAGGAATATGAGTTTTGTGAAAGTATCTCAGATGAAAGTACTTCATGAAATCTCCTTCACTGAAATTTATTGCAACAAGAGCCTTTTTATTGTTCTATCTCTTGTTCGCTTCACAGCAATGTTTTTTTGATGACATTTGACAATTATCTCCTTTGAATTGTCGTTGTGCATGCAAACACACTAAAAAAATGTTTCAATCAGCATCCTCATCCTCTCCAGCACTAGGTCCTCCCACAGTCAACATCAACAGACGACTGTCAGGAGTCACAGCCCCAACTTCACCAGAATTGGAAGGTACTTCGACCGATGCTTCACTCATGATTGAAAGTGTCAACAAGATGGCACAACAAGTCTCTGATACACTATTAGTGAGATTAATAGGAGCTTCTGATTTGGTTCCGATGGATAAGAATGGACTTTCTGATCCCGTAAGTGTCATCTTTAAATTTTTAAATACAAAATATATTATTATTAAATTGAAAATATTTCATAATTCTCATCATGACATTGTATATATTTAATTGCCATCATGTTGAATACATTTTCAATCGTGGCATTACCAAAACTTGAACATTCAATTTTCAAAATAATTTTCAAAAACATTCCAACAACAACAACAACAACAGTACACCATTCTGAGTTTTGCCAACATGAACAACAACTCTCTCGAATCATGGCTCACCGTCAAAACTTCAATCAAGAAAAAAACTCTCAATCCCAATTGGAATGAAACCTTTCAAATTTCACTCACAGAACAATGGATGAAAAGCATTCCGAGTCCAAATACTAAATCTCCGACCTCTCCACCGAGTATGATGCCAATGATGGCAGGTACTAATTTTGATTCTTCTAGTAATTTATTTTCAACATCGTATTTGAGTTTTAAAGTGATGGATTGGGACAAGTTCAGTAGGTAAGTGTGAAATATTTATTTTTTGAATAATTATGGTGTGAATGATGTTATTATTGAATAGTGACGATGAAGAAGGAGATTTTGTATTGAAATTGAATTCAATTCCTGATTTTTCAGATGCTTCAGTGAGTATGACATTGAATCATGCTGAACATGGAGTGTTAAATGTTGGATTTAAATTGAAATGTACTCCACGTCCATCGTTGAATGAAATTTTGCTAGTGAAACCTGTGAAACGAGCAGATTTTGTGAGATCGACTCGAAATTCTTGGTTGACAGGAACGGTGATTTATCCATTAAGTCCATGGGAATTGGTTCCTGAAATGCATCGAGTTTGGGAAAAGGCTCAGGAAGATTTAATTGACATGCTCGATTCTCACAATAATGTCACAGATAGTGACAATGGTAGTAATAATAACAATAGTAGCGGAAGAATGTCCAGAAGATTCTCGTTGAGAAGAAACTCAAAGAATTTAACTCAAAAATTGTCAACTGTGTTAGCAGGAGAGAATTTTCCAAAATGGAAAGAAGAACGTTCGAATAGTTCCGCAACGGTGACACTTTCGACCGATGCAGAATATTATTTTTTGGGAAATCCATCCATTGTCGATCGAGTTTTTGTTCAATTATTGGTTGGTTGTCACGAAAATCAAATTTTCCAAGACATTTTAAATGGATTAGAAAGAGAGTTGAAAATTACCAATGTCAAATACAACGATGAAGGCATGCAACAAGTTCGATCCAACATTCGACGAGAAGAAACAAATTCTCGAAAGAATTTTCTAGTCATGTCCATCGTTGCAGATCTTGACATTAGAGATTCCATTGCAAAACTTGATGGAAAAATACCAAAATCTCTACAACCTCAATATCCTCCAAAAGTGAATGTTGAAGGTTTAATTTATGTGCTCGATATTGGATGTCATGCAAAATTACTCTATGTTTACATTTCAAATTGTGGAAAGCCAAACATTGTGCCATTTATAGAACTTGTTGGAAATTCAATTCCTTCCTCATCGAGTACCTTATTCGAATCTCTGTATTTAGATTTGGATGATTCCTTGTGGGTGAAATGTCCTTTCGGTTGGGAACATCATGAATCTGGAGAGAAAACAAATTCCTATCTCATTTCTCCAATTCAAAAACGAGCATTCGAAGAAGGAAAATCATTTTGCATTGATCGATTCGCCATGAAGAAATTGGACATTCTCGTTCCCGAAGTCACTGAACATATGTTGTCCAACATGTGTCAAGCCAAGTTAGATTCTGTCATGAATTCACACAACAAGTGTGAAATTAAGAAACCTGTTGAGAGACGAGTATTTATCAATTCGAGTAAGAAGGAAATTGTCACGTTCATGTTTGAGTTAGAATATGATTTGAAAGATGATTCTACAGCTACTGTGAATCGAGTGACACATTTGGAAACTTTGATCAATACGACTGGAAGTTGTGTGTGGTCCTTGTCCTATCTGTCGAATTTAGAGTCGGGATATCGTGCACTTTTTGAAACGATTATTTCCGAAATTAAGACTGCAGAATATTAAGGAGGGTGGTGGTGTGAAATTGACAAGTGACAGAACGAGACTTTAATTTTTACAATTTTCAATTTGAAATAGATTGACACTAAACTATTGTTATTCATTACCAACGACCATATTCTCTTCTTGTTTCAACAAGGCATTTCTAAACGCAATACAACAATTTTCATAACCATCAGGATGATGATCCATAATATATGGAACTGAAACTTTTCCAATGAAATCTAAAACTCTCTTGATCCATGGCTTTGGAGGTTCTCTCACCTCAACCTCTAAGAGAGTTTCCATTGGAGGTGCTTGGTTCACAGCCATATGCATCGATGAGCCCTCTTGTGGTACCAAAGCATTCATAACTTTTAAGGAATATAACTTTCGATCATCATCTTCATGGGATGACAACTTTTTAAATTGAAAAGCTTTTCCAATGTGAAAATAAGGTCTTGGACAGGAACCATCGGTCATGAAATTTAAGAATATCCTCAAAGTCTTGGTCACACAATTTTGAGGAGTTTCAAACGTATCTGGATTGTTTGGATCGTAATTGGGTAATTGAGGAACCACGTCATGGTCATGCACAAATCGAAACGTTCTCTTTCCAATGATTTTTGAGGCATGTTGACGACAAGCTTCATCATTGAATACGCGAGGAGCACCAAAGGTATAGACACCTGCCAAATGTTTTCGAACATCAATGAAATTCATGGAAGATGGATGTAATTGTTGTTGCTGTTGTTGCAGTTGTTCTGAAATCATTTCCAACATGAAACTGAACACACTTGCCAATCCACCACCTAACGAATGACCACAAATAAAGATGGACTTGTTTTCTGTTCGTTTTTGGAGAACCTTGCACAAATGAGCATATATTTCAATGAGGCAACATTTGGAACTTTGTTTAAAATCAAACACTTCCAATGCGTCTAAAAAACCTGAATGAGCCATTGCCACTTTTAGATGATCCAAATTTAGGTAATTACTGGATGAGGTAGGAGCGAGTGGACGCATTCGAAACAAACGATCTGTGCCCCAATCACGAAGGTTGAAGGGTTCTGTGCCTCTAAATACCACAATGATATGATGCAATGTTTCAATGATGAATGCTTGAGTGTCAATGACAGAAATGAAATAATAGTTTGGATGGTCTGGATCGGTATTGATTGGTATGCCCCAGGAACGTTGTAAAACATTTTGGATGGTTTCATTAGGTTCATAACTCAAACGGGCAAGAGAAATTCTATAATTTTACCATATTTGGAAAAGATGAAATTTGAATTACAAATTAAAAAACTTACAACACGGAAGCATTGGTCAGCACTTCACTCGGAGTCAACCTCTCCTTCTTCTCATCTTGTCCAATAAGATCATCGAGCTCTCCAGTCTTGTTAAATTCTTGAGAAATGACTCCCAATGCACTGAATTTCAAACGTCTCCGAGTGAATAATTCTTGTTTGACAGCACTTGTCCAACGTGTCACAATTGTGAGAAGGCTCCAACAAGGAGACACGACCAAAGCCAGTGCATTGATCACAGCTTTTAACACGATTCGAAACATTTTTTTTTAATTCAAAGGTGTTGTTGTTCGGACCTGGAATTGTTGTTGGACTTGGGTTTCTCACTTTTTCAACGTTTCCTTGTTTGGTTGTTAACATTCATACATTTTAATATAAATTCCATTTTTAACGTGAAACTTGGAAAGTCAATGAAACTTGTAAATTCAAAAATTCACACCAAATTATCCTTCCAATTTGTTGTTTTTCTGTTTTGATAATAAAATTACAATAACAGCAGTAAATGATTTGTAAATGGTTAAAATATATTTTTATAATGTATATTCAAAGTAAAAATATAATTTGAAAATCCATGAAATAAATTCATGAACGATAGATCTATTCTCTACAACCATTTCAACCAATTAATCAATTCCTGAAAACTCAATTGCCCATCTCGATCACTATCAATATATTTCACAGCTGATTCCACTTCCACCATTTGAGCACTATAATTATTCCATAATTGTCGATAGAATGGAGCAAATTCCTGAACACTCAACACTCGATTCTTACTCGTGTCATAATTTTTAAATAAATTGGCACAATACGTCAATCGATACAATCGTTCGGAATTTTCCGGATTTGTAACCATGTCTTGATCTTGAGCGACAATGGTGCACCAATAATTGAAAAATTCATCAAAGCTGATTTTTCCATCGGAATCCTTGTCCATGTACATTTGAATGGCTCCGAGATGATCATCTGTGAAATTAATTGTTAAATCTTGAACGAAAAGATTTTTTAATTCGGACATGTTCATCGAGTTGGAGGAATCTCGATCGTACTTTTTGAAGAGAGAATGGATGACTTGTTTGTTGGTGCAGTGAGTGAGACTGGCCATGATGATGATATTATTTTTTAATGTTGATGTTTTGAAATTTGACAGGTGTTGGACACAGAAATCATTCACATTAGATAATTATGAGTAATGAAGAATAGAAACCCGAGGTAAAAAGATCATGAAAATGATCGGAATGCTACTTACAAGAAAATTGCACAAATTTGGACATTGGCTAAAATTCCTTAAAATCTATGATCATCTCGGGTCACCACAAAGACAAATATTACAATTATTCAATAATCTCAAAATTGAAAAAAGGAATATACAAGAATCTTTAAAGATTCAATAGAAAAAAATTGGAAAAGATTCAACCGAAGTTTTTCAATCACCCTCTTATTTTCCATTATTTCCATCTTATCCATACAGTTAAATATATATTTATACCCCCAATTTATTGTATTATAACAACTTCCGACTAGAAGAAGAAGAAGAATTAATTCTCATCATCATCCCTTCTCCGTTTCATTTGAATTCAAATCTTAAAAGATATAAACAAACCCATCATGTCTGCAGAGCCTCTCTTTAAATGTGATCATAGTGATGATCCTGATTTTCCGAAGAGTTTTGAGTTTCTTCAAACAACCTCTCCAACGAATCCTCATGCTAAGAATTTGCTTGGAAAGGAAATTACAACACAACACAAGTTGGTGTTTTTCCAACAAGTGATTGATCTTGTGAGATATGTATTATGTTGGACTCCATCATCGGGTATGTTTTAATGATCTTTTTCATTGTTGTTGATCTGTAATTACAATGAATGAACTTTGCTGATTATGATGGTTATTGAAATGAATGGATCCATCAATTTCCATTGGAAATGTTGGATGATGATTCATTTAGATTCGGGAAAACAAACAGCCTATGAAGAACTCTTTGGTTCCGAACCTGAATTGAATCCTTTCAAGAATTTATTGTTTGATGAAAAAATTAGTTTGTTGAGCGGAGTGAGAGAATATATTAAGGAACATCCTGATAGTGTTCAATTGGATCATTCGGTCGTGGTGGAGGACTCTAGTTTATATGAACAAGAATTGTATGACAAGCCCAATGAAGATGTTTCTAAAAATTTTGCAAAATTGAACATTCATACCAATTTGAAAGATGGCAAACACAGTAGTGAATCGTTCTTGCAAAATGTCAAGAAGAATGTCTTTGGTCTCTCTGCGGAGGAGTATTTATTGTTGAGAAAATCTGTTCATTTGTGCAATACGGGAATTTATTTATTTATTCGAGGTTGGGATCCTCAATGCACCACAGGAACTCCTCAACGAGTTGCTAAACTCATTGTCGATAATATGGCATGGCGATGGATTTACACTCCAGAACTGACCAAGTGGGATGACATTGTTGAAAGTGCAAAATATGGATCTCTCTATGATTATGGATTTGATCTTGAAGGAAATCCAATGCTTTACATGATTGTTGGAAGAGAAAATTTGAAAACCAAAATGGATGATCGAGCATTAATGTTACGTTTTCGTCACTTGTGTCTCTGCTTTGAACATATGGTCGATCGACTCTATGATGGTTCCTCTCAAAACTATCTCGGCAAGGATGAGAAGGATCATTTAGGCCAAGCTCCGTTCCAAATTACTTGGGTTGTTGACATCAAAGATAGCTCGATTAATATTGACTTGGTCAAGAAGATCAAATTCATTTTTGATTTGCTTGGTTTCTATTATCCTGAACGTTCTGAGCTTGTGTTTGTCATGAACGTGCCATGGTACGGAAAAATGTTGTGGGCAGTAATTTCTCAATTTTTGACACAGAGACAACGAGATCAATATCAATTCTTATCAGATCCTTACATTTCAAGACTCACGAAATCGATTGATCCCAAATTCATTAGCTCTGACTTGAACATTTCAGGAATTGGTGCTGGCACTGATTCAACCTATACATTTAACATTCGGAATAGAATGAAAAAGTACAGTGGAGAGCGTGTTGTGAAATGGATTTAACATTTTTTGTAAATTTTGATATGTAAATATTTCATAATGAGAGAAATAAATTATTAGATGAGAGAAGTGTATATTCTTTAGATTGTTGTTCTAGTTTGTCAATATTTGAAATACCCATGTCACAATTACATGAATACTGAATTAAATGACACATTCGTCCTTCTTCGTGGTGAGGAAGGTGCTGTGGATTGACTGGATGCCCGATCCAGTAGTGAATTCATCGACCGACTGGTTGTTGTTGTCGTTGTCGTTGCACTTTTGGAAGGAGTCGAATCTGAAAAGAAAGAAAATAAGGGTTTTGAAAAAAATTTTGTCGAAGATCTCGTTCCTGACAACATCATGAGAGAACTTGGAGAAGTAAGAGTGGTAGTAGAAGTTGTTGGCGTCGTCGTTTTCGTCATAGAATTATTAACTTGTGAAATGTTAGTTTTTTGAAAGAAATCTGTAAAATCTCGTAAACTTTCATAAATACTTCTGCCCGAGTTATTTTTCGAATGAATATCCACTCGTGAATCTTCCCATAGCTTTGAAATAATTTTCCTTAAATTTTGTTTTTTGTGTTTGTGTGAAATTTGAAGAAATGATTTTGTGCCCTTGTTGGCAGCATTGTAAGGACTTGTACCTTTAACTGTTAATAAATCTCCATTAAGCTGTTTTTGTTGCAACAATTCTGAACTTGTATTTTTCGATTTTGAAGCATTTTTCAAATGTTGATGAACTTCGATCAATGATGAAACTGCAGAGTGTAATGGAGTTTCTCCCTTCCTATTCTTAATTTGGAAAAACATGAAGGTTGAATCTATTGATGATGAATCTTGCATCTGATTTTTCAAATTTTGTTGTTGTTGTTGACGCATCTGTGACAAATTATTGAAATCGTTCCAACTGTCAACATTCACTTCTCTAAATATTTCAAAAATTTGTAAAAAAATTTCAACAATCTGAACTTGTCCCGTTCGACAAGCTATATGAAACGGAGTGTCTCCTTCAAAATCCTGAGCAATCATCAACTCGGAAATTTCACCATAGCCCGCCATGAGTGTGAAAATTCGAATAAAATCACAACAGTCATGAAGAGCTGCTAAATGAAAACAATTTCGTTTGTTGACATCGGTTTGAGAGGAAAGATGAAGTTTGGAAAAAGTATCCATAGGTAGGGTTTCAGGAAGGTTATTGTCATGGGTGGTTAGAAGTGATGGTTGTTCTTTTTGAGAATTACTAGAATTGGTGATTGAAAGATTGCTATTTTTGGAATGATTGGATGAATATTCAATTTCTTTGGAAATTAAATAAGAGAGAAAATACAATCGATTCCAATGTTGGTGTTTGTTTTTTGGAGACTTGTCTTGTTCATCTAGCAATAATCCTTCCAAAGAAAAATTCTGACTTTCCAAATTTGGAGAATTTTCAATATCCCAAGAAGGAAACAATCGACTCGGAGAATTCAAGGTCGAAACAGGTGACACCTGCACCACGACAGCGGTACCAGACGACGAAGAAGCTCTTGTCCATTTCGCCACTTGTTCTTCTTTTTCATCTTTTGAATAACATTTGATCGCGTACAATAAAGGAGTACACTTCAATTGATCCAATGAATGTAGAATTGGATTTCGATGTGAATTTTGTTCCAAAATTAGTTTCAATCCCTTCACGTTGAAGTTCTCGACAGCAATATGAAGGAGGGATTGTGAATTTCCAGTTTTTTTCAAGTTGATACATTGAGGTTGATAATCAATAAGAGTTTGTAAAATTTCAAAATGTGAATTTTGCATGGCTAAATGTAAAGGAGTATTTCCAAAAGTGTCTTTCATGGAAATAATGTCAATTTTAGATGTTATACACAAGCTTCGATGTAAGCTTAATAGAACTGTCACGGCTTTGAAAGCTCCTGACATGCAAGCGTAATGTAAAGGAGTTGATAAATTGTTATCGAGTACTGAAAATGCATCGGCTCCTCCTCCATAGCGAATTAAAAACGCAACTAAATTAGGATAATTATATTGACACGCTCGATGTAAGAGTGTAGGACCTCGCTTGTCACTTGCCAAATCTCGCATTTCTTGTAAATTTAAATATTGAAGAGTGGATAATTCCAATGCTTGTTCTTGTTGATTTTTTTGAATTCCATAAAACTTTGATAGTTGTTGAATCACGGTCCATTCCACATTTTTGTAAAATTTCACAAATTCCGATTGATGAGAAATAATTTGTTGATGAATTTGTAATTCATCCGAATCGATTCGTTCTTGTTGGAAAACTAGTTGACCAATATATTCACTCATATTCAAAAAGGATGATGAAGGAGGAGAAGATTTTCTAGTTTCTGTTGTTGCTGTTTGCGTGGATGTCGTGACGATTGGAACAAAATGATTGTCAACAGTCAAGACATCACTCACGGCTTGATTGGTCTCTGTCGATGGATGGAAACTATTCGTTCGACCTTGAGACAATAATTCAAACCATCGTGCAAGAATATTCTCTTCCGAAACAGACGAAGAATGGCTTGTCATTTGTATTGAAATTTCAGAAATGTCATTATTACATGTTGATGCATGTGTTGTGGAAAATCTCATCGGAAATTGTAAAATGTGAAAATTATTGTAATGCACTTGATGAAATGGTTAAATGTTCGGAACGAGTTAGATGCCAGTGAGAGGAAGAAGAGAATTGGTTGGGTTGGTTGTTGTTCTATTTTTTTAGGGGAATTTTCGAAAATTGATTATGATGATTAATGACAGTTGTGGTATTTTCAATGATCAAAATAGAAAGCTCGAGGTAGATTTGGTAAGAAATAATCGATTATTTCATTCGTTGAAAAGTTTATACAAGAATTATGTCTTTGGTTATATAAATTAAGAAAGTCGTTACGTTTCTTGTTGTTGCTTGCACACTGCTGACTGTCAATTGTCAACGTTGTACTCATGAATAGTGAAAGTATTACTTTCAAAAAAGATGAGCAAACCATTAAGATGTTAAGGTACCCTCTCACGAGATCCGTGTTTAATTTTTCAAACTTTTCTTTGAATTGGAAAGCATGAAACCTGTGCTGTAACAAGTTCCATCATCAGATATTCTTGTAATTGTCTCATATTCCATAAAATGATCATAAAAATACTTGAAAGTGGCAAGTTCCTATCAAGTACTGTTTCGTTCTCATCAAAGCATTCAACGATATAACCTTCTCAATTCTAAATATGTCCAAATCTTTGAGAGGAAAAGATTTTTCAAAGTTGAGTCAAAAACCAATCAAAGAAAAGTTGCAGCAACGAATCCATAACAACGGCCTCAAAAAAAATTCACAACTGGAACCTGCAAGATTGCACAAGTTCAACAAACAAATTCACACTGGACCACCTCTTTAAACATGACACGTTTTGTCTTGTCTTGTCTTGCACTGTGCCTATGGTTAACTGCCACTTGTCAAAGCCAACAATTATTATTTTCGAGTAGTACTCAAGGACAATTCGGACAAACCTACACAGCCAACTACAACCACAATGATTTTACCTATCAAACTTCTCCGACGACCTCTTTACAAGTCACTTTCACACAACCTTCTCTTTCTCCAGCTTTTATCCCATTCCAATTTTCCACTAAACAATTGTCAGTTTCGGATTACAAAAATTTTGATTATCCCAGGACTCCATTTCCTTCATTGACCTTGCTAGCAGTGTATGAAGTGGATACTTTTCAACTGAATGGACAATATCCTTCTGATTTGAGAATTCAAATGACATTTTCATATCCACAAGGAGTGATGAACCTCTATGCCAATTCTTTTGAATTATCTATATTTAGTAATTCTCAGCAAAGATTTGGCGATACAGCTGTTCGTGTGGAATATGGAAAGAAAGTATATTTTGAACAACCTCTTGCTATTGCACCATTTGGAGCGCCTTTGATCATTGGTCTGTTTGCTTATCAAGTTGCTCCTCAATTTGGTGAGTTTTATCAAGTGGCAGGACCAAGTCAATATGAATTCTTGTTAGATTCGAGTTTGTCACAAACATTGACCATGGTATTTCCATCTCCTTCTCAGCAACAATTTCCAGGATATTATGGTCCTAAATTTCGATTGGATAAAACCAAATCGTTTTATCAATCGGTTCCAAATGGATATATTGCATTGCAAGGACTTCAATATACTCCTGCAGATAATGCGAATCAACCTGTGGCCAATAATTTCTATTGGAATTTTAAATTTTCTTCCAGTTTGGGATTTAAGGATATTTATGGAAATAAGGTCAATATTAATCCAAATACTTTGACCTGTGTGTGCTTGGGCTCTAATCAAGAAGCTGTCTTTGCGCAACAAGCACTTATTTCTGTTGATTCATTGAAATGTGGTTTTGGAAATTCAATTTGTTCTCCAATGGCCATTGTTGGAAAAGTTTACACCAATCCTTCGAACAGTGTAAAACCCATTCCAAGTTCTTCTTTCGTGTCAAAGAATGAAACTCAGCAACTTGAGAAAACCATTCAAACCTTGTATGGAATTGCAATTTCAGCTCTTGTCTATGCGATTGTGGTTTCCTTGTGTTTGGTTGTGGCAGTGATTGGAGGTGTTTGTTTTGTGTATCGAATGAATCGTAGAGAATATGTCAGAATTCAATAATGATCGATTGGATCATTTCAATGGGAAGTGTTATTAAATAATATCAAATTGGCATGAAATTTGGATCAAATGGATTTACCACTCAAGTAACTTTGCTGAAAACATTCTCAAGGGTTGTTCCGCATCTACACCACACGTAAAAAATGCCTTCTTCTCCGATTCTGAGGATGGGAGTTGTGTCTTCCTCTCCAGGCTCATCATCGGCTCGTTCTTCGGAAGCACAAAATAAAGCGGTCCATGTGATTGTTGAGGAGGAAGATCATCATCAACAAGAACGACATGATAAAGATCATCAGCATGAATATATTGTCATCAGCTCTCAAACCGAAGAGTATGAAGATGATGAGGTTGTAGAGTCGGAAGTGGTGGTGATGGATCATCAAGTTTCGGAACCACACAAACATCACGTGATTTCATCTCCAATTTTAATTTCGGAAGAGAATTTTAACTGCAACTCTAATTTCGATTTTGAAAACAACATGTACCATATCTTATATTTTTGTAACACTCATCATTCTTCAAAGAAAGTTGGATCTGACTCTACCGTATCCACCATTAATTCTCCCCATGCAACTTTTAAAAAACTTAATTTTCGAAATTTGTTAAATGATTACATGATACGGAAAATGTACTGCTCCTCCTATGTCCTTATTGAAAATTCAAAAGGTGATATCTATGAATGCACTCCAATGACAACTTCCGATATTGGATCAGAATTACAAAAATTGAAAAAGATTAATTTTCCATTCATACCAAGAGTTACATCAGAGGGCAAAGGAGTTTCACGATACTACATCTCAGCGAGTAATGAAATTTGGAGCGCTCACGGTTCTTCAAAATTCAACAAAGAGCCTATTGAAAAGATTCCGAAGATATTGAGAATTTTTGTGGGCTATGGTCATTCTGCATTATTATCTGAGAAGGGTATCTTTTTAAAATCAGCAAATGCGTCTCAATTTGCATTTTTTGACATTGGACCACTAGGGGAAATGGAAAGGATTGAGGACATTCAATTTGGGCTTCAACATTTCGTTATTTACAAATCAAATTTGGGAAATACAAATTTAGGAAAGTTAATACTTTGTGGAAATAATGATCTAGGTCAACTCGCTGCTGAATCCAGAATTTTAAAGGCGGAAAAGCCTATTGTAATCGATTGGAGCAAGGGAAGAGTGAAAAAAATCGATTGTTTAAACTGTACTTGCGTGTTGACAGAGTCGGGAGATTTATATGTGACAGGTATGGTAGTTTATCTTTCATTTTTGGGGTATTTTACAATGTATTCTTGCTGTCGTATTTTATAATGATTCTTCAACTAATCAGGTGAAAATGCACATGGAGAACTTTCTGTCGGAGATACAACAAATCGCTTTGGGTTTGTGAAAGCGAACTCACCTTCTCCGCTCATTGATTTCGCTTGTGGAAAGCACATTATGGTTGCCTTGTCAACTTTGCACGAGCTTTTTGTTTGTGGAGATAACAAATGGATGAAACTTGTTTTACACGGTACAGAATGCCCGGATAAAATCACAGAATTTATCAAGATCAATATACCTCGAGGATTTATCATGAATAACATTTCATGTAAAGATGATTGTGTCATGTTATATAATGCCTCTCAACACTACGAAGCAACTGTTTTGCAACACGGGCAAGCCATATTACGAAAGTTTCCTCATGACCATGTCAGCTCACTAGGTTGCCCAATTTTTTTGCCCCTACTAGAAAAGATGGCACCCAAACTGTGTCGCCTCAGTATTGGCTCTTCATTTTTACCTTTATCGAGCATGGCAGCAGACGAAAAGAGAATGCTTATACTTGTGGTTCATTCATTGCTTTATAATTGTCAGCATGACTTGTATTACTGCGAAAATACCAATGATCTTGTCACTGCATTATATATTCTAAGTTTGATCAATGGAGAGTTACAAGATATGGCTAATATTCTTCTCGATTCGATTCAAAGGAGAATTTCTTCTTGGAATATTTTACACTTACTAGATACCGTTTGTGCATATTTGGAAAAGCTGAAGCAATTCATGAAATCATCTCAAGCTAATAATTTTATTCAACTCAAATACCTAGAAGCGTTACGAGAATATTTTCTTGACTGTATCAAGTGCAATGAGGACAATGAAAATTTTGACAAGAACAAGTTGCAAAAATACCTGCCCAACCTTTGGCAACGAAAACCAAAAAACAAAATTCATGCAATAATTGGTGATGCTAAAACCACGACGTTGAAGGATGCTTTAGTTTCATTGTTTTATGATCCAATTCATGCGGATCTCGAAGTATTTTTGACTCTGTCGAGCACGGTAAAGCTGCACAAAACTGTTCTATTTTCTGGAATGACCAAATTACAGAATATTCTTGAGAATTTGGACCCTAGTATCATGTCAGAAAATGGTACGGATTGTTCCATTACAAATTTATTTTTCTTCCTGATATTTGAACCTATTAAGGAGGGCATTTCTCAAGGCGACCATGAGATGGCAGAGAATGAATTTGGAGATTTGTGTCAACTGCTTTTGAAATTTTGCTATGGAATTTTTGAAAGGCAAAGTATTACAGAACGAATGGTCATTCCATTGCTTCCATGGCCAATTATTTGGGAATGGAATTATTAACTCATGTTGTGTGTGACATTTTTGCTGAAACCATGACTGTGGAGAATTTTCTACAACGCTCTCTGTGGTTCACCAAAGAAATGAACGAGTCCAACCCACATGTCACTACTGCCGCACAATTAGGAGAAGTGATTATTAATTTTGGATCCGAGCATGCAAAGCAAATTTTGAGCGAGTATCGAGAGGAAGATTGGGAGCACGTCTCAGCTGTGTTATTGGTCAAGATGTTTAAAAGAAGCAAATGGAACAAGTAAGGCCAGCAGCAAATCGAGAGATTTCTTTGGCGCCATAAAAAAACTATCAAAAAAAATTAATGCTTCCTAACGGTTATTATTATTTGTGTCATCATTGAAAGATTGAATCATCACGGGTTATAGAGCTATTTGCTCGTTCATCAAAAGACAAAGAAATTAAGAAGTTTTTATTGATTTGTAATAATACCACATTGTCCAATGATACAACGGCCGGCCAGTGCAGGTCCCACTCGCAAACAACAAAAAACTCCCTCCGATGATCTCTCAACGACATCCGACTGTGGTTTCAATCATAACAATATTGAAAGTGGTCAATTAGTACTTTGTACAAAGAGTATCAAACAAAAGAAGGTACCCTCTACCAATTACATTGACTTGACGAGGGAATTGGCACGAGATGCTCCATTGTTTGAACAACAGCAACAACAACAACAACCAAAATCAGCTAGGACCATCTCCAGCACAAGCAGACCTTCTTCTGCATCTAGCGTGAATCGGATCTATCGAAATACGAACACACATCACAAAGAATTGGATAAGGAAAAATCATTTCTTAGAATTTCCACATCACCCTTACCTTTTTCAAGACCAACTAGTGCATCTCCGAGCATTCGGCCAGCATCTGCTCTCAGTGCACGAAGTAATACCTCGTCCGTGGTCTCTATTGCAAAGAATAGCAACACGAGTATTTCAGGAGTAAGCAAGAAAACCTTTCGAGGAATTATTGAGCAAAACTACTTGACGAAAAAGAAGGGCCGAGCACCCTATCATATTGATTATTCATTTAATGAAGAAGATGAGGAAGACGACGATAACTCGGATGCCGTTAATGTCACTAACTATGGTCATAATAACAAACAACAAGTTAGCACGAAGAGAGCAACACGACCACGAAGTGCATCCTCTACAGGAACACAATCGTCGAATAGACCTTGGTCAGCATCTTCTGTAACCTCGACCCGAAGAGGTTCAAAGAAGAGTAGAATTACTACAACTGAAACACCGTCCTCCTTACTAGATAATCCAACTACTGCTGCACTAACTACACCACCTACCTTATCTCATTATTCTCTTCCAACAAGCTCAAGTATCCAGAAACGAGTTGACAAACCTCCTAACACTGTCGATCGGCAAAACAAGTTCAATACTAGTTCAACTACTGCATTGCAACAACATAGGGCACAAGCGTCTCCATCTGTCTCATCTCTGAAAAAGACAAATTCCAAGAATGATATTTTCTTGACACGAACTGTCTCTTTCAAATCCATTTGTGATAGGAGCTGTGAAAGTGAGAGCGAAACAGATAGCGACGATGAAGAGGACATTATTATTTCAGAAATATCCAAAGAGCAACCAAAGCTCCTCTCGAGAACAGCCTCAGTCACAAGTGTAGGCTCCTTACAAAAGTCAACCACTTCTGACAGCAAACAGCACTCGTTATCTAGAACTAATTCTTCCACGAGTATCAACTCGTCTTCGTTGCAACGAGTAGAATCTAAGAAATCTCTGACCATCTCTGTAAATAATACCCCTACCGATACCCCTACCAACAAGGATCATGCTTCCAAGAGCAACAGCATGACCAAATCAGTATCTTCCCCACTATCTAAAAACTCACCTAACATGTCAAGCTTTAAAAAGTTTTTTGGTTCACCTAGAGACTCTGATTTCAGCTTTGGTGACGAATCGGATTCATTTATTGATGAGTTGAACGATGCTGCAGCTGTGTTAAAAACACACATTTTGGCTTTACCTAAAACAAAGAAGCAAAAAGCGTCACAATCTCAGAAAAGTAGCAATGTAAGGTCTCCACTCAAGCGCTCACCCACTGTTAAGAATGATTTTCTTTTATCTAGGAATAAGGTAGTCACTGATACCTTTGTGAAAGCAGTTGAAAAGCAAAATAAGCCATTTACTGACCTTATCAAAGATCCCACAAATGCTAAATCAAAGATCGGTGTAGACAGTTCCTATTGGAACATTGATACAGATTTATGTGTACAAAATGCAAGCGCGATGGTACAACAAGTTTCGTTTGCACCCGTGGAGGAAGAATCTACAAGTTTTAACAATTTTCAAAACCATACAGAAAAAATTAATCTACAATTGCCATGTAATGAGGAGTCAAACAACTTGAAAAAGTGTAACAATGTTGTTATTGATACTCGAACGACATATATCAGCGGAATTACTCACTCTGTTAATTCTGTACTTAATACTTGGAGTTCAAATATCGAGACAACCAAAGAAAAAGAAGAGGCTAAAGTTGTGATCAATGATACGCAAGCCATTGAACATGTTAAAGCAATGAGAGAATCTATTGAGATGATCCATTATGCGTCTTCCCCTCCATCTAAAAAACACCAACCCTCAAGGAATACAAGTTTGGAACTTTCCAAGCAAATTCTCCAGAAAGACCCATCATTTTTTGGTTTTGAGGTGAGCGAACAATTCATTAGCGATCTCAAACAAAAAGTAGAGATCGATGAAAATGTGGATGACATTACGAACCTCATAAGAGACTACAAGGAAGACATTTCTAAATCTAAAAAAGCGGTAGCTGTCAATGATTCCAGCGATTCTGAGAATGAAAAACCAAAGGTACCTGATATACCACTTAACGTTGGAAAAGAAAAACGAATGAAAGTGAACCAAAAAATTTTAAACGAACGAATTGCTGACATCAAGAAATACAGCTGGAAATATGCTGAATTAGAGAAGAGAGTTAAAGAAATTAAAAAAGAAATGAAAGAAAAAGAAAAGAAGCTGAATATTGAGGATTTTGTTAAAAAGAATGCAGACATGCCGCTTAAAACCATGAATGATGTTCGCAATAATCGAGAAAGAGTGATTCAACGGCAGGCCTTTATCAGAGAGCAAGCAGTCTTGAAGTTTAACGAACAAGAACGCCATCGCTGTGAAGAATTAGATCGTAAATTCGAAGAAAAGGAAAAGAGAAGACAAAATGCTACCAGTGAGAAAATGTCCAAAGTATACAAACAAACCATGTGGAAATTACAAAAAACATGGTTTCCCATCGTGAAAATTGGTTTGTTTATTTCTGCAATCACCGAGCCATTGCTAAGCGAACGAGTGAAACGTAAACGTGAAACTGATGAGAAGGTCGCTCTATTTGTTATGAGGAAACGATTACTACCTTACATTTTAAAAAGAAGAGACCAAAAACAACAAGCAGCTTTGCAAGTTATTCGTAAGAATTGGCTTATTTATGTCATTAATTTTAGAGTTCGAAGGAAAAAGAAAGCAGTTAATGTCATTGAACGATTCGTTCAAGACATTAACAAAACCAATAGAATGGTTCGAGCTGTATCTAGATTTATCAACGCCGTTAAGAAGATACAAAGATTTATCAAGAAATTCCTCTTTCGAAGAAGACTGCATCTCCACATGCTAAATCAGCAATACAAGAGATTGGAAATGGAATTCACAAAGAATCAAGCAAAGCAAGATATTGCTGAGGTGAAGTTCAAAATTGTGGATGTTTTAAAGAAGGTCAAAGAAACGGCATTCTTTGAAGAGCCATCAACAGCCACTGAGTCAAGAGCAATTCACCGCAGACAACAACATGCTCCACATGTTCCACAACCCGGGTCTGGCTGGGATGACGATACGAGTGGCATCCGTAGAACAAAGCTGGCAGTATCTGAAGCTAAAAAGACGCTCCGTCATGTACAAAAGTTTGTCATTGACGAATTGAAAGAACAAATTGCACAGACTCCAAACATACCACAATCAACAATTGATGGCAAAATGGTATCTCCACGATCTTCGAAGAAAGGGCCAATCATGTCGCATGCTGAAACAATTTTAAAACAAAGTGAGAGATGGGTCAAAGGTCTAGACGATTTTCCTTACCTTATTCACATTATTGAGAACAATATGTTGAAAAATCAGCTAGTTTTAAAGTTGGGACGAATGTTACGAATTACTCCAACAAAACGATGCCACAAAACATCAGATGCTATCCGAACGCGTATCATCAGAGAGGATTTAACAAGACGAATGCATCAAATTAGATTTGAGGAGCTCGAGATTGAAAAACGCAAAGAAAAAGCCGTACAAGCTCTTCAATTCCAAAAGAAAATGATGGCTCAACTTCAAAAACAACGATCGTTCAGCAATAGGATTTCTCTGCCTGCAGGTGTTACTACATCAGAATTACTCGCTGAGCAATTACAAAAACAGAACTCCATACTGCAAGAAGAGGCAGAAATTGAAAATGAAAGAAATGAATTGCTCAAGAAAAAGTCCATTGCCTACTTGCCACAGCACGCAATAGAAATTCTAGTGCGAAAGGGTCTCGAAGAAACATTAATGATGGAAAAACGAAGGCAACGACAACTTAATTCGCCAAGAAATGCTGTCACTTCATCTAATGACAAGCAAACAAATAATTTGTCTGATAGTTTTGAGAGCAGAATGGATGATTTTGATGAATATGAAGAAATATTGGACGAAAACTTGAATTAACTTATTCTGAAACTTGCAATACATTGGTGCTAAATTTTATTCACTTTTAACAGAGAACATTAATCAAGATCAACACGACAAAGATTAAACCTAGAATATATGGAAGCTCCAATCTTTTACACCCATGCTCCGCTCCATTCACGCTCACCGTTGCATTTCTTGATTTCATACTCTCCTCATTCTTGGAAACCACTGGTGCTGCCGATGATGGTTGTGCTGCCAATTCACATCTCGAGCCAGTAAATCCCTTCAAACATTGACACGAATTTCCACCCATACAATAACCGTGATTAGAACACGATGGAGATAATTCATTTGGAGCATATTCTAAACAAGTCGCCAGATTGCATTCTGGTAATGACACTCCTGCATGACTGCAATTATTCACTCCTACCAAACTTGGTAAAAACATCAATCCATTCAAAGTATTGAAATTTAACAAACTCATGGCAGAAAGATAGGAAGTCTCAGCCGATGATGCCTTACTCTTGTTTAAGTAATATATTCGTCTCAATAACGTTTGAATTGTGTCATTAACACTTTTCCAAACTCCAAATCCTCCTGTTGGAATTGAGGATGATAGAGCATAAGGAGACAATCCTGGATTACAACTCGTCACGCCATTACTATAATCGACACGATACCATCCAGGAGTACCATCCCAATAATTTACAAATCGAGGAAATTGAGCATCTTGATTCCAAATTCGACCAATGAGAGCATTGGAAAATGCATCTCTCCATCTCGACACTGGAATTAATGAGCTCGGTGTGTGAAAAATACTTTTCACAGCTTCAAAATTATAGAACAGAGCATCAAATGTTTGCACCAATCTTCGGGCATGACTAATGTCCCATCCGCTCGTATCAACAATAGGCACACTCGAAGGAGGAACATTTACAATTTTTGTTCCATTGGCCAAACACGTGACAGGAGGAAAGGTTTCATGCTTCCAATAACCAGCATAACGATTATCGGCGTACAGGCGATCAAATCCACGATCCAAATCACCGGCCTCTGCTTGCATATTTCCATAAGATGCAATTTTCACACTCTGAATAGATATTCTTGCATTCAACAATGCCAAGAGTCCCTTAAAAAACGATTCAATATTCGAGTGTTCTTGAGGAGTAGCAAACGAAGCAAACAAATTAGGATCTCTCTGATAAATTCCAGCCAATTCTGAAACGGTAGTAATGACCCATAATTCCTTATCTGAGAAGAAGTATTTTGAAGAGCCATCGGTGACATTCAAATAGGTCAATGGAAGTCTGGTCGCGATCGTGGCATTCCAACTTGTGAGCGACCATCGAGCAACATGCTGCCAACTTGTTTTTACTGCCTGCTGCATGAAAGATGTCATATTTTCAGTTCGAGCGTTTTGTGGAAGTGCAGAAATAGCATTTGCAGTGAGAGAAATTAATCCCACATATTGACTCGAACACAAAATCACTTCAATTCCCAACAATTTGTTACCTGTACATATGGCTCCCCTCTACAAATCCATCTTGGATAATTATCACGTGGGTCAATTTCCAATTTGGAAAACGTTGGCAACAAGACACTAGCAACGTCATGCAACAAGTCATTATGCATGTTTCCACATCTTCGAATCATGCCCACCAGATTTGCCAAATACAATTGAGTATCATACAAGGCGTACGTGTCATTGTTTAACAGCAAGCGTTGAGTAACTTGTTGTTGGATCAAGTATGACTTCATGGAGGATTTCCAAATCGAGCGAAGCTCAGACACTACTGTGCCATTACATCCAAAATATGAATTCGTGGATTCTATTGTCGCCAATTGAGATTTTGTGAAAGCAACAGAGGAATTCACAAAAAGTAACAGGAAGGAACAAAGAAAAAGCACAATCAACGAATAATTCGACCGTATTGATAGTAATTCGTGTTGAACGGATGACATGTTTTGGATTTTTTTCATGATGAAACTAGTGTGTGAAAAATGTGCGGATCGATTTGTGAGATGGAACGGGTCACGCCTATTTCTCGATCAGTTGTCATTAACATTACTTTTTGTCCGATTGAAAATTCGCTTTTGAGGCATTCACAATTTGTGTATTTACTGTTGTTATTTACATTTTAAGAGGTAAACAACTAGGCTTACATGTGAGATTTTGAGAGGTTGTTGATACAAGTGGCTTAATTTCTTCTCTGAACAATCGTTGTTCTTCTTGGTTGTGAATGATACATATTTTGAGTTTGTTGTAATTGTTGTTGTTGTGAAAATGTTTGTTGAGAGAATTGTTGTTGCTGTGGGGTTTGAGGAATCATGACACTCAATGGAACACTCGTATTATTATTATTGGTATTAGTATTGGTCAATGAAGAAATTGAAGGAAAGGTTAACGTGGATGGAGGATGACTTGTTGTTGTTGTGAAAGGAGAGCTTTGAGATAAAAATGCATGAGAAGGCAATCGATTCGTAGCAATTAATTCAATACATCTCTTCAAAGACACGTCAAAATTCCATTGATATTGTAATAAACAATCATAGGCAAAGACGTGAATGAGTCGTGTCTGACTCATTAATTTCATAACCAATTCCATTCGATAGAGACATAATTGAATATTAAATTGAGCTTCTTCGGCAATTCGTCTTGCGAGAAAGACATTGTTCATACCATATTTTTCACATAGTTCACGACAGAAACTGACAGTAGCTTGGAAACATGCGTCCAAGTTCCAACCGAAAAATGTTAAATAATGAGAACACTTGTCTTGGGATTCACCAGTGACTTGTGACAGTTGAGAGATCATGTACAATTTGGTTGTTTGTTCTTGAGTTAATTGTGGAGGTTGAAAGAATGAATTGGAAGAAGCGAAGGGAGCAGTTGGAGTGGCAAAGGTCAACATTTTTGACAAGTGGCAGTTTGTTTAAAAAAGAGTTGATGATCAATTAGTAATGATGAAAGTAAAATTACAGAGAGAGATCTGATCGCTTGATCAAAAGTTAGGGACAGGTATCGGAAGAGAGTTTGGGTCAATTTTCAATTTTTTTCATGGATGATTCAAATTCATCTCTCAATTTGATCAAATGACATTTGACTTCAAAAGATTTTTTTCAAAGACAGGTGACACTTTGACAATTCTTCCTCAGTTTTCTAGATTTTGAGGAACTCGATTACAACACACAGTTTGGTACTGCAGATTTTCATTGCTGTTTCTTTGAGGAGTGCATGAAGAATTTAAAGAATACACTGGCGCCAAACAGCCATCAACAACCATCAAACCACTTACCTATCGCTTCACAAAAGACAACTTGTTACTCCTCCTTTCAATCTGTCATTGCCATTTCGAAATGAAAATTGGTGCCAAATGCACACGAAAGGCATGCACGAATTTTGATTGTTAAATATGAAAACAACAAGGAACAAGGCTTTAGAAACATATTTGAAAAAAAACAACTCACTACTTTCATTCTCGAAAACAACCTATTGCTAGTCCTCACTGATTGAAAAATGTCAGCTGCCACAAATTCCATCAAGGATTTAATATATTGTCCCATTACTAGGCGAATTATGAGCGATCCGGTCGTGACTGCTCTCGGAGATACCTTTGAAAGAGAAGCCATTGAAGAATGGTTACGGAATAGAGAAACCAATCCCACGACTGGCGAACCACTTCCCAACAAGCAATTGTCATTTAACAAAACTGTCAAACAAATGATTGATGTCTTTTTAGAAAATCATCCTGAATATCAATTGAATTTAGATGAACGATATGTTTCGCATGGAATAACAGAAAAATTGAGAGACGCCTTCGATTCCAATGATGTTTCTGCAATGAATTATTTATTATCGAATCATCCTTATTTACAATTGTATCAAGAATTTCAATGTTGTCCAATTATGGTAAAAGGAAATGCCAGTTATTTGGATGATGGAAATATTGCTCACGTATTGTGTGAATGCCCCAATACAGAATTGAAATCTTTCAAGGCATTGATGGAATCATTGCAACGACTCGAAGACAAGCATAAGGAAGAACGTCCCACTCTTGTCAACCATTTGATTTCGAAAACCATTTTTGGAAAAAACTCGAGAGGTTTCCAACCCATTCACACGGCTTGCTACTTTAACGAATGTGAACAAGTGTTTAAGGAACTCATTCAAATGCAAGATCAATATTCGACTCTATACTCTAAATGTAGTGTCTCTCTCCAACATGAAGAATTAGATCCTCGATGTCGAAAGAATGTCTATCTTTTAATGTTTAAACTCATCATTACAAGCACGCCAGCTCACAAGTTCGTCCCAGAAAAGGAAAAGGAATTGAATGACAAGTGCTTGGATTTCATTTTTGACAATTTGGGACTCAGTGGAGATCAATTGTTGAGAATTACTCATCAAGGAGTTTCCTTGATTAACTATGCAAGCAAGTACAATCGATTGCATATTTTGAAAAAGATGGTTGAAAAGTCAAATGTCAACCTCAATGAACATGTTGATACGTTTTATCACACTCCATTAACAAGTACAGTTTTAGGAGGAGCACTTGAAGTGGTCAGATATCTGGTCGAAGAAGCCAAAGTTGATGTCGAATTGTCAGATGTACCCTCATACCGAAAAGATTTTCCAACTGCTTTGCATTTGGCAGTGCTGAGAGGACATTTTGATATTGCCTTGTTTTTGATTTCACATGGAGCCAATATCAATGCCACTTGTAAAATGTCAACGGTCAATGGATCGAGCTCGAGTTCTTCTTGCTTGGAGCCATCAGATATTTGTGTGAATAGGGCATTGTTTGGATCGAACAAATTTATGGGTCAAGACTCATCGCCCTCTCTTGGAAGCTCATCCTCAACTAAGGAAGAAGAAGTACATAACATCATGACGCTGAGTTTATTGTTGTGTTCTGATAGAAATGACACTAGTAAGAGAGCTTTGGAATTTATTTCGCATTTGGTTTCGAAATATAGTTATGTACCAACTTTTCCTCAAAGTCAATCATCTTCCTCCAGTAGCTCCGTTTACTCTACTTCAACGGCTCCATTTTCTTCTCAACACAATTCCACTTTGAATGAACCCATTTGGTTTTGTATTCGAACCATTGCAAGCAAACCAGAAAGCGAACACATGTTTGAATGGGTATTGAATCAATTTTATTCAGACAAGCAGAAATTATTCATGCTGCGAGACAAGCAAAAGAATAATGCCTTACATTGGCTTGCTGCTTATGCCAGAGTTGAACATTTGGAAATGACCATTCTTCACTTGTCTCAAGTCGATGTAGATGTGCACGCAATGATGAATCAAAAGAATTTACAGGGAGACACTCCATTGCATGTTGCTTCTGCATTGGGTCGAAAGGATGTTTGTAAATTATTGATTGACTTGGGAGCAGATGTGAGAATTAGAAATACCAAGTTACAAGATGCTCTTTCTGCTGGGTTTGTGTGTAATGCAGTTCCAACACTCACTGCTTCGTATCGAATGAGTTTGTTGAAGGACTTGCGAAAATGTGTCGAGAATCGAGAGAGTGGTAGAACCATCTTGACCATGCAAGCAAAGATTCGAATGTTAGAAAAGAAATTGCAAGAGAATATGCCAAGTTCCTTAATGATTGATCCTTAAACAATAAATGGTACTATAAAACTCATCAACGTTCAAATTTGTTGAAAATCAAATGGTTGTTCGCTCGATCCTCAAGGGTTTATAATTGAGGCAAAATATCACATGATGGCAAATCAACAGTACCCGTAGAGATCATATAATTAGCTATTGCTTCACACACAATGAAAAAGAAATCCACTTTCAAAATTTTCTGTCGTGCTATGGCTTCAGACACACCCCACTGTTCTGTTGGATTCAAATCCTGTATTCTGTAGCCAGCAAAATTCAGAGCTCGATAGTATTCATCTTCTGCAGTGGTGATACAACGAAGGTCGAGTTCTCGCATAATCGAAGAAAGTATTGGAGCAATTTCTCCTCGCAAGCTATTCAACACGTGCATGCATCGAATTCTTGCAACAAAATGTGGAGTAGCTCCATCATCACCTGGTCTTCCATATCCAAATTCAGGACCAACTTTGGAATCTTCACATGCTTTCCACACTTTCAAATAAAAGTTTACAATATTGACGTTCCAATCTTCGTTAATAAATTTGCTGAAAAGCTCGACTCTTCTATCTTTTTTAGAATATCTAGATACAGATGCTAACAGAGCTAAAGCATATTCATCTACAAGTTTGTTTGTGCCATAAATGTGTTTCAAATGTTCGAAAATAAATTCTGGAATGGTGATATACCTCTTGTCTACATCTGACAAAAATGCAATTAATTTGCTCTTGTAAATCCCATACATGAACTTCAACAACCAAGGTAATGATTTCGTTCGTTCCTTCTCACGATTTTTAAGTTTGGTCATTAATTCCATCATTCTTTGATTTTTTGGTTTCAACTTGGCCTTATATTGCTCGACCTGATTCAATTTCCTGACCACACTAATGTTATACGGCCTGACATGCAAGTCGTCCGTACTTATACTCTCCCCAGAAAACATAGTTTCATCTGTTTGTACATAACTACTAATCAAGTCTGAGGCTTGCGTGGGAGCCACAGCCATATTTCTAGGTGACCTTTTATCATCATGCCTAATTTGTCTTGGAGTTCGTTTCGTAACTTCCCTTGGAAGCTCTTCTTTTGTGTATGTCCTTTCAATTCCAGTAGATTCTTCCAAAGGGTTATTGACATAGTCGTTCCTGGTATAATCAGTTCGATGTGCAGTGGTTTTCGTTGTTGCAGATTGATTGTTGTCAGTCACTGTCTTTCGAATATCTTTTGGCTTTTCATCAGTATTCAGAACCTTGGTTGTCCTTGCAGAAGGTAAAGGTTTGTTAGTACTTTGATTTTGATTGGTCACTCTATTTGATGAGCTCATTGATTCATTAACATCTTTATCAAGGTACTCATCTTCATGGAATTCATTGTCGTGATCTCTGGTGTAGTGAAACGAAGCATTTTCATCAACGCTAACGTTATTTCTGTTTGTAGCATGCTGTTCATGAGGCTGATCTGTTTTGTTTGTTTTTTGGCTTGATCTGTTGTTATTTGGTGTTTTTGGATCGTTCTTAGTTGTTGGTAATTGTTGTGATTTTCTTGTATCGCCATGTTGAGATGTTCTGGATGAGTTTGGAGACTTGGAGTGAATAGGTTCGTTGTTGTTCTTATTGACACGCATGGCGACTTCAATTGGTTTCTGGTCTTGAGAAGAATTAATTGGTGTTGATATTGGCTGCTCCGAGATGGATTCTTTTTGTTGCTCTGGATTGTTGTTTGGTGAAGGCTGATGCTCGTCATTGACACCAGGTTGATCAGTAGCGAGCGGTTGGAGATTGTTATTTTCTTGTGGCTTGACAATTTTGACCCTCTTCTTGTTTGTAATTTCTCGCTTACGTTGTTCTTCTTGCTCTTTTTTTCGTCGGTCCTCCTTGAGTTGATTCATTTCAGTTTGGATATCATTGCGTAAAATAATATCATTCTTCACACGTATTTCACTTTGAAGTTTTTCACTGTATGCTCTCTCATTGGCCAGCTCTTGCTTTAACTGCTTGATTTGCTCTTGTAAATTTGTTATCAGGTCTTCTTTTCGTTTGAGTAATTCTTGTGTATGAAAAGAAATTTGAGTATTATCTCGAGCGTCAAAGAAAACAACCTTCAATCTATCCTCAAGATCAAAAGGGACTAGCTTCACCTTAATTGGTCGTTTGCTTGGATCGAATTCAGTTTGAGTTCCATTCTCAACAAGAATAATTTTAGCTAAAAGGTCCTGATGTCTTTTTCCTACTCTCCGTATTTCTCCAAGTCTGCTGTTGATATCATAAACCAGGTTTAAAACATTTTGTGCAACGTTTTGAGAATCAGTGTCCATGCTGTTCAACCGATCCGTCTCTATCGTTGTTCGCAATTGATAACCAGATCCAAGGGTAGAAAAATAATTTGATAATTCTAACACGTTTGCAACTGTGTCCTTAATGTTAGTAAATAAAAGTTTCATCATTCTCATAAAGCTCTTCTCTTGCTGACTTGAATAATTTCCGTCAACAGAATTACCCTCTCCAGCTTTAGCTTTTTTTCGTCGTGGTGCATGATCTTTTCTATTATTTTGTTTTTCATGGTCGTTACCTTCCTCTCCAAAGAAATCCTCATCCAGTACTCCATAATCATTCACAAAATCTTCCCACTTCTTTTTGTTTTGAAGTAAATTCATCACCAAGTCATACTTGGGAAGTAGACTCAGCTTTTTTTGAAATTCCTCATTCTCTGCAACAACAGTGGCTGTTTTGTCCAGAATTTTCTCCAACTCTTGTTTCATTGATGCTTTCTCTTCATTTACATCTTTCACAATTTTTTCATATTGATCCACAACAATTTGGAGCTCATTTGATTTTTTTCGTTCTCCTTGCAATAGGGTTCTTGTAATTTCAAAAAATTCCTCAAAATATCGATGAATCCGTTGCAGAATGACACCTCTTTCGACGCAAGTTGCAAAAACTTGTCGTGAGACTTCAAACAAGCTATGTAAATGCACAATGAACGACTTGTTCATATTTTCCACGATAGATTTGTAATAATCTTCAGAGTTTTGATCTCGTTGCTTGTCTTCTTTTCTGGCCTTTTTTAACATGGCATCCATGGCCTTAGCTAGGAGATATACTTCCACCCGTTTTGAAGGATTAGCTGAGGGAAATACCAGTTTTTCCCAATAGTGTCCTTTTTCGTTGTAGTCAAATTTTCCTTCTTTGACTAGGCCTTCATAAATTGGTGAGTTTGAATATACATGGTATTCCTTTGGAACTCGACTTGGTGGTATGAGCTGTACAATTGCATTTACATTACTACTAGCCTTGTCTGCCATCTCTGTAATTACTCCCACATATGAGTCGTTATTAATTTCAAATGCAGATCTCAGTGCCTTTTTCAATTGTACATCACTGAGAAGGTTTGTCTTAATTGAAGCTGGTACTCCAGATTTCCTAAAGTTTGTAATATCTATATTTGTCATAAAATGTCGATCCGATAAATATTCAAGTTTTTGCAGAGTCTCTTGAGAAAGTTCTGGATTTAAGGCAACTCCGCTATTTACAAGTTCTTTGGCGGCTTTCGGATCAAGATCTAAAACTCTCTGGCCATTACTTTCGTCTGAAGATCCGATACGGGATTGAGTCTCTGCTGTTTTCTTTCTGTTGTTTGTACCATTGTGAGTACTTCGAGTTTTTATATTGGTGGCATTAGTGTTGGCAGTGGCAGTACTCTTTTTGGAAACTTGAGCTATTTTCACAGGACTTGTTGATCTGATGGTTGGAGAAGGATTTTTACGAGAGAAAGTATTGTCAATGGATGCTCCATCGAGAAGTAATGTTTTTACAATGGTTTGATTTGTGGTAGAAGTATTTGGTTGTGGCTGATGTTGTGAGTGCTGTTGAGGAGCAGATTGTTGGGTTACATTGAGTGATGGTGCCTTTAAGGATTCTATGGAGGATAGCAGCAATTCTTGCTCTTCTTTTTGGACCAGTGAATTATCAACGTTCTCTTGAACAATCTCTTGGTCGAGGGGATTAGGGTTATCTTGGCTGTGTTCTAGCTCTGTTGACTGTTGAGTCACTGTACCGTTGGCGGTTGAATTTGAATTTGGTCGTTTTGGAATGGGTGATATTGATCTTGCTGAGATAACAAGTGTAGGGCTATCTCTCCCAGTGCCTTCTTCTTCGTCCTCAAATTCTGCTGGAGTAGGTGTCACCGAAGGAATTAGTACAACGGCAGACAGCGTACTGGTGTTCATGATCGAAGTTTCTCCTCCCTCATTCCAGGCATGAATTGGAGGTGTGCGATAATTGTGGGTTTCCGAGTTGCCAACACAGTCACCAGGTACCTCAACGCAAGGACCCAGCACCCTAGTAATTACAGATGATATTTCGTGAGATGTTGCACCATTTTTCTCATGGGTACAACCAGTTTCCTTAGTATTGTTATCGAATGCCCACGGTAGTGTTGTGGTGCCTGCAGCCGTAGGTGAGCTTCCGTTACTACTTAATTGAATGGACGAAATATCGCTTGTTTCATCAATAATCTCGTCTCCATGAATTACATTTAAATTATGGTTGCACGAATCATTATTGGTCTCTTCTGACGAGTCTACAAACTCGGAATTCAGTTCAGAGAGAGAACCACTGGTGGCTGATCCTTTTGTTTGAATATTATTTTGCCTTTGGCTTATTTTGGAAGATTTGTTGCTTGTTTTTGATGGAACAATACTATTTTTCTTCCTACGTGGTATTATTTCATTGGTATGATTGGTTTGTTGCTGATCGTACTGATGATGTTCCGAAATGATATTCCTATTATTATTACTACCGTTGTTGCTGCTACTACTACAAGGCGTTGAAGCCCGACTACTGTTATTGCTGCTTCGTTCATCAACTCGCCGAAGAGTCGTAGATGCTGTTGGCGCCTTCTTGGCATAAATTGCCTGACCCAACGCCTTTTCTTGCATTTTTATTTGATCTTGGGAGATGCAGGCAAAAGATAACATGCAAGAGAGTGGTCCCAAGAAACTCATTCTAAAAGGAGAATAGCTTTGAAAGAGAGAGATTATTATTCCAAACAAAAGTATATGCCGGGATCGTTAACAATCAAAATTACTGCCATCAGCCAACAAAGAAAGATGGAAAGCAGCGAAGAACAACAAAAAATATGCTCGCTCGAAAGATTGTGTCATCATCAGCCACTGCTACTTGGTCTTCGCTTCTGTTGAAGAGAAGTTTGGGAAGTGGTGCTGGCCGTTTGATTCTTTCATCTTCGTCCTTCGGAAAGAAGAATGAACAAGTCTGCTCTAGGACGTATTCCACAAACAACAATATCATGTTCAATGCAGAAAATAATAATAATAATTACAACATCGGATCATCATCTGAAGCATCCTATCAATCCGTTGGTTCTGTTCAAAAATTGAAGAACAAAATTCTGGATACAGCAATTGATAAGTATGTGTTGAGTCATGGGTGGACCGTGGAATCCATTACACAGGCTGCAAAGGATTTTGGATTGAGTCCAATGGCTTCATCACAACTATTTGCAACAGGCTCAACAAGTCTCGGACCAGAAACAGAACTCATTCAATATTTTCTTACAAAATGTAATAGAGAGATGAGTACACAAATTCAACTCATGGACAAGACTGGGTAAGTTATATTTTGCTGAGGAGGATGACTTGGAATTTTTGTGATGAATTTTTTGTTATTAATGATTTTTCTTGGGTGTGAATGACTTGACATGTTTGACTTAACGAACGCTCAACACAAATCAGAATGGATATACCAACAATTATTAAGAAATCTATTCGTCTTAGACTTGAAATGGTAGCTCCATTTGTTAGAGCCGGTAAATGGACTGAAGCCATGTCAACATTCATTTTCGGTCCAAATCCTCTAGTTGACACTCCCACTCAGCTCTTTAATCAATTGACCGGATTCAAAACTTCTGGAACTACAAATGCTCTGGGTCCGGTAAATCAAGTTCAAGGGTTGAACGCTCTCTATAATGCCGCAATTTTAGTGGATGAAATTTGTCATATTGCTGGTATTCGTGATACTGATATTCAATGGTATATTAAGAGAGCTGGTGTTGGACTCGTCTACACTTCTTGTGAATTTTACATGCTCACAGATAATTCACCTGATTTTCAAGATACATGGAGCTTCCTTGACAGAAGAATGGATGAGCTGACAGTGTTGCAATCTGTCAATGAAGGTCTAACAAGTGCTGTGGGTGGTATTTTCGGAAGTGTATTGTCCGTGATTTCTGCTGCAGTCGCTCCACAACAAGCATCACCTGTCTCAACAAGTCCAACCACTCAAACACAACATGAAACAATGCCTTCACCAAACAAAAATTAAGCTTATCACTTGGCCTAAATAATGTTACAGTCTCAAGATTGTAGTCAATCACTCGAACAGTATTGTGTATTAAATCAATTACAGATGGTCATTTGTTTGAATTTTGAATAAAAAGGTTATGGCTCTAACGAGTTCAATATAAAAATTCACAACTAAATTATCAATTAAATTGTTTAATGTTGTTTCACACTCAGTAAGTTGAGCCTTCTGTTGGTTGTGGATTCTTTCTATTCTTTGGCGAGCTCATTTCTTTTCTCAAGGCTCCTAACACTGCAGCAATATCATAGGTATAGGTCCATTGATTTCCCAACATTGGGAATTCACTCAGAATAATGTCTCCGCTTGGGCCAACGCAGCTCATGTTCACTCGATTGAGAAATTTAACAATTGGTGCAACGTCAGGATAACGATCACCACATGTAATTCTAAGACTATAGATTCTTCCTTCAAAGGCAGTCTATTTGGCGTCAATACAAATATTCATTCGACATTGGATCACATTTGTGTGCATGTTGATTTTCAGGCAATCCAGATATTTTTCAAACAAAATCAAGATATAATCCAAAATTAAATTCGGCATGCCGATTTTAGATTACCACGAAATGTTTAAACGTTCCGTTGTTAAGTTTTGATAACAACAGAGTAGAATCCGTTGTTTTGAAATAAAAATCCACATGTTCATCATCCGAAATAAATATGACGATTATCACATAATAATTTAGAATATTTTGCGGTATTATGATCGCATGATCAAAATAATCAGATGATCAGTACAATATTAAACCACACACAACACATACACCAGGTGGACCAATAATTGTTCCGTTCCATTCTTTCAGCATGATATCATCCGAACTAACCAATCCGTAACTCACAGTTCCATCACCGAAACCTTTCTCACCCTTCTCCAATTCCTCTAAAAGACGAAAACTTCTTGGTACTATTAATTCAAATTTAACAAGGTGTTGTTTACGAGTTGTGTCATGAAAAAAAAGCAAGGTGTTAATTTCACGTCGAAGAAAAATTAGATGATCGAAGGTAACCCTTAACCAAGTACAAACCTTTGCTCATTTTTTGTGTGCTAAAATTGAATTTCTTCTTTGGATTGAAAACGATTTCGACAAGTACTAGCAAAGCCAAACACAAGATGAAAACATTCATTGAACTTTAATTAACCAACAGTAACAATCTAATAGATCATTAGTGCCCGTTTCTCGAGCTCAATGAAATGGGAACTCGGCAGCACTTGCCACTTCACCTTTCATCAATCCCAACAAGTCAAGCCACCCACAAAAAAATTGCTAAACTGTCAAACTCGAGTTTGCTTTCTCAGCTGCCACTCGCTCTTTTTTCTTCTTGCATGAATGTAACACCAACAACAATTCTTCGTAGTCATTACACCAACAATTTTAACAACAACTCTTGGTTCCACAAATTGAACATCTTCCTCGCGCGCATACCACTCTAACTCTTCATTGATCCCTTGAGTGTGTGTGAAGTAAACACACACAAATGTCTTCAACTCAAGGCCATGATGATCATGGTGCATCCACGACACCTAGTAATAGTAACAATGCACCTCCCAACAATAATAATAGTAGCAGTAGATTTATTCCCTTCTATATGAGAGACGATTTACCACAGAATCGTCAATCGAAATCTAAAGTCAATCAACGAAGAAGACGAAAAACCATTCAAGATGTACTCCAACAAAAGTCATCATTGCCTGCTTCTTCCAATTTGAATTCATCATCATTATCAACGACTTGTCATTCAGTATCATCATCCTCAACAACAACACCCACGACAAGTACTTCTACACCAACTAACATTCTGCCACGACAACCACTACCACCACCTCCTATTCAACCCTCGATTCATTCTCAGCATCATCATCCAGTTCAACAACAACAACTTCAACACCAGCCATCAACGCAATCACAACATTCACGAACGCAATCACACAGTATTTATCCACCCTCTCTAAGAGCTAGATATCCCTCTGTCTTGCAATCATATCCTCATTATGTTCAATTACCGACCAATCCTCTGCCTTTTCCTCCCTCACCCTATCATATACATCAATTCAAACAACAACAAGAGGACACAGCCATGAAACTTTCCTCATCGCCGTCTCCTATGGGCTCATCAACTGGTACTTCTCAAGGCTTACCTCTTTCAGAAATTTCCAACCGATTCGGAGGGTTGAGTGAGCAATACAAAAATTCTGCCTTGCAACGCTCTTCATCGGCCTCTTCCTTACTCTCGAAAAATGTCCTATCGAGCCATCAACATGTGCATCACAATGAGGAGAAATCCGTGAACCCAAATGTAATATCATCATCTTCATCATTCTTGCAACAAGATAGTAATGAGGAGCACTCTCATTCCGCAGCAGCAGGACACACAGAAGAACATATTCATCATGGAGTTGTTGGTGGTGGTGTTGTTGCAAATAGTGATACTTCAAAGAATCATCAAGAAACAACATTGGTACAACCAACAACAAACGATAAGCCGGTTCCAGTTGGCAGCAGCTTCAAATCAAGCATTGCTTCATTTCTGTCGAGTAATGGTTCTAAACAATCTCCACAAAGAAGTAATGCTCATACTAGTAACGCAAATACATTATTGATTCCTTCTTCCTCGGCTGTATCATCAACAACAAGTAGCGGTAAAGTTGGCACAGCTTCAGCATCGTCAAGTACCGCTGTTCATAAGCTGAAACGACTTCAACAACAAATTCGGTCATCCGATAAAGACCTTCATGCCATTAATTCATCAGCACAAGTATTAAATTATTTGAAAATGGTTCAGCAACAACAGCAAGCTTACATTCAACAGCGTTTAATGTTGCAATCGAGTTCCATACCAAATCTTAATGTATCTGTGAATCATATTAAGGATCAATTGTATTCTAACATCAATAATGCTAGTAGTAGTGGTATCTCTAGTGATAACAATGCAACAAGATCTTCCTCGTCCTACTTGCCCTCCACATTCATACCAAGTTATCAATTGGACCCTACTGTTGACATGATGATATCTAATTGGGAAAATCAAATTCGGCAAACGAAACAACGTCAAAGAATGCAACAACTGTATAGGAGACCAATTCCAAATCTTAGATTGCCTCCACATCAAGACCACAGCCAGTACATGATGGATTCTTCCTCGAGTGAAAGTAGTAGTGGTATGGGCTCACATTCCGATCGATCCGAAGCATGGATGAGTGCACGATTCGGAGCGAGTACTCTGAGCAGCAGCAGTCGAGTGAGTGCACGTTCGATGGGGATTTCTCCACTTAATTCACCAAGCTCATCATGTAGCATGAGCTTGAGTGATTGCACAGCCGCTGCAAATGCCACTGCTTATCACGAAAATGGTGGTGACTATATCATGATTTCTCCTCACCATCAACAACAACAACACTCTGCAAGATCCAACAGTAATAATAGTAGGCTCACTGCAGAACAATTATCTCCTGAGGACGAAGATGAAGACGGCGACACTTTAATGATCGATGACTCTTCACCTACTCTTGACAATAATAAGGACAGCAGCAGCAACAACCTATTACCCTCCATTTCAAAGCTTAATCTACCCATTAATCTTCCTCCCCTTAATTTATTATCCCTCTCAAACAAAAATTCTGCAAACAATAATTTAACAGACACAAGCATTAACAATAATTCCTTGTCAACTCAAACTGGCAGTAGCTCAGCAATGGAGGGAGTCAAGAGTTGTCCAACCACACCACACAGCCGAGAGAGTCAACATTCAGCTCGGTCCCTCGTGGAACATTCAGCATCCTCTTTAGGAATTCAACAATTATTTACAAATCCCTTCTCGACGTCTGGCAATAATACGACTACTTTCAACTTTGGCGGATCACAGTCTTCCACTAGTTTAGCTACAACCACTGTACAGCCCAATTCAATCTCACTTAATACTTCTTCATCTCCTTTACATCATCAACATGCCTCTATGAGTAGTGGCAGTAGTAATTATAGTTACATTCCTGAAGGATTTGTTACACACAGAACACACCAACAGCATCACTTTTCCAGGAACACAAAGCAAATTCATCATCAAATTCACTCGTCTCAACACATGTCCTCTTCGAGATCAAGAGAGAATCATTTAGTGAATGCTGAAAGTGTGATTAACAATAATTCTGCTTCTATCTGCCCGTCACCTAAAAGGTCATCAAGTCAATATCTTCCCTATACTCATCTAACAAGTCCCAGATCGTCAAAGAAAAAGAAGGTACAGGAATCATCTGAACCAGCAACCATTTCTGATCCAAGTGATGTTCTTGGAATTGATTTTATTCCTGATGAGTCTTCGAATTCTGCTCAGCCAAACGAAGATATTCAACAACGAATGAGCATGCAATTGTTTCAAGCAATCTTTAGACATACTCCCCTACCTATGTTTATTTTAAACTCTAAAGGAAAATTCATGTCTGTGAATCACGCATTTATATCCATGTTAGGATATGAGAGTGAAGCATGTTTTACTGACAAGAATGCCTTAGAATTTGTTTATTCTGAAACAGACAGTATCTCACTCATGACACAAATTCAAAAGAGTGCTATTGAGGGAGGTATTCACCACAATAATGCCAGTGGAAGTAGTCTTGTATCTCCTCAACAACATTTTAAGATGAGCTTGAAAGATTCAAATGGATCATTGATACAAGCAGAAAACACAATTTATGTTCTTCGTGACGTCATGTATGGATCTGGAGAGTTTTTTGTTTTCACTGTAACCAGCTATCAATCAATTGCCGATGGGCAATAATAAATTCATTGAAAATAATCAATTATTAAAAATGTCTGTTTCTCAACGAAAGGATCAACTTCCTTCCGATGTTACACCACTCGTTTATCGGCTTCATCTAAACCCAAATCTTGAAACGTTTGAATTTAGTGGAGAGGAGTCGGTTGATCTCAAGATTAATGTGAATCCAAATCAAATTACTCGAATTGTTGCCAACAGCAAGGATTTAAATATTCGTGAAGCCTATTTGATGATTCATCACCAAAGAGTCAATTTCAAAAACATTGGCTTTGATATTGAGAATGATCAGATCATTTTCGAATTGAATGATTCGTTGGAAGTGATCATGAACAATATGCCACGTGATGACGAAAAGGCATTGGAAATCATCACACTACATATCAAGTTTACAGGAGAATTGAACGATAAACTATGTGGATTTTATCGTTCAAAATATATCCGGGATGGTGTTGAAAAATATGCAGCCGTAACTCAATTTCAACCAGCGGATGCAAGAAGAAGCTTTGTGTGTTGGGATGATCCTGCTTTCAAGGCCATCTTTGAAATTTCCCTTGTTGCTCCAAAAACTCACATAGCACTCTCTAACATGCATTGTATGGAAGAAACAGATATAGATGATACGAGAAAGCTCCACAAATTTGCACCAACTCCTCCCATGTCAACTTATTTAGTGGCATATATTGTTGGAGAGTTCGATTATGTCGAAACAATTTCATCAGAAACACACCATCCGGTTCCTATCCGTATTTACACACCGGTTGGAAAGAAGGACCAAGGTCTATTTTCATTAGATGTTGTGGCAAAAGTATTGCCATTATTTGAAAAATATTTTGACATGCCTTACCCATTGACAAAGATTGATTTGATTGCAGTATCACAATTATCATTTGGTGGCATGGAGAATTATGGGCTCATTACATTCCGTGAACAGATTTTACTTGTTGATCCTGTGAACACGTCAGCGCTTGCTAAGCAAACAGTTGCCATTGTGGTGGCACATGAATTGAGTCACCAATGGTTTGGTAATTTGGTCACTCCCAAATGGTGGGAAAGTCTTTGGTTGAATGAAGGTAAGTGGAATCACTTTTTGATCCACTTTTTCAATATTTTCGAAATATTCCTAATTGAAAATACTGTATATATATTCAAAAGGTTATGCAACATATTTAGAATACTTCGCCATCGATTGTTTGTATCCTGAATGGCGTGTCTTTGAGCAATTTATTTATAGCGATTTTTATAGAGCATTCGCATTAGATGGTTTAAGAAATTCTCATCCTGTTGAAGTTCCTGTAAATTCTGCGGCTGAAATTGATGAAGTGTTCGACGCAATTTCATACAGCAAAGGCTCATGTTGCGTGCGTATGTTAATTGAATGGTTGGGTATTGAAAACTTTAGAAAAGGAATGATTCAATATTTGAAAAAGTATAAATTCTCCAATGCGAGCACGAATGATTTGTGGAACTGTTTAAGCGAGGTATTGGAAGTGGACGTTGCTTCTGTCATGAGCTCGTGGACCTTAACAACAGGTTATCCTATTGTTTCTGTTACTGAAGGAAATGTTGGTGGAATGGATACTCGAAATTTGGTCCTGACTCAACACAGATTTGTTGAAGATATTGGAGCAGATATTAATAACCCTTCGATTTGGTCCGTTCCAATTTCATACATCATTTGCAATTCGGACGATTCAACATCTGAGCAAAAAGTGTTGATGAGAGAAAAAGAAATTGTTATTTCTGTTCCTGCAAATATGAAATGGATCAAATTTAACAAGAATCAAGTTGGTTTTTTCCGTGTGAATTTTAGAAATGATCAGTATTATGCCAACTTGGTTCTTCCCATTAAGAACAAACAATTGTCTCCAATTGATCGAATGTCTATCATTGAAGACGCTACTAGCCTATCGAAATGTGGAATTGTACCAATTGAACAAGTTCTCTCCTTGTTTTCTGCTTATTCCACTGAGGATAATCACACAGTATTGTCGAGTGTTGCTTCATGCCTAAACACCATTGGTAACCTGATCAAAAATGAGAATGAACACATACAGCAAAAGTTCAATGCATTTGCACGATCAATTTTCGTTCACTTGAGAGACGAGCTTGGATGGGAACCAAAACCGAACGAAGACCATTTAACAGGCATGAAACGAACCCTTGTGATGAATACCTTGTTACAATACAAGGACGAGAAAACCATTCAACAAGCTCTCTCGAAATTTGAAAATTTCCTAAACAATCCACAATCGCTCATTCCTGATCTTCGAAGCGTTGCATACTCAGCAGCTGTTATGCATGGCAGGGATTCATTCCAACAGGTATGGAGAGTTTACGAGAGCTCTGATTTAACAGAAGAAAAAATCCGAGTGTTAAAATCGATTGGATTGACACAAGATGGAGAGTTGTTACAACAGACATTGAATCGTGTGTTGGATGGTTCAGTACCCACTCAGAACATTTCATACATGCTGATGGGACTATCCCAAAATGCAAAAGCTTGCACTTTAATGTGGAAATATTTCTTTGAAAATTATACTGCAATTAGAGAAAAATTTGAGAGTGGTTTACTCTTTGGAAGAATTATCAAGTTGTTTACTGAAAACACCATAGATGAGAATGAAGTCATTCAAATTAAGGACAATTTAGAAAAGATCAAAACCAAAGCAATACAACGAACAGTGGATCAGGTGAAAGAATCTATTACTCTCAACAGCAAATGGAGCGCCTCATGCAAGAATGATATCATTTTTTGGCTCAGTAATAACTTGTAGAAAGTTTGCTCCAGTTGTAATCTGCAACCTTCCATCCGCAGGTTAGTATTGATCGGGTCACTACTTAGTTTCGAAACTAAGTATTTCTGGTATTACTGATCACACGAATTGGTAATATTTTGCGGTGTTACGTCTCATTCGGCATTCCTTTTCACACACGGACAAATGAACATTCATGGCCATTTAAAATATTTCATAGTGCGCGAATACGTTTCCATTCACAAAAAAATCTATTTTACATCCTGCACCATTGAATTTCACTTGCGCATAATGACCATAGCCAGCAACGAATCTAATCAAGTCAAGGAAGCCATCCGCATCATTGTTCGAGAACCTTTGCCAGAAGACATTAGCGGTTCTCTCCTGTTGGCAGAACACAAGAAAGAGGAAAAGCCACAACAAAAACCGCATGAAGTTACCGCACTTGCAGAACAAGAGACTCAAAACTTGTTGAAGAGATTGCCAGAGATTCAAACACAAGATATTACTCAAGATGAGAAGGACTGTTTCGTTAGGTAAGTTATTATTTTTGATAATATTATTCATGTTGTTGATCCATCATTTTGTGTGACATGATGATCATTTTCAATAATGTATCCAAAAACATCAGAGAACCATCATTGAAGGCACCTGTAACTGCTGAAACTGTTCTCCAAGCGTTTCCTCCCGCTGACGATCGCCATGCAAAGCCAGCAGAGCTCATTGAAGAGGAGAAAAAACTGTTAGGATCAGAACTTTCTATTGTTCGTTACTTACCTGAAGGTATCATTGAGGACGCATCTGTTCCTCGTGTCAGTATCACATTTTCACAGCCCATGATTGCAGTTTCCACTGTGGATCAAATCGAACGCCTTGAGAATGTTCCTGTGAGTATTGAACCGCTTCCAAAGAAGGGAGGAAAATTCAAGTGGTTAGGAACAAAGACACTTGTGTATGAACCAGAGTACCGTTTTGACATGTCCACGAAATACACCGTTACCATTAAGGCTGGAACTACCTCTGCCATTGGAGGAGTGCTGAAGAATGACGTTAGTTTTTCCTTCGAAACTCCTCGACTCAACCTCCAGAATCAATTGCCAAAGTATCATCATTCATTTCCAATGGATGAATTCCCAATCTATTATTTGGAATTTGACCAAGAAATTGATCCTTCCACTGTTTTGAGTTATGTGGAATTGGATTCCAATGCTGAAAATGCTCACCTGAAACTTATTCACGATGGAAGAACTGAAACAATTGCTGTCAAAGAATATGTATCAAATCTTTTGAAGGAACATAACTTGGAGAAGAAGGCACCTGAAATATACCATTCTTACATCAGAAAACTCGAAAACGCACCAAAAGGAAGACATTTATGGTTTACTGCTAAATGTCAGAATAGTCGCCAACTTGAAAACCTCACATTTTCCATCAAACAAGGATTGAAAGGTTTAGAAGGTCCATTACCAACAGAAAAGCCATTCATCTTTAAGGTTAAGAATTATCCTCCTTTCAAAATTACCAACTTGTCTCAGGATCACAAAACACTTCCCCTGCAACCATTGCAAATTAATTTCTCTAACACTATTGACTTGGAAAAGTTTGATGAGACAACTGTGACTGTAGAACCAGCCATTGTAGGAATGAATCTCATTCCCAATGGATCCTCTCTCACCATTGGTGGAAAAACTAAGGGAAGAACAACCTATAAGGTGACTTTGAATGAAAACACCTTACAGGATGTATGGGGACAAAAATTGACGGGACCGAATACCTTTTCTACTCAAGTTGGAAGTGCATCTCAATCACTACAAGCTCTTCAGAAAGGCGTTATTGTGTTGGATCCAACCATTAACACAAAACCAAGCTTCTCTGTGGTCACCATGAATTTAAAGGCCATTCATTGTCGAGTATTCCAAGTGGAACCCGAGGAATACAAGGATACTACACTACATTTGAATGTCCACACCGAAAATGAATTTCAATATCCTGGAAAACAAGTATTTGATGCCACTATTAACACCAATGGACAAGAGGATGAACCATGTGATACCGATATTGATCTCTCATTGTTTTTGCAATATCCAAAAGAAAATTTGGGTCATTTGTTTGTTGTCGTAGAACCAGATGAACAAAGCTGGAAATCAGATTGGAAATATAGACCTATTTATTCGGCATGGATTCAAGCGACCAAGATTGGTTTGGATGCCATTTATGACAGTTCTGATTCTACCTTTTATTTCTGGGCAAATTCATTGGTTGATGGTAGCATTATTAAGGAAAACATTTCTGTGAAATGTGGAGACGTTTCTGCCACACCCGATTCCGTTACAGGCATTGGTACAATGAAGAAGGAACCTACAAGCACATACGTGACCGTTATTGCCTCCCAAGGAAATGACAAGTGTTTCATTCCAAACATTTACATTAATCATTATCGTTCATCCGATATTGCTTATCAAATATTTAATGATCGGGGATTGTACAAGCCAGGTGAAACTGTGTCCCTTAAAGGAATTGTCAGAAGAGCTGAGAGAAATGAATCAAAGAAGATTTTCAACTTGACCATTCCAAAACCAAAGGAACCCATTGAATTTACTGTTGTTGATTCTCGTTCAAGCAAGTATCACTCTGGAACTGTTTCTCTCTCAGAAAATGGTACTTTTGATTTGACATTCCAAGTTCCTGATAATGTCAATTTAGGAGAACATAATATTTGTTTTACTGGTTTTACTCACATGTATCATTACTTCAAGGTACAAGAATTCAGAACACCCGAGTTTACTTCTCAATGCAATGTCGTTGCAGGAAATTATGTGGTCAATGGTTCAGCAGCTCTCTGTACAACACGAGCTGAATACTACAGTGGAGGCGCCATTTCAGGTGGAAAATGTTCGTACACTATTTCACAATCGCACACCAGTTATAGTCCACCCAATCGTAGAGAATATTCCTTTGGAGAAGAAGAATCCTCAGTTTATAGTCACTTTTTCAGAAGAGGAAACAAATACTTGTATCATCGCTTCTTGCCATCCACAGAAACCTTTGAGGGAACGACGGATATGAATGGTGAGCATCAAATTGCACTAAAATTCGAGGAAACTGAGAGAGCTCAAAAAGTACCTGTTTCAGTCTCCATTGAATCCACCGTTCAAGATATTAACCGACAAACCATTTCGGCATCCACCTCTCTGTTAGTCCATCCTTGCAAGTACTATTGTGGTATCAAGTTTTCCAAACAGTTCACTAAAGCCAATTCACCCGTAAATGTTTCTCTCATCACTACTACGATTGATGGAGAATTGGTTCCTAATTTTGAGATGGAACTTGTAGTGACAACATTTGTCGATGTGAAAAAGGGATACAAGTACGAACAAGAAAAAGTAGAGGTCATGAAGAACGTGGTCAAATCAAGTGGAGAAGGTCCTGTTGAATTTCCTGCAGTTTTTGAAACAGGTGGTTCCTATGAGTTCCATGTGACCATTCGTGACAAGGAAAGTGGCTTGACCAATTTTTGTTCTAAATCACTTTTTGTCACAGGAGGAAAGAATACACAAGAAGAACGAGTTGGAACACGATTAAGACAAAAACAATTACTCCTCGTCCCAGATAAGAAAGAATACAGCGTTGGAGATGTTGCAACTATTCTCATTCAATCTCAAATCGATGGACATTTATACGGAGTGTTGAATACAGAATTGGATGGAATTGTTGGAAATCCAATTCCAATTGAAATTGATCCTTCAGTTGGTTTTGCTGAATATTCCTTTACTGTAACGAAGGACCACATTCCACAAATGTCTGTCAGTGTTGAGATGAATGGATCTGAATCAAAATTGGATGCTTTCGGTAACACACTGGAAAATGAGCCCAAGAAACCAGCATTCGCCACCGGATCTTGTACGATTTATGTTTCCAAATTAAGTCATGCATTGACCGTGGAGGCCGTTCCTGAAAAGACATTCCTCACACCTGGTTCTGCAACTTCAATACATATTAAGGTACAAGATGCTCTCACACAACAACCCATGCCAAATAGTGAAGTATGTGTTATTGCTGTCGATGAGGCAGTATTGGCATTAAGCAATCACGCTATTTGCAATCCTTTAGATGTTTTTATTATTCAACGATCTCACTCTTACAGATCTCGATATTCTATCAGGAATCATGTGTTTGTCAAGAGTTTGGACGGCATTGTATTTAGTGATGAGGATGTTCATTTGGAGAGGCGATCTTTCTTTGGTGCCCGTGGTGGTCGTTTAGTTAGTGCCAAATCTGCTACGTTTGCAGGATCAATTACAACCACTGCTGCCACATTCTCATTGGCCTCCAGTACAGTACAACAAAGCTCTTTCGAAGGAATGAGCTACGACGTGGTTTCTTCTGAACCTATTTCTATTCGAAGTAACTTTAATCCTCTCGCAGTTTTTAGTCCACGAGTGATCACCAATGAGAATGGAGAAGCCACTGTGAAGTTAACATTGCCTGACAATTTAACAAAATACAGAATTACTGCAGTTGCCTTGAATGGTGAAAGTCACTTTGGTATGACTGAATCGAACATGGTGGCACAGTTGCCTTTAAATATTAGACCCTCTCTTCCAAGATTTTTGAATTTTGGTGACAAGGCAGAATTTTCTTGTGTGTTGCAAAATCAAACTCCAATTGATTTGGAAGTTCATATTGCCACTCGATTTACTAATTTGGGATTGTTAGATGAATCCAAGAGAGGTCTCAAAGTGAAAATTCCTGCTCTTCAACGATGTGAACTTTCGTTCCCCATGACCACTCAACGCGTTGGTATTGCTAAATTCCAAATTGCTGTCTCCATTGCTAATCACGAAATTAAATTCGCAGATGCTGTCGAAAAAGAAATTCGAGTTTTCACTCCATCCACTACTGAAGGATTTGCCACTTATGGAGAAATTGATTCAACCAATACCAGCAACAGTGGAGCTGTTGTACAACCTATTCGCGCTCCTGAACGAAGTGTTGATTTACAATTTGGTGGACTACGCATTTCAACCAGTTCTACTGCTCTTTCCACTCTCACAGATGCCTTCTTGTACTTGTACACTTATCCATTTGACTGTTGTGAACAAGTTTCAAGTAAGATTTTAACGATTGTTGCCTTGAAAGACGTTCTTAAAGCATTCAATGTACCAGAGTTACCAACAGATTTTGAAATTACCAAGACTTTAGAAGATAGTATTAAGGTGTTGGAGAGTAGACAACATTCCTCTGGTGGTTATTCGTTCTGGGCCAATTACAGTTACGCAGAAGTGTCTCCATATATCACTTGTCATGTCGCTCATGCCTTTGCTAGAGCAAAGATTGCTGGATATCAAGTGAGTGAAACTACCATCTCCAAGTTATTGGAAGTTCTAAAAACCATTGAAAATTATTGTAGACATTACTCAGACGAGTCTTTACATTCTATTAAGGCATATGCCTACTATTGTTCAGCTCTCTTGGGAGATTACAGTGTGAAACAATTGACAGAAAATTTGTACACTCAAGTGAAAAAATCGAATTTGGAAAGTTTGGCATGGGTTGTGATTACATTGTATTTGTGTAATTCCAAAACAATTACGTCAACAATATCAGAAATTATTCATGACATGTGTCAGAAAGTGAATGAGACAGCACAAACAGCACATTTCGTTACAAGTTATGGAGATGTTCAAAGCTCTCGTCTCATCATGCTTCATTCCGACCGAAGAACCGATGGTATTTGTTTAGAAGCGCTCTTGACCATTACTCCTGAAAACTCACTCATTCCTAAACTCGTGAAAGGATTATTAGCACACAAAAAGAAAGGAAGATGGTCCAATACTCAAGAAAATGCTTTCATTTTGTTGGCACTCAACACCTACTTCAGAACCTTTGAAGGAGTGACTCCAAATTTCTGTTGTCGAATGTGGTTAGGTGAGGAGTATTGTGGTGAGCAACAATTTTTGGGTCGTTCTCGTGATGAAAAATTAGTGAACATTCCAATGAAGTATTTGGTAGAAGATCAAAACAATAATGAGGAACAAGTTACAAATACTACCAAGACTTTGGTCATTTCCAAAGAAGGAGTAGGACGACTCTATTATAGAGTTGGCTTGGATTACACACCAAAGAATTTAATTCTCGAACCAATCGATTATGGATTCCAAGTCAATAGAATTTACGAAGCAGTTACTCCAAACGCGCAAGATCATGTCCAATTTGATGCCACCAAAAATGTTTGGAAATTTAAGGCAGGAGAATTAATTCGAGTGAAAGTTTCTGTGACCAACACAAGTCGCAGGTATCATGTTGCATTGGTAGACATGTTACCTGCTGGATTGGAACCCATAAATCCAGAACTGAAGGGTGCTCAAGCCAGTGCTGTATTGAGCGCAGGAGATGCAAACAAAAACACTTACTGTTGGTGGACTCGTCCTTGGTATGAACATTGCAATATTCGAGATGAACGTGTGGAGACGTTTGCGTCATTGTTGAGCGAAGGTATTCATGAATTTAATTATGTGGCAAGAGCAACCAGTGTTGGAAGCTTTGTTATCCCACCAGCTAAGGTAGAGGAAATGTATTGTCCTGAACTGTTTGGACGATCTGGTACTTTATTTGCAGAAGTGTTCGAATAATAATTAGTTTGCAATGATAGCAACAGGAAATGAATTTATATCTTTCGCGTTGCTCTTACCTTCTTGCATCATTTCTTGCTGTGTTCAGTAAGTGTCTTTGCTACACCAACAACATCTAAAAGTGAATGGAGGGCTGTGTTGAACAACTTTCTTCCTGATGAAGTAACATTTTGAAAAACGTGAGCAACAATATTGACCATCACACCCTGGTTGTCTAGTGCGGATTGTATAGTGACGCTGTTGTTTTCAATGAATTCGTTCGCTTCGTCATCGATAAGGGTGGTCAGCTGAGAGCCATCCCAGCAGTACAATCCTGGCATACATGAAGGCTTTGAAACGTTTGGCGTTGACAATGGGTTTACGATTGAATAGTCGTTCCAAATGGACAGCGTGACTGATGTATTCGTTGTAACTGCAACCATACCTTTTTGTTGAAGAACACGATTACAAGCAATATCTCCTTTGTTTACCTTCAACGAAATAATAACTGAGCTTTGGTTTACGATGAAATGGCATTTGGAAATACGGCTTCTGAGTGTAGCCACATTTCACTTCATTAGATAAATAGTCTACAATCTTTGGAGAAATTCCTGATAGTTTCTTCACCAATGCAAAATCATTCTTCAAAGAAATATTGACATATTTGAAAATGTCAGGATTGTGTCTACATCCGTCTGTAACAATTGCTTCATCTGCAACTAAATCTGAAGGCATGTATTCAATCACTTCTGGAGCTTCTTTTATCATTTGCCAGAGCACATTTTCGAGGAATAACTTTTTTTTACAGACTTTCTCAGGAATATATCGCAGTAAATCGGCTTTTTTGCAATACTTTTGCAAAAAATTCAGATCTTCAAAAACGGATGCCTGTGCATATTTGAACAGTCTAACGTTCACATTAAACACTTTTTCAAGGTCTTCGTTGTCACGAATATTGACATCCTCACAAACAGGAAAGAGCAGTTCGAAGAACCATCTTCTTTTGTTTTTTGCTTTTAAATGTTGTTCACCGCCATCGTACTTATATGCAAGTTCTGAAATACTATGATCATCCTTCATAAACTCTTCAAAAACCTCGGTTCTTTTAGAACAGTTTTCGTCTTTCAACTTTTCTAGCATCTTTCTAATCTCGCGATTGGATGAGTGGAGAAGCGAAATAAGCCGGCCAATGCATTTTAACGCTTCTTCATGAGAAATAACTCCTCCATACCCGTTCTGGTTTGGTTTATGTTCAACCTCCACGATTTCTAATGAATGGGGGATTACACATAATGGCATACAAACATATTTTGTTTAATTGACCAAACCTAATCCACACCAAAGAACAATGTTTTTTTGATAAGTAGTTATTGAGATCAGACTCCCAAAAAACGTATGTTTGTATGTCATTATCTGTCACCTCAATGAATGGTCTATCTTGATATAAACATTTTCTTCGTGGAAGCGACAAGGACCATATTTTTGAATTCTGACAAAAAGTTCCAGCATTACTTGAAATATCATACGATCGTTTAGCCGGTCAGCAGCTTCTGTGAGTAACATGCTGGTGTGATCGTTATTGTCAACGATCTGAGAAGCTGATGTTCCCCTTTCTGATGACGTTGCTGGTTTTCTTTTCTTGTTGCTGCTACGAACAGGGTCGTAAATTTGGTCTCGGCACAGTTTTGGTCAGATTGTGCTTGGGTTGCATATTCTTTCTGCCAAAAAAATATCTAATATGAAGAGAACAGGCTCCAACAGCATCGTTCAACAGTTAATTTCCCACAACAGCAGCAACACATCGAGCCTCACTAAAACAACAAGACAATACTATTCATACAACAATCGTTACGTTTTCAATTCTTCTCCATCAAGCAAATCAAACAACATAATTTTTAATAATTGGATCATGAAAGATGTTGTTCCGAACAGCAAATTGTTTGGTAATACAATCACATTCGGCCAAATACGGTGTTACACCACTACTAATTGGTTGAAGGAGAAAGAAGCATCAACAAATGATAGTGATGGTACAAATACTTCAGCACCTTCGTCCGAACAAATCACTCTTGATTTGACTGATTGCAAGAACGAGTGGGTTGCAAAGTTGGCAAGGGAAAGAAGTGGTTTCATTAGCATATCCTCCGATATGCAGCGCCGGTTAGAAGGTGAAATATGTGAATGGTTAAGAATGGAAAGAGCTAATCCAAAATATGATTACCTTCGTAATTTACAGGATCCAACTAAGATGAAAAAACTAGAAACGCTAATTGGTTCAAATATTGAACTCCCTATCTTCGAACAAGCTGATTTAGTACCAAAATACTTTGATCCAAAAGCTAAATATCTATTCACTCGTCAACGGTTTGATATACTGAAAAGAGTTGTTAGTGGTGAAAAAGGATTTGTTTTCTCTGGTCCTTATGGAATCTCCAAATCATACGCACTATATTTGATAGCTGCCTATGCTTTTGTAAACTCAATTCCAGTGCTCTATATTCCAAAATGTGCCATATGGAAAAATTGTTACTTTTCAAATCAGAAACATGGCGCCAACCAGTATTTACTTGAATCGTTTTTATCTTTGAACAATGACATTCTATCTCCAAGTGTTCTTTCCGAGTTAGAGCAATCAGACAATATTGTTTACTACTTGAGCCGACAGGTTGCACAAAACAAGCCAGTTTTCTATCTATTCGATGAACACCATGAATTATTTATACCTGACACTAAGGGCAATATTATTGCAACAGAACCATATTTCCAAGATTTTATCAAGTGGACAGGTTCTACTGACGGTTCAAAAACAATGACCATCTATTGTGGAAGTGGTCATAGTACTTTTGAAGATTATTTGCCTGTAGGAGAAAGTACGAAAATTGTCAAAATTGTTCCACCAACAGCAACAGAATTTGAAACACTTGTTGCTGATTTCGGGTTAGATCCAAGTGATAAAAGAATTGAATTTGTGACAGGAAGAACTCCAAGGATTTTGAAAAATTTAGCCTATTTTTTGAGAGATAAGGATGGTACTGATGATGATTTTAATAACTTTATCAATTCATCATGGAATAATTATATTAGTAGATTGAGTAATATGTATAAAAAGCTGACGGTTCAAGGGAAGAAGAGCTTTTTTAGTACGGCAGAGGGACTGTTCACTTTAGCTCTTCATAGTGGAAGACCTACTAAGGTTGACAGCATTGTTTACGATCAGGGTTTACTGTACAAAGATAGTTCTGAAAAGCTATTTATTGTAAACGAGCCTGCAAAGAGATGTTTATTCGAATTTTATTGCTTTCATTTTCCAATCTCAGGCATACCTGCATCGATATCAGCATCAAAAAAGGGTGCGTTGTTTAAACAATACTTACTCATGCAGGAATTTTCTATTGAGAAACATGTTGGAACATTCTATACAACAAATAACAAGAATATTCCCATTCAACAAACTATTAGCTATGAAATTAACACACACCAGAGTTTGAGTCTGACAGATATGCGTGTTCTTGATGCTATTAATTATCCAAAAGGAACCGGAGTGCTATTCGTTCCAGAGTCTAAAATCTTCCCCAGTTTTGATTATGCTATTATTATGTATTGTGGTGAGAAAGTGGAAATAATATTGAAACAAACGACAATTTCTACTGTTGACTCTCATTATTGCCACAATACCTCATGCAAAATGACGGACTTAAGTAATTTATTGACCCCGCAGTATTATATAGAAAAAGGTCAGGCAATGCTATCAAAGTCGTTAAAAGTGCCAAAGCCATACCTCTTTTCATTGCTTGAATTGATTCTTCGCGGAGTAATCAACGAAAGAAAAGTGAATTCGGAAGAGGTAACAGTTGAAAAAAAAGAAAAAGACGGTACAAAGAAACTGTTAACTCTAAATTTGGAACCCAACAAACAGCAACTACATTTCATAGACAAAAAAAATACACTTGTGAAATCAATCACATATGGTGATATACAATTCACATGGCATTATGTTTACGAATCCGGCACCGATGGTTCTCATCAATCTGTGAAAAAGGTTAAGGAGAATGGTATTCTTTACAGAAATAGACAAGAAATTGCCGAACGTATGAAGGTGTTTTTCAAGTAAAGTTTTAGTTATCGTAGCGTTAAATCATACGATCGAGACAACCACTTCACTGGGGGTTGGCGGGCGGCATGTCTTTTGGGGCGCTTGATTTGCGATAATGACATTCCAGCAAAATTGAAGATGCGGTCTTTGTCTCGAAAGTTTGTTCTCATGTAATGAATTCATCAAAAATGTCTCCATTTCTTCTTCTCTATCTTCTGAACTTGGAATTTTTCGAATTGGTGAAGTAGATGTTGTGGTTTCATATATCCTTTTTGTGGGAGTTGTTGCTCAGCGGACTTTTGATATTCTTAGGATTCAAAAAAAAAATTGTAAAAAAAACGCGCCAAAACTCCCTGCGTTGTTGTGGCCGTCATCAGCAAGTTTCATCATGAATTGACATGGTCGTTCATTGAAATTGATTGTATAGCACATCAACATCATTTTCAGCAGTGATCAACACGTTTTGGGAGTATTCTGTAATTATTCTTCGAGTGATCTTCAACAGGTAATTGTTAAAAATTCTGTGAACTTTTCCTATTGGATGTGAAGATACTGGAATGAAACTGATGATGGAAGTGTTGTTGTAGTGATCGGATACCATAGAATTGATCATTGATTCCATTCAAATTGATAAGGATTCCTCTCAGTAGGATTTTTAAAAAGATTCAATATAACAATATATAACTTGTTTTTAATATCAATTAGTCCCACGCAGAGAGGAAGGAGATATTAAGCGAAAGATTTCTTGTTGTTATAGTGGATATCGAGATAACCCTAATTTTTGTACTAAAAAATCAGGTCCTGTGGTGGTTGACCATCCTCTAAAATTATCGTTTAATGATCAAAACTTGAATATTTCCATCAATTAAGATATAAGGAAGTAAGGCGCTGCTGTTTCATTCGAGTGGAATGTGAAAATAGTTAAATATTTTGTGCGTCCAAGTTGGTGATATGTAACTCTTGAAGTTGGTCATAGGGTTTTGGGTTGGGGTTTTGACCCAAGTAGGGAAGACTAAAATTTAATTTTAATTATTAAACTCAATATTATGCTCTTATCCAACATTATAAGAACGAATCTAGCGTCATTATTACCGCTGACATGTCGTTCTCGAGAAAAATAAAAAACGCAGGTTTTCGCTGAAAGTTCGTGAGCGTAGCTTTTTTAGCTCCAAAGTCGATATGGTCCAAAGTCAGACGCAGACATGGAACCATCCCAGATAACTGGATTATGATAGCAACCCTTACGAATGATAGATATATCAATTTAGAAGGGTTGACTCAACCTCTCTCGGACCCTGTCTCTTCCCAAAGTGAGGTACCTATAGTAGCCTCAGCGAAAAAACCAATCACTGGGAGGAGACGGACACCATTAGTAACACATAGTTATATGATGCAAGATATTATAATAGCATGTTGTATACATCACTTAAAGCATATTATGACATTTGTAACGCTTGTCCATGTCCATGATCACTACCATGGTATGTTATGTGAAGAGCGAGTCCTGTGATAGTTATAGTGGTCGTCAAGAAATACAACTTGATATATACGTCATTCATGAGTGCTTGTGTATGTTTCTATTGTTTGTGACGAGAAATTCGAACCATGTGTTGAACAGAACAGCTCCTGTCTCAAGCAGTCAGGTTTTTGGGGACTTTGAAATTTTTTTTAAAAATATTTTGGACTAAAAAATTTCCAAGTTCAAAATGATAGAGAGGTCCAGCGAAAACATGAAATATGGCTCTTTTTCAATAAATACTGATCAATTGTGTCTCAAATTGATATGTGAAGTGTTAATCACCATGTAGAACACTAATATTATGCTTGTGTGTTGATGACTGACTCCTGACGCGGAATTGTGGTAATCCTAACTGCTGAGTGTGTCCGTGAGGGTGATGTTGCTTGACATGATATTCACCTGCTAATTAAACGTAGAGTGTAGTGTGTGTGTGAGATTTTTAGAGTATTTGTATTGTTTGTGACATGAACAGTGATGTACCTGTTGAATGAATCAGCTCCTATGTTGGAGAGTCAGTTTGTCGCTGGAGGTGGAATATTTTTAAAAAATTTCAAAGTTCAAAATGATAGAAAAGTCAAGCCAAAACTTGAAGTGAGGCTCTATTTCGATAAATACTGATTGATATCATCTTTAATTTAAATATATTGTATAACTCACTGTGTGGAATATTGTTATTAGATTTAAATTGATGAGAATGACTTGTGAAAGAACCATGATCGGAGTGGAAGCAGTGAACATGACAATGTGTGTTGTAGTGAAGAGTACAACCATGAATTTGCTTAAAAAGCAATACTATGTGATGTCGAAGATGTCTACATGATGATGAATCGATTATGTGAGTTGTTCTGTAATATTTGAAAGACGAAAGCACTGTACCTATCACCTACTCAAAATCACGAAGAAATTTTTCAAGGGTGAAACGAACATTTGGAGATATCTCCATGAATAGTTGCTATCAAGGAATGAAATCAGGAATACCCTTGTTTTTGATGTTGTAGAGCTGAACTAACAAGTTAATTTTTGTTGTTGACGTCAAAGATTACATGAGTTGTTGGATATTGTGAGATTTTTCAGAGGACGAAGACAACAAACGATTACGTTGAAGAACACCACAACGTAAAAATGATATGAATGCATCTACATGGTGAGGAGATGTAAATGAAGAAAATTCTCGAACTGAAGTGATGGATCCATGAAACTGGAGGAGTGCTATCATTCTGAGAAAAATGTTATTGCAATACATGGAAATTTGAAAGTGCTTATTTTTGAGTTATTCTTCAATATTATGTCATCTGGTGTGATTCTATGAATGTATGAACAAGATTGACACAATTTACCGTTTCATTCATGAGGCTATTCCTCTTCGACTTTTTCAAAGAGAACCCTACACATGGTGAGAAACATTCTATGTGAATCTTGTCACCATATTCAACTTATTATCATGTAATAGTGTGTTGATGACATGGAACAAGTTGTGAGTAACTATATTTGAAAATACTCCAGATGTCAGAAGTAGTGAACACTACAATGAATCTCAAAATTCAGAAAGTAAAAAACCATGAAACTGATATATGTTTGAGATGTCTGCAAGTTAGACATATTCTGTTAAATTGAATGCTTAACACATATTTTTTCATGAGATGGAGAAGACTCTGTCATTGTTACCTTAGTTGAGTAGGACATGACATGAGTTGTGAGTGATCACCAATATCATTCTCTCAGTTGTATCTCATCATGGGGAGTAGATTGATATAAATTTTACCAGATCTTGTTTCAAAAAGTTTCATAATGTTGACTTGTATACATTTTTATCATGATGAGTTACTCAATGACAAAAAGTATTTCAAAAATTTGTCAAAACATGTCATTGTACATGTGACTGTGATGATGTCGTGTTGGTATAATTTCAGGAGTCGTACATTGATATTACGAAAGTTATTTCTAAATACTGTTGTGTGAGTTCATGGTGGTGATGTCATCACGAGTGATATGAAAATTTTAAATAAGTGACATATTCATGCATACAACACATACGTCTATTGCCGATATCAATTTGAAGTGTTGATTTTATTTGTTTGTGTGATGGTGTGAAACATTGTGAAAAAATTGTGATAATATATGTATATATTGATAATGAAGAGTGATGGTATCATGTAATTAACAATAACTGTACTATGACATGAGTGTTACATGATGGTAAAGTTTTATTCATTGTTTATTTATAGTTGTGGAGTAAATTGAAAAATGGTGATCTGAGTGAGTAAGGGTTATAAAAATAAACAAAGTCTAAGGTATTGAGGGTTCATAAAAAATGTTTAAGGAAATGAGGGTTGATTAAAATTTATTAAGAGTTTGGGTTTGGCTCCACCTACTCTTTTTTTTGAGCCATTTTAACGACTTTACTATCAAAAAAAAATTTTGATTTCAATAAGTCCTGTCCACGGTCCGAAGTTAACTGGTGAGGACGAGATATACTCAAATCCTAGGCTAATTTTCATTTGGGTTTGGCTTCACCTACTCTTTTTTTTGAGCCATTTTAACGACTTTACTATCAAAAAAAAATTTTGTTTTCAATAAGTCCTGTCCACGGTCCGAAGTTAACTGCTGAGGACGAGATATACTCAAATCCTAGGCTAATTTTCATTTGCTTTCTAATGGTGTTGAAATTTCTAAGAGATGTGAAGTGGTTGTTGAGTTATTTCACTCTGAATTTTGAAGGTAAATTGGCCCAAAAAAAAATTTAATGTTGTAAATGAAGAGAGGATGATTATTTATTATCGGACTGGTGTTTCAAACTGTAAAACCAGAGAGAAGCAAGGACATTGGAACACAAGGTTTTTGGATAGGTGACCGCCTTGACTTGTAATCTTAATTTTTCGACATGCTTAATGATGGGATTTTTAATTTTTATGAAATCGTCGGGGATGGAGGTATATCTATGTGTTGATATGACTTTCATCCATTAATTATGGGTAATTATTGAACTGTACTCGCTTAAAGTAGACCTCTCGTGCATGGTCGGGGTTTTCGTCATCTTTGATGTTGAGCTTGATCCAAGCACATCATTCGATAGATTTTGAAGAGTAGTACATTCGTGCTAGCGACATCATTGGATAGTGAGCTAAGTTGGTTGAGTCGTTCAACAAATGGTGACAGGTGTCAAATTTTTGATAGAATTTAAGCGACACCTTTTTTGTAGATCTCACGAAAATAATGGGGGTCATGATAGAGCATTCGATCAGGTTTAGGGTAGTTTTCGAGAAAATCAAGTTTAAAGGAGTTTCATCGAGGTCAAAAATGAAATGAAAATTTTTCAAAAAAAAATTAAAAAAAAATGAAGCCAAAACTCCCTGCATTTTTGAGGTGATCATCATCAACATCGGGTCATGTTTCCATTCATCATCATGTCATATTTATATTGATCACATCAAATGTGCACATCATGATCAACATTTATGAGGAATATTTTGTGTGTATGAATACACATGGAAATGATAAT